TAAACCCTAACCCCTAACCTCTAAACCCTAAACCCTAAACCCTAGACCCTAACCCCTAAACCCTAAACCCTAAACCCCAAACCCCAAACCCCAAACCCTAAACCCTAAAAGAAAATAAGAAGGGAAACTTGCTACCAAAAATGGGTAATCGGTAGACCGTCTGCATCCGCTCGAATGAGGCCTCTGATCGTCGAAGGGAGGATTAAGTTTTTTTTATATAGCAATGGCTGCACCCAAAGTGAGCTGCCTACGTACCCGAACGGGATCAAGCCATATATAGTTCTACTGATACAAGCTATACAGTCAGAGTAAAGCAAACATACAAGACAAACCTAGGTAGTCTAAGTATCAAAGCCCAAAAGCAACATGCCTAAGGCATCAACACGAACAAAACAAGACTAAGCATATCAAGTCTAAATATTATCTATCCATACTAAGTATCTCAAAAGCAAATAAGAAAGAGAAGCCTGCTACCTGAAATGAAAAGTCGGAAGATCGTCTACGTCCGCTCGTAGGAGGCCATTGATCGTCGAAGAGAGGCTTAGAGTTTAGGTTTTTTTTATATAGCAATGGCTGCACCCTTAATGGGTTGCCTACGTACCCAAACAGGAACAAACCATACGTAGTTCTGCTGATATAAACTATACAATCCAAGTAAAGTAAAGAAAATAGACAAGCCTACGTAGTTTAAGCATCAAAGGCCAAAGACAACATGCACATCAACGCCAAGCAAACAAGACTAAGTCTATATATAATCTATCAATACTAAGTATCCCTTAATGTTCGTGTTGATGCCTTAGGTATGTTGCTTTTGGGCTTTGATACTTAGACTACCTAGGTTTGTCTTGTATGTTTGCTTTACTCTGACTGTATAGCTTGTATCAGTAGAACTATGTATGGCTTGATCCCGTTCGGGTACGTAGGCAACCCACTTTGGGTGCAGCCATTGCTATATAAAAAAAAAACTTAATCCTCCCTTCGACGATCAGAGGCCTCATTCGAGCGGATGCAGACGGTCTACCGATTACCCATTTTCGGTAGCAAGTTTCCCTTCTTATTTTCTTTTGGGATACTTAGTATTGATAGATAATATTTAGACTTGATAGGCTTAGTCTTCTTTTGTTGGTATTGATTCCTTAGGCATATTGCTTTTGGTCTTTAATACTTAGACTACCTAGGCTTGTCTTGTTTGTTTGCTTTACTTGGACTGTATAGCTTGTATCAGTAGAACTATATATAGCTTGATCCCGTTCGGATACGTAGACAGCCCACTTTGGGTGCAGCCATTGCTATATAAAAAAAAAACAATAAACCTAGTCCCTAAACCTAACCCTGGCCCCTAAAACCTTACCCTAAACCTCCCTTCGACGATCAAAGGCCTCCTTCGAGCGATCGCAGAAGGTCTTCCGACTTTCTATTTCAAGTAGTAGTATTCACTTTCTTATTTTCTTTTGGGATACTTAGTATTGATAAATGATATATAGACTTAATAGACTTAGTCTTGTTTGCTTGGTGTTGATGTGCATGTTGTCTTTGGCCTTTGATGCTTAGACTATATAGGCTTGTCTATTTTCTTTACTTTATTTGGATTGTATAGTTTATATCAGTAGAACTACGTATGGTTTGATCATGTTTGGGTACGTAGGCAGCCCATTATGGGTGCAGCCATTGCTATATAAAAAAAACCCTAAAACTCCCTTCGACGATCAAAGGCCTTTTACGAGAAGACATAGACGGTCTTCCGAGTTTTCATTTTAGGTAGCAAGCTTTTCTTTCTTATTTGCTTTTGAGATACTTAGTATTGATAGATGATATTTAGACTTGATATGCTTAGTCTTGTTTTGTTGGTGTTGATGCCTTAGGCATATTGCTTTTGGGCTTTGACACTTAGATTACCTAGGTTTGTCTTGTATGTTTTCTTTACTCTGACTGTATAGCTTGTATCAGTAGAACTACGTATGGCTTGATCCCGTTCGGATACGTAGACAGCCCACTTTGGGTGCAGCCATTGCTATATAAAAAAAAAAACCATAAACCCTAGTCCCTAAACCTAACCCTGGCCCCTAAAACCTTACCCTAAACCTCCCTTCGACGATCAAAGGCCTCCTTCGAGCGATCACAGAAGGTCTTCCGACTTTCTGTTTCAAGTAGTAGTATTCACTTTCTTATTTTCTTTTGGGATACTTAGTATTGATAAATGATATATAGACTTAATAGACTTAGTCTTGTTTGCTTGGTGTTGATGTACATGTTGTCTTTGGCCTTTGATGCTTAGACTATGTAGGCTTGTCTATTTTCTTTACTTTACTTGGATTGTATAGTTTATATCAGCAGAACTACGTATGGCTTGATCCTGTTGGGGTACGTAGGCAGCCCATTATGGGTGCAGTCATTACTATATGAAAAAAACCCTAAACCCTAAACCTTTCTTCGACGATCAAAGGCCTCCTACGAGCGGACGCAGACGGTCTTCCGAGTTTTCATTTCAGGTAGCAGGCTTCTCTTTCTTATTTGCTTTTGAGATACTTAGTATTGATATATGATATTTAGACTTGATATGCTTAGTCTTATTTTGTTGGTGTTTATGTCTTAGGCATGCTGCTATTGGGCTTTGATACTTAGACTACCTAGGTTTATCTTGTCTATTTGCTTTACTCTGACTGTATAGCTTGTATTAGTAGAACTACGTATGGCTTGATCCCGTTCGGGTACGTAGACACCCACTCTAGGTGCAGCCATTGCTATATAAAAAAACCCTAAACCCTAATCCTCTCTTCGACGATCAGAGGCCTCATTTGACCAAACACAAATGGTCTTCCGACTACCCATTTTCGGTAGCACGCTTTAATTTCCTATTTGCTTTTAGGATACTTAGGATTGATAGATAATATCTAGGCTTGATAGGCTTAGTCTTGTTTGGTTGGTTGATGCCTTAGGCATGTTGCTTTTGGCCTTTGATACTTAGACAACCTAAGTTTGTCTTGTATGTTTGTTTTACTTGAACTGTGTAGCTTGTATCAGTAGAACTACATATGGTTTGATCTCATTCTGGTACATAGGCCGCCCTTTTTTGGTGCAGCTATTGCTATATAAAAAAACCATAAACCCTAATCCCTAAACCCTAACCCTGGCCCCTAAAACCTTACCTTAAACCCCCCCTTCGACGATCAAAGGCCTCCATCGAGCGAACGCAGAAGGTCTTCCGACTTTCTGTTTCAAGTAGTAGTATTCACTTTCTTATTTTCTTTTGGGATACATAGTATTGATAGATGATATATAGACTTAATAGACTTACTCTTGTTTGCTTGGCGTTGATATGCATGTTACGGATGCAGACGGTCTTCCGAGTTTTCATTTCAGGTAGCAAGCTTTTCTTTCTTATTTGCTTTTGAGATACTTATTATTGATAGATGATATTTAGACTTGATATGCTTAGTCTTGTTTTGTTATACTTAGACTACCTAGGTTTGTCTTGTATGTTTGTTTTACTCTGACTGTATAGTTTGTATTAGTAGAACTACGTATGGCTTGATCTCATTCGGGTACGTAGGATTTAAGCAGCCCACTTTGAATGCAGTCATTGCTATATAAAAAAACCCTAAACCCTAATCCTTCCTTCGACGATTGGAGGCCTCATTCGACCGGACATACGGGCTTCCGATTACCCATTTTTGGTAGCACGCTTTACTTTCCTATTTGCTTTTGGGATACTTAGGATTGATAGATAATATCTAGACTTGATAGGCTTAGTCTTGTTTTGTTGGTATTGATGTCTTAGGCATGTTGCTTTTGGCCTTTGATACTTAGACAACCTAGGTTTGCCTTGTATGTTTGTTTATTTGAACTGTGTAGGTTGTATCAGTAGAACTAACTACGTATGGCTTGATCCCTTTCTGGTACATAGGCCGCCTTTTTTTGGTGCAGCTATTGCTATATAAAAAAAAACCCTAAACCTCCCTTCGACGATCAAAGGTCTGCTTCGTGCGGACGCAGACGGTCTTTCAACTTTCTGTTTTAGGTAGCAGGCTTCACTGTCTTGTTTGCTTTTAGGATACTTAGTATTGATAGATGGTATTTATTCTTGATAGGCTTAGTCCTGTTTTGTTGGTGTTGATGCGCATGTTGCTTTTGGCCTTTCATACTTAGACTACCTAAATTTATCTTGTCTTTTTGATTTACTTGGATTGTATAGATTGTATCAGTAGAATTACGTATGGTTTGATCTCATTCTGGTACATAGGCACTCCACTTTGAATGAAACTATTGATATATAAAAAGAACCCTAACAAAAAAACCCTAAACCTTGACCCTAAACTTTCCTTCGACGATTAAAGGCCTCTTTGAGCGGACGCAAACGATCTTTCAACTTTATTTGCTTTACCAGAAACACTACCAACATCATATAAAAGAGGAGGGATTTTTTTTACCGTGTATTTCTTTTGAATTGGTTTGAAAAAAAAAATGTTTTAACTTTATATTAAAATAATATTTTATATGATATTTTGTAAGAGAAAAAAATATTTTTTGTTTGAAAAACATAGTGTAAATGATAAAAACTAAGAGTTTGGATCAAAAGAAACAAACCTAAAGAACCTCAATACATCTAGGCAGTAAGGATTCCATATATAAAAATAAGACAAAATTGCATAAAGTTCACTCGTAGTTTCACGAAATTGCACGAAATTTCTCATTCAGCCATTGTTATTTAAGGTTATTTGATCTGCACACGCCCAAAATACAAATAAATTTCAAAATTCTTATTTCTAAACTCTTAAAATTACAAATATAATCATTATTATGATAAAATTTGAAGTATATGAAATTTACAAATATAATCATTATTATGATAAAATTTGAAGTATATGAAATTTTGGACAATTTTGTAAAATCACGTGTAAATTTTATTCAATTTAGCCTAAATATAATATGAAATGCTGCCTGGTGTGAACTTCACTTCCCACCAAAACCGATAAAATCTAGCAGCGTTGGGCGGACCAAAATCTGTTAAAAACTAGTATTGTTGCAAAAGAGAAACTGGCACTCTTACAAGCAAGAGTCTGCAACATCAATATTGACAACGTCCGGGATAGATAGTGTTGAGAGAGTGTGTAGAGACACCACCTGCTGCCTGTGAAGCATCATTTTGACAAGCAACTCGATCTATCATCTGGATGTATAAAATCATTCACTGAGATCAAACATGATACAATATTAGAAATTTCATCCCACTATAACCAAGTGGTGGCTCTGTCTGACTTGATGAATTACTCAGACTCCTCAATAGGTCTTTTTCCTGACAGTCAGCTTCTTCCCATCTTTCTTTGCAGCAACAGAGGACCCTGACACGGACATTCCTACCATACCTTGATACAAATCCTTCAATCTACAGTAAAAAGAAAATGCAGTCAGTGAATGATGTGTGTACAGTGTACGTACCTTTTACAAGAAAATGGCAGAACAAGAAGCAAATGACACACCAAGACAACCGTATCAGATACCTTGGAATGCTTATGAACAGTGCAATCATTGAAAGACCTACAATCAAAGGATACACAGGCGCCGGAGTCAACTCCTGGTCATCAAATGAAATAGGCATTTTAGTCATGGTAGCTCTTCAAACAAAATAGAGTATATCTCGCTCTTCAAAATAAAGCAAAGGCAACTTACCTGCTTGTATATGTCCTCTTCAATTTTATAGCTTAAAGGTCCAACATGAAGTTGAGATTGTCTCTCCAAGTCGACATCAATAATCTCAGATTCAAATTTCTGTGTACTAGATGGCGTAGTGAATCTTAGTTGAAGGAGGTGCTTACCCTTGGGCAAGTCCTTCACCATAAAGAACTTAGAAACTGACAAGGGGAGGATGGATTCAACCTTAGATGGATCACTAGAAGACCTGATTTCGACCTTAATATGAGAATGCAGCTCTTTGATGTTTTTCCCCTCAACATGACCACTTAAAATTGTCACATCTGGTTGTTCAAAGACCACAAAATCCAGCCCCTTAAGATCTTCATAACCAACCTAGTGGGACAGAGAAGAGCATATCAATTAAGCACAAAAACCAAGTACTGAAAAGTGCAAATGGCACGGATGCTAAGAGATACACTAAAATTATGCAAACATACGGAGGATTGCCAAACAATAGCACCTGGCATACATAAAATGCCACATCACTTATCAATTATAACATGATCAACAATACTGCCAGATGCTGATCTCGCTCCAGATCATTCTGTAACCCTTCTCTTTTGCACACTAGCAGAGATAATGAATTAAAGCTCTGGAGATAACTTAGTGTACTACCAGCACACGATATCAAACATAGCTAGAAGATATAATATCAATCGCAAGCAATATAAGGCACATTTCTGCCTTTCTCAACAGTTGATACTAACCTCAACAGTCAAGGATCCCGGAGATGCACGTTCCATATCAAGCCCGCCCTTCCTCACAACTTTTATTTCGTAGCTAGTGTTAGGTTTAAGTCCTCGCAAACGGTACCTTCCTAATGAATCTGTCATTGTTTCTTCATAAAACCCTTTCGATTCAGCTCTTGCTTCAACTGAAACGCCCTCTCTTGGCTGACCAGACAGTAGGTTTACCTTGCCAAAAGCACTGCAAAAGGAATATATACTTTCATAGTTCTTTCAAATTATTGGCTCTTCTTGGAAACATGACAATGAAACACTTTAGATATCTAGAATCCATTAAAATAACTTTAGCAAGTGTTTCAGAAAAAATGGTAGAAACCCAAACTCGACATGGTAATCTGAGAACTTTGATAAGTGGCTAGAATATTGATGACAATAGAGAGCATCTAATATAGAAGAAAAATAAGCACACAGCCTCCAGATCATTGAGGGTGTGTTTGTTTGAGGGTTTGGATTTTGGGTTGAGATTTGAATAGTAAAAACTTTGAATCTGGATAGTTGTATGCTATGATATAAAACTTTGATGTGATGCTTTAAATATAAAATTAATTTTTAGTATAGTATAAAAAATATAAAACAAGTGTTTGATTTGATATTTTTTAGGGAAAATTTTGTATGAATAGTATAAATTTTCCAAAATTCTTCAAACACACACTCTAAGTGTAAGGCTAGCACTCTTGGTTAGCTCAGAACCAATCCAGGTTAAAAGCACAATTGAGATTTCCATCATGCCTTGTATTCATAATGTGCGGTTGCATACAGAAAGCACATGCAACTGAAAATCAAGAGTACTATAACACTTCGGAAGCTATCCTGAGTAGTTGAATGACTATCATATCACTGCACTTAATGATATTCTAAAATTATTCACACAGGTGTTAAACAATAAGTGGTCATTGTAAGAACAGAATAATGAAATGGGTTAAACCTATTAGGGCACATGTTCGCATGCCATTACATCTTTATGTTTTCTTTTATCTCAGTTTAACTTCTACACCCACACAACATACATATATACATATAAGAAGAGGTCAATTTTAAAATAAAAACCTGCCTTAAATGTCACTTGTACACTACAGAGTAAAACACCCAACAAGATGGTGTACAATAAAGTATTATAAATAAATAAATACATGGTGGAACTGGACATATAGAAAAATGCAATCAGTAGTGAACAAATTGGCTTTAAGATAGATATATGAAAATAGCCAGTCAAGAATGAACATAAGAACCCCCATGACTGCTTTGTGGTACCTAAAAGCAACACGGGAAGCATAAAAGACAACTTCCTTGGATTCGCCAGAGCTGAGGTCAATCGCCTTTGCAGGAGGAGAAAAAGCATATTCCTGAAGTGCAAAAGAGAATGCCAGTAAACACTAATAGGAATAACAGCTTACCTCAACTTTGTCACCGAACAAGTATCGAAGCAAAAAAAATACAAATAAAAAGATTGAGAAATACAAAAGCATCCAACAGTGCACACAAGAGAAAAATTGTATAAAGTAATACCATCTATTGTTATCAAAGAAAGCCATAGGAAGCACATATTCCAGGGAAAGCTGATTCATGCAAAGTATTTCAACCAAAAAAAATTAGAAGATTCCAAAATTTTGATCAGCTTCATAATCCATCAATCCTATTCTTCCTTTAAATTGGCAGCTTGAATAATTACAATGAAAATATTATACAGGATGTTAAAACAAAACAAATAAAGACATTTCAGTCTCAGGCAATAAAAGAATCAGCCATGAATTAATCAATTCGCAGAAACAAGGAAATTTTAGCTCTAGTACCTTCATCAAAGGTCGGAGATAAAAACTACCAGGAAATAAGTCACCAAACACAAATGTCCCACTGACACCAGTCACTGAATTGTTCCTATACCCATCATCTCCACTCAAGGACAACAGAACAGAAGGAAATAGTTCATTGTTGTCTTCTTTGGAGTATATTCGTACAGAAATCTGTCCGAGCTTCTGACAAGAGAAGGAATATCGTCCAACTTGTTTTACGTAATAGCCAGGCTGAAAAAGAGAAAAATTCAGCCATCAACTGTGTAGACCAAAAAAAGTGAACTCAAGCATAAAGTTACTTGTATGCTTTTCCATGACATATTCCATTAATATCCTTTTGGATTCTAATTTGCTTCCAGTTTGAAAGAGTAAAGATCAATGAGAGATCATCAGTATAGAAAAAGGTTTAACTTATATGTGGGTTATCAACTAGCCAATAACACAGAAAACTATATCTACACATTCATATATTCATCTAACTTGAACAGTTAATCACTATCACCAAGAATAACTATCAACGCCCAGACAGATGAAATGGACTCCATAAAAAATGAAAAAGAAAAGGGTTTGCTATCAGTTAAAAAAAATCTGAATTAGAATGGGACATGTATACAAATCCCGGTCAGAGAAGTGATAAGAAATGTGTTATAAACATATATTTGTTCCACAGAGAAAAGTAAGAGCAAATTTGCAGATACCATCTGCTTGAAAACCACCAAGATGAAGTTGGCATTAGGCATCAGTTTCTTACTTCAAAGATTTAAAAAAATAAGGACTAAGCAAAAACTAATAAAACTAATTGGATCAGGAAAGATTGTTTTAGAAACAAACTAATACAAACACTCCTAGCTAGTTGATCAGAAAAAACAGAAAGGTCCTTCAATGAATTCCAAGAACTGTGAATTGCAGTTGTCAGCAGTGCATGGCACATGCCATGGTTTGTGATGTATCAAAGCTTGGAATATAATCAAAACATATTTTTTACCATTCACAAATTTCTTTAACAAAAACCTTACAAATAAATAATGATAATTGATTCTAATCTACTATTTTCCATTGATTTTTTCATAAAAGAAAAAAGAGAAAGAGAGAGAGAAAAGAAAAGAAGGAAAGCCCCCAACATGAGCACCAAAGGTACACTCTAGTGCAGTCAACTATCATAGATGAGAATGGTGCTGGACTAGTGCTTCCATGTGCCATTGACAACTATGAATGTGATGAATAGAAGTAATACGGCCCATGAAGACCATGTTGTAATATGGTTTAACTATATGATTCAAAATTCAAACCTTTGAGGCCTCTATGATGTAATCTATATCATCATAAAGAGGTCCAGCAACAAATAAACCATCTTCCCCTGTGGTAGTTTCAAGTGCTATATCGCCGCGTTTCAGTGCAGAAATATGGCTGTCTCTGTCAGCAAGAACTCGTATGTGAACATGTGAAAGTGGGGGTGATACAGATCCTTTTATGTACAACCCCAGCCGACCAGAAAATGCAGCAATTGGAGCTTGGCAACCGTCTTGCACCACAGAAACCTAATTAAACATATTAAAAGTTCAAACATATATTCCTTGCAGAAACATTATTTAAGGGGAAGGTAACTTTCAATATCACTTACATGCTGTTGCTTTGGGTTAAATAAAATTTTCTTCCCCACATCATTACTGCAGCACACATAATAGTAAAGATGAGATACATATCACATTGACACTTGGACAATAAATTAAAAGAAAACCTGACAAGTGACCTGAGAAAGAATATCACCAAAATATTTAAATATCTCTCAGTAGATCACCTCAACCTTTTGTCAGATTTTGCTCCACAAGATTTAATATACGAAGTGTCTGCTTAATAGAAATCCTTGTTATATCATCACGACATCATTGCCACAGAATAAGGGGGAATGAGGGCAGCCAAAACTCAAGCTAGACTAAGCAAGGCTAAAACTACCACCCTAATAACACTAGATTTAATATCCATTATACTATACATTACTCAATGGTTATTTTGAAAAATATCAGAAAAGTTTTCTCTCTGAAGTTGGCACATGAAATATCAATAAAATACAAATTGAGAAACAAGTGGTACCAAACTGAGTAGTTAATATAATTAATCAACTATTCTAAAATTGAGAAGTCGCCAAAAATTTCTCAAGATAGGCATAAGCCAATAATGAACCTGAGCTTTCATTAAACAATTAGGCTTTGTTCAAATTGTGTTTTGTGTTTGAATAGTGGTTGTAAGTGATGTCTGTGTGAGGAAATAGTGTATTTTTATATTGAATCGTAAAGGTGGCATAGTAAGGAAACTTAAATAAAACTCAATAAACAGAGCCTTAGTTTCATCATTTTTTTGTGCCTAAATAGTTTCTACATGTGAAACAGGTAATTCAAAAGAATAACATTGAGATAGATGAGCGAATAGATAAAGAGAAATCAAGTGAACTAACCAAGAGATCTAAGGAATATGGGAAATACAAATTCAAAACACACCTATTATAGAGAAGAATAAAACTTATCACAAAAACAAGGTCACTCAGAAATTGGATGGAACTGTAAAAAACATACCATAAATCCCTAGGACTAATGATGAGCTTTTGTCCAAAACTAGCCCAGAAAGAATACTCATAGACAGTGGGGCTTGAGTGATCAATGTCAGCAGAGACAAGCCTGGCAATAGTACTGTCCACAAAAGTTCCTTCAAAGTCCAAGATGTCGACTGATATACTCTCAGGTAAATTCATAGTTGATTCAACATTTATATGTCCTTTGAGCAGGTATCTTTCTCCCTTTAAATTAATAGTCTGCAGAAACAAGATGAAATATATATATATACATAGAGAGAGAGAGAGAGAGAGCATAAATCAAGATGATTTCAACCACCACCATCAGAACAAACTACAAGTGAAAAAGAAACAAAATCATTGAAGGAAGCATGGACTGTGATTGAACAACATACCGACAAGTTTGATGTATCAACTCTCAAAGTGGAGCTCTCAAAGGAAATACATGAGTTAATAATATGGAGTTCATGCACACCAGGAGACTCCATACAAATATTTTGGGAACCTTTCTGAAATTTCATAATAGTCACACAAATGACAGTCTCTCATAAATGATGAAAAAAAATAATTCAACAATTGAAGCATAACCAACCTTAAATTTTAAGTTCATCCGAAAACCATTCGGTTGGACTAGATAAGCATCTGCATCATGGCTAGAGACTACCCTAACCAAGTAACCTTTCTGGAAAAAATTGACCTCTTCAACATCCTCCACCCCAACACCCACATTTTTTACGTTCTGTTCCCAGCACCACGTATCTTCTCCAGATAAGACTCTGGGAGAATGATTCTTGACCTGAATGAATTATAGAAACAATTGAAAAAGGACATCTTAAAGACTAGAAATCAAGAGGGATGAACTCCCCCAGGGGCCATGATTGCTTATTTTAGACTATTGACAAAAATTATTGATCCTTGAATCAGTGTACAATAGTGCAATAGCTGCAAAGCTTGTCAGTTTTCAGTAAAATGCAGAAGCTAAAAACACTAAATTATGGAAGTAGTATGATAGTGTGTATAGCATGCCAAGTGAGCCATAAAGAAAACACTAAATGAGTCTACAACAAGCTTTAAGCCTACAAGGACACACATGATAATGCATGAAAATAAATGAAATTAAATGCAAAAGGATTACCTCAATTTTGTATTTCCCTGGAAGTATATTGGTAAAGGAAAATTTGCTGATTTGTTCACTTGAACTAATTGTCCTTCTCTCTTCTTTGCTTTTATCATCCAATCTCACAAGTGTAACAGAAACAGAAGATCCACATTTATCTTTGCAAACCACAGATCCATGAATACTTACTTGAGCCTAATTTTATTTTCAAACAGCAAGAACAGTATTAACGAATTTATATATGAGGCAGATACCAATCACAGGTCTGCTTTGGAAAATTGAATTGTAAGAATGCGTAATGGAATCAATATGACTTGATGGTATACACAGGAGATACATGAGAAAAAACTGAAAAGAGATGAGAATTATCAACAATTGAAGAAACCTCAATATTGAGAATTCATAAAAGCTAGAAAGCAATTTGACTCATTTCAGACAAATTCTTACCTGATAAAAATTGATATCCAGTAATGGTTTGTTAACGGTAACATCAATGTAGGGTGGAGAAAACAGAAGCTCTGGAGCACTCTCTGGTGTTGCGGCAAAAGCAGATAAGCGGTATTCACCAAGTGGAACCTGAGAAACATGAACACCACAGTTTCATGCAAATTAAAAACTTTAACTTCCAGTCCATGCTACATTTTTACTATTTATTCAGTGGAACTAAAAAAGAATGTAAAGCAAGCATCTATGATTTTCCATTCATTTTCAATTTAAAACTATATATTCATAAATAGGGGGAAGTATGAAATTTACTTCAAAGCAAAAGTTGCCACTGGCATCAGTTGGTTGAACTTGGGGTTTGGCTTTCCTTGGTCCATGAGTTAAGGCAACCTGGCATTCAAATAATATTATAAAATGCACTAAATTGAAGCACAGAAAGGAGATAACAGACAAACCCAGTTTCAGTAAAAAACAGTAAGCACATTCAAGTAAATGTAAAAAGGTAGATTGTATTTTGCAATTAAACTGTACCCCATACCCCAGCAAGTAAATATAACTAGGAGAAGCATATGCTTTGCAGTTGCAACCACCATCTAAACAAATTATGTTTTCCAGTTGTCTGTTTCACATCCCAGGGTACAATCAAAACACATCACCTCTGCAACTAAACAGTAAAATATTTGTTGGACTCAAGTCAATAGAAAATTCTTCGGGTTTGTTTGCTAGGGGTCTGAAATGGGTCTCGCAATATTCATCATATTTCCCACCCTCAAAAACATGACATCAAACACATTGTGATTTTAAATATTACATCAAAAACTCATTTTTCATTCAAAACATCACATTAATCACTTATTTACATCACATTAAAAACCTATGTCAATCCAATTTTTACTATTCCCAACCAAACCACATCCCAATAAACCCTTAGCTACTATAGTTTTTGTGGCTAACTCCAGAATGAATAAAAGAAACAAATCAAGTTCTGGATTAGTTTCTATGTTCTGGTCTTCTACACCAATATCAAGTGAACATTACAAAGCTAAACATACACAGTTCTGCTGATACTTGCAAAGAGGCATTTGGTGAATTACCTTAGCTTTGTAAGCAGAACTAATTGTCTGAACCACACCGCATACATCATATGATATAGCTTTAATATCAGTAATTGATGCCATGTTTGGTAATACCTGTGCAAAAGTCAGATTACGAACATATATCAGTGAACATCGAGTTAATATAATTTGAAATTTAATATGTATAGGCTTAATTGCTTTGCCTGTTGCCAATAATAATACGAGATTTGAGAAGGACTCACTAAGAAGTCACTAAGTCTTTCAAACTTATAGTGTTCCTTCCTGGCTTCCACATTATATCTTTTGGATGTAACCTGAAAATAATAGCCAGCAGTCACCTTAAAAACCAAAAGGATAAGTAAAAGTGAGGAAAAATGAGATTATATATTCTAGAGGGTAACAACTGGTTGCTTTTTCTTAAATGATGGGGATAACAAAATGCTGAACGTATATTTAGTACTCCTGCCCGGTAATTTTAGCCCATTTTGGGTCGAAAAGATTAAGAAATTTGAATATTTTATTGAAAAGTGTAAAGTAGTTGGAGGTATTTATGAAAATTTAAAGGAAATGAAGAAAGAGAAGGTAAATAATGTATAATAATGATAGTGACATTTGTTGTCAATAAATATTGAATAAAAGGTAATAGTTAAATGTTGATATTTTGACTTTGCCAAAATTAGTAATGGAATAAGTTTCACAGACAGGCGAAAATAAGAAGTGAGAATAAATTTGGCTTACGGATAGAGTAGTTTGGGTTACGAGATGAATTGATGCTTTTTGGGCTGACTTATTGACACAACATTGCAAGCTAATTCATCCGTGATGATCTCATATTACCCGTTAGCTTTTCTCACTTAGTTACTGACTAATAGTCACCTTTCAACAACACTCTTTTCCTATAATCGATAATAAATCTACGGTCTATTTACATATCCAAACACCACAAGCACGTAAGATGAGTTGTTCCTATATAGTTGAGATCACAAATTACCTGATCAAGTTTGTAATAACCATCTTTATCAGTTATAGATCTTTCATGCCCGTCCACTATAATTTTTGCACCATCAACTCCAATTCCACTACCATCAACCGCACGACCGCCAACAGAAAATCCAGTAACCTTTAGCATCAATATGAAAGATGATTAACATTCAAATATAACAACTGTAAACCATTGTGATTCTCTTCTCAGATGAAATGGATCAAACACCCAAATTTATTGAACTCTCTATGTAATGCTTCGATCTTACTGATAATAAAATCATATCTTTCTTTAAATAATATAAAATAAAATAAAATAAAAAAACAAAACAAAACAAAACAATAATAATAATAATAACTGTAGAGTTAAAACAATCAAAGACATGGAAAATTACAACGAACTAATTATTATAGCATACGAGCCTTTGCAAGCAAAGTGGTAGTTCAAACACACAACATGAAACTTTTCAAACAAAAAACAAGAATAGTGTCAACTAGTAGGAAGGTCATAAAATACAGGAGCAACCTATTTTGCAGAAGTTAATTGTAAGAAAAATGAACATGTAACTTCAATAGTTTTATATTACATCTTGTTGTCAAATGAGAGAAACCAGGAATCCAGAAGCATTTTCATATTTATTTTACTACAATATTGAAGCAATCCCAGCTTGAACTGAGTGTGGCTGCTACATTAACAAAGCAAGCAAGCAAAGCCATACCTGAAACCTTTGAGAGATTACAGCATGATCGTGCTGAACGGAAATCAGCATTGAAGGAGGTGAAACATCAAAAATCGTATTTTCACCCTTGTAAAAAGGTATGAGCTTGTAGATCCCTAACATATATATCACCAATCATTAGATAAAAATAATTGACATATCTGCAACTAAGCAAAAGGGTTGGGAAAGGCTCAGACTTCTATTGCATAGGAAACTCATCAAGGTTTAGGCAGACAATCATGAGGTTCTGCAAGTGTTCAAATGATTTTACCCAAAGCCACAAAAGCAGATTGTTTCCAGGAACGTGTATTTAAAGATTAAGGAAAAGGATAGTGGCCTAGCTGCTTATCTCATGAGTAATATTACCTCCGCCATTCAATTGTGTGCTCAAATGTTTAGGAACAGATGTTAATAAAAATAAGTAATAATCATTACTTTCTACATTTTATAGTTAAAAAGTACAAAAAAAAAAAAAAAAAATAGATTTTTTGGCCAAAAAATGAAAATGGGCATAGATGTGGACGGCAGACGGAGTAATATGTTTGAAATGTATATACATAATTATGTTTCTCAACAGATTTCCATGTGCAATAACCTTGAAAATACAAGACTAGCACTTCAGATGCATGTCCAGTACCATAATTCATCTTATAGAAATCAGACAAGCAACACATAATGAAATCAGTATAAACAGACTAAAATAAGAGATATATATTTATATATAAAAGAAGGATGCTATGCCAAACACCTGAACCTCATAAGGTGAATAACACAACCCTAATAACACAATACTAGCATTTCATTTAGAGCCAAAAACTGATCAGAAGCCAAATAAACAGTATGAATTCAAGGAAAAAAAACGTAATTAGTAGCCAAGAAAGGCAAATGACTAACCGGGGCAAAAAAAATTTGTTGCACAAGTGCAAAGAAGTTATACCAAAATAACAAAACTAGGCCAGCGATAACTACATGGGACATTTATAAACATGGATGGCCCAAATTTAAACCTTGAAGGTTAAAATAACATAAGATATGTTCTTCATATATGTCCTCTATATTTAAATTTAATGCTACACAGTAAATAGTTGAGGCAGCCCACTTTATAACCCTGCATGCAAATCTGTAAAAAGCATAAAAGAGTGAAGAATTGAACCATACCACATGGGATTGATGTAAACTCAAACATCCCATCAGCATCTGATACAGCATGACAAAGAGCTGTCCCCATCCCAAGCAAATTGTCAGAGTCATGGGAACAATTCACCTCCAAGGCATCATCTGAATTTAAATAGAAATGAACTCCCAATATGGGGTTGCCCTATCATGTCACATCACAGAACATTAGACCTGTTTGTTTTAGGAATTTAACATAGTGACAGAGCAATAAACTCCTAAATTACAGACACTAATAGAAGTGATGACAGAATCCTTATTGAATATGAAGTGGTGGATTGTCTTGAACTTAGCCATATCGGTTGCTGTGTTCTCCAATTCAAATATTTTTCTAGTCCAATTTATTTTTGGTCTGATGCGAGGAGATGTCATATCACACTTGCATAAGCTTAATACAATACATTCAATCAAAAGTCAAAACACATCTAAGTAGTATTGAAGTGCGTGAATATTAAATGGACTCCAACAATTTAAAAAAGAAGATATACTAAATTGGAAAATAGCAAGATTTACCTGGGCAACCACAAAGCCACGAATATTGTAGCCAGATGCAAAGAAAATGTCACCTACCACACCATTTCCAAATTCTAATTGCACCTGCACATAAAGATGATTTCAATCTATAGTATCACATAAGAGTTGAGGAGGAAAAAAAGAAAATTAGGAATGGCCTAAGAGAAGATTGATATATTATATATTTGTGATAAAAGTGAGCTGGAAAAAATTATTCGAGGAGGTACCTCTTCAGAACCCTTGACCTTGATATGTAAATCATGACGTGAAGCCCTTATCTTGTACTTCCCTAGCCCAAGTAGAGATATTGTCAAGGTAGAATAAAGTTTGGTAAGGATAACTTTCAATTGAGTAAGGTAAATGGATAAACATCTAGAAACTGCCAAATAAATACAAATCATCACAAACATCAAATTTACTTTCCTCCTCAGAGGTACATTGCTTTTCCTATAAAAAAAAGAGAGTTCTAGCACCCAGAGGTACCTACATTTGCTAGATTGTACTTTACTTCTTTCTAAGTAGATTCAACAAAGTGTCATTTTTTTTTTGTTTTTTTTTTTTGGGGGGGGGGGGGGGGGGGGGGGGGGGGGGGGAGAGGGGGTTAAATATATCTAAATTAAAGCATAGGAGGGATACAACAAAGGCAGCTGGAACAAGGCCCATTAAAGCACAACAAAAAGATAGAGAAGAAAGAAAGCATGGGCCCTAAATCCTACAACCACACTAGTAGAGAGGTGTTTCCACTTGCTCCATACTTTGCAAAGATATCAGCCAAACCATTAGCAGTTTGAGAAATGTGGCAAAAGATGATGAAGGGGCAATTGAAAATGCAGGGGCAGAGCTTGTTAATGTTGTAGTTAAGTTTCCAATGGAGCGCGGTGCCAGGAACTCAACCAACAGCATTTTTTATTTTCTTCCCATAATAATTTGAGGTAGTGGGCCAATTTGAGATGAAGTAATATATTCAAGAACTTTGTGGCCATGAGTTCAACTACATTTGAGTCAGCTGTCCCAATATGTTTTGAAAGATCAAGGCTACAAAAGCTAATTCCACCTTCAAAGAAAAGCTATAATAGTAGAATCCTGAGAGAGACCTAACAATATTCAAAGCATCCTTGCGATCCTTGAAATGAAAAATATATTTGTGGTCTTATTGTTGGAAGTGAGCTGGGATAAAGTTGCAAAGACAGTGGCTGAGTTGTTGAATAATTACCGCAAGTCTTTGTCACTGCTTTAAGTACAGATATCACCCACATATACGAAGATTAACTTCTCAACCCAACGGAAGTCTTCCCTCCTATGTTTAGGTTTGTTGTCCTTAGGGGTGGACAAAAAAATCGAACCAAACCGCCGAACTGCTGAAACGAACTGAATAGAATTTTTGGTTAACCGAGCAAATTCGGTTCGAATACAAATACTGCATATTTGATATTTGTTCGGTTTGGTTCGATTTCGATTTTTGATATTTTTTCGATTCAGTTAACCGAAACGAATATATTTATATATTTATATTTTAAAATTTATATTAATAATTATATTCAGTTCGATTTCGATTCAATTTTGGTTTGTATATTTGAAATATTTGCAAATATTTTCATTTAATTAGAATTTTAATTCTTTTTAATATATATTTTTTTTAATTTCGGTTCAGTTCGAATTATTTGCAAACACTTTCGGTTAACCGAAAATTTCGGTTTTCAATTCGAATTCGGTTCGCAATTTCGGGTATTTGTTCGGTTTGGTTCAATTCGGATATCAAATACCTGCATATTTACAAATATCCGAACCGTGCCCACCCCTAACTGTCTTTAGTAGAGTTAAGACCAACAGGAAAGGCTCTGGAATGGGAACAACAGAGATTTACAGACATCAGAAGAAAATCACCTATGGGGATGCGCGGGGAAAAATGGAGAAACAGATTTCAACTGAAGTAATATCTAAGGAAAGGCTGGTTGGAAAAAGACTATAATGGAAATAAAGGCAGATGCAGTGGTGCTGAAGGACCTTCAGGCAGAATTGGAGGTGCAGTATGGTGGGAGGGTGACCAGTGATGGGAAGACATCTGCAGGAGAGAAATCCATGTCTTTTATATGAGTTATGCTATGTAGAGATAATTAGATTATTGTTTTGAGTTAGGAAATCATTTATGTAAATATTAAAGAAACACATGAGCATATCCTCCAAGTTTGGAACACATTGATAGAAGCAGTGAAGAACTTGAGGTTTTAATAAGACCTGGAATGATATTTTTGAATGAATAACTTCCATTTGACGTTGTTGAGACTGAAGAGACAACATCTCCATGGGGAGACAAAAGCTCCACTTTAACATTTGATGGACCACCACTTCTATGTAAACAGCTATCACCGGAAGCAGCTCCCACAACTCTTCCAGCAAAGGTGAACCTGCAAAAGCAGTAAGAGAATGCATATAAATTGTGTAAAGCAGTACTTCGCGGGTATAGAGAGGAAATGATGTGCTTAGAGAATTTGAACACTGACCCGGTAAACTGAAAATTTATGTCTTCATTTGCATTACAACCAGATTCATCAACTACCACAGGAACCTAAAAATGAACTCAATGGTCAGGATATGTCTCAAAGACAAATAGAGCATGTTATCAAAGAAACTCAACCTGTTCCGGGGCACAAGTCCATCCTTCAGGTCCCTTGATTTTAATTACATAGGAACCCTGTGAACAAGATGAAAGCATCGCTTTCAGAAAGCATCCATTTGTACATGTGGAGATCTCACAATGACATTTTAAAAAAAAAAAAAAAGAAAAAGATAAAATAATGTGGGATGTAAAAGTGATGTACCACCCTAAATGCAACATGCCATTGTAACATTCATCAATCAATGAGAATTTCACTTTGCAAACGAAAAATATATGTGTATATATTCCAAGTGCAGTTTAGACCAATTCGTCTGTGAAGGTGTCTGCGGAGGTTTCAAACTATTATTCCAGACCTTAAGGTATGTATTCCCCAGGAAACAAATTAATCTAAACAGTTCCATAGTCTTAAGTGAAAATTGCAACCTAACTTCCGAGTTCCGAACTAGAAATGCAGCAACTGTAACATGCCACATCAGAAGTTGCCTTTTACATTTGACCCTTATGCTGGTTTGGTCAAACAAGGAGGTCATATAGACAGGCTATAATGATGCTAAACTTCAATATAATGTATTATAGGCTAAATATCTACAAGTTTCAATAGAACAGAGTGATAAACTTACCTTGTCATACACCGGAATAAAGTAGTAGCCATTTGGAGCACATTGTGTCCTCTCTTTAACTAAGCCATCCAATGTTTGAAGTTCTACCTGGGTCATTAAACCAGTATTAGCACATTCACTCTTGACAATATTACAAATTAAAAATATTAGAATAAATGATATAATATGATAAATATGGTCTTAAAGTTAATCATGCATTCTTGAACCTATTATTATTAAATTAAAACTTAACCAATGCCAACTAAAAGTAAACAGTAAGAAATTCTATAATTTATCATGCACTTTCAGAACTAATTATGATCATACAACTAGTTTCGCACCATAACATGAGAGTAATCCAACTTTGCATCAGCTGGCTTCCTTGACTTTATCAATGCTGAACTCGCCTGCGGAATAACAGGTGATTTGTCACTTACACGTCGATTATTTACAATAAGAGTTCTATTAAGTTACTAAACAACAGAAAATAAAGTAAAAGTTTAAGAACTCATGTTTATAGTGACTTCTTACATTAGAAGTTTGAGAAGTTTAGTCAAGAAGTAAAATAACGATGAGATAAGTCATTTATACCACCTCAACAAATCCACCGCATCCCTTTATAGAATCAGCAATCGCGAATCGAGTAATGTGAAGAAGTACGATTGCAACGAAGAAAGCATAGTTCGTTGAAGTCATCGTATGTCGTATCGATGCGATCAGAAATCAAGAGGAGAGGCGCACAAAGGCCTCAGATCGCAGCTGCGCCGATTTTGGCGTTCGGTGCTACCACTCGACCTGTTTGTCGTGGGCTTCCCTCCTACAGTATAGGCCTAGTGGCGCATATTTATGCACATCTTTCGTGCGGCCCACGTTACAATTGCAACGTTACTGCCCGGTCAAGTTCTCCAAATGGGCCGAACCAGTCTGGAACTGTTCAAATTTGGCCCGTTTGAAAACGAAATCATTTGAAAATATTAACATAGCAATCCTGTCAATAAAAATTATATTTATGGCAACGTTTATTTAACTCCTTAATTCTAAAATTAAATTATCATTTATTTGATAAGATTCCATGGAATTTGAATTTTAAAATCTTATGAAATTCATATTTGATTAAGAAAAAATATTGTTTGATTTTAATATCAACAATAACTAATTACAATAATAGTCATTCGAAAAAAATGGCCACAATTAACATAAACTTACAAAAATTTCGAAAACAAAAATTATAATAATACAAAATAAAATAAAAATACACACGGATCATATACATACTACATAATATTTATATTAAAAATATTAATTTTAATCAAATAAAGTATAGATAAGGACTTTAAATGTCATATAAAAATATTGATTATTAGATAAAAAATAATCTCAAATAAATATAAAGATGTCAATATCATTTGTTAAGTTCTTTTTTTCATAATGTACAAAGTACAAATAAAAACGTAAATTGATTTTATATACAATTAAACATAATAGTTGGATTGTAAAAAAAAAAAAAAAAAAAGCATAAAAAAATACTTTCTCATTCAAAAGTATGATTAAAATAGCGAATAAGTATTTAAAATATTTATAAAAATATTTATTATCATATAAAAAAGTATTTTAAATAAATATCAAAAATACGAACATTCATTTAACAAAATATAATTCTAATATAAAAAAGTACAAACGACAACTAAATATTTGACTAGCAAAATATAATTCTAATATAAAAAAGTACAAACGACAACTAAACTTTTATCAAGTCAATGTAATGTTTTGTTCCAATAATCTACAATGTAATACAATCCTTATAAATTCATCAATATATATTGTTCATGTATACCTATGCAGTTGGTATTATTGCTTAGAATTTAAGATGTTATAATAGAAAAAATGAGTCTTATTAATAATAATACATTTGAATGACAATTGCAGAAATATATTACACTCAATCTTGATAATATTATTATGTAATAAGTCAATTGATTTAATAATGAAAATTCACACTATAATAAGTAAATAAAAAATTACATACAACCCTTAAAATGTAATACAATATATATTTATAGAGAAACAATGGCCTCAGTCGAATAAAATATATGTAAAATAATAAACAAATTTTAAAATATTTTGCAAAGTATTAGATGTACCATAAAAAAAGTATTTAAATGAATTCAAAAGGTATAAACCTTTATTTGAAAAAATATTTTTTTTAAGTATAAACAACAATTAAATTCATGTAACTTGATGCATAAAAAATCAAACATAACCAAAATTATCAGTTAAATTAAAAATATCATATATGTTTAGATGTTGAATCCAAATCAATATTAGAAACCATCTAGTTGTATGCGTAAAGTTGTTATTTGACTATGGTAGTTTAAGTTGACATTCGTATTAGCATCGGTGGTTGGAGGGAAGTTCAACATTAATTGTCATAAAAAATTTAAAAATAATAATAATAATGAAGAATGCAAATTTTAGATTGTCATGAGTGCCAACAATAGATATGTGAGCTTTGAGGTAGCTCGCAATATATGTTGAATGCGGGTGTCAGCGTCAAGAAAAATCAAAAGAGTTAAAAAAAATTTGGCTCTATACAACTAATTTAAATTTTACTTTTATAAGTTGTTACTTTATTTATTTAGGAATGCAATTTTTAGATTTCACCTAATAAATGATACCATCGTACCAGAATGTGATTGTGATCACGGAATGAAATACCATGTATATGATAACTATACATCAATAAAGATAACTCAAACTATAAAAAATCGATTATATACTTGTGGCAATTTTTAATGGGAAGATTGTCCAATATTGAAGATAAGAAAGACGATTCATGCCTCTAAGCCTTATTGAGAAAGGCAAGGCATAGACATACACAATGGAGAATAGCTAGGATACAATGAAGAGTTAACTACCCTCGACTTTGATAAATTTAAAATTGAATGTACTTAAAGAAATATGTATTAAAGCCAGCAACACACAAAGACTTAATAAATGGGCACAAAGAATCAAACCCACCAACATTTGACTTTACCAAAGACTCGAGAAAGCCCGACAGACTCGTAGTTATGAGATCATGGGTTTAAACCTTCAGCCTCTCTAAATCTTACCTCCTAGTGTGAATTGCCTTGTGGGATTTGATTTACATGTTATTAAATTCGACCGAAAATTTACCTAGAGCGCACCCAAATAGTAGCAGTTACAAATTCTCACGTTATTAAAAAAAAAATAAAAAAAAATCAAGAAATCAAATCAATTAAGCAAGGCTACACTAAAAGATATCATAGAGATGAGTAAAAAACATAAGTTAGTGGAAAATGTAGATTTTGAAAGTATAAAAGGTGTGTTTACTTGCAAGAGTTAAAAAATATTTTTGAAAGTAAACATAAGTTGGTGGAAAATTTTTTAAAAAAACGTAAGTTAGTGGAAAATGTAGTTTTGGGTTTTGATTTTGAATGGTAAAATTTTGAATTTAAATAGTTGTTTGATGTGATATAAATATGTGATGATGTGATGTTTTGAATGTAAAATTATATTTTAGTGTAGTAAAATAAATAAAAATTGGGTGTTTGATTCGATTGTTTTAGAGAAAAAAAAAAGTTAGAATAGTAAAATCAGGTGTAAAACCATAAGTAAAAACACCCTAAAGAGTTTATATTTAAAACATTATGTCAATATATATTTATATTATATCAAACAATTATTTCAGTTAAAATTTTATTATTTAAAACCAAAACAAAAACCTCTATATAAATATTCTATAAATTAGACTAAGCTAGCAATATTTCCCATTTTGCTAGATCGACAAGTTACATAACCAAACCCACTCTAAGACATCTTTGATCTATAATTCTATTTTTGCAAAGTTAAAAAATATTCTCGATATTATATCTTATATAATTTTTTATTTTTTTTAAAAAAAACACTCAATATTTTACTATGTTTATGCATTTAGCTTATAATATTTCCTTATTAACATTTTAAATATTATTCTGGTATACTATATTTATTCTTTTTATTATTTGATCATATAAAATAATTTATATATATATATTTAAGTTTTAAAAAATAAAAAGTTAATATTTTTAAAAATATTTATATGAAATATATAAAAAAATAAGCAATATTACTAAATATTGTATGTTTAATTTTATATTGTATTCTTAAATTTGTTTCTTATTTAATTTTACACGTTTTCTATAAACTAATTGTATTTATAGGAAAAAATAAATAATTTTGGTCATAATAAAATCTAAATATAACAATTTTAGTCCAATTAAAAAAAAATTATTAATTTTAGTTCCATCATAAATAATTTCAATCAAATTTGGTCATACCGTTCAAAAATTAACGAAAATTGTTGACGTGGACGTAACAAAGTTGATGTGGCAGCTGACCTGGAAACAACATGATGATGTATACATGACCATGTTAATTCTACACGGTTGTATACTTTTTTGTTTTGGTCTAAAATTCTATTATTTGCTATATATATTGTTTATTTTTAAATGAAAATAAATCTGTAATAGTTGATATAGTTAAAATTAAAAAATCAATAGTAAACTTAATATAATTAAAATGTATCAATTTTAGTTTAAATATAAAAATTTATCGGTATGTTCTTTTAGAAAATTTTGCTTTAAAATTCTACTATTAGCCAAAATTTTCTTTTCTACAAATATTCAATTATAGTATTATACAATTATTTTTTTATATTACATTAAAAATTAATTTTATATTTAAAACATTATAGACATAACGGGTTGATATGGTAACTCTGTAAACAACACAATCATATACAATTATACACATATATGTTGAAATTGTATTGAAATGTAAACATAATTTTTAAGATAATATAAAAAATAACAAAATTGGTGTTTAATTTGATGTTTGTGGAAGAAAAATTTTTGTTAAACAATAAAATTTTAGGCAAAGTCTTCTAAAAGAATATACCGATGAATTTTTTTATATTGAAACAAAAATTTATACATTTTAATTATATTAGAATTATTATTGTTTTTTTTTTCATTTTAACTATAACAACTATTCTAAATTCAAAATATTTATTTTTATTTTTTAAAAATATAACAAAAAAAAAGAGACTAAAATGGAAAGATACACGGTCGTGTAGAATTAAACATGGTCGTGTATAATTAAACATGGTCGTGTATAATTGTACACTGAATTATACATTGTCGTGTGACAACATGACCGCGTATAATTGTACATGGTCGTGATGTTTTCAAGTTAGCTATCACGTCAATCCCATTACGTCCAGTCAACGTCAACAATTATCGTTAGTTTTTGAACAATGAGATCAAAATTGATTAAAATTGTTTATAATGGGATAATTTTTTTTTTATATTTGACAAAATTGATATATTTTAGTAATATTGAGACCAAAATTAATTATTTTTCCTATTTTTTATTTATAAATATTATAATAATTTTAATTTAATATAAATAATTTATAATTATTTTATCATATTTAATTAATTATAAATTTCAATAAATATTAAATAAATAAATAATTATCATAAATATCAATTACTCTACATAAATTTTTATTTTTATTTTTTCGTCCGAAAGATTACTTATTTTTTTCCAGTCAATTTATCAAATATTAAATATACTTATAGATATAAACTAATTTAATTAAATTTATAATTTATTCTACAATTCAATATGCCTATACCTAACATTAAAAAAAATTTATTTACAACAATTTCACAAAACAAGCACACCTTTATTCCCTACAATATGATATATATTATATACATTGTATTGAGATATTCTTTTCGTCCCAATTCAAAGTATCATTTTTATCATTTTCGTCCGTCTCACTCCAAAGTATAACTTATACACTAATGTCAAAATACCCTCAACTTTTATCTAAATTACAAACATACAATTACACATATAATTACTTTTTCTATAAAGTCAATAGGGTTCCTAACTAATAAAATACTCTTATTTCTTAATCTACTAAAAAAAAACCCCCAAAAGCTCATTTGGAAATATTAAAAAATATTTAAATACTTTTTTAAAAAAAAAAATTATTGTAATAATTAAATAACTCACATCCACTTTTTAAATAACTAATTTATACGATGTCGGTTCTCATGCCCAAAACAAAAGATCCACGAATGGAGTACAAAATTACTACTCCCTATATTTCATATCTATTTATCTATTTACTGTTTGCACATAATTTTAAAAAATATTAGTATTATATTGAAATGTAATAAGAATAAAGTAAAAATGACTAAAATAAAGTATTGTTAATATAAATGTAATAATATTTGTGTAATATATTGTAAATTGTAAGAGTTTTTTAATATTAGTTAAATAGTAAAAAGAAATAGATATGAGAATAGATAATTTATTAAGAGACTGAGTATACAAATAAATTATTTTATAAATAATAAAATAAAAAATTAAATTAAATTAAAAGACAACAAAAATTGTAAATGTAAAACAAATTTGAATTATGTATGTCTTTTTAAATCAATCTTTTAAAATTTTATTTTATTTTTAAATTTTAAAATCTGTACTCTGTCTAATTTTTTTTTACAGCATATTTTATTAAGTATTATTTTAAAATAAAATTCAAATTACAATTGCCAAATTCAATCCAAAAAACACCCTATGTATCCTTATCCAACAACGCAAAAAATTCCGCACTCGCAGAGCCCCGCCTTCCCACCTGAATCCATCATCTACCCTGAGCACGGAAACATGCTGGGGAAAGTGCTGGATGTAGGAGCTGATGGGGTAGCCGTTATAACAATCCACAACCCACCTCTCAATCTGCTATCCGTTGACGGTATCCTCTGCTCTGATTGACTTTTTTTTTTCTTTTGGTTGCGGAAAATTCACGACTGCTGCCTCCCGTAGGCTCAGTTCACCGTTATGATCTTTACCCTATTTATGTCGACGCGTTTTATTACCACTCAGACATATTATGAATGGTGTTTTGCATTCTCACTCACGTCTCATGGAGCTAAGGCGGATATTGCGAAGGATCTATCTGATACTTACTGTTAGGGTGTGTTTGTTTGGGAGTGGATTTTGAGTTGGAATTTGAATAGTAAAAGGGTTTATGGGGATTTTTAGCTCCCGGCATATTAGTGAAATTTGCTCTCTAACTGATAGCGGATTTTACTTTATTTACTATTTATTATTATTTTAGATACCATTGCCAAGTCAGTATTTGGTGTTCTTGGTGGAAAAATGCGTAATTTCCTTGATATGTGATTGTTTGTGAGTTCTATTGTGATTAACAATGAAGAGGTGACTGCACAAATTAATTGTTTTTCTCCTTGGGCTGTGAGTGGGATAGGAGCCCGAGCACTGCTAATTTTGGACTCGGAATAGGATAGGAACCTTATAAGCTCATGCTTCTCCTGGGGTTGTGAATAGGGTAGGAACCTGATAAGACGAGTTGTTTTGAAGATGTGGGTTTCAATATGGAACTTGAAATCTGGACAGACCAAACAAGCCTGACTGAATTTTCTTGCTAGTTTCCAGTTAACATGCCATAAACTAACAATAATTTTTCGTTAACTGAGTGGGACAATATTATTCTATTTCCCCCTCATGTGAATCTAATAATCTCTCTCTGCATGTACCATGTCATTTCCTAGTGATGGTGAGCTTAAAAGAGAATATTGAAATAGCCCTATTCAGAGATGATGTGAAAGCCATTGTAATTACTGGTAAAACTTAAGATTCTCTAATTTATGATGTTGGACAATGATGCCATTGTGAGTCTAATGCACCTGTCAACCAAACAGGTTTAAAAGGAAAGTTTTCTGCAGGATTTGATGTAACGGCCTTTGGTGGTGTTCAAGAGATAAAATGTGAGTTCTCTAATATGTGTATCATCTTGGCTAAGAAATCTGATGATTTTACAATATTGTAAACACGATAAGTCTGCAACAGCAAAAAGGGAGCTTGGGTTTATGTCAATTCAGTTTCTTACAGACACTTTGGAAGGTATTTCCTCACGGTGGTTTCTACTCTGTTGGAAGACCTTTTGCTATTCCCTTATTCACTGTTACTTTGTTCATTGCAGCTGCGAGAAAGCCTTTTGTAGCTGCTATTGAGGGGCCTGCTTTTGGTGGGGGATTGGAGATTGCCCTTGTACCTATCCTGATTTGATTCTGTAGCTTTGTATTATTACTTCTCTATTTTAAGAATGATTTTATCCGGGTGCTATTATCTTTGTTCTTGGTGGTTTTTATTCTTTTTCAGGCATGCCACGCTCGCATATCAACACCCTCTGCGCAATTAGGCCTTACTGAGCTTCAGTACGGAATTCTTCCTGGACTTGGAGGTACTGCATTGTTTAATAACTTGCCATAATTGATCTAATATTTTGCCATAATTGATCCTGATTTTGCATTTAAGGTGATCTTAAAATATTATAGATATAATATTCTTGAGTCATACATATAAAAATTTAGCTGATGTTAAAAATACTTGCTTAGTTTAGTATTTACCTGTCACTGTATCTTCTTTAGCCTATATTGGGATAAGCTGATCTAAGTAGGGTGTGTTTGTTTGGAGGATTGGATTTAAATTCAACTATTCATCCAATTTTTCCCCCCAAAAATATCAAATCAAACACCTATTTTTCATTTTTTATATTATACTAAAAATCAATTTTACATTCAAAATATCACATCAACACCTATTTATATCACATCATACAACTATTCAAATTCAAAATTTTTACTATTCAAATCCCAATCCAAAATCCAAACCCCCAAACAAACACACCCGTAATAAATGTTTTATATCTGGCCATATGTCCAGTTTCTTTTAGGCCAATGGCTGTTGGATATATTAGAAATGATTGTTGATTGAGTTCAGTGATTCACATACAAGCTTATCAATTACTGAATGGGAGGATGAGAGGTTATAGTTGATGGAAGTTCACATTGACAGTGTGCTTGTGAGTCCTGTTCATGAAAGGCCTTGATAAAGGGAGAAGAAAAGTGAAGATTGATAATATCAATTTGAATAAACTAGGAAAGATAAGGGACACCACAACAGTTAACTACAAATTTTGTTTTAATAGATCCCCTTATATGCTTGTTGAAACAAAGAAGTTGAATTTTAGCTCAAATTTACCTAGTCACGTGTTGACAGTTCATGTGATCTTATCCTTTAGTATTGATATTAGCATGCTCTTTGCTTCAGGGACGCAAAGACTTCCACGGCTTGTGGGCCTTCCTACAGCCCTTGAAATGATTTTGGTGTGTGACCCTTGTGTTTTGCCCTCTTTCAATTATTGTTATGGATATCATAATGTTGTCCTCTGTAAAATCAGATGTCAAAGCGAGTTAATGGGAAGGAGGCTCAAAGTTTGTCCCTTGTGGATGCCTTAGCTCCCGGAGACAAACTTCTTGAAGTGGCTCAGCAATGGGCTTTGGATATTGTAGAGGGTAGAAGACCGTGGGTAGTCAGTCTCTATAAAACTGACAAATTAATACCGCTGGAAGAAGCTAGGCATATGCTAAATTCAGCACGATTTGAAATTCAGAAACAAAATCCACATGTAATGCACCCACTAGTATGTATTGATGTCATTGAAGAGGGCATTATTTCAGACCCTCGAAATGCACTATGGAAGGTATGTAGTGTCACTCTTTTTCCCTGGCAATGAAGTGCGCAGAATGCTGTATTATATAATTGGCCTTCTGCTGTCAGGAAGTAGAAGCTCTCCAGGAACTCCGACAATCTAGTACATGCAGGAGCCTTATCCATGTATTTTTTGCTCAACGTCAAATTATGAAGGTTATGCCCTGAAAACTTTTCTTAAACTCAATCTTTGTTAAGAATTTAATATTGATGTACATAAGTGTTAAGCAAGTGATGACATTACTTTTAGCATCATAGCAGACCATATCTCATGCAGTTATGAAACTGATAAACAGAATTCACTAACCTCAGTGTTCTAAAGTATCTTAAGAATAAAGTGAGGCTACATGCATTAGCTCTAAATCGAGACCACAATATATTATCCTTGTTTCTGAGCTTGTTGGCAGCAAGCACGTAGTTTTCTATGTAAATGAAGGAATCCAGAAATTTAATGCCTACGTTCATCTTCTTCCCACTATTGTAGAGTAGATATACTGAAGATGACAAGTGAGTCATCATCTTCTTGCATCATCTGGTACTGGGTTTCAGGTGCCTGGAGTTCCTAAGAAGAATTTGCTTCCAAGAAAAATAGTCAATGTTGCTGTTATCGGCGGTGGATTGATGAGCTCTGAAATAGCGACAATGTTAGTTCTAAGCCATTACCAAGTTATACTGAAAGAGAGGAACAAGGAAAATATGTTAGATGATATAAACAGAATCAAAAGTAAGGCTGAATCATTATTTCTGAAGTAATCTCTGTGAAAGGATTCATATTTTTGATTTACTGTCTTTCTATGCCAGGAAATTTGTCAAATTATGTCAAGAATGGGAAGGCAACTCAAGAGGACCTTGAGAGAGCTGTTGTTCTATTAAAAGGTGTTCTTGATTATGACAACTTTGAAGAAGTTGATTTAGTTATAGAGGTACTCCACACATAGAATTCAGCTCACCATTTAGCTTATTTTTATGTTATTTTGTTTCTTCTTATTTGAACAGGTAACTTTCTCATATTCTGTGCAAATGTTGTATAGGCAAGTAGAGTGATGATACTTGCCGTAAACCTAGATTCAAAATAATTATCTTTTGGGGTTTGTCTGGCTTTACTATGTTGAAGTTGGTTCGCAATGTCTCAATTATATCAGAGCTAAGTGGAGATTATCACATAACCTTGTAGAAGTTTTTTCAAGTAATTTAACTTAAAATGGAAAGGTCATTTGTCAAGGAGTTCTCACTGACATTTGTACCTTTTCTGTATCCACTGTGAAAATTTTATAAATATGGTCAATGTGTTCTAAAATAGTTTCTGAACTTTCCCTGATACTCTTCTGGTGATCTATAATTTGGCAGGTTGGATCTGAGGATTTGTCACTGAAGGAAGGAATTTTTTCTGATCTTGAGAAGTTCTGTAATCCACACTGCATTTTTGCCAGTGATAGCTCAACTTTCAGTTCAATACTGATTGGAGAAAGAACCAAATCCCTAGGTCGTCTAGCTCAAATCAACTTTTTCTGGTAATATAAGGAGGCATTGAAGAAATTTATTTTCACTGCACGAGTTTGTTTTGAATTCTTCCTCACACTTTGGGTGCAGCCTGTCTCCTCTCATGCCTCTTATGGAATTAAACTATATGGAAAATACATCACCACAAGTAATTGCTGATCTGATTGATTTTGGAAGAAAATTGAGGAAAACTCCTGTTGTAGTTAGTCACTGCAAGAGAAATGCAGTGAACAGAGTACTTGTTACATATTTGCATGCAGCAATACTACTTACAGAAGGAGGTGTAGATTTTTACCAAATTGATCGGGCTCTTGAAAGCTTTGGAATGAAGATGGGTCCATTTAGGTATGATTTAATATCACGAACTGAATAGATGTGTGCTAATATCCTGCATTGATATTTCAATCTTTAACTTATGGAGCATCAACATCTCTAGATTTTAAAAAGAAAATGCAAACAAGTGTATAACTTTCTTTCTAATGTAAATTTAAACAATGTTATGCTGTATTTGGAAATCTGGGTCTAGTAATAGATGCTGAGCAGCTTCTAGATTTGTAACTTATCTAATCCACATCTACGGCCAATGAATTTCCTGCAGATTAATTGATGTGGTTGGATTTCATGCTTTTGCCTTTACTAGTCAAAATATTGTTGAAGGTCTTCCAGACAGATCCTACAAACCTAAACTGATACAATTCTTACTGCAGAATGGCCATGACGGTAACTTGTTAACCTTATTTACTTCTTTGTATGTGTGAGATCAATCTTATTTAACTCAACTTCGGTGGTTATGTCAGGTGAATGTAATGGTAAGGGTTTTTACAAATATGACAACTGTAGTAACTGTATACCAGATCCTGAATTACGGAAAAAAACAGGCAATTCAAGGTTGAATATGTTGAATGCGACTATTGACTGCAAGGTCTCTCTCTCTCTCTCTCTGTACGCACATGTGTGTATGCTGGAGTACATCTGTGTAGTAGCCCATTATATATGTTTGTGTAGGCACCAATTAGGGACAACTTTATCTGTTGCTTGTGTTTTTAGCTTTCATATAAGCAAACATTACTATAAAGCTTGGTCTATTAATGGTCTCTACTGCCAGTAGTCATGCATGCACCGATTGATGGTGTACAATGCCCCATCCTGATGATTTTAGTATAGAGATGGTCTGGCCTGAAAACTGTGCTCTCATTTGGCTTTCGCTTTGGAGCGTGTAAGCCATTCGTAAACTAACAGTAATTATTTGACCTGTACATGGTTCAAGGAACAATCAAGAGCAGAATTCATGCATTTTACTCTTTGTATGTGTGAAAGAGCATAAAGAATGCGAACAAGGGAACTGCCATTTGTTTATTCTTGTTCTCTCATGCCCACATGTTCTCCCACAATGGGCTGTTAGCACCTTGTGCGTGTGTGTGTGTTTTTCCCTGCCATTTTGGTGGCACCATCAATTACTGAGCTCCGTGGGGATCAATCAACAACAGTCCGCATGAGTGACTCGTTTGGGTTGAATGTTGAGAAAACTAGCTTCTTTTCCATTTGCTTCCCCTACTTCTCTGACAATATTTTGTATGTTTATATTTACACATTGGACTGGTGCAGCTAAGAGACCTGTCTGATAGCGAGATGGTTGAGATGATCCTATTTCCTGCAATAAATGAAGCGTGCCAAATAATTTCAGAGGGCATCATAACCAGATCATCTGATCTAGATGTTGCATCTATATTGGGAATGGGATTTCCAGCTTTCAGGTTTGCAAATTCTCCTCTTTTCATTTCTTATTTTTATCTTTTTAACTGATCAGATTCTCTCTCACCTGCATCACCTGAACCAGGGGAGGAATCATGTACTGGTCTGATTCATTTTGTTCTAGTTATATACATTCAAAGTTGGAGGGCTGGTCGATCGAATATGGGGATTTTTTTAAGCCTTACAATTCTTTAGCTGAGCGATCTTCGAAGAAGATATCATTGGTGAGTAGATATACCATAACTTATAAGCTAGGTTGAGCGAACCTGCTCCTTTCTGACAATTCAACACTATAATTATAAAATCTTAGTATAGTTACCACCTGGCAACATTATTTTATTTGTTGCCCTTGATAAAATCTGAAAATTTTGAATGGCATTGAGAGCATAAGCTGCATTTTAGGCAAATTTGAACGGAGTTTGATAAACTTTTAACAAGTTGATAACTGCTGAAGCTTACCTATGACTATATTGGCTGGTTAATGTGGTCTTTGTGTTGTAACTACATTAATCTCTGCACCCTTCCGCTGAATAATGTTTTGAAGGTCCAAGAAAGAAGGTGGCAGCCGAAGTCCCAGATGTAACCATGATTGAATACATAGGGGTCAGTCCAGAAGACTCCATCATGTAGAGAGCAGCTGAAGTTCAATACTAGCTCCTTGCTTGCCTGTATGTCTCTCAGCTTTGAGCATTCCAAATATTATGCAAAGTGCATATGTAACTTCCATTTTTAGTTGACACGTATTTGTGTAATCCCAATAACATGCATGCTATATGCTGGCAGAGTAGGCGTAATTAATGTTGTATCCTACTGTTTTAATGTGATAAATTGCCCACACGCTGATTGTTATTTGCTTCGGGACGCTCGGGAGTAGACTATCAGATCCTTCATACAAGGCTGATATGAATATGGATAATATGATGAATATGCAGGTGGAAGGCAAGAATTCTTAGGCGGAGTCGAGAATTCCTGGGACTCAATGAAGTGTGTATGGACATCTAGTCATTAGGCTCCATGACATAGAATTGACAGGCCTTTGAATCCTTAGCGTGTCCAATGAATATGCAATCAATCATTTTCCTTTCCATGTAATGTTTTTCTTTTAGTTCATAAACTTTCACAATTGTCCAATAACCCCAACACTGGAAAAGTTAGATGGTTTCTTGTACCATAACTTGTAAGGAGTGTCTTGTTCCTTTTGTTAGGGACTCAATTTAATAAATAACATGCTGTTATACGGCTTCTCTCCAAAATCCTTTGTTTAACACAACATAGACATCATGAAGTCAACTAGGATGTGGCCGTCTAAGAGCATGTGTAATGAGCTTTTATCTCCGAGCATCTTCTTTTATGTATGTTTGAAGATTAAAAATATTATTCATTTTTGTCCAGATACAAAGTTGTCATTTACTTTTTTTTTTTTCTATTTTTTATTTTAGATAAATTTTTTAATATCAGTATTATAATGAATGGTAATGAATAATATAAAAGTAAACAAATTTATGTAATATAATGTAAATTTAAAAATAATATTTATTATGTTAGATAGTAGTACAATTATTAAATTTAAAAATGATAATTTTGTTTAGAGACAATTTTTTTAATAGGACGTAGATAGTAATTTTTTAATATTAAAATAAAATATTTTATTTATTGAAAATTGATAAAATAAATAAAAAAATAATGATTTTGAATGGCGGCGGTGGCGATTATGTTTAAATTCATCCCGCCCGCGCCATAGTTTGAATTAGTTCCTCTCTCCCCCCCAAAGTTTTCTTATTCAATTACTCCATACTATTCTTAGCTCAACACAATGCAACCCAACCATTCGCAGACATCCAATGAGTCGTACGCACAAACACACTTCCCAGAGTTAAGGGTTTCGATAGTTGAAGAGAAAAGCTCCACGGGCTGGAAACAATACTACGGGATCGAGAAGCGCCTTTGACACAATGGTGAAAGCCCCATTGAGTAAACACCTTGCGATGCAGCTAGACCATGTATCGATGAACTTCGGGGTAGAAGCTGCCGATGACAAGGACTGCATCCTCAGTCAGGAATTCTTCTGGTAGGAGAAGCGCTTAGCCATTTTATTTTTATTATTATGATTAATTTTGTAGCCTGTTTTAATTGACCCTCTGTCCTTTGTAGCACCCCTGATTATATTACTCCAGAGATGCCGGCTATGCCTAGTAATGTTGATTGGCACAAGGTTAGCTTAAGCTTCACGATATGTGAAGGCTTTTTAGTTTATTCCTAATATTAGGTGATGACTGGAACAAATCGTGTTGCAGGATAACATTCAATGCCCGAAGTCCCCGGAGAAAATCCAGACATTTAAGAGCAAGCGGCAAAGACTAGGTATTCTTAATCTTAAACCACTCTCTGTATCCATTTAGTGCTGTGTGTTCGGTGGAATCAAATTGCTGATATTTACAAATCCTTCATCCTGCTGTCATATTTCTAATATCTGTGAGGTTACTTCACGTTCAGAAAGAAATGAACAGATGCATTGCCTTTTCTTCAATAGATTACTCCCTATTGGACTCTCTTATCTAACTCTAGATCTTTGATAACTGGCATCTAGATTGCAATCTTTTCATTTTATTGGTTCCTGACATCCGTGGTCTACTTTATTGTACAAGAAGAGCAGTCGAGAATCTCGAGACTGTAGGACAAGTTTCCAAGTAGCAAGGCTTGTAATCTAGGTTAAAGAAATATATTTGACATCAATAGCATCAAATTTTGATCCTTGTATACATACATACTAATGTATTTATAATGGTATACCTTTTCTTGTAGAGTTATGACACTTCAGATTATTTTAACTTGATTTTGTATTTTTGTGTGTGTGTGTTAGGTTCAACTTGCTTTTTCTTGCCATGAATTGGCATTAAACTTTACTTGCCTCATTCTCTAATTTTCTGTTGCTTTCCATGACCTCCTAGATGTTCACTCAGAAGCATCTCTTGAATCAACTGATTTTGGCTGTTATGCAATGGGGGATGTTTTGAAAGATCGTTTAGAGGCAAATGAAATAAATACAGAAACAGGGGTTCAATTTCAAAGGAGTTGCAGTTATATTTCACAGTCTGCTGTGGCATTACGATGTAGAGTCATGCCTCCTCCTTGTCTTAAGAATCCCTACCTTAGGGGTGCTATTGACTTTGATGTTGATCCTTTGAGTAATCAAAGATCCAAATGTGCAGGTGCAATATGCTTTCCTGCTCTGCTTGGGTTACAACTTTTGTGTTAAACATGGAGTTTAATATGTACTATAGGGGATGAAGAGGATTGCTTCATATTTTTAAATAATAAAAGTATTATGTCTCAGCCTGTGCTTCACATTTTCCTCATAATTTGCTTGCCTGTTTTCTGCAGGTTTCAACGCAGGAATTGGTGGCGATGGACTTTCCCGCTATAGGACCGATTTCCATGAAATAGAGGTGTACAAACTGCTGATATGTAATACTTATTATATATATATTTTCTAAATAATGTTTTCCTTTTCCCAGAAAATTGGTACAGGAAACTTCAATCATGTCTTCAAAGTCCTGAAACGAATTGATGGTTGCATGTACGCTGTGAAACATAGCATCAACAAATTGCATCAGGATACAGAAAGGTAAATAGTGTAATTGTTCAGATTCTTTACTACCTCCTACACTTATTCACTTATTAATTACCAATACAAATGACAGGCGCAAGGCTTTGATGGAAGTTCAAGCTTTGGGAGCTTTGGGTTTCTTGCATCACAATTTACTTGTTACATATTGATTGTAAGTGTTGATTCGAAGAGATGCAAACTAAAAGTCATTTGCTTTTGGCAGGGTATCATGAAAATATAGTTGGCTACTATTCTTCTTGGTTTGAGAATGAGCATCTGTACATCCAACAGGAGCTATGTGAACAAAGCCTATCAGCTAGCAAACTCTCTAAATTATATACAGAGGCGCATGCCTTGGATGCAATGTACCAGGTGAATTTATTTTAATGTTTCAATTGGGTTAGGAACACAAGATGATTACATCATGAGTGCAATTTTACTGTTAAAATGTTATTGCTGTTCCCCTAGTTCCTCAAACGTTTAACCAACTGTTTCAAAAAAAGGATATCATATTAATCTCTTCAATTAAAAGTATTGGTTTCATGATTGAAATGGTGTGTTTGGAGTTGTTGGAGGAGTTTATTTACACATGATATGCCTTCCTTTTTCCAAATGAAACTTCCTTAATTAGTTATTATTTTTATCCAATGAGATTCTTGGTTGTAAAATTTCTCTACTTGGCAGATTGCTAAAGCACTGCAATTTATACATGGGAAAGGGATTGCCCACTTGGATATAAAGCCAGATAATATATATGTAAAAGATGGGATTTACAAACTTGGTGATTTTGGCTGTGCAACCCTAATTGATAAAAGCTTGCCAGTTGAAGAAGGCGATGCACGTTACATGCCCCATGAAATCCTGAATGAGAACTACGACAATCTGGACAAAGTTGATATATTCTCCTTGGGAGCTTCTATCTATGAGCTCGCCAGAGGGTCACCCTTACCTGATTCAGGGTCCCATTTTCTCAATCTCAGGGAAGGAAAATTGCCTCTTCTTCCAGGCCATTCGCTGCAATTCCAGAATTTGATCAAGGTATGTTAGTTTCCATGGGTATGCTAACAGATTGAATGGTCAACATGTTTCATAATAGTTTTCGATTAACTATTGGAAGAATGATTCTGAGACAACAGTCACGTGGTTTCAACTTCAACTTTTGTTCTGTCATTTTAATAAATGGGTACCTTAATCACGAGTTTCAGGTGATGATGGATGCTAATCCTGTTCGGAGACCATCTGCGAAAGAAGTAGTGGAAAATCCAATTTTTTACAGGCACCAGTCCAAGATTTGGAAAAAAGGAATAGAAAGCCAAAAGGAATAACAGGATAAGATTTATTTATTTATTTATTTTGACATGACTGATGGTGGTTGGGGTTCTGTAGTATAGGAGTGGTGGTGTTGTATCTGCTGCTGCCACCGGTAGTAGGGAGGGGATGACTGATGCTGGTATTCACATGTGGTTGGCGATGGGGGTACTGGAAGCAAAAGCCAGTAGTTTCTGCTTTGCTTTCTCTACTCCATTTGGATTTGGATTTGGATTTGTATTTGGATTTGAATTGGATGCATCAAGAGGGAGGGGTGCTTGCTAGGCAGGTATGTCTGTTTTCTCCACTCCACTCCACCGCGAGTTGTTTATTTCCACCTTGAGGGGTGAGTGGAAGTTCGATTCAAATAAGATGCGAAATGAAGAAGCATGACCACCAACCATCCCCTCTCGTACTTTTGTTTGCTGGTCCATATAGATTTGATCTTGACTGTCTGTGGAGAAATAGCAATTCTCTCTCTCTCTCTCTAAATATATATACCCTAAATTATTATTCTCGTAAAGAATGGGTTCAAACTTGTAGGGTTCCAATCATAAAGACCAAACAAAAAAAAAAAAAGAAAAAAAAAAGAAAAAAAAAGAAGAAAGAAGCTCTTAAACTCTAAAAGTATATATATATATTTTCATATTTTGGGTTAATACAAGTATTTAACTTCAAATTGAAATTAGAACTTTTTTGCTTATGTTTTGCAATGTTTATAGAGATTAATTTAAAATAGGATGATGATTGTTGTTGAGATTACCTATTTTTTTCTTTTTATCTTATACAAATCTACTCACGAAGTTTAAGTATTTTATCTGGTGAAAAAAGGAGGAGAATTTGTTATTCATTATGGGAATTGTTTTGCCGCCTTTTCTTTTCCTTCTTTGTGTTTTTTTAGCAAAATTTATTTCTATTATTGTATCGGTCCTAAAAAGAGTAGCAACCTTAGGCTTGTCTTTCTCTGAAAATGGATGATTTATAGGAATAAGCTTTATAGGAAAACATTCTTGTGTATGTGCATTTCTGATTAGGCACACCAAAGATTGACTCTATTATACTCTTGTGTATGTCTGTCTTCTCGCAAGAATGAAACCAGCCAAACAAACATGGTTCCTTCTCAGTTTTGAACCGGTTTTGAATGACGGGTGAACAAAAGAGGCATTTTGGGGAGGACAACTGTGATTAGTGGTTACTCTACTCCATCTCTGGCATCACCGCCGCCACCACCACACCACTAATTATGTTCATAATTAGGCACCCCCGTCGACAAGTGACTTTGCTAGAGTTACTTTAACGTAGAACTGTTAACGAGCCAAATTAAGTTGACCCAAATTTTAAGTGTTCGTAAACAAGGTTTATGTTTGTTCGTTAAGCTTTCGAACTTGTTTGTAGTGTTCGAATTCGATTCGTTAAGATTTTTCTTGTTTGAGCTTGTGTTCGTGTTTGCTTCGTTTAGGCTGAATTAAGTACGTTCAAGTTCACTTGTCTCATTTTTTTTAAATTTATATATAAATTAAACAAAAAATTTAAAATTTGTGGTACCCGAGTTTCTCACTATTCATTGGTCAATATATATTTCATATTTTAGGTGCTCGTAAATTACTTATATGTTAAATTATTTATAATTTGGTATATACGTTACCTGTTTATTAATAATAAAATATTATCATAATAATTTACCTGAGATTCTGGTAGGATACAAATAGGTTGGATTGGATAAATTATTTAAATATTAATGGTGTAAATTAAATATAGATCACTTGAAAATTTTATCGTAATAATTAAATAAAAATAAAATAACTAACTAAATAAATAAAATAATAATTATGAAAATAATAATAATAATAATAATAATAATAATAATAATAATAATAATAAAATCTAAGGCTGTGGTGCGGGGTAATAACCCCCATTTCCACCTTATCCATATCAATTCAATTTCAAAAAGATCAGGGAGAAAGCCAAACACGAAGAAGAAAAGAAAGAAAAAAAATTTATGCCGAATTCGTTAAAAAGTCTAGTTCAGGTATTTCTTTGTGTTCACGAATTATTGCTATTTTTACTAAGTAGAAGAAGTTTTGAGTAGAAATAATTATTTAGTAAATTGAGGTAATATTTGTAATTAATTATTGTTAGATACGATACTGAAATCAAGAAAAGGGCAGTAAGAATTAGGGTTATTGACATTTTTGGCGAATTTCAGGTAAGTAGAAATTCATTTGCAATTACAATGCATAAATATATTATTTTGTGAGTTATATAAATTGGTTTCAGCCTGTGAGCTCTGTGACTATTTGATGTTGAAGGAGTCTGTGAGCTCCAAAATTGATGTAATTTGAATCAGTGAGTTCAATAATATATGTATATTGTGAAATATGTTGCATTGCATTTTCATCTAACATGCATATCATGCATTTAAATGAAATAAGATGGTTTTACTATGTTCGACCGCTGATTATACACCGATGGTGGAAAAGGCGACCTAAGCGACATGGGGAAACCTGGTGTAGGCCACCGTCTATTGTGATTTTGCATACAATGCATAAACAATGCATTCGGAAGAGGCAACCTGGGAAGAAGCGACCCGGGGAAACCTTACGAGGAAACCCGGTGTAGGCTACTTGGTGTAGGCCATCGCTTGATTTAAATATGTAGATATTGAGCTCTTTCCGGTGTATAGCAGTGTGTCTAGGAGTCCTGGAGAATATTTTATAAATAAATTGGTGATTTCAAACGAGAGCACATTCTGCATAGTGAGAATTTTGAGATAAACTTTACATCATGCATAATTTCTAATTACAGAGATTTATAAATCACACTCAATTTATGCATTGTAGGTAATCTTGATGATATATGACTTGGTGGACAGACTGGAGTAGCCGTGGCGCTCTTACAGACATTTAGAGTTACCGTGTGCATAGATTGACGACCTGCGGGCAGGACCGTGGTTTGTTTTGCTTCCGTTGTTCTATATTACGTCTGTTTTAAAAGTTGTATGGTGTTGTTATAAAGAGTATGTCGATTGTGTAGTTTTTTACGTGGTTTAAAATCCTTTTGGTGAATGTTAATAGGTTACTGTTAAGATATGTTATGTAAAATATATATAGTAGGTTAACATATTGTTATATATGAAAGTAATTAAGAGAGATTATAGCGTGCGAATTGGCGTTAGTAGTATAGTGTAAGTGGGTCGTATCAAAATTATTTTATTTATATATTTTATATTAATATTTACTTATTTATAAATTATAATTTTATATGTACGTATAATATTTATAATAAATATATTATTTAAATTAATCGTTTGCGAACAAGTGATTGTTCCTTAATCAAACGAGCATGTTTATATTATTCGACTCGACTCATTAATATTTACAAATGAACTTTAATCGAGCCGAACTGAGTCGAATTTACGAACGAATCGCTCTACTTTTAATGCCCGCGCACATAGATGCTCATCAAATTCCACAATGGACTACAAATCAACGGGCCAATGCCCAATCATCACTCCGTCTACCATGACTAAACTCGTTTGCTCACACATTGTCACAACAATGGACTACAAGTCAATGGGCCAATGCCCAATCATCACTCCATCTACCATGACTAAACTCGTTTGCTCACACATTGTCACAGCAGCAGCAACAACAAATACAGATTAAACTGAAAATGTTCACAAGATTTATTGCCTCGTAATAAAAAAGAAACTGAAGCGCGATGACGAAAACTAACCAGTGAGTCCGAGGGAGAACTTGGCGATAATAGTTCCAATAATAGCGAATCCGACAAGGAACGGCCAATTGCGATTCCACTCCCGCTTGAAGAACACCGGCCATGGATCGAATTTCCTCATATCTCGAAATTGCAATGGGTACTTAATAATTTTAACACCTCCCTTCCCCTCTTCTCTTCTGCTCGCGTCGAAAATGCAAAAGAAGAAACAGCTTAATGGTAATGGACTTGCTCACCCGGATCCGAAACCGAACCGATCGTAACGGTCGGTAGCGCTGGTTCGAACGGTAGGTTCAATCAGTTTTGTTATTTAGACAATTTTCCATATTTCACTTAATTATTATTATTATTTATTTTTACTATTTCACAACACAAATGCACACTAAATAAATAATTATTGCTCAATTTTTTTTTAAATTTGTATCTGAATATTTGATCACTGAAGCAAGGAGTATTATTTTACGACCTGCCTTTCACTGGCGGTTCGGTGGTTGGGGATAGAAAGTTTCTGTTATGGTAAAGCGTGGGAGACGAAGAAGGAAAAGAGTGAGGAGGGAGGAGGAGAAGAAAGAAATGGATCTTTGGCTGTGGATGTAGGGTGTGTTTTTTTTGGATATTTTTTTTTTGTTACATAGAATTGCGATACAAAATATAAAAATAATAAATATATATAATGTATTAATTTTTTTTAAAAATATATATAAAAAAATAAAAAAAATAAAAGTATAAACATTTTCTATTCAATTAATTTTGATTTAATAAAAATACTATATTATGCTAGTATTTTATGCTGCATATTTTTTATTCCTAACAAAATATTTTATCAACTCACGTCTTTTATTTAAATCTTAGTTTGAGAAATAATAACCTATCACTACTTCTTTTTCAATTTATTTTAATTTTTTTCTGTTGTATATATTTTACTTAATATTGATTAATTTATTTTATTATTATTACTTTTTATAATGTGAAATTTGCAGCTGTTTTTTTTTTTTTTTTTAAAAAAAAAATTTTATGTGCATTGCTAATTTTTGGTTGCGATTTAAATAAATTTTTGATAAAATTTTTGTAGGACAAACCAAAAACGGTGTGCATATCCACTAATTAGGTCAATTGAGCGTGTATTTGCCTGCATGGCAATCAAGATATTTATCCAAAATATCTCCCAACTTCCAACTTATACTTTCTTTCATCCATATTATATTTTCTTTCATCCGTATCAATAAAAGAATATATATTTTTATAAAAAATATATCAATATTTATATAATTGTATTATATGTAAAAAATAAAATTTTATATAAAGTAAAAATATAAAAAAATTTCTGGACATCTCTGCTGTAATGTCCTTTATTTATTTATTTATTTTTTTTTAGATTAATGGTGTACATATGTAAAAGATAGAGGAAGAATCTCCACACTGGAGATGCAGCCCTAATGTACTGAGTGAGTTTACATCAAATGATTATAGGGAGCGTACACAACAATAATACTGGGGCTATATACATATATATATATATATATATAGACAAGCCATCAAGTTCAAAATAAATATATCCTTCAACTTAAGCTTTGTTTAGATAGAGATTTTGGGAGGTTTTTAGAATTTTGAAAATTTGGAAAAAATAAAAAATGTGATGTTTTCTAAAAAATGAATAGTGTATATTATGTAAACAAAGCCATTATTCTGTGTGTCCACCTGAATGGCTTACATGTGCCCGATTCAACCTCATCTCCAGTAAAATATGTAAGTAACAAAGATCAAAACTGATCCACAATATTTTTCTCTAGATTGGAGAGAGCCCATCGTGGGTCATTCATTATATATTGACTATACTTTACAACAATTATTTCACCTTACCAGTGCAATAATCTTCAGGTGCATCAGTGGAATATGTGAAGGAAAAACAGGTCAAAATCGTTGCATAGTACCAACTTACGCCCAAAGAAGCCCATCAGATCCAAACTCAGAGTTTGAAACAGGGCATTCACCAAATTGCTTTTCATCCATTGCCTCAGATTGCCCTGTGCAGCCCCTGTATGGTTCCAAAAGATCAGAAGATCTTTCACATGGAATACCATAGCTTTTGAGGATGCTGGTTGATGAAGCTAAAGCTGATTCCCTCTCCAGGACTACCAAAAAATTGTCTTCAAATTCAAACACTAAATATTTGTCCTTGCAAGCTGGTTGAAGGAATTAGCACTCATTACTAAATTGCAAGTCCAATACCATAGCGTAATGTAAACAAGATTGACTACAACTTACAATCAACCATATGAGCAAGATGGTGAATATTTCTAATCCACATCCCATTTAACTTCAACACCTGCAGTCATGTTCCTTTCAAATGGAGATCAAATAAATCATTTCAAAAATATATTTATATGGCATGCCTGTTCATTGCTCATGTCTTCGTATCCAATGTTTTCTTCATTTGCCAACACCTGTGTGCTACAAATTTTAGGGAGGCATTGTTCACAGTATAGCACTTTTAGGTCTCAACCAATTTATATAAGAGCAGTTTGTTAAGAATCTTTCTTCTAGAAGGCACATATCATCCCATACCTGTGATAGGATCACCATCTGGTCTCCTTTGAACCTTGCCATAGAGTATCGTGCTTTGGCCAACAATTTCAACTATAAAAGGGGAACATCAACCATGGAACTCAAGTAATATATGATAATAAAAATGTAATGAATGATAATCATGTGAATGTCAATAAAAGAAGGCAAAAAAACGGGGGAAAGAAAGCAGAAATCAAATTACCCCAATGCTATCTTCACACTCTTCCCTTTACACACATGGATTAGATCACGGTCAGGACTCGGGATTCAAATTTGTTAGTAAAACTGACTGGATAAAGTCACTTCAGAAATAATTACATACTCTATAAGAGGTTCTGAAAGAGGTGTAAACACCAAACCAGCAACTATTAGATATGATGGTTGACCACCTTCAATATGATATGGAACCTTCAGAAAAATATGGAAGTGGTGAATTGTAATTAATTATAATCTGAAGTTAACAGGAAATTCTATAATGAAGAACTTCAGTTACCAAATGAACTCTTGGATTCAAAACAACTTGAATTTTCCTGAATTGTCCTCCTCTAATGATGCCAACCTCAGCTATGTCGCCAGTAAATCTGAAGTTGAGAATCACTATTAGATAATGAGTTATCTGCTTCCTGAAAACCATTTCACTCACAAGCTTAACTAAAATTGGGCACTATGAACACTGTCAAGTAACAAGTAGTAAAACTCAGAAGACTGTATAATAGATGGGAAACTAAGTATGCCAACATAAATATGTGGATGGGGAAGTAACAGGTATTCTTTTGAGTGACAGTGAAATCATCAACTGTGAACATCAAAAGTAGACCATGACATGAAAATTAGTGCAGACTAAGAATGACCAATAATATAAACTATTCGAAATGCATTTCAAACAAATTTCATGGGAATTTCAGTCTTCTTGTCAATGCAATTATTACTTTTGACTTATGAGATAGCGAAATGCGATTCGCTCAGATGTTCGGAAAGGTACTGTCCCTTCTGAGCCAACATGAACATTCTCAAAGCTAACAATGACATCACCCTGCAAAGCAATTAGAACACAAGATTCCATTAGCTGTCAGCTGTGCAATTATCTTTATACAAGAAGTTAAAACAAAAATCAAGGGATTTTGCTATGCGTGAAACTTTCCAGAGAATTACACAAAGATGGAAACAACCTGACACAGTTTTCATTGATTTGTCACTCACTATAGCATATGACATATGTGATTCCCATAAAAAAAAAGTTAAAACATACATATTATTCCCAATAAAACACTTATAGAACTACAGTTGTATCAGACTTCCACCGTACAAGAGATGTTATCAGAAAAAAGGAATGACAAAGAGTGTAACAATCCAGCCCAACAGGAAAAGTTTGCAATATGTATTTATGGTGCGTGGCATATATATATATATATATATTGTTTAATAGTGCAAAGTTCCACATGTAAAATACTTTATAATGATGGAACTATATGACAGTATATATATATATATATATATAATGATAACTTTTGAGGTATAAATATTAATATATCTCATTGATGGTGGTGTGTTTGCATATGAAAAGACAATATTTGAATTATACATGAAATGGATAGAACAAACTTCATAATATTAGATTCGTGGTGTGCATACTGCATACCTTGATTACTTGTGCATACATGTGAGACATACATTTTGGTTAACTATGTACATAATTTGCTAACTTATGTGCATTCCATGAAGGTTTGAATGTAATTGAACACTTACGGCTAATTGGTTTGCAGGCTGAAATTGGAACTAGAAAAATAAAGCCCTAACAATTTGTTCAGGGATAAGACAACTAGTAGATCTTGATTTATAATTAAATTTGAGATCATTACTTAAGTGTTGTTATTAGAATTTATGCTTATATTAAAGTTGATAAGATGGACTTAAGCGAATTAGTATGTTTTTGCAAGAAATTTTCCTATTATATGCTGAATTGCAGGAGGTTAGTTATTTAAGCTGACAGCAGCAAGTTCTGAGTAAGATGCTAGTGAATTCTGGCTAAATTAGTAATTTGCTACGACCAGAGAATTCCAGAAGGCTGCCAGAGAGGTTTAATTGTAATGCCAACCTAAGAGAGATTTATAGTTGCTTGGCGAAGCAAAGTGTGACATCTATGCAAAGCAGAAATTCCGTAGTCCTGCAAGTTTCAAAGTTGCTGGAGGAAGAATTCCAACAAAAGTAAGTTCATTTAGTCAGCAAAGTTTCTATCAGCAAAAAGTGAGATTCAGAGTGCTGGAGTTAAATTCAAAGCTGTTGAAACCAAATTGCCTACCCAGAGGACAACTCCAGCTAGACCAGTGAAATGTCCATCCGCTCAATGAAAGACAAATCTAAGCAGAATAACTGCAAAATCTAGGAGCTATCAACAACCTCTAATTTTAGATGTGATTATAAAAAGTTTATTCTGAGAGGTTTAGTCTTAGCACAAGTAAAGGTTTTATTTCATCCACAATTCCCAACCCTTCTAAGCACATGACCCTCAAATGTAGCTCTATTGAACATTTCTAGGATTAATTGACGCCACAAACCTCAACACCATGGCTTCGGATTGACTATAGCCAAGGGTTCCGGCTTTTGTTATGCAACAAATGATTTGGGACTAATATAATTATACTTCTCTATATGTATACTAACACAAGTTCATCATTAAAACAGTGAGTTGAAGTACATGGTATTATATTTCCCGAGGGCAAATTTTAGCTTAGAGTCCCTTTGGCTCAAGCGTCAATTAGTAAACCTTAGGTTTGCAGTCACCATTGTTGTCCCCAAAGTTCACCGTTCACTGCCACCACAACCATGCTCTACTGTCAGACATCTATGACTTTCCAGTGTCATCCACATGTATGACCCACATGCTCCATAGCAACCAAGTGAATGTTCTTTTTATGTGCCAGCATGTGAGCAGTTTTCAAGTGAATTTGGCAGAGGGAATGCTTCTCGCATTTATGATGATTGTAAGAATCTATAGTAAATTGGACACTAAACATGTAACTTACAACTAAAATAGTCTCAGGTTGTGATTCCTCTGAAAGGAGAAGTACTTATTCCATAAATAAATTTGCCCAATTTTTTAAGTACTGAGAAGCTTTGTAGTCTTCATATCAATCTACTTTGGCCAGTGCTAAGGTAACCATATACACACCTTCCTTCTATGTCAACGACCAATTTTTTGTGCAATTTATTTATTCCAGGTTTGATTTTATCTTTTACTTCTCTATGATCATAAACCCTATAAATAACTATTCTTTTATTAGATTCAATGAAAGGTTTGATTAGTATTTTGAACATTTCCACTGCATTAAACAAGAAAAATGAATAAGGAATGCATACGGGGTAACGGCACACAAAAAATATATGTTTTCACCATGCACAATGAAATTGGAATCCTAAAGAAAACCAAAGTGAAGAGTGGTTCAAAGAAAGTAAATATTTAAGCTGGAACCAAGTTGGAAGATTAGAAAATGTTGAAATCAGACCTAAATTTATGAAATCAGAGGGAACACTTTTAAACATTTGAATTTAGAGATACCTCTTTCAATATATTACTAGCGTTAGAAGTTGGCTCAACTTTCCTCACAAGTACACCCTGCAAAGATAGAGTCAATGACTATATTGATGTCAAAGATGAAAGAGATTCAAACAGATGAATAAGTGAAACTTGTCAGATTTGATAACTATTGACGGACTTGGCACTGAAAACAATTTCGTTCGACCAAGACTTCAGTAAACAAAATGAAATATATGCTGGCGCAAGAAATCTATAATGACTATAAATGATTGGTTAGTTACCTAAATTTATAAAATTACAAATCTTTTTGGAGTTAAAGCAAGTTCAATTTTTACACTCACATTAGAAAAGTTTGTTTTGAATCTTTAGTTGCCATAATAATATTGGATTATGGTGCATGCAGGTTCACATCAGATACCATAGGTAGATTGACAAATACATTCTCTGTTCTATATAAGCTTAATTCTGTAGTTTAACAAAACTTAGTTCAGTCTGTGAACTTTGATGAGAATTTTTCTACGGATTATATCTTTCATCTTTTTTTGTAACTATAATTTTAAACCTTAGATATTTTTCTTTATGCAACTGCCATATTTCCTTCAGGAAGACTCAATTTCATGATAATACTAAAATTTGGAAGGCGTATTAGGAGTGTGTTTGGTAAAGAACTTATTGAACAACTTTTAGCTTATTAAATAACTTTTAATTGTTTGACCGGTTAAAAAGTTAATTAGACTATTTGGTAAATTAGTTTTTTCAAATAGATTATTGGAGTGAAAAAGCTAATTTTAGAATATCTAATAGATGCACAGTTTCATATTAGCATTTCATCATAAATTTTTTTCACTATTTTGCCTTTTTTTTTTTGCTACATTACATTAGTAATTATTTTAATATATCTATTTTTACTTAAATTATAATTTTACTAATTTCAAACAATTGAAATTATTGATTCTCTTATATAGAATGATTTTATTTTTTAATGTATACATTTATTAAATTTTAGGCAAAGAAATATATAAATAGTATTAATCTATATATACTTATATCACAAAGATTTTATATGGGCTTCTAAAATGTCTTTTAGGCCATGACCAATGCCCCAGTTGGTCCTATACATGTGACCCGCTATCAGGAACAGAATTGCAATAGTTAAATGATGGTGTGCAATATCTGTCAACCATAAACCCCCAGTTACTGGATCTAATCCTCCACGAAAAGTAAGAAATTCTGCATACCTTGACCAATTCAAGGTGAAAAATGGGGTTGCTCCCTCGGCAAAACTCGGATAAAGTTGAGCCAAAAGATCGCGATTCAAGATAAATTCATGAGGAAGCGGTATTTCTTTAGGATCCACTCCAGCGTTTAGAAATTGGTTAATTGGTAAAGATACATGTACTTGATGTTAAAATAAATAAAATATAATATATATTAAAATACTATTTAAACCAAAACTCAAATCAAACACTCAATTTCAAACCAAAATCAAACAAAATGTCCTTAAGTGTCATTTTATATATAAAAAGCTAATATCAAACAATTATGTTAGTGGTTAGTTACTTCTATTAGCTGGTTTGACTAGCGGATTGTATTAGTTGTTTGAATTAATTAAAAACTAATAATTAATAGCTAAATGTCAAACACACGTGTCTTTTTGCATGATTACATAATAATAAGATTGATCCGAATGTAACATGTGCTCCACCGACCACTATTTTTGGGACATTTTATCTAGTCCATTTGAAATAGAAAGAGACCTCATTAGATGGCACATTTAAGAAGGTCCGCAGAGCTGGGTTCTCCAATTTCTGTAACAGAACTCCAAGACAAGGAAAACCTGAGAGTTTAGAGAAAGATCTTCAGACCACACTTCCATGAAGAGGGACAAGAATATCCTAAAGGTTTAGACAATGCTCGCAATAATGACATAATGGCTACAGACACACACACACAGAAAATCAGGTAAAGAAGTTAACATAGAATTTTATTCAATATGGTTGCCACAACCATTTCTCATGGGAAAACTGCTAATTGGTTATCTAACTCTGCTGCCATCATTATTCCTAAGCAAGAACATGTATGGCAACTCTAGAATAGCGGAATTAATTTTCCAAGAATCCATTCAGCAATAGGTTATCAGTCAGACAAGGAACCTGGTGTTTTATTGACAATAATTGCTTCTCAAGGTCAAGGCCTCACCAGTGTACTTCCCATTTCTTCCATAGTCTTCAAGGAAATGAGACACAACAGTTGTTGGAATCACATAGCCAATATTCTCAACCTCATCAGATCTGTATACCTAAAGAAAAGGTCCTTCTAAGAATATTGTATTTGGGTTGAAACTGATGAGGGTGACCAATCAAGACCAGATGTTATTTTGCTACCAGGGCAAAAAAAAATTATAGAAAATAGGAAAAGATTTTGGAACACATAGTGACTATAGAAACATTATTGTAGAAGATTCTTTTAGCAATCCATATTGAATACTTTTTTAACTTTTAAAGACTTTTAAAAATCTGGACCACAGGATTTTCAAATATGTTTAAAAGTCCGTATTGAATACTCTCATGTTTTGAGAATCTAAAGAAATCCTATAAAATCCCAAACCAATACACCCCCCTTAATCAGTATTATAAAAGTTTACCTGAAATGCCACTCCAATGCACTCTCCTTGGTCATTGAATGCAGGCCCCCCGCTATTTCCTAAAATATGAATGAGGACACAATAACCAGGTGCACTAAGACAGAGAGGGGAAAAACAAAAACAAAAACTGTAGAAGCATTCAAATATGCTATATATGCAATAAATTTTCGAGAGTTAATCTTCCTCACAATAAATAAAAGAATATGGCACATAAGATCACAAAACACTTCTAACTGGAAAATAAATTCATAGCTCTACCCACCAGGATTTATAGCAGCATCAATTTGAATACCAAGAAGCTCAGAAGATCCATGAGCATATGATGTCACCTGAAATATGTTAAAATGTTGACCTTTATAGCATTTGTGAGAGTTGATGCAAACACCCAAAAGGCTTCTGTGATATAGAGAAAGAAAATTTCTTATATTAACACAAGTGAGGTTACACACACACACATATATATTATATATATATGTAGGTACAATTAGGAGTCTATCAAATCTATCCAAATCAATAAACTCTAACAAATAAACTCAACTCTATCTAAACTATATATGTTAATTATATAGTCAACACAACCCGTCAAGCTGGAGTATATGTATCTCAATTTAAATAGTTGCTGGTGTTCGCTGTATCTTATGTATAAACAACAGTTTTCTAGTGTTTTATGCATCAACAGATTGATCAGGTGTCATCCATTTATTTGCTAACAGAAAGAAAAGTTAGAGAACAAATTAAACAGATCACTAGCCTAATATGTCACCAAAGATCAGAATAGCACATTACTAAATAAACTTGTAGCGTATCAAATGTTTTATCATATTTGAATAGAGAACAAGATATAGCGAACAGACCTCAATTCTTGAAACCACACCCTTGGACACTGATATGGTTTCTCCTCCAAGTGGATACCCCACTACAGTCACTGGATCCTGTTAATTTGATGTTAAAGAGGGCACAGATATGAAAGGGTGGAAATTCATCTACACATTCCTTACAATTTCCAAAGGATAAACAGAAGTGAATGTGATATATTATTACATATGCGTACAACCAAGCAACAGAAGTGAATGTGATATATTATTACATATGCGTACAACCAAGCAACAACGGAGATATTGCCAAGCTCCAACGCATATAAAAGGGAAATAGCAAGCAAAACAAATATATCAAATATAATAAAGAGATTGTAGTTGGCCATCACGATTAAGTTCATCATTCAGAATCTACTTATGAATATATCTCTCAAAATTAGATCAAACAATATTGTTAATGGAATGGATTCACATTGCATTGAATGAATTGTTGCACATCCAATTGTCAGTTTTTGAGGACAAAACCCTAGAAGAAATTAGGGTAGTGTTCTTTTGTGGATTTTACGACAGATTTTTATTATTCGGATTTTTTTTTCCTCAAAAAATATCAAATCAAATAATTACGTTTTTTTTTTTTATATTATACTACAAATCTATTTTACATTTTAAAATATCACATCAACTTCTATTTATATCAAATCAAACAATTATTCAAATTCAACTTTTTACTAATAAAAAATTCAAACCCAAAATCCCAAACCCACAAACAAACACACCCTAGAAAATTATCACTTACTTCACACCAGGATTTATAGAAGTCTATCAAATCCCACGAACTATAGTAGTCCAATCATACAAACAATTTTCCCTTACAGACATAGATAATTAAAACATGACAGCTACAATATTTCAAGCAAAAAAACAAGAAACTAATTCCATTAATTTTGCTTGTGCACAAACCATAATAAAAAAGCACAGAAAAAGGAGACTTGATGTTTGGGAAGAAAACTATAAAATTGTTTTGTATATGCAGGCAATGGCACAAATCTAAGGGCATTGAATATATAACAAAGAAAGATATATAATATGAACCTGCAAATTAGGCAGGTTTCCAAAGTGAAGGGGCTCTGCTCCTTCCCAAAATTCTTTGCTTTCAACAGAAAGCAAGGCGATGTCACATTCTACTCCTCTAGCTAGAACCTGTAATAAGATCACCGAATACGGGATAAGGTCTACTTCCAGATATTGGCATAAACTATCAACCCCAGCATCCAGATGCCTGAGGAAATGAGGTCCTATATTCACCTAATCAGTGTTTCATTGTTTCTAATTATATTTCCAGTTTTCTCGTTTGCAATAAAAAATAGACTGAGATGGCCTTCAGCATATTAAAGAAAAAAAATGAACGTAGATGGCAATGATAGGTATAATAACAGAGAATAGTTCATCTTTGGCACAAACTACCTTGGCAACATATTTTGTGTCGTCCCCTCTTCTCTTCACTTTGACCTACATATATGAAAATACAAGTTTGAATAATTGAATTATATCTACCTCAAGAGATAAAAGATATATTATGAATACCTTATCCACAAGCTAATACATAGCTACTACTTCAATGGATTAGGCAATAATGCCAATGATATATACTTTAGAGAAGTATATCGATGTACGACAAAAGAATATGCATAGCAACTCATTTCTTGCATTTGAAATACTATTACACATAAAATATTATTATATTTATCCCAATCCTCCCTTATTCAGTCTTGCATCCATAAGGAATAAGGATAGTAGAAATGCATATAAAACCAAAGTTGTAATTAAGATGGCTATATTTAAATTTATTAGGGCAACTCAACAGCAGAATGCTCCATTTCCTTCCAAATTTCAAGGTTTCCATGCACAGAACGGATAAACGAACAACCTAAATTTTTATGAAGGGACACGTTAGTAATTACCTGGGCATCATGTTCCACACAGTGTGCATTTGTCAAAAGTTTTCCCTCCCCAATCATAAACGCACTGCACAGAATAAACAAAAGGCAAGAAAATAAGAAAACATACGAAGCAGAACATAGTTGAGAATTATAATTCCATGCGAATTACCTAGTAACCTTGCTGCATTAACTTTCCACATGAAAATGAAGGACAATGTGATTTTAAGCATACCTTCCAGTACTTGTATACTGCCTCTGTTTCTGCCAAGGTAGCGAATAGTGTGGTGGGGTGTGAGTACAGTAAACCTAAAGAAAAGAAGAAATTTATTGAGAAGAGATGTACAATGGAAGGCATAAAACACAGATGTTGCAAAAATTATTACTGTAGGAGCTTTGTTAAATACTTGTTGAATTTTTTGTACATACCACAGATATCATATACATGAAAAAGGCCATTTTAAAAATTAGAAAATTAGTAGTAACACAATGTGCCAAAGTTGTGAAAATATGCAAACAGATACTATTATGTTGGATATCAAAAGAATTGTGTCTTCCCCATTTATAGGGCATAATTACAATAGCAGTATATTACGGACAACCAAATTTTAAGCATAGTATAATTTTAGGTAACAAAGGATTAAACTATAATCCTTAGATAAGCATTAAAAAAATGTGATATACGTTAGTTTAGAAGTCTCAAACAAAAAACATACTTATTTGACATTCCTTGAAACAGAAAACAAGTTGCAAAAGAAGATACAATCCATATTTGTGAAGTGGGGAGCAGACCATAAAGTTTACATTAAATGTAACTCTTATGAATGAAAATTATCTTCACCTTCACAACAGCATTGAGGAAAGTGGCATGTTGGAGGTTACCGGAGTCTACCTGGCAAACATAACCAATTATGTAAGGAATTGATCAAACTCAGCCAACGATGTAGCTACCACTCATACATGTATGAAAAAGGAACAAATGTATATCATGTAAAGGTAAGACCATGATAATAGGATGGTCATTTTCAATTAGATAAAGTAGAAAATGGCTTCACAAAGCAGTGAGATCAGGATATTAACAAGAATGGTGCCACAATGAAATTTCTCAGTCTATTAGCAGGGTTCTATTGTTACCTAAAGTATGTGTTAAAACGTATAAATGGACTTCTCACAAAGTCATGACATTATTTAGAGGATAAAAACAGAGAGTGGCTCCTTGAGTTCATCATCAAGAGTAGTAATGGCTGCCGGGTAATCAGACAATCATTCATTCCAACTAATCTTTCATACCATTGTCACACTAACATTTGCAGGAAAGACAACACATAACCAGATCTTACATTCTTTAGGTAATAAAGTTTTTCAAAGAAATTGAAGATTTCAGGCTTTGGTGGATATGAAGTTTTAATAGTCGACCAAAAGTAAAAAGATGAAATATAAAAACATGAAGATGCAACAAATGATTCTATAAAGATCATTGGGTAAGAACTTGTGTTCCCAACCTACTCACCTGTTGTTCTTGTGAGTCAATCACAAGTTCTTTATTCCCTTTTCTATTAACATCAAATGACTTGAATGCTGTAGGTTGTGATTGCCCTGTTTGATTCCGAGTACTTCTTTGAACTGTATTTGATGAAGGAGTTTGGTCTCTTGATCTTTGCGAGAACTTCTGTATAATAGGTTTATCAGGAATTCAGTATCAACATATATAAAGCAGTCACATGTGTGGAATAAGAATCTTTTTCACCAAATGTACTGTGACTTGGCTCTTTCTAAGAAATATTCCAACAAGGGTAGAAAGAAACTTCCAGCAATAACCAAGAATAGCATCTTGTGAGGAGAGGGAAAATAAAATTGACTTATTTTTTATGTTGATTGTAGTGGCTTCAATCCTTCAATTGAGCTCTGTTTTTGGCTTAGGAAGAATCTAGAAGATCATGCAGAGATCAGACAAAGTTTTGGAAGGTGAAGATTTTGTTGATCATGCTATGCATTGTCTCATCCCATCCCACCACTATGCGCACTTTTTTAAATTGAAAATTTTCTTCTTCCACCCAATTGTATGTGCTTAGATGTAGTTTTTACCAGCATCCTAGTATAAATGGTCATTGTTTGTCAAATTAGTGTAAAAATTAGCGTGAGAGAGGCTAGTAAGAATTTTAGGAGATTACTTGTAACGGGCACACAATTGAAATAAGTTAAAAAATTTGTGTATTGAATTTTTAGGCATTCATGGTAATAGAAATATTTTTCATTTGTGGTGGTGATTCCCACAGAACTCATGGGTTACTTTGTGTTAATTTTGTGGTCAGAATTTTCTGGGTGATTGGCTTCATTGAGAAGATATTGGCAGAGTTCGAACAAGTGATCCTGTGGTCACCAGCCACCCCTTATATTATTACGTATGAAATTTAGAATTAGGTTAAAAAGCTCAAGGTGAAAAGAAAAATGGGCCTAACAATTGAGATGATCGAACTGGTCGAGGGGCATTGCGGGGAACTCGGGTAAAGTAGATATATTTCCGAGGAAATAGCGGGTCGAAAGGTCCGCAGGTCGGAAGGACCGCTAGTCGGAAAGTCCATAGGTCGGAAGGACCGCCAGTCGGAAGGTCCATAGGTCGGAAGGACAGCCAGTCGGATGGTCTGTAAGTCGGGAGGTTTGCGGCTGGACCAACAAGTCGGATGGTCTATAAGTCGGGAGGTTTGCGGCAGGACCAAACAAGTCGGGTGGTCTGCAAGTCGGACCAATAAGGTGTAAGGACTGCAGTCGGTCCAAAAAGGACGGAAGGTTTGCGGTCGGACCAACATGGCGGAAGGGCTGCGTTCGGGTCAAAAAGGCGGAAGGGCTGCGGTCGGTCCAAAGAGTCGGATACTGTTAAGAGTGAGTGAGAATGATAATTCGGTCGGCCGAAGGCACGTGTCAGCAGGAGAAGAGTTAGCAGACGGTTGAAAAGAGGCGTTGTAATCGTTCGGGCGACGGTTTCCAGTACCGTCCCTGAAGAGTATTTAAGGATTAAAATTTGCAACTGGCAAATGATCTTCAATCAACTTCAACAAAAGCACAGTCAGATTCAGAGATTTTAAATTTTCAGCATTTTAATTTCCAGTTAATTTTCTTATGTACTGTACAGTGTTTAGAGATTCTTAATCTCAGGCACTAATTAATCAAATTTGAGGATATTTCCATATCTTTGAATTTTACTTTTTATTTGTTGAAAAAATACATCAACAAATTGGCGACCACAGTAGGAGAAAGGCAAAATTGCTGATCCTACATCAACAGAGAATTTCATACGACTGAGGTTTGGCCGAATCATCAGAAAAATCAGTATGGCAGGCTCACAACCTCAATCATCATCAGCACCAGTGGGAGAAAATGTTCCACCACCCGTCATGCCAAATCCAGGGGAGATTCCCCAACTACCTACCGATTGGTTGTCGTATGTTCAACAATTGAACAATCAGCATACTTCGGCGATGCAAAATATGTTGCGCGAGCAACAGAACATCATGTTGCGCGAGCAACAAAATCTGATGCAGAACATGTTATGGAGGGCCATCAAGGGTTACTCTTCAACCCACCCACCCACCCAGACGCCGCCAGGGGTGTCACCATCAAGAATGCAAGCAAATTTTGCAGTGCCATCATATGTGGACAACACACTTCCAAGCGCCACAACGTTCAACCAAATAGATAGGGGAAAGTCTCATCTGACTTTTCCAAATAATATTCCTTTGGGGCCAAGGGTTGAGAATGTGCAGCCGAACATTACAAGGGAGGAAGGGCCAGGGGACATGTGCAGGATCCTATTTTTATTCCTGTACAAAATCCCATTGATATTCCTGATCATTAACATCTTCGGTTGGATGATGAAATTGCTCACGTATTGAGGGTTCAGTTTGGTCTAAATCCTCAGATGGCCAACCGACCTGCTTATCAAAGACCTTTTCCAGAAAGGATTATTAACGAATATCCTCTCCCAAGGAATTATAGGCCACCAGATTTTCATGCTCTTTCTGGAGAAGATGGATCCTCTACTATAGAGCATGTGGGTCGTTTCACGGCACAGTTAGGGGAAATTGGTAACAATCCCTTTTACAAATTACAAATTGTCTCTAACTAGGACAACTTCTTTTCATGGTTTGTAAGTCTGCCACATGGGCATATACAAACTTGGGAAGGTTTAGAGATGACATTTCATGCCAGATTTTTCAATCCCTTGCCAACGGTTTTTTTGACTGATTTATTGGAAATAAAACAATATCCAGAAGAATCAGCTTCAAAGTATATTGAAAGAGGTCCGTCCATCAGGGTCGTTTCGTTTAAGCAGCCGAATGAGGCAGAGGAAGATCGGCTCATTGGGGTTGCCTCGTCAAAGCAGCCGACCAGCATACAAGGCACTGCTAATTACAATGAGGGAGGTCGGTCCATGCAAAAAAAAGGGTAAAGGCTTGTCTGATGAAAGAGTTGAGGGTTTCAGATGTCAGTATTGCGAAAAGAATAACATTAACCCATCTCTGGAGGAATTTCGTTTGGAATCTCTGACTGTTCAACCCGAAATTGAAGTCATAGACGAAATTCCAGAGAAGGTTTCAAGGTCTGTCAAATCTCGACTAGGGCCACGTATTCCCTGCCGAATGACAGAAATTAATTGGATTGAGGAAGAACCTTTGTGGGCAAGTCTGGTGGATGAGTTTAAAGAAGAGCCAGAATGAGCAAAGATTTCGGATCCTGATTTTCAATCAGAGGTCCCTCCAATAGTCTTCCCTCCTATTCCAGAAGGCATGGCGTCTCATTTGAAGCCTCTGGACATTAATGCTCATATTTGTGGGAAACCAATCACAAAAGTTTTCATAGATAATGGGGCCGTCTTCAATGTAATGCCATTAAAGACTCTCAAGAAGTTAGGAAAGGGAATTCACGATCTATCTCCTGTGGATTTTGAGTTGACTAGCTTTACAGGGCAGCCAACCAGACCAGAAGGCATGATGGTCGCCTCAATTGAAGTCGATCCTAAGAAGATGTCTTCTGTTTTCTACGTGGTGGACGCAGATACCACATATTCAATCCTGCTTGGACGAGATTGGATTCATGCATCTAAATGTGTGCTATCAACATTGCATCAACTATTAATGTTCTGAGAAGGCAATCAGGTCTTCAAAATGGAAGCAAATGACAATCCTTTTGGAGCATCAGAACAAGTTGAAGAATCAGTATTTTATTCTGGTCATGTACCTCCAATGTATTAGTTTTTTATGGCTAATGAGTATCCAAATAAGGGTTTTAAATTCATTAGCTAGAATTCAATGTTCTTTTTTGTACTATATGGCTCTTAAGTAAGCCAGACCTACTTTTTATAATATATTTTTATGGAGGGTGCAGATTTACAAGATTGTGGTTTACTCATTAATCAGTATTATTTAGACCAGCTTTTTTTTTTGAAAAAAGTAGAAAAAAATAAAAAGATATATGATGTTCATTTCCAAGAAGATGAACAATTTCGTTGGTCTGATCTATTAGAGAAAACAGAGCCAACTTTCTCAGGGCGAGATCCTTTACTGGATTTTAACTTAGGAACCGACCTGGTTCCAAAAATAATCAGGATAAGTGGTTATTTGTCTGAAAAGCAACAAAAATTGATGTTCGAGGTTATAAGAAACAATATTGATTGTTTAGCATGGGATTATTCATAAATGCCCGGTTTAGAGCGAAGTTTGATAGAACATCGATTGCCCATTAAAAAGGATTTCAAGCCTTGTAAGCAATCTCCAAGACGTATGAGTCCTGACTTGATGCCTCAGATCAAAAAAGAGATTCAGAAGCTTCTTAAAGTAGGTTTCATCCGACCTTGCCGTTATGCGGATTGGTTGGCCAATATCGTGCCAGTGGTTAAAAAGAATGGTAAGATCAGGATATGCATCGATTTTAGAGATCTTAATATGGCCACTCCTAAAGATAAGTATGTGATGCCTATGGCCGACATGTTAATTGACCCAGCAGCAGGGCACATAATTCTCAGTTTGATGGATGGTTATGCAGGATATAACCAAATCCTTTTGGCAAAGGAAGACATTCACAAGACAGCATTCATGAGCATTAGGTATTTATGAGTGGACAGTTATGCCTTTTGGTTTGAAGAATGCTGGGGCGACTTATATAGAGCCATGAACTCAATTTTTCATGATCTCATTGGTAAGTCTATGGAGGTATATATTGATGATGTTATCGTCAAATCTTCTAGTTTCAAGGAACATTTAAGGGATCTTAAGATGCTTTCAGTCGGATGAAGGAGTACAAATTAAAAATGAACCCGACTAAGTGTGTTTTCGGTATATCAGCCGGGAGTTTCTTGGGGTTTTTGGTTCATGAAAAGGGAATTGAGATCGATGCTAATAAAGCCAAGGCAATTCTTGCCAGCCGACCACCTCAGACGGTTAAGGAAATTCAAAGTCTGTTGGGGAAAGTAAATTATCTGCGGTTCATTTCCAATGCTGCTGGCAAGGTCAGACCAATCACTAAATTATTGAAGGCAGGAGGAAGCGCCTTTGAGTGGGGACCAGACCAATAGACAGCTTTAGAGGCTATAAAGCAAGCATTGGCTCAACCACCTGTGTTGATGCCTCCTAAGGAAGGTCGGCCCCTCAAACTTTATTTGGAAAATACCTATGAAGTGGTCAGTTGCTTATTGGCTCAAGATTGTGATGATGGAAAGGAAAGGGCAATTTATTTTTTGAGCAAGACTCTCACAGGACCAGAATTAAACTATACAATGCCAGAGAAGATGTGTTATTCATTGGTGTTTGCATGCACCAAACTTGAACATTATATGTTGCCCAGAAGAGTTGAGGTTATTTCAAAGATTGATCTTATCAAGTTAATTTTGCAAAGACCTACGGTGCAGGGCAGACTCATGAAGTGGGCCATTAAATTAGCGCCTTTCGATTTGTATCATTCCCCTTTGAGGGCGGTCAAAGGGAAAGCAGTAGCAGACTTTTTGGCAGACTTTGCAGGTCGTGAGGAGCAACCGACTGGGTGTATATCTTATATAAGCACCCGAAATTGGCTAATGTTTTTTGATGGTTCTACCTCAGGAAACAGATCGGGCGCAGGAGTTTTGTTAGAAGGGCCAGACGGCCAAATGGTTAATCTGTAGTTGCAATTAGAAGCTATGACCCATAATTCAGCAGAATATGAGGCTTTAATCTTGGGATTGGAGGCTTTGATAGCTAGAAAAGTTCAGTCGGTCATTATAAAAGGGGACTCTCAATTGGTGATTAACCAGGTAAACAAACAATATGTTTGCAATTATCCCCACCTACGCAGGTACAGGGATTTGGTAGGTCGGTTGTTATCAAAGATCTCCGAAGTGATAATTGAGTTCGTCCCTAGAAAGGAGAATCAATTTGCAGATGATTTAGCTCAAAAAGCTTGCAAGGGAATCCTAAAAGATATATGTGCAGAAGTCGACCCTGAGACAGAAACAAGAACCAACTGAAGGACAGAACTTGTCATGTTTTACAAGATCCAAGAGCAAATGTACCGATTGGAATTCGACTGAAAGCTCTGCGATTCCAATTGGTAGAAGGAGTGCTATATAAAAGAACATTCGAAGGATTGCTCTTGAAATGTTTGGGGCCCAAGCAAGCTTTGGAGGTGATGACAGAAGTGCACAGTGGAATATGTGGAGCTCATCGGGCAGGCCTGAATATGAGATGGGCTATTCATCGTTTAGGTTTTTTTTGGCCAAAGATTTTTTAAGACTGCATACAATTTGCCAAGGGTTGCCAAGAATGTCAGAGGCATGGGCAGTTAATTCATTTACCAGTCACAGAATTGCAAGCTATGGTAAAACCATGGCCCTTTAAATCTTGGGCTATGGATATCATTGGTAAGATCCATCCTCCCTCGTCCAAGAATCATTGTTTTATTCTGGTTGCAACAGATTATTTCACCAAATGGGTGGAAGCGGTCGCTTTGAAAAATGTGGATCAAAAGGAGGTGATAGATTTTGTGATGAATCAGATCGTATATAGGTATGGTATACTTCATTCAGTAACAACCGACCAAGGTTTGGTCTTTACTGGTGAAAAGTTTTTAAGCTTTTTGGCAGAGTTTGAAATTCGTCTGAATCATTCTTCGCCTTATTACCCCCAAGCCAATGGGCAAGCAAAAGCAGCTAACAAGATTATTATTGGAATTATCAAGAAAACGATTGAAAGGAACCCAAGGAAATGACATTTGTTGTTATCTCGAGCCTTATGGGCACATAGGAATAACAGAAGTTCTGCCACAGGGTTTTCACCATAACAACTCACCTTTGGACAAGATGTTGTGTTGCTAGCCGAAGTGCAGGTCTCATCTGGACGCACAAGCTTTACCAATGATTAATTTACTGAGGAATACCAACAACTGATACTGCAGCAATTGGAAAGTCTGGATGTCAACCGACTTCATGCAATTGATCAAATTGTAAAGCAGAATGAGATCAGGGCCAAGACTTATGGAAAGAAAATCTTTTACAGAACATTCAAGGAAGAAGATTTGGTCTGGAAGACTAATCTTCCAACATATAAGAAGATTGATCAATTAGGAAAGTGGTCCCCGAATTGGGAGGGACCATTCATAATTCAAAAGGAGATCGGAAATGGTGCCTTTATTATTATAAATCAAGAAGGTAAAAGGGTACACGACTGTATTAATGCTAGATATCTGAAGAGGTATTTTCCTGCCTTTTCAGATAACAAGAAAGCATGAAACAGTAAGTTTTTCAGAACCCATTTGCCAAGGGTTCGAACCTAACAAGGGTTCATTCATTATCAGATGTTGAATCATGCAGAGGATTACTTTCTCCTGAGTCAGAATAGTCATTCTAGTGATTAGGGATTAGTTCTGGCTCTTCATCAATAAGGTCCTCTAAGCTAGGTCGGTACTTCTCCCATTGGTCCTGCATCTTCTCAAGATCATAGTCGGTCCAAGCTTTCATGTCTGTCATGGCTTGGCGCTCACGATCAACAAGAGTGCGTAATCTTGAAAAGACTACGCGTTGATTGGAGAATGTGTGATCCCAGCCAAGGTCTGGGAGTATGGCTGTCACATGGTGTTCAATCAAATCCATGTGATGATCAATGTCGGGAAGGCGATTTTGTATATCCCGAAGAGTTTCATATCCTTCCAGCATGTTTTCCATCAGGCGAATAACGCGATGAATGGTTTTCCTTCCTCGTTGGGAAAATCTGAATTTGAAATCTAATTGCTTGAGGATGCATAGCAGGTCTTCGGCATGACCTCCAACTGGATGATTACCCACAAAAAAGGGTTGAATAACACCTTGCCAATTGTTTACAGGAACATGAGGACGGTGGGGTGGCATTTTAATATTTGTTAGTAGGTGTGTTCAAGGTCTGATTTATGGATGAACGTTGGTTTGTTGGTTTGCAAGGACTGCAAGTGTTTATAAAGGAGATGAATTGATTGGTTCCTCGGAGGGTTGGAAGTTTGGAAAATGATCCTTGAAAATAGGAGAAATTAATCATTTACTGAGTCAAAGTTTCTAAAGTTTTACAAGAAGGATCTTACAGCAGCTTTAATTTGGGACCACTTATCTTCCATCCTAGAAAGTCGTCGGCTGTTGGCAGCTGACTGGTACTGCTTGATGAGTTGGGATCGGGTTTGAATTTTTAGTTCTTGGTTCAGGTCGGCTTCGTTTTTCTTGTACCGATCAATCAGGTTTTGTTCGTCGGATATGTGGCCTTCTAGGACAGTTCTGTCTTGATGAAGCGCATTCAATTCTGCCTCTTTCTTTTGAATGGACTCATCTACTTGTTTTTTGGCATTTAGGAGTCCGTTTAATCTTCCAGCTGCTTCTTGAATGGTTTCTTTGGTTTTTGCCAAGGAAAGTTCCAGAGTTGTTTGGTCCGAGCTGGGCAGGGGTGTTTCGGCCGACAGGAGTCGGGCGAATAGGACGTCATTTCGGAGTTCAGCTAGTCTTTCCATCAACCGATGCATAATGGGGGTTGCTACCGACTCTGATGGAGTTTGAAATAACAGATCACCAATCGCTTAAAGGAGTTCGTCTAAGGAATTTGCCTCCAGGTCGGGGAAAGGTCGATTGACGGCTTGGGCAAATATAGTCTGGGTGTCTGTCAAGATTGGAATGGTAGACAAGGGACCTAGATCGAGGTTTCCTTGAATTGAATCTTGTGGTTAGATTCTTTTGAAATAAGATGTCAAGAATCAGTTGTGGGAATTTCACTTACTTCTTGGCAGATTGTGGTCATGGAAGGCACAAGGAGTGCCGTGGGTCGGAGGAAGAAGGTGATTGGTATTTCGATGGCCGACTCGTCGACTGCTTCGAAAGGTCGTTGGGGCTTCGATCTGGGTCCCTGCAATTTGAGGCATAAAGTATTCAATATGGTGTAAAGATATTGGTTTTTGAGGAAAAGGAGTCTGAAAGGGTTTACCAGATTTACGGAGGTCTCTGATTCAGAAGAATGAATTTCTGCTTGTTCCTGCAAGAGACCTCTTGCTGGGTCGGCCGCATCTGGGTCGGCCGCGTCTGGGTCGGCCGCTGCTGGTAAATCTGGCGCATCTTGGTCGGCTGCTGCATTTTGGTCGGTCGCTGCTTCCGGGTCGGCCGTATCTAGGACGCCTTCAGCAAGTAAGTCGGGTGCATCTGGAACCATTGCAATTGGTTCTTCGGGTGCGTTGTGGGTGGCCGCATTTGAGGTATCCCTATCAGTGGGAACGATTTCGTCGGAAGCAATTCTAGCAGAAGTGCCTCCAACAGAGGCGATTGCGGCAGAGGCAAGTGTTGCAATCGGTTCGTCATTAGGGGAGGATGAGTTTGAAGTCACGTACGGCATTCTGCCCATTTGGGAAGCAGTCGCCTCACTATCAGAGACGACCTGAGCTAAAGGCGGTACTTGCGAAGATTGTTTTTTGGTTGAAGTTTCTTCTTGATCGCTCGCCGCTTGGAAGGAAGGGGGTTGCATCCTAGTCGGGACAACTTTCCGATTGGCCATCAGAGAGGCAAGCGTAGGTTCGATTGATGTCGAAGTCAGGGGGATGGTCACCATGGCTAAAGTTGGGCCTGACATCAAATAATAATCAGTTAGAAGCTGAAGAAAAAATTAGTTTAAATCAGGGCTTTTGGGAAATATCTAAGCGGGGTCGGGATGGTTTTGTCGCCCGGCCTAATGAAAGGTCTATCAAGGTCTGCTGATTTCCTCCAGATGACGGGGCTGTCTGGGTTTGAGGTGTTTTTCTTTTTCTCTTCGGGGCGCTTGACCCAGTGCCTAGGGTGATTGTTTTTCTTCGGGTGTTAGTCGATGGTGCCATCCCTAGCACCAAAGCAGGTCGGAGCAAAAGAGTGCTCAGCAAATGTTCTTTGTCAGAAGCAATCAAAGCCCACACGACCGACCACCATTCGCAAAAGGACTCAACAGAATTAGGAGAAGAACGGAAGGGAATGTAAGAATTAGAAGTTATATAACTGGCAAGTTGAGATACATAAGGGGCGATCAATTCAGGAATGACTCTTCCATCCGGACTTTGAATTATTAAATGCGGATGGGCAATGGGACCAGGCAAGCCTTGTTGGCATCCGAATTGGCGTGCCAAAAACTGAGGTTGATAGTTGAAGATATAAAACGCTTTGTGGCCTTTCTTATCGATTTTCTTGCTGACAAATAAGGACTTGAGCTTAAAGCAGCATTCCAGAAGAAGGAGTAAGTGGGATGAGAAGTGGGTCTGGTTCGGACAAAGGTGAAGGTACAGGGAATGGCCAAAACAGGCCGGATGCATAACCAATATACCTTCTATGTATGTAGAAATGGGTGTTATTACGATTATCGGCAAGAATGGCAGTTATGATAGGGTCGGACGCTTGGAGGTTGCTGCGACATAAGCAAAGTCGGTTGAGGGCTATTCCTAGCGACTTCTCAGATGTGGGGGCAACGGAAGGATGACCGAGTTGGAAAGCGTCGGGAAAATAGAGACGAAACCATAGTTTCAGGAACCAAAAAGGACCCGACGCAGCGGTGTCTAATTTTTTACCGTCCTTATTTGTAAGGCGGGTGCTAACCCTGGATAACCCTTCAAAAAGATTGGCAAGGAAAAGAGTACCCAGAGAAAAGAAACGGCCAGAGGCTATATGTATGGCCAAATCAAGATGAGTAGGAAGAACACACTTCGAAGGAGAAATGATGACATACTTACAGAGCCAAAAGAGCAGGAAGGCAGTATGCTCGCGGTCGGTAACAGGGGTACCGTCTGCTCCTTGTTGATCATTTAAAAAATTGGTCCAACCCCATTCCTTAATGCTAGCCAGGGACCAACCTGGTCTGCTCTGGGCTCTTGTCCATCTAGGGTACCCATTATAGGGTCTTCCCTTACGATTGGCAGATGAGCGATCATGGCCACATCCATGAGGGTGGGGCCGATGGGGGCTGTTGGAAAAAGGAAGGCGCAAGTCTCAGGGTGCCAAAACGCCGCCATTGCTAGAAGAACTTTCTTATGTAAATGACATGGGATAGTAGACAGACGTATGGCTTGATCGATCTGTTGATGTTTCCATTGATTCTGGAAATGCTCTGCTACTCTTTGGTATCAAGTGCGGTATGGATCCTTGGGGTCCATCAAATGAGTTTTGATGTTGTCATGGAGGCGGACCGCATTATAGTTAAGATCGTTGACAGCTAGTAGGTTTCGGGCTTCCAAGACTTCTCTCATGCGGTTGGAGTCTTCAGAAGTAATGCAATATGGACGAATAGTTGGAGTGAGCATTTTCGTCGACACAAGAGTGGTTTCAGGGATTGATCCGTCGAAGGGGAGAGCAGGGATGTATTGATTCGCCATGGTTTGGAATCGCAGAGATTGCAATTAACAGGAGTAGTTTTGAAGAAATGGGGAGTTTTGTGACACAATGTGTTGCAAAAAACTTATTGCAGTTGCAGAGGCAATTCCTCAGTGGGATTGTGGTTTATGAACTTCCAAACGGCGATTGAGAAATAACGTTTGAAAGTACAATGGCGGCGGGCAAGTTGTTACGTATGAAATTTAAAATTAGGTTAAAAAGCCCATGGTGAAAAGAAAAATGGGCCAAACAATTGAGATGATCGAACTGGTCGAGGGGCATTGCGGGGAACTCGGGTAAAGTAGATGTATTTCCGAGGAAATAGCGGGTCGGAAGGTCCGCAAGTCGGAAGGTCCGCAGGTCGGGAGGTCCGCAGATCGAAAGGTCCACAGGTCGGGAGGTCCGCAGATCGGAAGGTCCGCAAGTCGGAAGATCCGCAGGTCGGAAGGACCGCTAGTCGGAAGGTCCATAAGTCGGATGGTCTGTAAATCGGGAGGTTTGCGGCTGGACCAAACAAGTCGGGTGGTCTGCAAGTCGGGCCAATAAGGTGTAAGGACTGCAGTCGGTCCAAAAAGGACGGAAGGTTTGCGGTCGGACCAACATGGCGGAAGGGCTGCGTTCGGGTCAAAAAGGCGGAAGGGCTGCGGTCGGTCCAAAGAGTCGGATATTATTAAGAGTGATTGAGAATGATAATTCGGTCGGCTGATGGCACGTGCCAGCAGGAGAAGGGTTAGCAGACGGTTGAAAAGAGGCATTGTAACCGTTCGGGCGACCGTCGCAGACTGAAGACGGTTGAAAAGAGGCGTTAGCAGACGGTTTCCAGCAGGAAAAGGGTTAGCAGACTGAAGAGTATTTAAGGATTAAAATTTGCAACTGGCAAAGGATCTTCAATCAACTTCAACAAAAGCAAAGTCAGATTCGGAGATTACCACTTTAAATTTCCAGTATTTTAATTTCCAGTTAATTTTTTTTAGATACCGTACCGTGTTTAGAGATTCCTAATCTCAGGCACTAATTAATCAAATTTGAGAATATTTCCATATCTTTGAATTTTACTTTTTATTTGTTGAAAAAATACATCAACAATTACATTTGTGTATCTCTATTGCCACTATGTTTGGTTGTCGGTCAAACATTAACGTTTTTCTTCTTGGTGATCTCCAAGCACAAATTTATATTGAGCAACCATCTGACATTTTGTTGCTTTAGAGAATGTAATAGAACCAAAGAGTTGATATAGATTCATCTGAAAGCAACCATACTCTTTGATATAGAACCAAAGAGTATGGAACTCATGTTTAGGGAGGTAGCTAGTGTTGAGAAGCTCACGCATTGTTTGGATTTGTTAAATATTAGTGTTATTTTGCGGTCTTTACTTTTAACGGGAATAGGGTTGATATATACTGACAGTAACCACACAACGAAGTATATATTGGATAAAAGTTAAAACAGCCCTAATGAGAACATAGGTGGCAGAACCATACATCAGATCTGGTGTCTAGATTTATTGTCAACAACAAATACAAGCAAAATTGTTGGTGACAATGATGAAAAGCATTAAGCATTCATCAACAAATACATCCAAACTTGGCTGCAGCAATCATGAATACTAAAAATGAAGAAGAAAACTTGGCCGCAGCAGCAATCTTGAATACCAAAAACGGGGAAGCCTAAGTATGAAGGCAGCAATGCCGGCCAAATGGGCAGGACAGAAGCAGAAACAAATAAAATACTAATAATAATAAGAAATACCTCAGCAGCTTTTGAAGGCTCCATCCAGCGACTGGGAATCCGAAGTCCTTGAAAAGAACCATGTGGTCGTTCATCGCCGCCGCCATTGGGAGAAGTGGAAAAATAAAAGCTTTTGCTGGAGAATGGGACGCCAACTTTCGGTTGGGGGCATGATCGAAAATCAGTCCTATCAAATTTAGGGGCAGCAGTTGGATTTAGTATGGGCGGTGAACTAAAATTGAATATGAGCGTTTTCATCCCGAGTAGATTAGAGTGGAGGAGGATTCAGATTCAGATTCAGATTCAGATTCAGTGACTCGAACTGCTGGAGAGAGTGGAAGTTGATGTCTGAGTTCTGCTGACGACGAGCAGAATGAGCATTTGAGTCACCGTCAGAACGAGGGCGGTGATCGACGGCCGGACTGATTGGTTCTGCTTTCTCCTGCAGTCTATCCCGTATCATCTTCTTTTCTATCCATCTTTCGATACGGAATAAATTATCCACATTTTACTATTTTGACCATCTCGACACAAACTATACTATTTTGACTTTCTATCTTTAGAAAAAAATATAGAGTAAGTATTTCTTGCAAAACTATCATATAAAATTAATATTATACTGTATCAAAATACAATTCAAATTCAATTTTTTTTTAAAAAAAAAAATTATATTTACATTTGAACTTTACTTTTTTTTTTTATAGTATAAAAATCGACTGGACAAATCTGAAGTTTGAATTCTACCGTCATAAATAGATCATCCTTATATCATCACATTATCTCTTATTACTTGAGTCTTACTTTTTTATTTATTATTTTAAAAAATAATAATAAATAATATTAATAAAAATAAAAAAATAATTAATTATGATACCATTATATACAAATTTAATTACTTTTGATTTTATCATTAAAAAATCTAATAAAATGTGAATGATGACTATGAATAGTCACCAAATAATACAGTAGTATTCTAAAGCAGCACAAATAAAAGTTTAATTTAGCTTTTTTTCAATAAATGATTGATTGAATTGATTCATATCAAAAGAATGTGAAAAGATATTTTTGACTAATGTATGGATATATAAAAAAAGGGGATAATTATAACATATAAAAATATTATGTATTTTATTTTTTTGTGTAAATTTTTTGTATTAAATTAACATAGACATATAAAATTTTATATGAATAAAAAATAAAATATATTATTTTTTAATAAAATAATTATTTATTTAGTAGTAATTTGTGAAAGTTAAGATTAATTCAAATCCTCGTAGCTGAGGTTATTATGAATTGAGAATCTATATTTTTTTTTTTCAACGATGTCGAACCCTACAACAATTATTTGAAAATTTAACTCCTCCCGTTACAAGTTTAACTCCTACACCACCGGCCATCCTTCTACTATCATTTTTACAACAATGTATACTTTGGTAAATCCGAACGTACCCAATCGGTGAATCATGTGTGTTCACAAGTAACATCTGAAAGGTGCGTTGGTAAATAAGATTTGAAAGCGAGTTTGAATCTCACGAGTTTGAAAGGTGTGTTTACAAAAACTTCTGTTGCCAATTTCATATTGATTAAATTATTCAGTTCATTCACCGCCCTGCCCCTGCCCCTGCCCCTGCCCTAGATAGATAGATAGATAGATAGGTAGATTAGCAGATAATGCCATCCCCATCCATGTGCATTCTGTATTTCTTTTCCCTTAAAAAACAATTGGTCAGCACTCAGCAGGCAGGCGCAACTCAACTCTCACTCCCTCACTCACATCAAACTCCATACATCTTTGACCCCTCTCTCAAATCTCAATTCTCCTCCTCTACTCGGGATCGGGATCGGGATCGGGATCGGGATGATAAGATCATCGCTCATCCTCAATTTCACTTCGCCGCTCATGCTAAATCCAATTCATTCTCTTAAATCCGCAAACACGGCCTTCTCCCAACACAAAGTTGGCGTCCCCCCATTCTTCAGACTTACCAAACTATTCTCGTCTTATTCCATTTCCCCAAACGGCGGCGATGAAGGCCCCCGCAGGGATTCTGTTCAACCACTCAGGATTCCCACCCACTGGATGGATCCTTCAAGAGCTGCTGAGGTAGGTAGGTATATATATATATATTGTTAGAATAAAAAATACGAATTCTGTAAGAATTTGTTCATAATATTTATAATGATCTATCTACAAATCATCTAAATAATTACTATAAATATAATATATCTTTTCTAAATATATTTTAGCATATATTTCTTTGTTATTTTGTATTGTGTTTTCTTCCGTTCATGATAAATCAATATATTTTCTTTTGATATGTTTGAAAAGTTGAAATTTTGGTGTAAAATAAACAGACCTGAAATAATACACTACAGTTAGTATTGGCCATAAAAAAATATAACAATAAGTTGGGAACAATTTTTCTTGCCAACATAACACTGCTCGAGAAATGGATAAATTTGAAAGGTATAAGACTATGCTCAATATATGACCGAGCGAAGCTAACCACAATAATATATTTTCTTGCCAACACAACGATGCATAATATTTGGATTGCTATTGGTGTTGGTATTGTAATGCAGGCAATAGTTATTTAGGAGCGCTATGGAATGATAGTAATAGTCTAATAGAGGAGATGTAGTGTAGAGAATTTTGTTGTTTATTACTTTGGAGCTTAAAAGCTTGACCAAAACTTCCTACCGGATAATGCTAATCGATATAATCACAAGGTTACAATGAAATTTCTAGTTTCTCGAACAATAATTTTGAATTGTATAAATGTATGACACTATAGCATAAGTTGTATAGTGTGGAAGATGTCTACCAGATTTTCTAGAAATTAAGACATATTTTGTGATAGTAAGTGAATCAAACAATGTGCAACTCAACTTATCTCCTACATATCACCATTGGCAGGAATCAAAATGGCTTAGAGTGAACCTTCAAAAATGGTTGGATGACGAGTACTGCCCCGAAGCCACTAATATAGAAATAAGCAGAATTGCTGCCGACTCATACTACAGATCGCTGGTGGAAGGAAGTGCTGATTTAGGAGAGATATTGTTAAAAATGGCTGTGGAGTTGGAATCAATATCATACCAGGAGAGCTTCCATGGAGCATTCTCCTCCGCAAATGCTGCAGTGAGTCTTATTGTTGATCGAGTTATGCTGCTGGAGTAATTCATTTTGGCTTGGCTTGGCCCTTGGTCTGTACAGTAGTAAGTAGAGGTACTTTGAATGAACAATGCAGACTAGGAAGGACCGGACCGGACCAAGTGTCTGATTAGATTGTTTCATGGGGTGAGGCTCCCGTAACTTCTTCGATGGGAGGGAGGGAGGGAGGGAGCTGCTCCTAGTGTCTGATCAGTTGTATTTGTATTTGTAAAGATATTTGCATTTTTATTTGTATTTGTGGGTGCTCCGCTCCAGTAAATGGTGGTTTGGTTTGGTGCTTTTAAATATATAAGGTGTCTGTCTGTCTGTTTGAGGCCAAGGAGTGTATGGTATATAAGGACATATGGTCGAGGCCCTAAATAAATAGTCGCTCAGAGTGGAACCAACTATTGAGACTATTTACTAAAAACATGATGATTCCTATTCAAGTGTCAGTTTGGGAGACGAGCTGGCTGTCTGTCTGGGTCATCATCTTCTTCTTTTACTAGTTGCTCGTGCTGCTGCGCCTTCCTGCCTAGAGTAGAGGCCCAGGCTCGACAGTCTTGTCTTAGCCACGAGTGTAGAGCATGCTTAGACACGTTGCTACTCTTTTATTTATTCACCATGGCAGTTGTTGGACGATATAGATGAAGGCTTCACCAAAAAGCTTAATCGATTGAATCGAGCAATTTCTGCAACAGCAATGCAATGTAAGTGGAACATGGTAAGCTGATCCTCTTTCGGGCAGCTGCATTTTCTCATTTCAAAAGATGCATTAACAGAAAGAGAGGGGATACACCCAATCAATCAATCACTCACTCCCCCTCCAGTCAGTCCCAGCCAGGATCACAAAATTCTTTTACACGTAACAACACCTCACTCAGCACTTCATTCATTCACTCTCTCTCCCCTCCACACATGATCTGGCAAATGCACATCGGCAATGCTGCAGAAGACATGACTAACTGACTACTGACTACTCTCGCTAGCATGTGCTCCTCCATCATTGCCTCCGCTGGCAGCAGATAAACCCCCTTGATACGCAGGCGGCGGCGGCGGCAGCGGCAGCGGTGCAAACATTGGTGGGGCACCGCTTATTGGGGTTCCAGCACTTCCAGGAAGAGGGGCTGTGGTAACCGGTCTCTGGTGGCCATTCATCTGACCTGGCACCGGTGGTGCGCCTGGAGGAGGCACCATCTGTGGCATGGGCATGGTCTGCGGGGTAGCTGCTGCATAACCTCCTTTAGGAAGATGAAGAAAGTATAAGTTAAAAGGCACGCATTCTAGCATCTATCTATCCATCTATCGACATTTCTAGTATAAGTAATTGCTGCAATACTAATATTATAATAATATTATTATTATTATTGTTATATATGAGTCATCTATGTTTTTCTGAATCCCAACAAGTGCCTTCTAACAATAAATTCTAGTAGTAAGTATATGAGATGTGCTCAACTCCAAAACAGACAAAAAGTTACCATAGGTATTAATGATGTTACTGGGAGTTTTAAACATATCTTGTATCATCATCATCAAAGAAGTGTGCAACTCTTAAAAATACGAGAAGAAAACAAAAGGTATATATACTCTGTTACACTACTGGGGGGTGGGGGTCTGACTTTGACATACCTGGACCTCCTCCAGGAACAGGTCGCGGCAAAACTGGAAGTCTAATCCCTGGAACTAAAGGTGCACCAGGAGGAGGAGGCAACTGTCCAGGAATTGGCGTGGGTAGAACTGGAAGGCCAGGCCTCAGCGGGCCATAAGGAGTCACAGGCGGCCTAAATGCACCTAGATGTTCCTTCACTTTCTGGTCTATCAGACTTTGATTTAATTGTGCTTCGTACTGCTGATAATAATTTCTCACGTTTGCCTGCAGGGCATATACATTTATAAATGTATTGATAATAGTACTATATAAGGAAACAGATGAAGAAATCAAAGGGAGGACAACACCTTGTGCTTGTATCCTGCATTATGCTGCTTTCTAACTGAGGGCTGCAGAGATCACAACTCCACTAGTTTCAATATATGCATCACGGACCATGGACAACGATAATTGAAAGAAAGAAAGAAAGAAAGAAAGAAAGGTTGCAGTTTTAAACTTAATAGACAATGAAACAACAATGATTCAATTTCCGTCCGTGAATATTGGCCGGTGTTTAGTTTTGACATAATTTCCTTTATTATATATATATTCTTTAAAAAAAAATTAAAGTGCAGATCAAGGCAGGAGCCGAGCCTAGCCGACACAACAAAACAATTCCAAGAGGAAAATAACAGGCAAAATCAATGATTGTATGTGTGTATATATAAATTCTGGCAAAACAAGGTTGAAGCAAATTCTCTCCAACCCGATGGGATAGAAATTATAGAAAATGAATGAATTAATTGTGCACCAATCTAGCCAAACTTTCTTTTACTACCCATATAATTCCTTATATGTATTTATGGTGTAGCAACATAATTCATGGTGTAGAGTAGCTTACCTTAGCTATGTAATTAGCTTAATCTTAGCTATATAATTAATGTAGTGTTGACCATCCTCCCTATAAATGTATATGTTATGTAGATGAATAATATCACCAATACCTTGATTACCTTTCATGGTATCAGAGCCTCACAAAGCCTAACAAGCTATACCAACATTGAATCCATGGCCTCTTTATCAAATTCTACTGTCATCCAAATTAACGCTGCCCAGCAGCTTCCACTCAAACTCGATGAGACAAATTTTCCCTCTTGGCTATTACAAATTCAGACCCTCTTATTTGGACTTGATCTCCTTGGTCACATTGATGGCACAATTCAGCCCCCTCCAAAGATGATTTCGACCAATGAAAAGGATGGCAAGGAAGTTCCAAATCCAGAATACTCAACATGGGCAAGGCAGGCTAAACTGATTATCCATGTCATATTATCATCCCTAAGTCCATCTCTTGTACCCCTAATTGTGAGGGCACAAACATCCTTTACGGCTATGGAAACACTCACTAAGGTTTTCTCCAGTCAGACAAGGTCGAGAGCTGCGGCGCCAAGAAGAAAGCTAGCGACAACATTGCAGGATAATGTGAAGGTAATTGAATATCTTCATTTGATGAAATTTATCATGGATGATCTTGCTCTTGCTCAAAACCCGATCACTGAAGGCGAACTCATAGCCGCTATCATGACAGGCTTAAATTCAGAATTTGACACTATTGCAACAGCCCTAAAGGCAAGAGAAACTGAATTGTCATACACGGAACTTTTTGAAAAGCTTGTCGATCATGAAAACACCACTCGACAGTAGCAGCACAAGGTGTACCTTGCAAATCTGGTTCGAGCAAATGGAAGGCAGGGGCAGCAACATTATCCTATTGAAAATCAGCCCCAGAGACATTCTTACCGCGGTGGAAACAACAAAAGTAGAGGAGGTTATCATGGCGGTAGACATGGCAACAATCGTGGTGGTGGTTTGAAAAATAGAAACAGGGCAGTTTGTCAACTTTGCGATAAGCCCGGACACACAGCTAAAGAATGTTGGGGCAATTTCAGAAATAATCCAGCGGTAAATGCAGCACAATTTGGTATGACTCCATCTTCACAGGCTTGGATAATGGACAGTAGAGCATCTGCCCATGTAACAGGAGACGCCAATACACTGACAGAGTTTACAAATTTCGGGGGTCCTGAGGAGCTCACTTTGCCAAATGGTTGAGGTTTGCCTATCACAAAACTTGGTAAAACACTTTTACCCACTAGTTCTAGACCTTTGGTACTTAAAAATGTCCTACATGTCCCTAAAATCTAAAATAACCTAATATCAGTTTCTCAGCTAACCAAGCAAAATAATGTCCGTTGAATTCTTACCTGAATGTTTTCTTGTGAAGGACCTGAGCACGGAGGCGCTACTAATGCAGGGACACAAATTACGTAGTTCCGAGACAGTCAATATTCAAATTGGTGCCCCAAGTTAGTCATTTCAAATTGCTTCGTAGAAAATAAGTTGTGGCATAGACGCCTAGGTCATCCTGCCACTAAGACTTTGAATTCTATGTTAAAGTCACTTGGTTTAAGTAATAAAATTCATAACTCCAACCGAGAATGTAATGCTTGTCAATGTTCAAAGCGTCATAAATAGCTCTTTGGCGTTTCATCTTTCAAAAGCTCAAAACCCCTCGAAATTGTGTTTAGTGATGTTTAGGGAAGCCCTGATATTAAGTCTATAGATAATTGTCACTATTATGTTGTATTTGTTGATCACTTTAGTCGGTTCTCCTGGATATATCCCATGCGTTTTAAATCTGATGTCAGAGAAATTTTCATCAGATTTAAGAACACTATGGAAAAGTTCCTGGGTGAAAAGGTTATTCAATTTGTTTCTGACAATGGGGGTGAGTGTCAATCCTTAGAGGCATTTTTTGCTCAAAATGGTATCTCCCACACAAAAACGCCACTGCATACTCCCGAGTACAATGGTGTCTCTGAAAGGAAGCATCGGCACATTGTTGAAACAGGTCTTACACTGTTAAAAGATGCTAATTTACCTAGTAGCTATTGGACTTATGCCTTTAAAACATGAGTGTACCTCATAAACCGAATGATTTCAACAAGTTTAGGAAATAAATCCCCCTATGAACTCCTCTTCAAACAGAAACCGAATTATCAAAAACTCGAGGTGTTTGGATGCTTATGTTACCCATGGTTAAAACCATACAATCCAGGAAAGTTACAATCCAAGTCTGCCCTTGCATATTTTTAGGCTAGGGTGATAGTCAAAGTGCATTTATTTGTGAGGAAATTGCCACTTAAAAGGTCTATTACTAAGACATGTCAAATTTTTTGAAAATACATTTCCTTGTGCAAATAATTTGGACAAAGACATTGATCGAAGTGCAAGTAATGATTACAAGGTTGTCTCCAACAGTAGTGACGCCTCACTGCTCGGGCTCGACACAGGTATCATTTCTTATCCTATTCTTCCTACCAACAACACAGCACACCACACTCTCACAGAGTCATCCACTGTCACCCCAACAGAACCGCGCAATGCAAACCCATCCGAATCACGTGCTGAATCAATTGCTCCAGCCTTGCCAATGCCCTTCACCACGTCACCACCTACACTTCACCGTGATATAGAACCTGCACCAAACTATTCAAACAACCCTCCATCTGAATCAACTCCTCTCCCTAATACACACCCAGTGGTAACTAGATCCAAACTTGGTATAACCCCAAATATCAGGCTAACATTCTTCTCAAATTTCCTTGCCCCAAAACTCTTGAACCAAGGAATGTGAGCCAGGCACTCCAAGATCCAAATTGCAAAAGTGCTATGCAGGAGGAATTTGATGCTCTTGTCAGAAATGACACATGGACACTAGTACCAAAAGAGGCTTCAAGCAATATTATAGGAAATAAATGGGAGTTTCGCATCAAACGCAACGCTGATGGTTCCATTGCACGACTCAAGGCGCGGTTGGTGGCGAAAGGGTTTCATCAACGACCTGAGCTTGCTTATCATGAAACTTATAGCCCAGTGGTTAAGTCGGCAACAGTTCGAACGGTGCTTACCATTGATGTCTCTAGATTTTAGAAATTTAGGCAATTGGATGTGAACAATGCCTTTTTGCAAGGCACTCTTGATGAAGAGGTGTATATGGATCAGCCACCGGAATTTTGTGATGCGACACACCCTCATTACATATACAAACTCAACAAAGCCATATATGGGCTCAAGCAAGCACCTCGGGCTTGGTATACCGAGTTGAGTAAGTTTCTTCTTGATTTTGGCTTTGTCAATCGAACTACTAATGCTTCCCTCTTCGTTTACCACAAGGATGGGATCATCTTATATTTCCTTACATATGTTGATGATCTTATTCTAACTGGAAATAATGATGAATTCCTTGACAAATTTCTTCGAAAAATATCGCGAAGGTTCTCCCTTAAAGATCTGGGCGAACTTCATTACTTCTTGGGAGTGGAGGTTACAACAACGGTGTCAGGTATACACTTGAATCAACAACAATATGTATTAGACATTTTGGAGAAATTTGATATGTTGCAAGCAAAACCTTCACCGACTCCTATGCAAGTTCCACGGTGTTAAAACTTGATGATGGTTCTGAAGAGACAAACTCGACACAATACCGTCAAGCTCTTGGGTCCCTTCAGTATCTTACGATGACACGGCGTGACATAGCCTTTGCTGTCAACCAGCTTTCTCAAGTGATGCACATGCCAACAGCCAATCATTGGGTCAGCTTGAAAAAAATCCTTCGATATCTTAAAGGGACTAGCAATTATGATTTACACATCAACAGGTCATCCGACTTTGTGATAGTGGCCTACATGATTCTGATTGGGGACGTAACTATGTTGATAGATCATCAACTACCGGATATGCCATTTATGTTGGCAATAATCCCATCTCCTGGAAAAGTTCAAAACAACGGGCCGTTGCCCGATCATCGACTGAAGCAGAATACCGAGTCTTGGCGAATGCTGCTGCTGAAGTAATATGGCTTCAAAACTTGCTTCGTGAGCTTCATGTGCACACCAACTCTCCACCAAAGTTGTTTTGTGACAACTTCGGCGCTACATACTTGAGTGCTAATCCAATGTTTCACTCTCGCATGAAGCACTTGGCCCTTGATTATCACTTTGTCCGACAACGAGTCTAAAGTGGGGGAACTAAAGGTTCAATATATCCCAACTAAGAACCAGCTAGCTAATGGTCTCACCAAACCTCTGTCTAGGCTGCGCCTTGAGTTTCTCGGGCACAAAATTGGTGTAGACAACAACATCATTTTGTGGGGCGCATAGAAAAGGAATAAATTATTTGTGCACCAATCTAGCCATTCTTTCTTTTACTTTCCAGTATTTAGGGTGTAGCAGCATAAATCATGGTGCAGAGACTTAGCTATGTAATTAGCTTAATCTTAGCTATGTAATTAGCGCGGCGTTGACCATCCTCCTTATAAATGTATGTACTATGTAGATAATAATATCACCAATACTTCAGAAATTTCCTTAAGTTGATTCACATAGTGGATGCGATGCGTGCATACATTATTCGTAGCATAAGGAAAAGGGAAGGGAGGGGAAAAGAAATGAGAGAGAAAAAGGCTTACGGAATCATGCGTGAGGTAAGTGTCACAATAGTCGCAATAGTACCTGGAAGCGGGGAAACATCCAAAAGTCTGGAACTAAAGCAAGCGCCGGTAAAGAGTGATATGATTGACAGCACACAAAGATACATATAGACGGGCATACCTGGGCATGGCGGAAACGAAGGCAGATCTTCTTGGGTACCGAAATCCAAATCGAGAAGGAAGGAAGCAGCAGAGCAGCGGGATCGGAAAGCAAAACCAAACCAAACCAAAGGCAAGCCCTAGCCCTAGCCCTAGACCCTCGGTAGTTATTAGTTCTAGGCCAGACCAGATAGGTGAGAAAGAAGAACAGATTGAATCATTGAGAGAGGAGGAGGATGTCGAGTTTCAAAAAGCGTGCGTGCGGCGTAAGAAGTTGCTACTAGTTTCTTTTAAACGCGCGCTCTCTCTCTCTCGCTCGCTAATAACAACTGCTACTCTACTCCGCTCGTGTTGTGCAAGACAGACACGCTTTCTGGCTTTCCTTTCTGCCCAGCCCAGCCCAGCCCAGATCAGACTTGGGCCGGGCCGGTCCATCATCAACAAATTAATAATACACACATCCCCTCTCTGGGCTGGACGATGAAGTAGTACTACTTTTAAATGAAATCAATCGGAAAAGGGTAGATTCCGATCCGAAAACAAAAAGGGGGAGAGAGGGAGGGGGTAGTTTAGAACAGCACTGATTTTTACAATTTGGTCTCCTATACTTATTATTATACACTAGTATTACTTAAATAAGATTCTAATAAATAACAAACAAGAGATTCGTCTTCTTGGTCATTATTCATTTATAATTTATAATTTTCTACTCCCCGCACTTGTTATTCTTAGAAGCAGTTGCAATATGCCCCCTTGTTACTTTTTTAACCTGTCCTGTGCTGTCCCTCCCTCCCTCCCCGGCGCCAGTGAATAATTCTGAAAACAGGCAGGCAATCGAGGAGGAGGAGGATGAATGAAGGCCAAATGTGATGAATGAGATAAGGAACGAATGGTGGTTGGTTACAGCATGGACCGAGGAAGACAGCATAATTGATCTCATCTCATCTCATTGGTGCAACAGCCAAACGGCTGATGAATAATAACAGTAACAATAATATAAATCCAAGAGCAAGAAGAGAGAGAGAGAGCACGAGCACAAATAGAAATAGAAATAGAAATAGAAATACAAACCCCTCCCCCCCCCCTACAACAATGCTGCAACTCCTCCTCCTCCTCCTCAAAAATGAAAAAGTGATCCATCCATCCATCCATCTATCTGAATCCAGCCGCAATCCTCTGCATCGGAGAAATCAAGCCCTGCAACTCCACCAGAGACTGCTGCACTCTCATCTCCTCCTCCGCGTCCCGCTTGAGGTTCCTGATGTGCCCCCTCAGCTCCCCGCAGCATCTTATGTCCTCAGCCCGCACTTCAACCACCTTCTTCGCTACCCTCACCAGGAACCCTGCATACCTCGCCATCGTCGCATACCTCTGCACGAACCCCAGCAGCGCCCCGAGCTCTTCCCTGTCCAAGTTCAACACGCACTTCAGCAGCTTCTTCCGCGCCACCAGCTCCTCCATCACCGCCACCGCACTCTCTGGATTCTTCCCCTCCAATGCTGCCACCAGCGCCTCCTTGTGCCTGAACTTCTTCAACAGCTTGTCGTGCTCCGAAAATCTCACTTTCTTGGGCCTCCTAATCAGGTAATCCCCCTCCCCCGGCTTCTGGTTCTGCCCCCGACTAAAGTACCTAAAATACGAAGGCCCCAGAGGCCGCCGAGGCTGCTCTTCCTCGACAACCGCCTCCCACCCCATGTCACCTCCGATGCCCTCCTCCTCCTCCTCACCCCCCCTCGCCACCTTCCTCCTCCTCCCCACATACAAGGTCCCTTTTGAAGACCCTATCACTCTTGTGCGACAATCTGCGGAAAACCCCACCGACAACAGCGGCTCGGGAAACCTCATCGAATAGGTGATCTTGAACTTGGCGTAATCAAAGACCTTCATATACCCATCCAAGGAAACGCTCAAGATCCTATACTCCCCAGCCGCCTCCCCGCACTCTTTCCCAACCTTACCCATACAGAGTGCAGTGACAGTCTTGTTGTGGCTTTCCATGGAGTATAGCAACTTACCTCCTCCAATCACATCCCAGATTTTCACAGAATTACCTCCCGCGGTAGCAAGCAAACCGCCAGATGGCAAATAAATCACGCTTTCCACTGGCTTCTCGTGACTCAATTCCATCACAGAGCCTGCTGCTGTATTTGACGCCCTCAAATCCCAAAGCCTAATTCTATGATCATAAGACCCAGAGGCAAACAGTTGATCACTAGCCGGCGAAGCATCGCCGCATCGCACATAATCCTTGTGCCCTAAAAGTTCAGATATGCACTTTTCGGTCGTGACGTCCCAATACTTAACAACCGAGTCATCTCCACCCGAGAAGAGGTGAAACTTATCGGCCACGTGAGGGTAACATACCAGGCGAGTACCAGCGGCGTGACCTTTCAAGCGGCGAAGATGACTGCGCGACTTGGCCTCAAAGACGTGGATGGTGCCTGTTAAATCTCCGGCGGCTAGGAGTTTCCCGTCGCAGCGGAAAGAGGTGGAGGCGGCGGCGTCAGAGAAGGCGGTGATAGAGGATTTGAGGTCGAGAGTTTTGCCGGAAAAGATGGAGATACTGGCGGAGTGGGCGGCGGCGAAGTCATGAGGGGCAACTGGGGAAAAAGAGAGTGAAGTTAGGGGAAAAGTGAAGGAATTGGTGTGGATATCTTTGGGGGTCTTGAAGGATTTCCAGTACTTGGATTCCGGAGAGGGTGCAGTTGGGGAGAATGAGGGTCGGAGCTTGGGTTTTACGGCGTAAGTTTCTGCCATGGAATGGAGGAGGAGGATGAAGGAGGGTGGGTGGGTCGGCAGGCGGCGGGAGGGAGGGAGGACGCCGTTTTAATTTAGGGTTTTGTAGTTTTCATTCAAGGTCCCAGGCTTCGGCGTGTTTTAGCCTACTGTTACGATCCAATACGGAGTAGTAGTCATAATTTATCCTTAAAATTATAAAAATTTAAGTGAACTTTCTTTTTTTAAAAGAAAATAAAATATTTTATACAATTTTACATAGTCTACGAATAAATAATATTTTAAACCAAAACAACAAAAAAGACTTTATCACCTTGTATGAATCACTCTATATATATATATATATATACTTCCTCCTTTCTTTATGTACTCTGTTTTTTATTTTATTTTCTTAATTCACAAGTTTATATTTTATAAAAAATTATTAATATTAAATCTATTTAATAAATATAAATTAATTTAATTAAATTTATAATTTTTAAAATAATAAATGAATATTTTTATTTTTTATAAAATTAATTTATATTAGTTATAAATAAACAAAATACTTTTTTATTTAATTATATTCTATAAAATTTTATATTTTGTAAAGTAATGTGTACATTATATATATTTCATTGAAAGAATGGTACTTAAAATATTTAAATATATATTCTAAAAAATTTTAATATTATATACTAATTTTTATTTTAAAAACACTAACACTGTTACTCACATAAAAATTAATAATATAATTGTTGATGTATTTTTTCAATAATAAAAAATAAAATTCGAAAATATGAAATTATTTTCGAATTTGATATAATTAGTGTCTGAGATTAGGAATCTGTTAAGATACATAAATAAGAAAAATAAAACTAAAGACTGGAAAATAAAGTGGTGATCCCAAAAGCAATTCTCTTGAATTTGATGTCGATTGAAGATGTCTTTTTTCGAATAGCACCGGATCCTTAAATAACCCCTTAAAGAAACGGTTTGAACCACCATTTGGTCGGTTACAACAACTGCTGTCAACCGTCCACCAAGTTCTCCTCTGTTGGCACGTGTTGCAACTTCCTTCAACCATTTGCCGGTTGCAACTTCTTCCAACCCCCAGAACTGCCTCTCACGACTTGAACCGTCCCACAAATGCCTTTCGTCCTACCTGCATATCCACTGTCATGTCCCTTCTTGCCCAACTTCGTTTCGCCCGACCTATGTGCCACCCGACCAATTAAGAGACTAACCGGTCACCAGACCAAACGATTCCTTGGCTACCCCATCAAGCGACCACCATTTGGTCTCTTGTCCGACCACGTATCATCCGTCTCATTCTTCTTCGCCCGACCTCACTTGATCCGAACTCCGCATCAACCGACCTCCGCATCGTCCGACTCAACCGACTGCAGACCGCCCGACCTGCTCAACCGACTTTGGACCATCCGACCTATTTAACCGACTGAGAATCAACCGACCACGGATCAGCCGACTGAGAACCAACCAACCGTGGATCAACCGATGGCGAAACAGCATCCTCCGGTCGCCTTATCTCCTTAGATGGACGGCTGGTCCAACCGACTTCCTTTTGACTCTGCTACCATACCGTCTTACCTTGGCCCGTCCGTGGGCCAACCAACCAACTTTCTTTGGTCGGACTGCAGACCAACCGACCAACTTCCTTTGGTCAGACTGCAAACCAACTTTCTTTCGCCCGACTTCCTCTTTCAACCGACCTCTGGGCAGTTTGGCTTATATTCAGACACGTCCAAAATCCTACTGCCATTATTAATTATTATTTTTTTTTTTTTTGCTCAACAATAATATTATTGTTGAAGTATTTTTTTCAACAATAAAAAAGTAAAATCCGAAAATTGGAAATTATGTTTGAATTTGATATAATTAGTGTCTGATATTAAGAATCTCTAAACACCGTATAATACATAAATAAACTGAAAAATAAAACTAAAGACTAGAAAATTAAATGATGATCCCGAATCACTTTGTTGTTGTGTGAAGATCATTGAAGATAATTTTTCAGAACAGACCCGAATCCTTAAATATTCCTTCAAGAAAACGTTTCAGAACCGTCGTCTGGTTAGTTACAACAACCGTCCACCAATTCCTCCTTTATTGACACGTGTCTTTAACCGTCTCGTCAAACGCTTCCACCAGTTCCAGAACTCAACTGGCCCGACCGACCGCCTTTGGGCGCCTTACTTCTTTAAATGGACGGCTAGTCCCGAACGAATGCTCCAAAACGCCCATCATGCTTCAGACAGACTGCAGGCCGACCGACTGACCCAAACGTATAACCCAAAGATTGACCCACCGACCATTCCAGAGACTAACTGGTCGCTAGACCAAACAACTTATTGGTCGCCCCATCAAGCGACCAACATCTGATCTCTCCAGACGATTCAATGGTCGCCCCAACCAAGCGATTGAACTACTGTTCACTTAATTAGGCTACTAATTAACAGACTTTCTTCGCTTGGTCCAAACTCCGTATTGGCCGACTCAACCGATGGCGGACCAACCGACTGCGAACCAACCGATCCCACTGCAGCCCATCCGACCTGCCTATCCGACCGCGGACCTTCCGACCTGCCTATCCGACCACGGATTTTCTGACCTGCCTATCCGACCGAGGACCAACTGACTTGCCTGTCCGACCACGGACCTTTCGACCCACCTGACAGCGGACCTTCCGACCTACTTATCCGACTGCCGACCAACCGACCTGAGTGCATCTTTTCTCCTTTTCGTCCGACTTCGTGTCCTAACTTCTTTTAAGATCCTGCTACCATTATTATTATTATTATTTTTTTTTTTTTTTTTTTTTTTTTTTTACGTAACAATTATAACATATAATATTTAATTTATTAAATCATATTAAATAATATCATAATATATTATTATTAATTTATTAAAATAACATTATATATTATATTTTATACTCCCTCCGTCACGAACACTATGCAATATTTCCTTTTTGGTATGTACCAAACACCTGCAGCATTTTCAAAATAGAAAATAATTAAATATATTTAATCTCAAATTATCCTATTTAATACTACCCACCTATATCAAAAGTAAATGTTGTTATTTGAGACTGAGGAAGTATCATTTTTAAAATAATATTTATAAAAAGCCATTTCATTTAAAAACAAACTCTCTATACTATTATTATTGTATATTCATATACATAAACCCGCAATCGCCGCTATCCGAAAGTGCGTATCGGGTAAACTTCCAATCGAACCTAAAACCCTAGAAATCAGGTCCAATGAAAAAGTCACACTAAGCAAGTGACATGAGGCATTGGGAAACTTCGGTCCTTCCTGCAATATAAATCACCATTATCTATATTTCTTTTTCTTTTTCTAATTTTTTTGTGTTAAATAATTATTTTAATAACAATTTATATTATACTTAAAAATATTAAGTTTTGAGCGTGGCGATGTCTAGGCTCACTCCAAGATCAATCATATACATAAAAACACTCCTACTACTACTTAGCATCATGTATTATTAGAAGCTATGCAAATGTCAGCGAATGAATAAAGTATTTTTCAACTCTGTTACTTCAATTCTTTCCAAAGACATCAAAAAAAAAAAAAACACCAGGAGCAGTGTCGCGTACCATCAATAATATATCCTTCTCTTTCACTTTTTTCTTCTTTACAAAAATAGTATCACAATAATAAAACAAAACCCAGTGCTGCCACTGCCATTGCCATTTCCACTTGCTGCTTTTGTACAAATATTGAATATCCAATCCGCGAACCCATCAATCCGCCATTCTATAGTTAATTTCTTCAACTAGTCCCAAGGTATGTCTCTCTCTCTCTCTCTCTCTCTCTCTCTCTCCTCCTCCTCCTCCTCCTCCTCCTCCTCCTCCTCCTCCTCCTCCTCATCCTATCTATGTCTCTGCCTCTCTTCTCAAATGGCATCTATGTATGTCTGTATGTATATATGTAGAATGAATAAATAACAACAATAACACATAGTAGTACAACAGGGTAGGGTAGGTTGCCCACTCCTCCTCAGCTTGCTCCATTTTAGTCACAAGTATTATATCCCAGTGGGCGGGGGCGGCCAGGGCCAGAATCTACTGTCCGTCATATGTAGGCAAGTGAACTCCTGTCAAATTCAGGCTGCGGGCGACCTCTTGTAGGAGTCGGAGGTCTTTGAATGTTAAGCTCCTAATTAATGAATCCAACAAATAAATAGCATTTTGTCAGTAGCGCCAACCCAAAGATGGAAAAAGACCAAGACATTTGTATTTTGTTCCAAGCCAAAAAGCAATGGGGAGGAAGGCATGCATACCTGCATCCATGTTTCCTCCATCACCCGCTCAGGAGATGTCTCCGGGGACTGAAGAGGTGGGGGCAGGGGATGGATCAATTTTGGAACAATTACCAACCCCCGCCCAACGACCAATATTGCCCCCGCGTTGTTTGCTGTCCCTGAATATAATAGCAGCAGCATTGTAGGCAATCAGACCAGACCAATGCTTTTATCATTCAAACTAGCACTTGTAGTAGTAGTAGTAGTTGTATTGGAGGGAGAGTGGGTGTGTGCGTGCGTGCATTCATACCGCAATAGTTGGTTGCCGAGAAAAGGGTGATCAACTGCCCTTGGGCAAATCGTTCAAATCCATCCATTACACACTCATGAGCCCTTATGATAAGCTGCAGCTTATTCCTCTTACAGAAATCTGAGACACGGTCAGGCTGCAACAAAAGTTAAAGGAAAAGCTAGTGCCAATAACCACCATAGAAATGAACAGAACTAAAGGCAATAAGACAAGCATCTGCACTCATATCTATCATAAGGTCACTCGAGTGCTCCACATTGGTATGACATGCACCATCAACTTCTTACCCCAAATGTAACAAGACCAGGTCCTCTTGCATTCGGTCTGAGCCCCTCTACACTGTCATTTTCAGTGGGATCCGACCTGTGCCAAAACAACAGATATACAAGATAGAATCTGATAATCCCAATTTAAACAACATGAAAGTCGAACACTATACCATAATAAATCCATCAGCACAATTGACCCGGCATCCATAGTAATAGGCCTCTCTAGTTTCTCTACCTGTTCTACTGAATTTATTGACCTCCCTATGCCTCCATGCATGCAGATTATTTTCTTCTCTATCAATGCAGCAAGTGGAAGATAGTTGAATAACTGATTAAAGCGTGTCCAAGCCCAGATTCCATCACTTTCACCCTGCACAATTACCAATCAACATTGATAATATACTCAGAACAAACAAGTGAAATACTTATGTAAACTTGCACACACCATTCTTTCAATACACTCAATGCGAAAACCAAAAAGCGCATTGATGTCGGCAGCTTCATGGTTCCCTCGTATCAGGTGAACGTTATCTGGGTACTCGATCTATTTCAAGAAAGAATAGCAATTAGGATGAAGAAATTCAAGCCAAGGTGAAAGTATTCCACCAGTTTAGTGCAGACACACTTGCCTTAAGAGCTAGGAGTAAAGTAATGGTTTCCAAGCTGTGCTGTCCACGATCAACATAGTCTCCCAGAAACAAGTAGTCAATATAGCTGAAGCACAAGAAAGAAACCGAATTAAATAACTTTGCATGTTGCAAGTGTCAAATTTGCTGGTCACTGTGCAAAAGACACTGATGTTAGTAGTAGCTATGTGTTTCAGTTTTTAATGCTATCAGGTCCAAATATCAATCATGTTGCAAGCAACATGAATCCCCATCCCTCAGCTGACAAACTATACAAAGTGGATACATGATAGAAAAAGAAGCATTTCTCAAATCATCAAGCATCCTTGAGCACCAAATTTCACTTCCAGAGAAAGATCTAAAAGTACAATCACTGGCCTGCAGTAACCTTTTCCTGTCACACTCACAAAAGGCAACTAGCTATTATGTTGGTCCTAACTAGCTAATGGAACATTCAATATATAACATGTGAATGCTAAGTGTATTTGTTTGGGGGTTTGGATTTTGGATTTGAGTTTTGCACAGGAAAATTTTGAATTAAAATAGTTGTTTTGATGTGAAATTTTGAATGTAAAATAGATTTTTAATGTAATATTAAAAAATGAGATTGATTTGGTGTTTTGAGGGAAAATATTTGGAGGAATATAAAAAACTTCACAAAACCCCTCAAACAAACACACCCTTGAGTAAACTCTTAATATAACTATACTAGAAGCCTAGAACTATCAATACAAATGCTAATAAAGAAAACCGTTAACAATTTCATAGTGCAAGAATCATATCCTAGGAACTTGTTCCTGAAATTTATAGATTCTACAAACCCGAAGTTTACAGCATGTCCTTAGCAAATTATGGGGTTTTTAGGGTGTACTGGGTTGGGGGATTTTACCTCGAATTTTACTATTCACTAATTTTTTTTTTCCCCCAAAAAATATAAAATCAAACAATTATTTTTTATTTTTTATATAATACTAAATATCAATTTCACATTTAAAACATCACATCCATACATATTCATAGCACATCATACAATTATTCAACTTCAATTTTTTTACTATTCAAAATCCAAACCCTCAACCAAACACACCCTTAGGTTTTATGTTTTTCGGTTGTGATATTTTTTAGGTTAATTAGTGATTGGATGTGATGTTCTTGAATGAAAAATGGGTGTTAGATGCAATGTATTTGGAGGAAATTTGAATAGTAAAAGATTTGGTAAAAACTGTAAGTAAACAAACCCTATAACTCCTGCATACAGCAACCATGACTTGGTATAACGTATGTAACCATGAAAAATGCTTACTTCCAACAGGTATAAATCTAGAATGTGAAACTTACGTAATATCCCCAGCAGTAGAAGGAAAACCATACTCATCAAACAGCCGCATTAGATCACCAAACTGCCCATGTAGATCACCAAACACTTTGACAGGAGCTTTCAACTGGAGGACAGTTGGCTCATGCATAAAAATCTGTTCAGCAGCATAGCAAAGCTCACCAACTTCATAAGAGTCCAAAAAAAACTTCCTGTTGACAGGAGGTTTCCAATTGCGAGGCCTGAGGAAAGTTGATATAATCTACAAGGCAAAAATGAAGTCAATTATTGGACTAAAAAACTTTATCGGGTTATTACAGTTTAAGATTTCAATGTAGTAGCAGCATCCACAGAAAAAAAAAAAAAAAAAAAAAAAAAAAAAAAAAAGGTATGCCTTTTTATGCAAGCCTTGAGGAGATCTCTGCCTAGTGAATTTCTTAGTAGGATTTGAGAGGTCATTTTGTGACGGGATCATTCGTCTACTTTCATTTTCAAATTGATCCAAGGATAGCTGCCTAACCATTCCTCCCAAGTTTCCAACAGCTTCTTTTGCAACCACAACCTGCAACATTGGATATGACACTCTCATGGCTGAGATTAATGCATTACTGTGTACAGCCAATGATGAATATACATCATCATACCGCTCTAGTGTGAAGGCGAACATCACCCTCTGTATCACTACCCTCAGAAATGGTCCCAGCAGACTGTGAATTGGCATCTGATAGGGATGCTTCTTCATGGGCAGCTGATGCTGCCTGGGCCGACTGCCAGACAGCATTAGCAACCTCGGCTTCAGCAGCAGATGCCTCAGCCAGTTTCTCCATAGATGCTTTATCCATACTATATATATCAATAATTAATTAAGCCAACCATCATTCCAATAAATCAGAGAAAGAATATACATCAACAATATTAATATACCCCAGGTGTCCAGATGATGGTGTTTCATCAGGGTTTGATATAGCGGAAAAAGGAGTAGAATTGACATTGTTTGATCTTGGACTAGCTGCCATTGAGACTCTCTCTGATGGTGAGATTGCAGCATGGATGTCAGACTGAAATTGAGAGTTCTCGGCAACAAGGAAATCATCCAACAAAACATCTGCAACACAAGTTAATAATGGTTGGAAGGAATAAATGCAAAAGATGGATAAGAATTTATGCGCATTGTCTGTGCAGCTTTCATTTCAAAATAACAAAAACAATATAATAGTCAGAAGAGAAATATATGAAGATCTTATGTCCACAAAGCTGTGTTAACCTTTCCATGATACAAAATTAATCTGCAACTTACAAAAGAAAAGTTACATTCTTCAAAGTTGATACCCTTAAAAACCCAACACTCTGGCAGATGGAATATGCACAGGTAGACAGAAGACATAGCAACATTGATCCAGGGAAAAATGTGTTCTAACATGAGTTATTATGAATTCTCAAGCAAACTTCCCTTTTGCCAGGTCTTTGAAAATAAAAGTGGTTCAAGATAAATCAGCATATTTCAAATCCAAAAATCAGCAGTGTTGTGAATGTAAGAAATTCAATGCCCAAAGGCATGGATGGTTTTTCTATGTGCAAAGTAGTTTCATTTCTTCCAAATACTTGGGTAAAATAAAATAGTAAGCAAAAAAGGTTAGTGATTGCAAACTTTACCTCCTTTTAATCCACCATATATATATATTCTAACACCAACAGAAGCAGCAGCATGTCGACATCGGCGCATAGACTCCAGATAGGGGTCTGGGTCAGAATGGGCTTTGCTTCCACGAGAGGTCACAATTCCATTTCTGTCAAGCCAAACTCCAGCAGCAGTATCCAGAACTTAAACAGAAATGAAAAGGCAAACATAAGCAAAATATATTTACAAGTTCAAGCACTCGAACTCAGTAGAGCATAAAAAACTCCCAATCACACCTGCAATTGCAGCATCACCTTCTACTGCTCGTCCACCTTTGACAACACCCCCAGTAACATGCAATCTAGCACCGACGAAAACCTGATAAAGGGAAGAATTCATAATTACTCAAAGAGAACCAGCAACATACAAATCTCTAATTGCATCAAATTTTTTATCCTACAACACCATACCACAACAATATTATACAAACTCCAAGGGAACTTAGACTAAAGAAATTACATGGCAAGTGTTTGGGGCGAAGTTCAAAAAATGAATATAATATTCATACTAGTCTCTGACTATTAATACCAATAGTAGAACAGCAGAAATACCCCTAAAGCCACTACAGGAGTCATGCATCACATGCCCCCTTACATTGTTTATTAAAACAGTGAGCTTGGGTGTACATGCAATCCTGCTTCTAACAAACACCCCCACCCGCCCACCCACCCAAAAACAGAAACACTTACCGCAGCATGCTGATACCTCGGTGAGGGTGACACACCTGGTGCAAGAGTCCACTCCCACAAGCCATTTCGATGCATAAGTAGTCCATAAGCATCTGCCAGAGGCTGCACAAACCCACATACAACTAATAGCTCAGTCAAACACAGCACCAAATAACACCTACAAAAAAGTAAATTAGATCTGGAAAAAACAAAAGGTAAAAAGAGATAAAGAAGAAGCTATCAGTAGTTTACTGAACCGCCAAGGTGGTTCATTTGGAGAAGTGAGTGTAAAATTAGCAGTATGCCAATATAGATGATTCAAAGCAATGGTTCAATTTAATTTGCATCATCTGCGCTAATTTGCAAAAACAGACTATGACCATTTTATCCAAACAGAGGTTCTCTAACAAATAAGGGCACTCAACAAGAAGCAATGTTTCGAGTTTGAAGAGCATGGAATTCTATTTCTTTTCTGACATTTAATAAGCAAGGTTTTCATCAAACTAATAGTATCCATGTGAACTAGATCATACCGTTCCTGAAGCATCTCTTCCACCACAGAGCAGAAACATTCCATCAGATCGTGCACTGGCTGTTGCATACCTAAAGACACACAATCATCTAATTCTAAAACACATATTTGAAGAATGAGTGCAGGCAAGCATTTCCTTTGCATGTTACACCTAAATCAATCAATATCTAAGGAATGAGAAAGTAATACACGGAATGAGATAAAGATAAATGCAAGGAAACAAAAGTTGTTTAGAAAAAAAAAAAAAAAAAAAAAAAAAAAAGAATGAACCCAGGAGAGAAGATTCAATAAATAATTACACAGACCCTCGAGTTTAGAAGACAAACATTTATCACAAAAAGAGTATATCGACTAAGGGAACAAGTTGACTAAATCTCCAAACCATCCTACTATTATTCCAAATTAACACAAGTAGAAATTGATAATAAAATAGGCTTCGGTATCTAGTAATAATATGCCAACTATTATCCAACACCAAACAACACTTACATTCGAGCAGAAGGCCGGTCACCTTCTGGATTAAGCCTTTGCCACACATAGGGTTTTTGTGCCGTATCCAAAGCCCAAGCATCAGATAACACTCGTTTTCCTGTAGAAGGAAATGAAGTACTGCTAATAAGCATCAGATTCATCAAATACTAGTAAATCTAGTGAAGAAAAACAGCTAAAAAGTATCAGCCACAGATTTGGAAATATATCTCAGTCGAATCAGTGCCACAAATTGCATATGGCGGGTCAGTTATAGAAACTCTGAAAGAGGTGATTCCACAGCACAACCAGTTATTTGTTACAAATAGATCCCAGGCACAAATGCTAATGAATATTTAATTCATTATAACTGCAAATTTTATTAAAAAATTATGGTCCCATAAGGCATATCTAAATGTCAATTGGGCATGAGTAACATATGCGTGCCAGTAACTTGCGGGGCCTAAATGAATTAGGGGGTCAATTAACTGAATTAACAGAGTCCATCAGAAAACCCCTAATATCCATGGATGATTATGGGAGATAAATTTGTAATGTTAAAAAAAACAACTCTCTCCGTCCCAACACGATATATTCTTCCGTCCTGCTAAAAATATATCTTTCTCATTATAATAAAAGTAATTGATATACAATTAGTAAAGTACACCTAACTTTTACAAAAGTATCTTTTTCTTTCGTACTTACAAGAGCAAAGATATCAAGATCATTTTACACACTTCTACTAACCAATAAAATACTATTATTCCTTAATCCACTATAAAAAAACAAAGCCATACTTTCCACAGACGATGGGAGTAAGATTTATGGAGTTATTACAATGTCATTACCCTGCTGTATGTGATAAACTCCGCCATATATTTTCCTTGCCAAAAGCATAATTGTCAATCTCGAAGAGCGTTACATAGAGGTTAACCTCTAAAATGCTATAGCGAGATCATTTTCACCATCTCACCACTGGTGAATATTCTTAATATTCTTCTCTGTTTTGTCATTTTCAATCATTCTTTTAATTGTATGTTCATCAGATTGCAAAATATTCCTTTCCTTTCTATAGCTACAAGTAGCTATAGTATATTGTAATATAATAGTATAAAATCTACATTTGCCAAATACGAATATAATGTTATATTGTAAAATCTAATTATTTAAACCAACTTACAATAAAAATTATAATATATATTACTTAATTTAAAAGGTGGTCCCCTCTTTATCGCTCCGCGCCGCTACGCCACTACTATTGACAACTATGGCCAAAAGGGACTATTAAATGAACTTTACGGAGAATAGAAAGCTTGATCTCACCATCATTGCCGCTCACGGTAACCAGATAGCGTTGGGCAACCAAATCCATGACATGGCCATATCTAGGCCCCGGACCCTGTCCTTGAACCACAACTCTGAGAAAAGACAGTAATGAATGAGTTAGAAAAGTTAGAAATAGAAAATAATTAAACCAGATATGATGACAAAAAGACGATAAAAAAGGCAGGCAAGCTTACCTGTGCCACTTGAATTTGTCATTTGTGAGGTCGAGTACATATAGGTCATCTGTTGAATGGCCAGCAGGACCAATCCCACCCTAGCAATCCATCAAATCTTGTATCAGTTGCGTACACACATAAAATAAGTAAATTTGCAGCCCTCTCATGGAATAATCACCTGAAACACAACCATGGTTCCAACAGCTGCTGCCGCATGCGCTGCCCTAGGAGAAGGAGGCTCGCCCACAGGTCGAAGCCTAGTCAAATACATTAATAAATAAATAAATAAATATGTGCAACAATCAGCAAAACGACCAAGTGGAAGGATTGAACATCAATCAATCAGCCACAACATGTACATCAAAATTGAACAAAAGGGAGGAAAGGAAAGGAAAGATGGGGAAACCTGATCCATTTTCTTGTAAGTACATCGTAGGAATGCACAGAATTCGTCACTCCATCTAACCCTAAAAACCAAAAGAGAGAAGGAAAAGATCAAGAGCGCCGTAGATTAAATAAGTACCAAGTTAAAAACTTAAAAAAAAAAAAGGGAAGGTCTAAGGGGTAGAAGTATACGGATGCCGGATGCGCCACCGTTGCCGCCCTCGATGGCGGTGGCGCCTCCAAACAGAATAAGGCGGGGGCCATGGGTTTTAGTGGCGGCGACAGCAGTTAGAGTGTGACCACACCGCGGCCCCGGCGCGTCGTCATCGGCGTCCCAGAAAGTTTCCAAAGTCCGATAAGCCGGCGCCGGGTACAGCCACGGCTTGGATCCCATCAACAAAAATTCCTGAATTCTAGTCCGATGTAATCAAGACAGGAGCTGCAAATTGTCAAAGCAATGATGGGAGAGCAGAGGGGCAACTTGAAGAAACACCAAAAACGGAACCCTAGAAGTTCAGACTACGACACCCAAAAAGGAAATCAGCGGATCCAGAGCGGCGGTGGTTGGTTGGCTGGCAACCACCGGAACTGGACGGCACGGGACCCTTTTACTCAGACAGACAGGCTGAGTGACTTGGTTCGCTGTCAGATGTGATTTTATATATATATATATGTATTTAACCAAGTTTGAATTATCCCACAAATTATAGCTTCGTTTACATAAGCAACTTCACTCTTTTTAATACTCACTCCATACTCCGTCATATAAATTTATGCCAATTTAATCGGATACCATTCAAAGAAAAAGTGTGTAAAATTTTTTAAAAGAAAATGATAGATGGGGTGTATCCATTTGTTTGTTTTGTGGTTTGATTTGATGAAATTTTTTTTTGTGATGTATACAAAATTATGTGATATTATAAAAATAACAAATATATGTAATCGTTTAGAAAAAATTGTGTTACACAAAATTTATACAAATTATATTTGATTTGAATATAAAGTGGGTTATATTATTTGGATCATTTGATTCTCCTTATGAGTCGATTTGTTTTCCAATTTGGTTTTCTATGGTTTCTTTGATCCGAAGAGATTTGGTCTTCGATTTGATTTTGCTGAACTTTGGAGAGTTTTGGTCTCCGTGCAGGCGATTTGATCGTCAGCTTTGGATTTGATGTCCTCCTTGGACGAACTGCAGCTTTGATCTTTGGTTTGACTTTGCCGCCTTTCGGAGGGCTTCGGTCTCCGTGGGAGGCGATTTGATCCCAACTTTGGATTTGATGTCTTCTTGGGACAATCCGCGACTTTTATCTTTGAGGAGGTGGATTTGGTGCTTCATAACACTTTTGACAGCATGTCCCTTTGACTTTTGGATCGAAAAGCGCCGAGTTGATGCTTTTGTGAAGAACGCGATGAACACTTTGAAGCTTTGGGATGAACTTTGGATGCTCTTCTTGGCTTTGATGGATTTTTCAACGGCTTTTAAAGTTTTGATCCTTGAAGAGGTGGAATTGGTGTTTCATAACACTTTTGGCGGCGTGTCCCTTTGACTTTTGGATCAAAGAAGGCCTAGTTGATGCTTTGGTAAAAAACACGATGAACACCTCGAAGTTTTGAGAGGAACTTTGAAGACCTTCATTGGCTTTGACGAATTCATCAACGACTTTGGGAGCTTTGAATACGACGAAGAACGTTAACTTCATCGATTCGTCAACCAATATTGGATCATTTGTCCAAATCAGTGACTTTCAACGAAAAATACTTCAAAGGACATGAAGAACAATACAGAGAGATTCTAGAGACTTTCCCCTTTACTTGAATCTTCGATGTAATTTCGGTGTGTCAAATGAACTGACCATGACTCCTATTTATAGGAGATGTGTTTAATGGTGTCACTTGACGCGCGCTCTGATTGACCAATAGAAAGATTTTATAATATTTCATTTTCCATTGGATGTTGTCTTCCATTATTGACGAATTTGATTGTGCACTTTCATTTTTCGCCAAGATTTTTATATCATTGCCCTTTTTCGAAAGATATTAATTTATATACTTCATTTATTGACAAGATTAATTTATTTTGCTGCCAAAATTTATTATGCCTTTATTTATGCACGTAATATTTGTACAATATCTTCTACTTTAAGCACATTTTTACATTAATGGTTGATATTTATTGTACAAAAATTAACATACGTGCATAATTAAATACCATATATTTATTTTATATGATATTTAATTGATTTTAAACATATATTTTGAGTGTCGACAGTAATATATTAATTTATTTGAAAAAAAAATGTGATAGCATTTTTTATTAGAGGAACGCACCCTAGAAGATAACATAGTTAATCTAATAATTAATATTGAATCAAAAGATAAATATATAAATTTCTCTTTATTTTTCACATATATTCAAGATCTTTTACTAAAGTTTATATCAATGATTCTGATTGATTTTCTGTATTAATTAACATATTAAAGTTTATAGTATAACTACAAAAATATAATAATCTCAAAATCTAACTATTGATTGATATTTATTGACAGCAACAAAGACAATTCTTCGAATAATGTCATCTTCAACCCATCAATTCAATTTTTACTCTAAATATGTCATTGCTACAATAATTTTATTTCAATCATAATTTCATTTTTCATTATTATTTTTCAAATATTCAATTTTTTCTATTATTTTAAACAACTTTTTTTTTTAATAATTTAAAATATTTTTTAAAAAAATTTAGAAAAATAAAAATTAAATTTAAAAGTTAAAATTTTAAATTTTAAATTTTTTTAAAAAAAATAGCATTGCTACGGTGCAACGTCAGTCGACGCCAAATTTACCGACCATTAATGGCCCGAGATGAAAATGGCCTAACAAGAATGCTATGAGATTTTAGGCAACGGGCAAAGAAATAAACAGAAAGGAAGTCAGAGAGCTGCAGCAGCAATCAACCTTGGACTCCCTCCGAGTCCGCAATAATACGCCTTCCTTACTCTTCCTTTTCTAATAATGACTAATCTCTACTGCAACATTAATAATAATTATTATTAAGTTTGAATATATTTATTTATGATGGTAAAAAATTCAACCTTGAATATTTATATATAAATAGTTTTTATTTTTCACTTTCGTTGTGCGCAACTCTATAATAATTCTCTTTCCCTTTCTTTGCATAGAAGCAGCGTGAATTTCAGACGGGATAAATAAACTAGTACTAGCATTGGCAAAGAATTTCATCACATTTTGATTTAAAATCTAGATTGGAAAGACACATATATAAGATGCATTACCATTTTTAAAAAATAACAAGAAAAAGAAAAAGGTTATGATGCATGATGAGCCAAGAAGAGCTCAGCTCTATAATATAAGCAAACTCTACAAAGAGCTCACAATATGACTCGAGTCCCGGCGTACTCATGCACTACACTTGAATTGAGCCCTGCCCCCGATCCGATCATTACCATTGATGACCATGATGATGATGATGAGACCTGTCAATATCATTCCAGAAAAAAAAAAAAAAAAAAAAAAAAAAAACACCTTATCAGAGGAAAGACACAAAGATGGATTATTCAGCCATTGGTTGTATCTAATCCAACTTATTCAGTAACACCATCCTCCACCAAGAATATGCAAACACAACATATTGATGATGTGGTCTTCTAGACTCTGGGCTCATGTCATGTCATGTCATGTGCATAGATATTTCCAACAACAACAACAACAAAAAACACCATATTCTCAATTCAGTTCAGATACGATAGTACAAACAAACCGGGAAAGAGATAGCTACCGATGGTAGTGGACTGGTCTATAACGTGTCAGGGGCAGGGATTGGGAAATGCTGAATGCACATTGTTCACTTCTGCCACTACTTCTGGAGTAAGCTGGACGCTGCTCGCATTGATTATTTCTTGGAGCTGCCACAGTTTCGTTGCACCAAAAACAGCATGCTCCTCACAATGTGGTTATTATTTCAGATTTAACACTACGTGAGATGATTGCAGTCAGTAATATTATCTCAAATCTCCCAATTACGGTAGCCATTACTGGCTAACAGACAGACCATCCTCTTTCATGATAACCAGGACATACATGTTTGCTTGCTTCACAGCATTTTAACTGTCTGCACCAAAAATAAGTTAATTAATGAACAATTTAGTACCACCAAACATTTTTGTTTGGGGAACCATAAGTTCAAAGTGTCATCTAAGGATGAAATAGAAATGAAAGTTTGAAAAGCAGCCAAGCTTACGCATAATAGGAAATAGAAACTTTATTTAAAAAAAAAAAACAAAAAAAAAAAAAAGAAAACACAGATATACAGGTAATCAAGTAAGAATCCTTAAGGGGGTGAATGGTAAGTAAGAAGATAATAGACAATGGTACTGGTATGACATTTCATAAACCTGGTATGGCAGAAACAATGTTTGTTTAGTGAAATTGTTTGAAGAGATGTTTTTTCATGTGAGACATAAAAAATTGTGTAAATAATACAAAAATAATGAGTGCGTATAATATATTACTTTTTTTTTTTTGGAAAATGTGCTTTTTGGAATTGGTGGAAGAACCCACCCACAATCTATATGCTGGAAAGTAGTAATGATGCCAACAATGATAACAAAAACAAAATAAATGAATGATAACACTTTCAATATCCTTCATTTACTTAATAAACCTTTTAAAGGAAATCAAGCCTCTCTTGTCCAAAGGATTCTATATATACAGTGGCGGAGTAGAAAATTTTATTGATGGGGGCCGATTTTTTTAATGTATATATATATTTTTTAAAAATATATAATACGATTAAAATTTAAAATATATATACAAATTTTTAGTTTTAATTTTTTTCAGATATAAAAAATCATAAACTTAAAATAATTATATTTGGACAATTGAATATTTGTAATAATACTTTGTTATTAAATCATCATCAGTGGCCAGTTATTGGTAAAACAGTTACTTTGTGAACTCAAGTTCTATGAGATAACAAAGATAAAATTTTAGTATGAATGAAGCATAAAGAAATTTATTGCCACTTGGTAAAGTGTAAATCGGGTGTTCAAATACCGAACATTTGCCCTCACGTGATGAATTTTCAAACATATAGACAAAAGCTCTTAAAGGTTCTCGGTCCAAGTTCATATGTCACAACTTGGATAGGATGCTTTATAGGCTTAAGTTAAGGGAGAGTGTTGAATTAACCCATTTAAGTTACTTTGTATGTCTAATTATGTGTGTTAATTCCTAGCATGTAATTATTATTGAGTAAATAGAAAATGGATTTATAAGAACATAAATTATCAAAGTTATCACACAAAAATAATCAGGTAAATTTTGTTGTTTTTTGAAAGTAAGTTTTGGAATTATAAAATTTGAATTTGAAAGAATATTGGATCTAAAGTTTTAAATGGAGAATAGGATTTGTTCACTTTTGAGTTTTTTCTTTCTTTTATTTTTATTTTTAATATTCTATCTCTCACTTTTTCAAAAAAAAAACATCATATCTAACACTTACAAAAAATTACATTTCAAAACAAAAAATGTAAAAACTAAAAAGAACACGCCTTGGCGTTGAATGTAACATTTTTAGGGGATAAATGTTCTATAAATAGTGCAAAAACTTAGCTGAGAGCACAAGTAAACTAAACCTATATCATTTGTGCTGTACTTAAATGTCAAACATTTATTAATCCTAAAAGATTAATATATTTGATTTAACAAGTTAATATTCAACATCTACACCAACATTTGAAAATCATATGCAACTAAAAATATTCATAATTCTAGTCTGAAACTAGATCCACAATTGCAATCAGATGATTGATAATATGACACTATTCTAAGCATCCAAAAGTTAGTGATTTTCTCTTTGAGTATAGCATTAGTTAGTAAATTGATGTTATACGGACAGGATAAGGAAATTTCAAATGAATGTCAGACAGTATATGATGATTGTACATGATGATTTAGTAGTGTTTTCATGCTCATGATGCATGATAAGAGGCATGAAGTGTTGAGCACAAAGAAATCACATGCAAAACTTCTACGACAAATCAATACTGCAAAGTGGCAAGTGAAATGAGAATTGGTAAAAACAACATTGCATACAAGTGATACCTTTCATGATGGCAGCATTCAGCCATGCCAGAATCAAAATTTCGGCAAAGAAGGTTATAGGAATTCTGTATCCATAGAAAAATAGATTATCATATCATATCATTTAATTGTCTAGAAAGTACTTGTGTGCATGCAAGGGCATAGAGATAAAGCCATGCTATAAAACAGTTGTACAGTACAAACCACCTGCACAGAAATTATTCTTGTATGGATAGAAATCGCTTCAGCAATCTGTAGGAACTTCATGAGCCCATATGGAGTTTCATTGCTAGGACCAATATACCTAATCTGCCAGCAGTGATTTACTCAATGAAAATCAAACTTTCCAATAAACATCAAATTAAACTTAACTGGAAGCACAACTAACCTTACCACAAGTAACAGCTTTATCTAGAGCAGTTAGCTGTTCCTGGATACTTATTGAAAAATGTTTGGGTCGGATCATACTCAGTTTCTCCAAACATAGGAACATAGCTGCAACAAAATTCTCAAGAAGTCATAGATGTGGCCATATACCTAGATTACTTTATAGAAAGGCCAAAGATTATCTAATATCTCCACTTATTTATACTTTTCATATTAACAAATAACACATATTTGAAAGTTAAATTGTCGAAGTTAGGAGGTAACACATTAGAAAATTTTAATACAAACCGATCAGGCCAATGAATTTGATACAAGTCAATATAGTCAGTCTGCAGGCGCATCTGCAAGAAAGTTTTGTTTTAGATGTAAGGCAATCAAATATTAAAATAAGAAAATGTAAAACTGCAGACAGAGTAATCTGGACTTGAAGCGTAATTAGCTCAGACAAAATCTTCACAGCCCAAAGCAAATAGAAAGACATTTTACAACTAGAGATACGCACATCAAGATAAATGAACTCAAAATTGAAAAACTACATGATTCAGTTCAACCTACTATTAAGGGCCGCTGTTATATTATTTCCGTCAAGGCTTGGCCCATTCCGAATCCATGCCATTTGTCCTGATGGCCACTAACCTATCCCCATACAATTAAACATAGATTTCAGAAAGGTTCGTATAGGGAGCAGAAAGTACTGAGACCATACTTCCAGAGCACACATTTATCACGAAATTTGCTAAACAGAACATCTTTCCCATTTGTGAGTGTGACAAAGTAACATATATATAAATATATATATATAAAAATCGATGGAGCCTCTTTCATTGTGTGAATGAATCAATATTTTTGAAGCACACTCAAAACATATATGTAAAATGGCGTGTTAAGAGTCCCACCGGGGCAAAATAAAAGCTTCTGTATCCTAAAGAGCCATAGAATGTGTTATCGTCTAGTGTTTCAAAGTTCCATGAAATAAGTGCGTAGTAGTCAAAGGCTTGATGCTGAGTTGGAGTTGAGCTTTGAAAACATCAAAGACTCCAAACTCGAAAACCACACATGGATTAAGCTCAGGCTCAAGCTTCAGCTTCATGCCCAACACAAGTAAGATCTCAAACCAAGCTCCTAAACAAAGCTAACTAAATCAGGCCAATGCCAGCCTAGTGGCTAGTTATATGACATACATAATATGCAAGTGCAAGTGTAAGTGAAGAGCTCAGGCTGAGTAGAATACATAATTACAGAAAAGCATGCAAGTTTAAAGAGGGTGGGGGTGGATTAAGTTAAGTTGGAGTGGAGAGACCTTTGTGGCAAGGATGAGGCGATGGCGTGGGATGTTACGGCTTCGAATCCAATGTCCAAGATACTCCTCGCTTCTTCCTTGCGTCCGTGCGCAAGGCTGCACAGGATACCTAGAACGAGAAGTAAATAAAACAAGGACTAGGGGAAAGGGAGAAAAGGAAGCGAGCAGCAGCAGTAGTAATGGTGGTAGTACATTTCGGCGGAGTCGAAAAAGTTGATTCCGGAGTGGAAGGCTTTGTCGAGGAGTTGGAAGGACTGAGAGAGGGAGTTTTGCTCCCAAAAGGTCATGGTCCCAGGAGGAGGAAGTAATTAAGAAGGAATTAGTATTGCTATGCTTGGAACAATTGAATAATACCATGGAAGGAGGGAGGGGGAGTAGAAGAAATTTGGAGCAGCCGAGCCGAGGAAGGAAGAAATCAAATCAAAACCTAAGCAGAGTCTTGAGGCGAGCAGGTCCGGAGCAAGGTTGAAGAGGGGCACTGCCATGTCCACCCCCATTCACCAATTAGATCATGCAGTTGTTGCAGCCGCCAGCCATTGTATAGTGCAGTCCAGTGTAGATGATGATGATGATGATGATTAGAGATGGCAATGGATAGATTTAAATCATTATTAATATTATCGCATCTACCTGCAAACTATGGGTCTGTTTACATAATTTATTTTCTCTCATTTGCTATTATTTTTTAATTTTTTTTTAAATTTTTAAAATTCCAAAAATTTCTATCTAAACACACCTCATCTGTTATTTATTTATTATTATTTATTTTATTTGCTCTTGGACAATTTATTTATCTTATTAATTTTTTTCTTTTATTTAATAATTTTTTTAATATATTTTGATTTTTTTTCTAAATTACGAATTAATTTTACAAATTTAAAATAAAATAAATTATTTATTAATATGTTAAAGTTAAAGTAAAAAATCTAAATATTATTAATTTATTTTTAAATATAATTTTTTATTATACAAATTTATACTAAAATAAAATAAATGTATTAAAAAAATAATAAAATTAAAATACATACTAGAAAATTATTTTTTTTCATATTTTATATAAATTTTAATTAAAAAATAGTCATACTTTTTAATAATAATATACTTCTTAGTCTATTTACTGTCTTACATTTATATTTATTTATATGAATATCGTTACATTAATTTATACAAAAGGATAACATAATTAATAATATTTTTTTTAAAAAAAATCATACACTAAATATTTTAAAATTAAAATATCAAATAATTTTAATTATTATTCTTATTGAAATAAGTAATATTTCTTCTGTTATAAAAAAAAAAAAAAAAAAAAAAAAAGCTACGTCCCCTTTCATTTTTTATGTCATAAAAAGAAAATAGGTATATCTTATTTTTTAACAAGAACAAATCATATACTACTACTTTTTATCATTTTTTTTCATTATATTTTTACTGTAAAAATAAAAATAAAAATGCAGACCACATTAAGCAAATGAATCTTATTTTTCAATGATATCAAATACTCCCAGGGTCCATCCACCAAATTTTACGATGCAGGGAAGAAATAGATGGAAAGTGACCAACAGAAACAATCTGATGACCTCCCTCTGCATCTGCAGCAACACCATCAGTTCCAACATACGACTATGACTCCGCGCATCCCTTCCCTTCCCTTCCCTGCCTGCCTGCGTCATGATATATATATATAACATCCCTCCACTCCACAGCATTTCTTCAATGACTTCTCAACATTACCTTTCTATCGTATAACCCAACCCCTCCTTTGATTGCGCTGGGCTGGGGGCATCAAGGTTTAGTGCAATTGCAGGCATCACACACCGCTTCACCCCCCACCCCCCCCCCCCCCCCCCCCCAATAAGATCATACTCTCTTTGGCCAAATTTTCCTAGCTGACATGTTATGACTCTGCTGCAATCATGGTAAGAGTTGATCGTAGAAAAGATAACAGGAAGGATTGATTACCTTTGATTCGATGCAACTGTGGTGTGGTGAGACAGATAGAGCTAGATACACATATCATATCAAAGCTCATTACTGTGGAAATAGTTATAATCAAAAAATTTATTCAAGGAAGCACTTCCAAAAATTGAATCCCCCCAATTTGAATCCCGTGCTTGCACATCATTCCAACAACCTGATCGAGCTTACTTTTTCTACCCCACTTTTGATATGCCTTAAACAATATCCACAAAGTTTTCCTTGACAGGGGCATGTTTACTCTACCCATTTCATCAAGAACCCTCTCCATTTCTGGAATGCGCATCTGTGATGAATACATAACCATCTTGCAATGGTACATCGACCGGCATATTTTCCAACCTGCACTGTCCGCACGCTGCACAAAGTCCACAAGCTTGTCCACTGCATTGTGCCTGAAATAACTCGCTATTATGCATTTCATTATGCTCACCGTAGAGACAAATGCTTTACGCTCAAATGCCTCGTTGATTGATTTCTCCATTCGCTCTAATAAATTCTCTTTAGCATAAAAACAAATCAGCATTACATTTAAGCCGGGCCAATACTCCCCTTCCGGGATCAGTGAGAGCAGTTCCTCAACCTTCTCAACCCTACCTGTACCACAACTTTTAATGTATGCAAATATCATGCTTCTAACCAATGAAGTTTCCCCCCGATCAACATGCTCCCTTATCAACTCATAGATTTCTTCCATCTTTTCCAGCTGACCAGAGTTTGCATACCCTCGAATCATCAGTAGATGAATCTGCACATCGGGTTGTATTGGACCTGCTTTCATAACCAGGTAAGTCTTTTCCATCTTGTCCCACATCCATGCAGTGATATAACCAGCAATCAAACCCCTGTATGTGTTAAGTGTTGGGGTAAGATTTGAGTCCTTTATCTCTCTGAGAACTTCTTCCATGTGATCGGTAAGCATCATGCGCCCGTACATTGAAATAAGTATGTTGTATGTCACGATTGATGGAGAGCATGTGGTTTCCGTTTTCAACTTGTGGAAGAATGACTCACACTTGGCAGGCATACCGTTGTAAGTGTAAGCACTCATGAGGGAATTGTATAAAGATGTTTCATTTAGTTGTCTATTTGTTGCCTCTTTAAAGAGCTCGAGTGCGAGATGAACATCCTTCAATCTGCCAGCTATGGTGATACCCTTTGCATACTCTTCCCCAACCACCGGGGCCGCGGAGTCCAATTGCTTCCTCCTCCAGTCGAGAACCTGACAAGAAGGAATAGACAAACCCGGACATACATAAAACAATATAAGTTGTACCCACAATACACATCAATTATCTGCTAAAATATAAACAAGAGAGCATTTTCATACCAAAGTTAAGGGGACGTTGAAAAGAATGCTGGTCCTATACAATCATTAGGAGGAGAAATAGATGGAATGCAAAGCAAGCAATTTGATCGGTACTTAGAAGAATAGATGTCATTTCAGTAACACCTCAAACCAGCACACAGAACAGGAGCAAAAAACTAAAAACGCAGTGACTGTTCACCTCTACGGGTATTTGTTGTCCTGCAGAATCGATAGCCATTCGAACAAATAACCAACTAAAAAGTTACCTCCAAGGCTAAACGCGGGAATGGCTTGAGCTGCTTCAGGAGCTCCACCGCAGCAGATCCATCTGAATACATCCTAAAAAGTGGGGATGCCTTCTCTTGGAGAATCTTGTCAAGTTTGTCCACATCATCATTTTGGTCCAAAATCTGGTCCTTGAGCTTGGAAACTTCATCGATCAAATCTTCGTTGAGATGCTGCGTCTCGGAAGTCCGTGTATTGGTAAAAAGAGCAATGATATGGGAAGACAGCAGGGGGGTGGCATTGGGGTCGGAATCCGGAGAATGGTGGGTTGAATGGTGGCGAATAGCTTGAGAGTATCGGGAGGCAGAGCCAGAGGGTGGTTTTGCGGGAGCGAGAGAAGGTGAGTTAAGGTTTGGGGATTTAGGGAATTGCGAGAGTCTCCAAAATCGTTTCATGATTGAAAGAAAGGATATGAAATTCTGGTTGGAAGTTTCGTTAGGGTTCTGGGGGAGGGAAGAAAGAGAGGAAGGAGGCGAGAGAGGGGCTCTCTCTTAGCCAACAAAGTTTACCGTCAAAGCTGTGCACAGGACAGGACAGGACAGATGACACTCACTCACCTAATTCGCTTTTCTGGATCGAACAAGGCCGGCCCGCCCGCCATGGGAACGACATTCGTTCCGAGTGAAGAAGGAAGGAAGAGAAGGGCACGAGCCGAGCAGGGCAGCAGCGACAACCATCTAATCTAATCTAACCCTCCGAGCAAAGGAGAGAAGGTCGTCTGAAGTCTGAACTGAAAGGAAAAGATCCAGGCAGACAGGAGGCCGTGCGTTATATCATCAATATGGGTTGGATTGGATTGCCGTTCGATTAATTGGTTGATTCCTTGCTTGCTTCGGAGATACGGAAGGAAGGAGGAAGTTCTTGTTAGCGGGAAGGGAAGGGAGGGGGAGGCGGAGCCGCTGCTACACGACCTGACCTGCGCTTGGGTTGGGTGGATCTCATTCTCAATCTCATCTCGTACGCTGGGCAGGGCGGCGATCCATCTCAAGACGGGCTGGGCTAGGCTGGGCTTGGTCAAGTGATTTGATTTGCTATCTTTTGGGTCCAAGAAGAAGAACTTTTAACTCTCTGAATTTTTTGTTGTTCATTTTCTTCCCTATTTTTTCTAATCATCTAGTGTGAAAATAAAATTTTGAGAGGATCCGAGTTAAAGAATCATAAGTTCATTTTGCGGCACCAGGTATCACTTCCATGTGAATGTGATGTTATTTATGCCTCTAAGGGAGGGTTTGCCCCATGCCCAGTCACAAAATGAAATGTACAGAGTATAGACCCATGATCTCGTCCCGCTCAATGCTCGCTCATGCATGTCATCTGTGTTATTCAGCTCAACTCAACTCATCTCATATCTCATCCAAGATGATGATGATGATGATGAGCACAGCACAGCATAACAGCAGCAGCAGCAGCAGCAGGATGGATCTCTGATAGACGGGAGGGAGGGACATATTAACCAACCAACAAAACAAAACAAATGTTGCTCCATCCACTTCTGCTCCAGACGAACCAATCAACCAACACAAACAAACAAACTTGTTTCTTTAATGTAGCACCAGCACCAGCCAGCACCAGCCAGCACCAAGAAGACAATTGTATTTATAGTACTATTATTTTTGAAAGAAAAAAAAAAGAAGAAGAAGAAAGAAAATCCTCATTGCTAAACAACATAGCAAGTTTATAATTATGATATCATAAAATCACCCTTATTACTGAGTGAGACCGACTGGCAGACAAGATCAAGATCAAGATCAAGCCAGCCAGGTTGTGTTCGAGATGCCGCCACAAACTTCACTTCACTTCACTACTCTCTCCCCGGACCCCATCATCATCATCCTTACACTACATTCTCAGGGGTGGGTGGATGGATAGGTGACGGGAATCCGCATCGCCACACATCTCCTGCAAGATGGGCAATTGTTCATCCCTTGCCCCTCCAGAACAGCGCTGCATTTCCCACAGAGAACCTGGTGCCCGCACGGCAGGAACACCACCGACCTCTCGTCCTCCATGCACATCACACACTCCCTCTCCCGCTTCATCTCCTCCTCTGCTCCGAAACCACCCCCACCTTGGCCCCCCTTGCTGCCCCCGCCCCCGCCGTACCCTACATTCAGTGCTGCTATTCTCGATCTGTTCGACTCAAGTCTCAGCTCCGCCATCTTGTCCTCGAGATCCTTGATGCTTTCCAGGCATTTCTGCGTGTCCGCCGCTGCCGCTTGTTTCATGCTGTCTTCATCCGCATCCGCCTGAGACTCCTTCTCTTCTCTTTGCCTCCTTAAGCTGTCAACCTGTTTCACAACGCTTAACGTCTCATTCTTTTCCTGCTTCCACTGAACCTGGAATTGGTTGTATGAGTCAATATATGCATGCATGTATGTCTAATGCACATGTATATCCGTTATAAGCAAACTAATGAAACCCAGGCAGGCAGAGGCAGTCTAATCTAATCTTATCTATAACTCCAATTACAATGCATGCATGCGTGTACACACGCATCTACACAACTCCCTCACTCCAAGAAACATCCATCTAACCCACAGATATGGCCACAAGATGACACACCACCAGAAAACAATTTACACGCCAGCTATCACGTATTTGATATGATAGGACATAATTACAACATACCTTCGATTGATTATACTGTGCTTTGGCCTTCTCCAAAGCAGCACCCGCCTGCACTACGCATTGCCTCACATCTGTCTGTTCATCCTGCAGCAGATCCTTCTCAGGCTTACATGTCCGCGTCTTTTTCTGCACCTCCCGTTCCCTCAGCGAAACTTCCTGCAAATTCGCTTCAGCATCCATAGCATGTACATGAGCAGTTTCCGATTCATTCTTCAACACAATATTCTCCTCTCCAAGCTGGCGGATAGACACAGTGGCCACCCCCATCTGACCAGCGGAAACATTGAGTGCATTCTGCATTTCAGACAGGCGCTTCATGGTATTCTCCTCAATAACATGCTTATCTTTATTAAATTTTTCTGCCTCTTCTTTCTCCCGCCTCAACGTTTTCAAATCTTCCGTGTGTCCTCTGAGCCTCTGTGCAACCTCCATGACTTTCTCATTTGCCCAATCTGTCCAGCGTTGGAGCTCTTTCTCGCGTGCCTGCTTATGAGACAGCAGCATCAGAAAACTCTCATTTTGTGAGGCATACTTTTGCATAGTTTCGTAAGATGGATCATTAACAGGATCAGAAGAATAAATTTCAATCCCATGGGCGGGGGCAGGATCTGTGGCTGATGATAGAAGTTTGGAGCTCTCTGTAGTTGATTTAGGCACAGCATCCTCAACAGGTGACACGGCATCACGCAAGATGGACCGCAAATTGCTCTGCTTTTGTTCTGCACTCATTCCAGCTGAAGTAGATGACATTGAACCACTCACCTTTGCAGTAACAACAGATGAACCAGATTGTGGATTTATGGACTTGTCCAAAATGGCGCTTCCTTTTGACATTCTACCTTTGTAATTTTTATCGAACTGAGCCTTTTGCCTATGCACATCTCTCTTGCAATTAGAGGATGATCCCTTTTTGCTCACCCCTAATTTCTCATCCATGCCTGTACCCCGAGAAGCCTGGATACGCTCCCCGCCAACAGCTTTAAATTTGCCCTCTTTCACTTCTCGAAGAGCGTGGGGACTTTCTTTCATGGACCTAGTGGAGGCACTAGCATTTGGCTTGGGAGCTGATGGTTGGCTGGCAGGCTTAGTAACAACAGCGGCTTCCGGCTTAGCATTTGGAGTCATAACCAAAGCAGGGGACATTGAATTATCAAACTTTATGACAGCATTCTGATGGCTCGTTCCAGGGGTTTCTGATTGGGAAGGTGCTCGACATTCTTCAGAAGATTCCAAAACAGAAGAAGAACGAGAAAGGCCTTTATCCGTTACACATGCATTCAAAAGGTTGAAATCACATACTAACAGGCACCACATTGCTTCAGCAACACTGAGTGTTGGCCTAACCGCCCGGACCATGCTAACCATCTGCAGAATTTTGTAATCCACCAGGCCCTGTAATTCTTCACTTACAGGGTTTTTTTGCAGGCTAAACTTCTGGGCACTCTTCAGTAAATTCAAAGCTCCATCAGCAACGTTGTAAGCACCCTCCACAGTACCATCGAGCACGTAAGTCTTAAAGACAGCCTGCTCGGCTACTTTCTCATCGAATCCATGCTCCATTACCTTCTTCACCGTATTGCTAAAACTTGTGAGCATAGAATTCTTCAAGAGTAGCTCAAGCTGGCAGACTACAGGATCATCCCAATCAGTTGGTTTGTGTTCCTCCACTTGCTGCTCCTTGGTATTCTTGTCAGAGGTATCTATCCTTGACTCCAGCTCTTTCAAAGAATTTCCACCATTTTTCTCCAGCATTTCATACCTAGGGAATTCTGTCAGAGACAGAGTTGATGCATCAGCTCGAACATCCAAGGACACATCAGATGGATATTTCCTCTTATTTCTACTTCTCTTCTCATCTACCGAAACAATAGATGAACCTTCACTGCTATTATCACCCATCTCTATTACTCTAATGCAGAAAAAACAGTTTGAGCTTGGTTCCAGACCTTGATATTCAAGCTGTAGATATCAATGTAATATTGTGAGCAGATCATGCCGTTTTTATAATAGTTATAACACCAAACTGATTAAGAAATAATGCAAGATACTCGAGATCTATCTAGTTAATTAGTCCAAGATCAAGCAGTACTTAGTAGTTGTCTACACATGTGAATGTGAACAAGTATAACAGAGAAAATCATTATATCCACGATTCCACGTGACAAAATGCAATTTAAAAAAAAAAAAATCAAATGAATTGAGCCTATTTAGCACTAGCACCATCCTGATGTAAACTCAGCCTTTGACTTTTAAAAGCTCAATCTTGAAATAAGCTGATCAGATTCCTTCAAACACATTTATAAACTCTCTTCTCAATATAGATTGATTAAACTAAACCAACTTTTAAGTATAAGCATTCATAGCTTGAGTTTGACTTGCCGTATCTAGTAATCAGAGACCTTGAGCTCAATTAGAGATCAAATTATTGTCGAGCTCAAGTTGAGCACCTCAATCCGACCATCAACTACTATCCACCACGTGTCACGCATTCTATTGGAGCCAAGATTGGGGGTTGAATAGCCCAACTTTTCAGATATAAATGAATAAATGACACTAAGTATCTACTGAGTGATTCTAGCAATCGCGCCATTCTTCGCACGTGTCCCACACCATCCGACAGTTATGATTGTTAAGGATCTGGATTATGCTATCCATTTTCCGCAACTGTCGCCGTATAAGAGCAAGGAAAACATAAATGCCACTTGAAAGACAAGGACTAGCCCAAAAAGGCCACGGCAATCAGAAACCTGTTAGATTCTTCTGGCTTGTGTATTTAGTACAGGAAATAAAAACCATTGGTTTCTCCACAAGTGATCGATGATCAAACAGAACAATGAGGAGCACAGAAAACAGGGGCATATATGCAAAAAAAAAAACTCACGAATCACATAAGTTTCGATGTAATCTAGGAAGCATCAACCTTTACCAAATCGTTCATAATCAACAAGGATGTCTATCGCAACAAAAAGCATCAGCCAAGATGGGAGGCATGATGGTAAGTAAATTCTCAGTAACAAAAGAAATCAAAAGTACCTCGGAAATTCCAGAAAATCAAACCCGCTGCTAATTCGATAAACCTGCAAGCCCCACAAGAAAACTCTCAAGTTAGATTGAAAAGCACCCAATATTGACGTTCAGATTACAACATTTGCAGCGTGCACACAAGCATAAAATCATGCCATTAAAAGAGAATCAGCCCTAGCGATAAAGAGATGGTGTGGGGGTGGGCAGGGAAGGGCATCTAACAACGACATTTGAAGCGGGAAGCACCGACCCAAAAAGGAAACAGTATTCCATCAGCATCAGCGGAATCAGATTAAAGTGTAATAGGCAGGCAGGGAGGGAGGGAGGGCATCGAATTAGGGCAGTCAGAGAAGAGATGAAGAGAAGAGAAGAGAATGAGAATTCGGAAATGGTGAACCTGCAGTGATGTGGGCGTGAGGGGGCGATGAGGATGAGTAGATTGATCCAGCAACAGAGAGAGAGGGGGAGAGAGAGAGAGAGTATAACGTCGGTCCGTCCGTCCGTCGTCCGTCGTCGGCCTTAGAGTAGAGTGTGACGCATTTGGGCAGCTTCCACTTCCTCCACCTCCGCTTCCGCTTCCCTTCGCTTCCACGTATATATAGCCATATGTCATGTAAGCATCTAAAGGAATTGAGTAGAAGTCCGGGACTAGTAGGACAGCAGTGAAAGGAAAAGAAAGGAAAGGACCGGACTGGACTACTATTTGACTCATAATAATAATAATAATAATACTGCTAATAATAATAAGGGAAAGGGAAAGAGAAAGGGAAAGGGGGGAGGGATAGAGGACAGCCGGGCTTGGAGTGGGAATGGAAATGGCTGCGGGCTGCACCTGCTGTTGTGTCTCGTAATTTAAATTAATACTTATTATTTATTCAATATAATTTTTAATAAAATTATAAAATACTATTATATTAAAATATTGTTTAAATAAAAACATAAATTATTTGTTTATTTCAATTTAATTGATATTGGATTTTTTTTTTTATTATCAATTTCATTTTTAAAAAATATTAAATTAAAATTTATTTTGTATTTATAATATTTTTATCAAACTCAGGCTGTCATTTTTTACTTGACAATTTTTTTTTAAAAAATTTTTGTTAATGTCACTATTTTTTTCATTTTTATTTTTATAACGCGAGAATTCGCAGCCGCTACCCGAGAGCACATTTGTCATTACTGTAAATTAAGTCCGACAAGACAAAACAAACTAGGTGAACAATGTATGCCAAGTAGACCAGGAGGGTATGTCATTTACCATTACCTATTTTTCTCTATTTATTTGCATTTATATATATTCCATACCTAATCTTTTCCTACTAGTTTTTACTTTTTATTATTTAGTTATTATATTAATGTTTATTTTCTGTAAAGTATATTTCATCCAACAGTTATATTTATTTTGAAAAGTTTTAAAACCATTTACAATAATATAACAAATTTACAAATAAATTCGTGCATTTTAATTTTATTTTAATTTTATCTTAAGTCCTCACCAAATTAAAACTATTTTACTTTATCTCCCATCACAAAATTATTTATATATACATGGTATTTTTTTTGGAGATTTTTAAAGTTTTGTTTTTTTTACTAATTTTCTAAAAGAAAAATCAATAAATATCAAATTAAATATTTTTATTATATTGATTTTATATTTAAAGAAATCAAGTCAATATCTATCTATATCATATATAAAAAAAATATTAAATTATTATATTTTATTATTAAAAAATTCAAATTTAAAATTCAAAACTCGATGTGTTTGTTTGAGGATTGGATTTTAAATATACTATTCATCCCATTTTTTTTTTCTTAAAAATATCAAATCAAACACCTATTTTTTATTTTTTATATTATACTAAAAATCAATTTTACATTCAAAACATCACATTAACACCTATTTATATCACATCATACAACTATTCAAATTTAAAATTTTTACTATTCAAATCACAACTCAAAATCCAAACCCCATTCAAACACATAGTTATTTATACACCCTATGGCCTATAGCTTCTCTACTATTTTGTGTAGTCTTTTTTTGGTTCTGTATTCATATTGTTTCCGATTAAAATTTAAACTCTGTTCTTTCTTTTATAATTTTAAATTCAAATCAACAATATTCATTTTTTTAAAAAAAATAAAAATATATTATTTATTTCTACAAAATATTATTTCATCAAAAATTAAAATCATCAATTCTTTTAAATCAATTTCAAAATACAACTAAGCAAACCCTAAAATTAATTTGCACAAAAGAGTTTTATCTTCTTTAATTAATTATATAGTGTGTATCTAAAATTTGAATAACAGGCTCGATTCTATGTATATCAATGTATGGAATCGGGTTCTCGTAAGTTGTCAAATATTATAACATGCAAGTAAAATAATAATAATATTACATTAAGTAATATCACATCATGATAATTGTACGTTTATTATGGCTATTGTATACATATAATACATACACAGAGTTGAGATCTGATGAAAATGTTTATCATAATGTTAAAAAGTAGTGCACCAACACACTTACCATGCACGATTTAAAGTTAATTTATCCAGACTGACTGACCGACCATTATATTTATATGGGCGAATCCCCAAACCAACATGGTGAAATTAATATTAACATTTAATCCTCCCTACTTACTATTAATCATGTGTCTGTCTGACCGGAGAAGAAGAAGCAAGAAAAATCTTTTGTCTGTCTCTTGCATTTGAACTATTAGTATATATTACTAACTATAAAGTCGTGATTTATAGTTAGTTATATAGCAGGCAGCTAAGGAGACATATAATCTGATTAAATTAAGATATATTTAGACACACACAAACACAATGCAATGCAAGCATGATATGTAATAGTAGTGCGTAGTAATATAAGTAGTAGTATACTATCTATCTATTCACCAGTTGTGAGATAGTTTGCAAATAGATGATTCATGCCAGCCACAATTCCTAGCTTAATTTGTCACCCATCCTTTCTATATATTATTATTTATCATAATAGTTTTAGCAATATATGTATGTATATACTTGTATTATAAATGTCTGGATTCACGTAAAGTTAAGTTAATTTCAACTTAATTAATAAAATCTCTTTACTTGAATATAAATAGATTTTAAAATAAAACAACCCTTCTACTGAGTCAAAAATATTAGAATTTATGTCAGTGTTTAATCATTACATATATTCGATAACCATCACGTTAATTTGATAATATTTCTTCTGTTGATGTATTTTTTTCAACAATAAAAAATAAAACCCCAAAATAGAAAATATCTTCGAATTTGATATATTTAGCGTCTGAGATTAGGAATCTCTAAACACTGTACGGTACATAAAATAAACTGGAAAATAAAACTAAAGACTGGAAAATAAAGTGGTGATCCCAAAAGCAATTCTCTTGAATTTGATGTCGATTGAAGATGATTGAAGATAAAAAAATTCACATCCTTAAATATTCTTTCAAGAAAACGTTTCAGAACCGTCGTCTGGTTGGTTACAGCAACCGCCCACTAATTCCTCCTTTATTGACACGTGTCTTCGCCAAACGCTGCCACCAGTTCCAAAACTCAATTTGGCCCGACCGACCATTCCAGAGACTAACTGGTCACTAGACCAAATGATTTATTGGTCGCCCCATCCAAGCGACTTGATGGTCCGACCGCAGACCTTCCGACTTGTTGACCATCCGACTTGTTGGTCCAGTCGCAAACCTTCCAACCTGTAGACCATCCGACCTGCAGACTTTCCGACCTATGGATCATCCGACCCGCTAACCAATTGATCTGCCCATCCGACCGCGGACCTTCCAACCTACCTATCTGGCCAAGGACCAACCGACCTGCCTATCCGAACGCGGACCAACCGACCGAGGACCAACCGACTTGCCTATCCGACAGCGGACCTTCCGACCTGCCGATCCGACCGAGGAACAACCGACCAAACCAACCAACCGAGGACCAACCGACCAGACCAACCGACCGATGACCAACCGACCTGAGCTTAAATTTTTCTCCTTTTCTACCTGACTTCGTGTCTACCTTCCTTTAAGATACTACTATCCTTATTATTATTATTATTATTATTATTATTATTATTATTATTATTATTATTATTATTATTTGTGCGTAACAACTTGCCTCATCCTCAAGACTCCTAAGCGTCATTTCTTATGATGTTTAGGAGTTAGCAGGCCGTCATCCGAGGCCACGTCAGCCTCAGATCCGACCTCCAACTTTCGAGGCTACGTTGGTCCCGACCTCCATTTATCGCAGACTGGTGCTGGCCTCCATGTTGGTCAATCTTGCACTACCATTTCTTTAGCACCTCCCCCTGACAGAAGTCGTGATCGTTTTCTCCGAAAAAAAATTCTAACCTCTCTGTCTTGGATGATAAACTGGCCAGATCTTGAACGTCGTGGGCCGTTAAAGCCTCCCGCAGTTGTGTATGCATATTTCGGACCACCAAATTGGTCATCTCACTTTCCTCAATGATTGTCGGGCAACGTCCCTTTATTAATCGCATCCGCTCTATGAATTAGTAGGCGGTCTCCTCCGGTATTTGCCTGATCTCCAAAAGGTCTGTGAGTGAGACTGTTGGAAGAGGAATAAAGAACCTTGCATGAAAGGCCGCTTCCAAACAGGTTTGTATTTGTCCAGGTGGTAGATCGACAAACTACGAAAAAGCTGTTCTGGTAAGAGACAAACCAAATAGTTGTAGTTTATAAAAAAGGTTATTACCGACCTCTCCTAACTGTGCTGTGAACCGACCCACATGCTCTATGGTGGAGGATCCGACATGAAAGTCTGGCGGTCGATAATTCCTCGGGAGAGGATACTCATTGATGATTCTCTCTGGAAATGGCATTTGATACGCCGGTCTATTCACCGTTTGCGGATTCATTCCGAAATGCACCCGCAGAACTTGAGCGATGTCTTCCGGATCTACTATGGGTGGAACAGGGTCGAATACAGGGATGGGATTATGAGCCTGTTCCCCCAACCTCTCTTCTCTGGGGACGGTTGGCTCGGCTGGGATGGGATTATGAGTTTGTCCCCCAATCTCTCTTCCATCACGATATGCAGCTGCGTATTATCAACTCTCGGTCCCAAAGGAATATTATCTGGGACAGTTAGAGGAGTCTTCCCCATATCTGTTCGGTTGAAAGTTGTGACATTTGGAAATATACTATCAACGTATGTTGGCCCTGCAAACGTTGATCCTGGAAAAGTCGCCTGAAAACGAGAAGGTGACATGGCTGGAGGCATGTTTGAATGCAAGGGTGAATCTGGAGAACGTCTGATCCAATATGTTCTGCATTAGATTTTGTTGTTCACACAACATGATGTTCTGTTGCTCGCGCAATATATTCTGCATAGCCAAAGTTTGTTGATTGTTCAATTGTTGAACGTAAGACAACCAATCGGTAGGTGGTTGGAGAATCTCCCTTGGATTTGGCATGACTGGTGGTGAAATATTTTCTCCCACTGGTGCTGATGATGATTGAGGTTGTGTGCCTGCCATATTGATTTTTCTGATACTTCGGCCGGACCTTAGTCATATGAAATTCTCTGTGGATGTAGGATCAACAATCTTTCCTTTCTCCCACTGTGGTCGCCAATTTGTTGATGTATTTTTTTCAACAATAAAAAGTAAAACCCGAAAATAGGAAATATCCTCGAATTTGATATATTTAGCGTCTGAGATTAGGAATCTCTAAATACTGTACGGTACAGAAAATAAGCTGGAAAATAAAACTACAGACTGGAAAATAAAGTGGTAATCCCTAAAAGCAATTCTCTTGAATTTGATGTCGATTGAAGATGATTGAAGATAAAAAATTCACATCCTTAAATATTCCTTCAAAGAAACGTTTCAGAACCGTCGTCTGGTTGATTATAGCAACCGCCCACTAATTCCTCCTTTATTGACACGTGTCTTCGCCAAACGCTGCCACCAGTTCCAGAACTCAATTTGGCCCGACCGACCATTCCAGAGACTAACTGGTCGCTAGACCAAATGATTTATTGGTCGCCCCATCCAAGCGACTTAATGGTCCGACCGCAGACCTTCCGACTTGTTGGTCCAGTCGCAAACCTTCCGACATGTAGACCATCCGATCTGCAGACTTTCCGACATATGGATCATCCGACCCGCTAACCAATCGATCTGCCCATCCGACCACGGACCTTCCGACCTACCTATCCGACCGAGGACCAACCGACCTACTTATCCGACTGCGGACCAACCGACCGAGGACCAACCAACCTGCCAATCCGACCGCGGACTTTCCGACCTGCCGATCCGACCGAGGACCAACCGACCAGACCAACCGACCGAGGACCAACCGACCTGAGAGCAAATTTTTCTTATTTTCTACTCGACTTCGTGTCAACCTTCCTTTAAGATCCTGCTATCCTTATTTTTATTATTATTATTATTTTTTGTGCGTAACAAAGATACTTGATACTGTATATATATATATATATATTAAAAAATCTCGTAATGATTATTAAAAGAAAATAATAATAATAATAATAATAATAATAATAATTGGTATATGTTGTATTATTTATCTTCCATGATGATATTAATTATCTCAAAAGAATGATAGGGCTTGGTTGGTTGGCATATGTTTTTCACTATATTGTTATGGCATGTTTGGGTGGGGTTTTAAAACTTCAAATCACTGCTATTTAGCATGAATAATTTTCAATAAAAATATAATCTAATATTTATATTTTTCATAGATATCATACAATTAAAATACTATTAAAATTTCAAACTCAAAACAAACAAAAGAAAATAAATATTTTCTCCGTCTCAAAAGAAGTGTCTTAACGAGAGTTGACCTGAAAATTAAGGAATAATAGTATTTAATTAAAAATAAATATAAAGTAGAATGATTTTAAAATGGGGATATGACTATTAAATAAGGAAATAAGATAATTGTTTTGAAACAATGAAAAAACAAGACAAATGTTTGGGAGGAAGGGAGGGAGTATAAATTAGCCGTTCAAATTGTAATTGGAATATTTTAAGAACCCGAAACTGACGGTTGTAGAACGTGTAGACAAATTTAGTGAGAGTCAGAACAGACACGAGACGACTACAGGTTCTACTTACCTACCTATAGCTATCTCCTTCATAGTTGCTTGACTGTTACTAATATAAAATGTTTATCTGATTTTATATATTGAATTTATAATTATTTTTATTAACATATTACTATGAATTAGTAGTATTTATTAGTTATAGTATATTATTTGAATTTCCGTGTTAACGGTAAAGCAGAATTAATGTAGAAGAAGATTAGATCCGGCGGCGCTGTGCTGTCATTCCCCGATGGCGGCTGTAAAGAGGACAGGGCTACTGGGCAAGGGTGGCTGTGCTCACCTCCATCACCGTTAACCATTATTGGTATGGTATAATATAGTATACTACTATATCTTATTTTATTATTTCTCTCGTCTGTCTTGGTGTACGTACTAATTATACTTTTCAAAATTATAGCCCGGCTTCCATTTTTAATGTTTTGTGTGTATGCATACTCTCTGCATCTTATTCTTAGTGGCTGGCTGGCTGGCTGCAAAGTCACTTATAATATATTCACAACAAATATATATAGATTAGATTAGATTGATGGATTGCAGCAGTGTTGAATGGAGTACTAGTATAAGTAATAATAATTATTATTATATTTCATATTCTGTGTGCGCGGTGGCTGGTGCTGGTCGGGTCGGGTGTCTGTGGACTGGAGTGGCTGGCGCCACAGCCACAGCATCGGCATCGCCCTCCTATTCTTCAGTCTTCATTAATTCATTCATTCATTCATTCCAACTCCAATTCCAGGAGAGGAGTAGTATAAGTATAAAATGGTGCAGAATTCCTTCCTCCTCCCTGATTCCAGAATCCCTCACAGTTATTAGTGGGCACAACACCACCAGAGCAGAGCCATGGCTCCTCCTCAATGGATCATCATCCTCTTCGTCTTTCTATTCCTAATTTCATACTCGTCTGCCGCCCCCTCCTCCGGTAATCCCCATCCCCATCCCCATTGGATCGTCATGGATTCACTCACTCACTCTTAATTCCTCAATATTCATCCATTGCTTTTCAACTTTATAAATTGATCTGTTGAGCAGGGATTGTCGGGAATATCAGCGCCACGGAGGCCGAGAATCTCCCCGGCATGACCCACATCACACTTGCGGGCGCCCTTCTCCACGGTTTCAAAGAGGTCGAGGTGTGGGTGGAGACGGCTGCCCCGGGAGTTCACACACCCATTCACCGCCACGACTGCGAGGAGGTCATCGTCGTCCTCAAGGGCAGCGGCACCCTCTACCTCGGCTCCCATGTCGACGACGACGATGATGGCGGCGGCGGCACCCGGCCCCAAGAGATCCCCTTCCACGAGAACAGCACCGTTCGCATCCCTCCCAACCACGCCCACCAGGCCTGGAATACAAACCCGCACCAGGACCTGCACGTCATCGTCATCATTTCAAGGCCGCCCTTGAGACTGTAAGCCAGCCCTACACTAGTACTACTGTACTAGTATGTATGTATATATATATATATATATACTTGAAGTTGAACTTGGAAGTTGATGTTAACGGGTTGTGTACAGGTGGGTGTACAGCGACTGGAGCGCCCCACACGAGTCCGCAAAGGAGATGTTCCCCACGGTTTGGGACAACAAGTTTCTTCTCAAGGCCAATGCCAACCCCAAGGATGACGTTCTTCATCATCATCGTCGTCATGAACTCTGACCTCTCTCTCCCTCATCTTGGGCCGGCGCCACATTCAAGATTGAGTTATTTCTGTCTATCCGATCAATTCTAAGCCTACTTTTCTTTATAGTGTAAGAGTAAAATAAACAATTTGGTATGACTCTGTTTTGATTTTAAGGTTATTTATCTGATTTTTAATTTTAATTTTTAATAATATGTGATTTAGTATCGCTTAATACTACTATCCTTTCCAAATTTTACTACTCCTATTTATTTGGATTTTATGCTTTTTCCCAAAAAGATCTTCTCACAAAATATTACTACTATTTATTTAAATACAAAACTTAAACCAAAGAAGCACACTCGGAGGCAGTTAGGGATCAAGATTCAAGATTCAAGATTTAAGAGCAGCTGCTGCCTGCCTGTTATATAGCAGTATTGATTAATTAGGGAGTAGTATGCATTAGAATTATCACCAATTCACCATGAGTGGGAGTGATCGAGGGTGTAGTTTCTCCCCATGGCTCTCTTCCTGGTTCTGATGAAAGACTCTGCCTTTTGGTTAATGTTGGAGGTGACGCTACTGAGCAGGGGCCCCCAACCCCTCCAATGCCTTCCAGTTGCACTTGCCTCAACCTCACCTGCTTTGTTGTTGTTCTTCTTCTTCTTCATCATCATCATCATCATCATATTCTCATCATCGCCTTCCGTGATCACCACCGTCGTCAAACTCTTTTTAGCAGGCCCAACGTTGTCCAACTCCAACTCATCATCATCATCGCCTTCTCCTACAACAGCAGTGCCACAGCTCTTCTTCTTCTTGTGGTCATCAATGTCTGTTCGTTGTAATTTAGTCTGATGAGTGGTGATGTGCCTGAAGTCGACTGCAACCTCAGAACTGTCATCGTGATGGGGATGGGGCGCGGTGCTGGGGGGACTGGTAGGGAAACACAGACACATGAGCTTGTGCATTATGAAGGACATGAGCTTTCGAAACATCCCTTCACCATCAGCAGCAGCAGCATGGCCCAGCTGATCATCAGGGTGGGGGGAGGAGGAGCTGCTGTTATTGTGCTCCATTTCATATACCCACTAGATTAATTAATTGGGCAGAGCAAGTGAAAGAAGGGAAGGGAAGGGAAGATCAGATTGAATTTAGGGAGTGGGAGTAGTGGGAGGGATTAAAGAAGAAGCTAATTAATAAAGAAGGCGGATGGAATTTAGCTAGTAATGGTGTTGGTTACTGGTTAGATTCTTACTTAGAGGGAAGGGAAGATAACAAGCTAATACTACTAAGGGATATACGATAGGAAGGCAAACAAGGAAACTGGAAAAGCAGATGAATTATGAAGTTGACAGATAGTGTGTAAGTTAAGTAGTTGACAGAAGAGGAGAGAGAGTAAAGCAATGCTGCTTATTAATTAATCATGAATGGATATGGATTTGATGTGACAGTGATGCGATGAAGTAGTCGTCGTCGTCGTCGTTATTTGCTAATCAGCCATTAGAAAAATCAAATCATAGGAAAGCAGCAGAGATGATAGGTGGAGAGAGAGACAAATATTCTTTCTGTTGGCAATGGCTTCCCGAGTCCGAATTTCATTTCCATTTCGATGGCCTCCCCTCCTCCCATTCCCTACCCTACCCAGTAAGACAAGGCAAGTTAAGTTATTATACTTTTCTTCCTTTTCCTTCTTCCTTCTTCCTTCTTCCTTCTTCCTTCTCCTCCTTTTTTTTTTTTCCTTGCAGATGATTTTAGAGATAGAGAGAGAGAGAGAGAAAGAGAGAGAGAGAGAGAGAGAGAGAGAGAGAGAGAGTGTTGTTGGTGTAAGTAAAAATGTAGTAGTAGTAGTAGTAATTAACTAATAATTTGTGTTTATTATTGTGCTGTTAAAATAAAAAAGTGATTATTTAACAAGTGATGTTAGTTAGGTAGGGCAGGGCAGCTAGGGCAAATCTAGCGAAGAGGAGGGCAACTGCGGTGGCGGACGACGACGACGATGATGCGAGTGAAGACGAAAGGAATAGGCAGGCACAGCTGGTGGAGAAATGAAGGTGAAAGTGCGCGGGGGAAGTCTGAATGGAATCCCGTTGAGAATTGAGAAGATGCTTAACTGAAGAAGATAAAAAAAGAGCAATGGTAACTAATGGCAGCAGAGGAGGAGAAAATTGTTGGATATGAATGAAGAGTGTACTTACAGGTACAGGTACAGGAGGAGATGGATCATCTATGATAACAATAAATAAGTATTAGTACAATTGCTTGTTTGCCCCACTTAGACAGAGACCTATTTCACACACGCACGCACAAAGATCACGGTCACTCGCACTCCCTACCTTTCCCTGCTGCTGCTGCTTGACCTGTGTGATGGAAATGAATGGATACATATATATGTGATCATTCAGACGCAATCCCTCTCTGAACAACAACAACAACAAAGAATGAATTGAACCAACAGAGCAGAGCAGCCCACACACCTCACCTCACCTCACCTCACCTCACTCCTCCTCCTACTTGAGTCCTAATTTAATGAATGTCCATCCATCCATTGTCCAACCAATCGTAATCAAAAAACAAATCAATCCAACCCACTCTGCCTTCTTCTTCTTCTCCTAAACCGGGGAGAACTGTTCCTCTGACCCCATTTTACTACGATGACTACGACTACTACCTGCCCGGGTTGTGGCCACCAGACTCTCCACGTCATCACCACCACCACCACCACCATCTCCCATCCCTACTCCCCTGGGATGCCACCCTTCTGTTGTTGCATCTTTGAACACCGGGTGCACGTAGGCATCTTTCAGGTACCCCTTCAGGTTGAAGTTGCCCTCTGTCGCCTTCTCTATCGTGTCTTTCATCATTGCATCCTGTTTGTTTTACAGACTAGGACTAGTATTAGTAGTATAATTATTTATGTCTCTCGTCTGCATGATGCACTCATATCACTCACGCTACCATGATACAAAAAAATATACAAACAAACAAATCAATCACCTGCAGAGGGAACTTCATGAATATGGACTCGAACCTCCCCTTGCACAAATGATAAAACCACATGCTCAAAACAGGTAGTACCAGCAATATTGGGGTTGCTTGCGGAACATCTTTCGTGTTCAGAAGTCCCAACAGCAGAAACTGTGATATCACCAGGCCTGTAACCACGCGCCGGTGCACGTCCGGCCAAAACTTGCCTGCACTCTCATATTTCTGATCATACACATTGATGATCTACAATTAAGAAACATCATCAATAACACTTAAATTGAACTGATTATTCAATCATTCCTTCTGTTGATGTATAGTTATATGATATATAGTAGGTAGAGGTGAAAGAGAGCAGGTTACCACCTGATGCCGATAAATTACATAGGCAAAGGCAAAGAAGACGATGATGAAAGGCAAGATTATAGGAGTGACCACTGAGTAGACAAGCCCCAGCAAGAAGTAGAGCTGTGTGCGAGGTTCAGTTATGTAAAAAGCAAGAGAGCCTGGATCAGTTGCTTCCTCCCTGTCCAGTTCTGTCTTCACCAAGAATGTATTTTTCAGATGGAAAATGACCAACGGAACCAATCTGATGACCTCTGCAGCAACACCGGCCCACCCATCAACCATGATATAAGTAATAAAGAATGTGGCTTTCATTGGCATGGCAACACCCACTGTTTTTGGAATCCTGCAAAGCATTGTAATGTATTTCAAAAGTGAATTTCTACTTATTTCTCTCTCATGCGTACATCACTTGCACTAATTATTTTAAAAGGAAAACTGTCCACCACCGAGCATCAAGACAGTCAGTTACAACATCTTGCAGCAGAGGAATACCAATGGAAGAAAACTAAGTGCTTTGATGGGGACCTCAAGATCAAAGTTCAAACAAGGTATCCAGTTTTTGTTTAGAATTAAAACCCACACCAATGAAGTGCTACTTATTGATGATTAAGATATATAATACTCCCTCCGTCATTCAAATTTATGCTCATTTTCCTTTTGGAATTGTCATCGAAAACTATTCTCGTTTCCCTTTTAAGTTAGAAATTATTACATTTTTGTACTTTTTTTTCCTATAAAAAAAAATAATAATTATTACTCACTTTTATTAATTTTCGTGCCCAGTCAAATGAGCACAGATTTGTATAACTGAGGGAGTATATATATATACATCTCCTGTAGACTCACTCAGCTAGTGTCCAGCAAATTTAAACTCATTACCCAATATACTTCAGAACTATCAAATAAAATTCGAGTGAATTCTACCTGACAACACAGGAAAGATATTGCATAAATAGCAAACGACCTTTATATTAAAGAATTTTTTTTCGATTATCAACAATTACTCAAGGCTGGAAACCCTATAATTCTTCATATTTCCAAGTATAGGAGCAACACAACTAGCTACTAATCATTGGCAGCTCAAAGCAAGATGGTTCATACTCTGATGCTGACTGATTGATAAACGTTCGAAGCTGCTGGAATGCTGCTCCTGCAACAATACTTCCAAGGAAGACATTAACAAGTACAAATAGATGATACTTTCCTGCAGTCCTCCTCTCCAGAGATGATATAGATATGTGACCTTCGATTTTGGACATTGCCATGAGAATTTGTGGAACAAGTGCCATAAATATCTTCAGTATGAGTCCAGGAAGAAAACCCTGGATAAAAGACTTGGCACGCGGCCTGAAGTAGAAACATAGAAATGTCAATCCATGCTAAGAATGAATACCAAGGGTACTCAAGTGGCAATCACATTGCTAAGAGGTTTCCAGCTATCATAAAGAAGAAGGTGTTGTACAAAACAGATAGATCCCTAGAAGCATCAACAGCCAAACATCTATGAGGTTGACATTGTTGTTGGTAGAAGTCTGATAACAATAATTCAGAAACCTCCAGCAAAATAACTTGAAATAATCTGGTAGTGTGTGTTATATTAATATCAAATGGAATCTAACGCATTCATGCACACTTTCAAACTCAGCACCAACTAAAAGCAAAGTTAACAAATAGAAAGACATCAAAATGACTAGATAAATGTTGAGCTTACCTTTGAATAAGTGATTTAAGGAACGGAAGAACCTTTTGGATGCCATCAATGCTTGCCAAGGATTGCACCAATGCTATAGGGATCATGAAAAAGAATGTGAAAAAGAACATAGCAACAGCAATTATCAGTCTTCTGACGGAGAGGCTAACATAAGGTATTGCAAGGTTGTTCCAGAAAACATCACGTGGTTCAGGAGCCCATTCAGTCAACCACAAAGTTGGATTGTGTGCTTGTTGAGTTTGAGCACAAACAGCTGCTCCCCATCGAGACTTGAAGGAGACAAAGGCTGCAGGGAGTATGGCTTTGGGATCATTAATGACCTTTTCCCTTTCTGCAGCTTCCTTTATATGAGTTCCAAAAGATAAAAGAACCAGCAGTCATCAAGGGAAAAGGGAGATAACATTGACAAAAACATGAAGAACAGGTAAGCATGACAGAATATTGAAGGCTTACCTTTTTTATTACCTTCTCAATCTCTGTTTTGTAGTAATCAATGGCATCCACAGACTTCCCAAAAAGGCCCAACAAACATGTCTATACACATTTTCAGAAAATCAGATGGCCACATGACATAATAAATTATGTGAAGAATATCTTAACCAATATTATACAAAAAGTTAACCCAGACAATACCCGTGTTCTCGGTCTCTTTTTGGGATTTCTCTCAAATCGTGTTTCATAGTAAGTAAGCCAATTCTTTAAACTCTTCTTATCCTCCACCAACCCTGCAAGATTGTTTGCATCATATAGAACCTGCAATCCAGTCATTCAAGCTACATGGAATCACAATCAGATAAATAATTTGGTTTGCTTGTCTTTTGTTCAGAATTACTTTTCTAAGTTGTATCTAAAATCTTCCTCTGTTCCCACCACCCCCCCCCCCCTTCCCGCTCCATTTTTGAACTTTGCATAAATAATTTTCCTCTCATATGTATCTCAATAATTAAATTGTCCAATGTAAATCCAAACCTGATGCATGAGATAATAATCAGGATGGTTTACACAAAAGAAATGCTCCACGTGCTCGCTTACTGATTCATCAGGATCAGGAGGAATATTTCTCACAAGAACCTACAAGGTAGAACTAAATCATAAACCCCAGGGGTAAAAATGATGAAAATGGAAATGGAAGAGAAACATGCGTGAAGACCGATTCATACGTGTAAACAGAAGAGCATATTTTACACATTACTCACAGAGAATTGATCTGGACGACGCTTTGCACCAGCTAAGAATTGAAGCCTCTTGGTAGATATGATCTGGTATTCTTTGTAAAGGACATAAAAAGTCCATAATGAGACAACATATGCCATTATCACATGTGCCCAAAGCCTGTACAAAACTAGGAAAGATCAGTTTTTACCAAACTATAAAGATAAAATATAATTATATGTTGTCGTCACGTGTTTCCGACAGTACTACAAAAACATATAAAGTCCTTAATTAGGTTTAAGCACTATAAATAATTGCATATGAAGATTCTATGCATAATGTCACACAATAGGCAGCCAATTAAAATTTTACATCTTCATGTGCAGAAAACTCTGCAAGGTAAATGAGACAAATCACTAAGACAAAATCATATATAACCAAATACCATATTCAACACACCTTTTGGATCCTGAAGGAACATTGGCTATAGAAAGCTTGTCAATATTACTATATGTCAAATCTTTGATGTTCTTCAGTGTCTCCCCAAACCAATTAACAGGAAACAATATAGCAAAAGAAAGTATAGCTATAGGGACAAAGATCTTCAACCTGCAACCAAAACTGCTACTTGAGAACTCGACGAGGACGAAGTAATGCAATAGAATGTTGAAATAAAACTCAAGCAATTGAAAAAAAAAAAAATGGTATGTTCCAGCTTTGAAAGACTATTCATTGTGACACTGAAGATATTCAACCCTTTTGCACTCACCCAAGAAGATAAATTCGAATATAAGCAACAGAGTCCAGCCCTGCGTGATCTATCAGTTCAGGTTCTGGCATTCTCAGTGCTTCAGGCATCCAAGTCCAAAACTTTAAATATGCCCTGAAATCTAAATTCACAAATTTCTTGACAGAAGCAGAACGTTTAGGTTCTGCTCGTATACCCTTTCTGTACCATTTGGAAAAGTAAACTCTATCATTAATTGGTTGGAGTCGCAAGAAGGCGAAGCCTAGAAGAAATGCTAAAGCAGATAGGGTATTGATAAAAGCTGATGTAGCAATATCCTGAATATTAGCCATGTTTTGACGTCGAGGCTATCACCTGCATTACATGAAAAAGTAAATAAATAGATAAATGAAATTACTAAAATATCTCTTCAAAGGTCCAATGCAACCAAAAGAAGAAGAAAGTGATTCATGATTCAGAGACGAAGAAGACGGGCATCAACTTAGTCAAAGAAGATAGTTGATGTAATCTAATCTCCTCATTTAGGGTTTGATCAAGGGTTATTGGGACTGGGAGTACACTGCGCAACATACGTGGAGAGAAGGAGATTGTTATGCGGATTGGTTAGACAAATCCAATTTAAACATGAAATACAGAGTTTGTTCCGTATGAAACTAAAAGCCCGCCAGAATGGCCAGAGGGGTTCAGTAAGAAATGTTATTTTAGGGATTACTGCTCACATTCTTTAATTGTAAACAGTATTAGAAGTTAGAACCGGAAAGGAAGAAGAAGGTTGCCATTTGCAATGAAGCACAACATGTAAGAAAATAAATCCCAAGAAAAGACGTAAACGAGTCTCAGCGTGCTACGGAACTGAAGCATCCAGTTATATATAGCTTCAAACAAGATCGCAATATGTCACGAACAATAATCATAGAAGTAGCAGTTATACCGTAATGTAAACCGCAAAAAATCATATGTATCGACGACAATGATCTTGATTCCGCTATGTGGGTATACTGATATGTTGATCCTTCTCACAACACACGCCGCAAAATAAAATAGTAGAATCGAAGAGATCAGAGCAAAAACAAGTGCAAGGAATCAGCGACCTTCGGGAGTGAGAAATTAAAAAGAATTTAGAATAATAATATTGCAGGGGAAAACAATAGAAAGGAGAGAGATGAATTGAAATTGGAAAGTTTATGATGGAAGGGGGTTTTACCTGCCTGCCTGCCTGCGTATGCGTTGCGTACTGAAGAGGAGTGGAGTGAGGAGAAGCAACCAATAGAAATGAAGGTGGTTTGTGATTACAGCAAATTGCTTTTCGTGGCCCTGAAGGCTGGAAGAAAGAAGGGAATAAATCCGAGCGGCAAAGTCAAACAAAAACCCCGCCGAAAGCCGAGTAGACGGCCGGTGGACGGAAAAGGGGCTCGGTAGTAAGCCCAGTAGTAACGTAATAGCCAGTTACTATAATAGAGCACTAGAGGGGCGGGGGTGGGTGGGAGCAACGGTCTCTGAACGAATTATAAATAAATAAAGATTTCTTTCTTACTGGAGTAGCCTTCCACCGGCTTCGAACGTTAACGTTCAGAGACAGAGACAGCACCAGCAGCAGCAACAGCAACACGCGGAGAAGACAAACCCCCCACCCTGGCTTGGCTATTGGGCTATGGGCTATTGCCTATTGGCTAACCAGAGGATTTTGAATGTAAATGACCATTCTGCCCATCCCAATATTATTAATAAATACACAATTTAATTTTACAAGACAATATGTTAAAATAATATTTAAACCAAAATATAAATAAAAAATTCAAATTCAAACTAAAATGAAACCAATCCTAATACATATACATATGCTTTTCTTTTATTTAAAGGAGTGATATCTTAAAAAATTACAAACATTGTCGTATTTAATATTTTATTTGTTCTAAAAGTAGTCTTATTGTAACGATACATAATTAAAAAAATATTAATATTATATTGATGATCGTATGGATAAATAATTTTTTTGTCCTATGTGAGTATATTAATGTAAAAAATAATGGTAATTATATAATAATAATGAAAAAATATGAATAATTTTACGGTGACATTGTTATTTATGAAAATGAGAGAACAAACAAAAATGGTAAACAAAAGACGGAATAAATAGTATTACATATTGTGTTTTTTCTTTTTGTTTGTTCAGTTTCGATTTTCAACATATATTATATATATATTTTTTCAAAGTAGTCGATATTAAATATAAAATATTATTTTTATATTATTATTTATAATTTACATAAAAATATTATTTGATGTTGCCGTGCGTCCAATCCAACCCTGGAATAGAAGTATACGTTGAAGATTGCTGAAATTTTATTAATAGTATTATTATTTGTATTAAAAATGTGGAAAATGTATGGCAATCAATGGTGGTGACCATGAACTCCACTCCCGAGTGGACCGACCTAACTGAACTCCTAATTAATAACGGATAATATCATCTTCAATCAAATTAAAATATTGGGGAAAATAAGAAGATTGAGTTGTCGGTTGCCAATATACCAGTCTTCCTTTGGGTTGTCCTATAAGAGCAACACGGGTTGTACGCGTCTTTGGGTGCCTAGATTAAGGAAGGAATCACCAACATCCAGCTTCGAATCCAACCATTGTTGTAGGATATATTTGATCTTGAGTTCAAAAAATATCTGCTCATAAAATAGATATATTAGACATAATATTGTTTTCACGTCATAAAAAAAAAATAATAATAATAATAAAATAGTGAGTGGCTTGGGCCTTGACAATGAGAACATGGGCCGTCCAAGAAACATGCAGTGGAGGTCACGTGCGTGTGCTTGTCTGATGAGTGATGAGTCTCAGGAGAGATGGGGAGTTGGAGATGCTCCGTCCCGGTCCCTCCCTCTAGCCACATCACTCGCAGCCACTCTCTCAGAGGCAGAAAGCACACATACATACATACATACATACGTATATACAGATACACAGACACCAGTCAATTCATTCATATCTACTGTCCTGTCACTCTTTCTTCCGCGAATCATTCAACCCCTTGCCATTTCTCCACTTCATCCCACCCCTCGATGCCATATTTCCCCGTTTAGGGTTTTGCACCCACTCATTCGATTCCTTTGCTCGGCTCGGCTGGTGTTCCTGCCGGCGGGCGGGGATGTTTAGTTTTAGGTTAAGGCAGGGGTTGTAGTTTCTGTGTGTCTCTGTTCTCTATTTGGTATTTCAAAAGCCCCCGGTTTTATTTTCCTTCAATTAGTTTAATGGCTCCAAATCGTAGAAAAGGTGCCAATAAATCGACCGCCGCTCGGTTGAAGTGGAAGGTTGGGGATCTCGTGCTCGCCAAAGTCAAAGGATTTCCGGCGTGGCCGGCCACTGTATGCTTACATCTCCTTTTTTTTGTTTTGGTTATTATTCCGTAGGGTTTAGGGTTGAGGGCTTCAAGTTGTGTTCTCCTATTATTGATTTATGGTTTCTACATTTTCTTACATGCTTTCCTCATTGTCTTTGACCTACTGTAAAAAAAAAAAAAAAAAGAAAAAAGAAAAAAAACCCTACTATCACCATCCACGTGGATGAAGTGTTGTCATTAACTTATTATCTTTCTATAACGGAGAGATATTACATTTAGTCCAGTTCCTATCCCATGGCTTATTGTCTGCGATGGTGCATCTCGCCCTAGCTCATTCTCTTTTGCAATGCCATTTAGGTTCTAATTGTATGAATATATAACTACGCACCGGGCAGTAAACACATGATGAAAACTTTCACATGCTTGGAGCTGCGCTTGATTGGAGTTCATGGGAGATATTTTCATTTGTTTATGGCTATATTTTCAGAGTCATGGTGCTTGCTTGTATTGGGTATTGATTCTATTTAGATTTTCGAGATTATCATTATCTCCGGGGGAGTGTTGAATATGTCCCACATTGGATATGATGTGGGAACTCCCTTGGCTTATAAGGGTGAATGACCCTCCATCTATCACCAATTGGTTTTAAGTTGGAAGTTCGGATCCCTGCTTAACAATTACATCCTGTTTGAGTAGCTGCAAACGACAGCATTGCTGATAAGGTCTATGATATGGCGAGTGCCAGTGCTATGTTCTTGATATTGGTAGTATGTTGGGCCTACACACTCTACAAGCTTAATAATTAGTTTTAGTTACGTACTGTGCACAAGGACCTTCTGACTTGTCTTGGTTAGATGTGGTCAGATGGGACTGGAAGAGAATGATTTCTGTGAATGCACACAAAACTTTGCAAAGGTGCAAGTAATGGTTCTGCCAGGGTGATAAATACTTGTTTTTTGGTTGGACTGATTTGTTAGCTGGTTGACTTATGTGTAGTGCTGGGAAATAAGTCTATTTTAAAGGCATGAATTTTGTGTTGTTTTTATAGACAACCGAATCAAGAGCTGCTATCACTCCAAGATATTGTATATTGTGGAATGTAAAAGGAAGTAAAATTAAGGGTTGTAGTATCATCTTCTTCTTTAGGAATATTCTCAAATTTATTGAGAATAGTGATGTATATGAAGACAAAAAGAGTCCTGAAAAAAATTCATGAGTAAATATTGAATACTTTGATCTGGCGATGTAATTGATACCAAAACACAAGTTGATTTGGAAGTGTTCTACAACCTGCTTGCCTTTTCTATAACTCCATCAAGAATATCCAATTTTATACATCCGAAACTGTTGTTTTTCTTGTTGGTAGCGTGCATTGCAGGATTAACTTCTCTAGCTAGCTTAATGAGTTAATATAAAGAATTACTCCACAGCTAAGTTTGTGGCTACATTGATTGTATTTTCTCTCTTTTTTTTTTTGTTCATGGCAGGTGAGTGAGCCACAAAAGTGGGGTTACCCTGCTGACTTGAAGAAAGTGCTAGTCTACTTTTTTGGGACTCAACAAATGTAACTTTTTCTTTCCTTTTGATGCTATAGTTGGTTTTGATTTGATCCTATTGTTTATATACTTTATTTACATTGTAAAAACACCAGCTGATTTTCCTCTTTTCTCGGGTTTATGCTATCATTGTAATTTATGAATGTTGATGGGCTTTCCTTTTGGTTTTGTTGATTAATGAGATCTCATGACCTGTTTGATTATCTGTAAGCACTTGCTGCATCCTTCTAGATAAGTTTGACTTATATTTGTTGTCTTGGTGATCAATTGCCAATTAGAAATTTCTCCACTAGTTCCTGTCATCTCCAAAGCCTAGTTTGCTAATATATAAAGTTAGTTTTATGCGATAAGTATTTTGCTTGTTTTTAGTATGGAACCAATGTTGTTTTGCTTCAGTAGTGCAGAAAGCAATGAACTTGTCATCCTGTGCAGGCAACCTCTTCTTTATTCTCTATTCAATTGATGAGCTTGACAAGCTAGTGAGCTACAATAAATAGAATTGCAGATACTCAAGTATATGCATATGAATTTGTATCTCTTGCTGTAAGATGTATACCTGATTATATAATGTCTTTGTTTTTAGTAAGATTGTTTCCATGTACAGAGCCTTCTGTAATCCGGGTGATATTGAAGAGTTCACTGAAGAGAAGAAAGCATCTTTGGCGAGCAAGCGTCATGGAAAAGGTTCTGATTTTGTTCGTGCATTGAATGAGATAGTTGCTTGCTTTGAGAAGCTGAGGAAACAAAGCAACATAGCCCGTAATAATATCACCAAAGAAATTAATACCGTCAGTGAGAACAATTCAGATGAGTCCTCCGCTAAATCTGTGAATATTAAGACTCCAGCAGTTATAATTAACCATTGTTGTAATGGAGCCATAAACAATCTACACTCTTTAACTGAAGCTGCTGCCACTGCTGAAGATACTTCGCATGTTGAGGAGATGCGATTGGAAGAAGCAAATCCTAATTCATTATGTACAGAAACCCATACTTACTTGACAAGAAGCAAAACTGATGCTACCCAATCACAAAAAGTTGGTGCCCAGAGGAGGATGTTTGCTCAAAAGTTGAGAAAACTTTCAAGGATAGAAGCTAGGGGATCTCAAAAATCAGTATTGCCTTCTATTAACAACATTAGGAGCTCTGGGGGATTCCAAGATTTAGTATTTTCAGACAGAGCTCTGAGAAGAAGTAAAAGGGTTATGAAGTCATGTGATGATTCTGAAGACAATGATACTAATTCACTTGCTTCTGTATTTAATGATAGCAATAAAGATGATGGTTCTGAGATCATGACAGTGGGCTCCGATACTCTTAGTTTGAATGATAGCAGCACTGCAGACTCGGCTTGTAAATATGCAGAAATAGAGCTTTCAAATGAAATTAATGAAAGATGGAAAGCTGAGTTAAACGACCGGCTTGACTTTCAAGTGAATTCTGTGATCCTCAAGAAAAGAAGGAGACTTAATAGAAAAAGACACAGAAATCCAATAGATAAATTTGATGAAGTTATTTCAAGGGTTGAAGTGCACAAGGCTGAATGCGCTTCATGTAGTGCTGATGAGAAAACTGGTGACCAACTTGCTAAAGAAGGTGGTGATGATCACTTACCTCTAGTCAAACGAGCAAGAGTTCGAATGGGCAGGTCATCACCTGTAGTGGATGACGAAGTTACTTTTGATCATAAAGAAGATGAAACAGTGGAAGCTCCTGAAAGTGGTGCTACAGAGTCTTTAGGTCTGTTTCCTGCTGATGGAGATTCTATTCCAACCTGTGGAGATCCAGGTAAATCATCATCTCTTTTGTGTGTAAGCCTCTCAGAACCTCGGCATTCAGGAACTGGTAAGAATTTTGTGCACAGTGAAGCTGCCTTGCCTCCATCTAAACGCCTCCATCGTGCCTTGGAGGCTATGTCTGCTAATGTGGCTGAGGATAGACAAATAACTTCCAATTTACCAGCCAACATGGGATTCTCTTCATTAATTGAATGCTCTGAGCTGTCCTTGGGAAAGGCACCAATGACATTGGGAGTGGAGCTGGAGGACTATAGGAATGCTGATTCTCAGCCATGTTCTGAGTTGTGTGATGTGTCAAAAATGGAAATGCTTGGAACTGATGGAAAAAAGTGTTCCTTAATGTTAGAATGCAGTAGAATTTCACCTGTAGAAGGCACTGAAAGTACATGTCTGAAATTATTGCCCCCCTTCAATGATAGCCCTTCAGAAGCTGATGGCAAGCATCAAGATATCGAACCTGATTCAACCAACAATAATGAAGAATTATCTCAATTTGAATGCCGCGTACCATCTTTGATAAGATCTGATGGAATCAACCTTGAATGTTCAAAGGTGGAGTTAGCTTCAAAGAGATCTGATCCAGATAGTTGTCCATTGCAATCAGATCCTGTCATAGCTGGAAATAGTACTGGTGGTTTTCATCCCATGAGCAGAGATATAATGGACAGTGCTGATGTTGGAGGTGTTGAAACAGATGAGACCGGGCTTGAGGAAGCAGTTGAGCCTAAAAGTTCCTGCTCACCTGAGAAAAATAAAGATAGTCAGGGGTAACTTTATACTATGCAGTTTTATATGTGGTAGTTTTCTCATAAATCTGCATAATCTCACTTTTTTAACTCTTTTGAGTGCTGGCTTTTCACCTTTTATGGCATATAGGTCTAAAGTTATGGAAGAAGGTAAACCACCATCTGCAGATTCAAATACTGTTCTCTCAGCTACACTTGTGAAAGCTTTTCCCCATAGACATTGTGGATATCTGTTCGATTCCAATTCCATCCCTGTGGAGTGCTTGGAGGCTAGAGCTGTTTCAACCATCCAGTCGCCAACTGATGCGATGGATCATGCTGCCAGGACAACTACTTCCACTTTTGTCTGCAAAACTTCTGCCTCAGAAAATAATTCTGTTGAAAAATGTAGCTCTAATAGTCTTGATATCCAAAGACACATTGGGAAAGCTATACTACCTAGCAAGTTTAGTGGCAAATTGGAATCATTGTCGTCGTTTGAAGCTATCATAAGATTTTTGACAAGAACAAAAGAGAGCATAGGACGAGCCACACGGGTTGCCATTGATTGTGCAAAAGTTGGGTTTGCAAGTAAGGTAGGATTCCACCTGACACAGATATTTCGTTTCAAGTTTTTGTGAATCAGAATCTCGTTTTGCTCTTAGGAAATGCTTTTGTTCATTAAGTTCTAATTTTATTTCCTTCACTTGAACGTTGTAAACTACCAGACCACAATTTTGCCAGTCTCGGGGAACTTATTTATTTGATGCTCAATAGGTGAGTAACCATAACTTTATGATATGCTATAACTAAATAATCTGTAATGGTGCTTTGACATTCATCATTCACTTTACTTTTGCAACTCTGAATCTTTTCATAAATTCATAGACAACCCAATAGCAGGTTGAAACATGTTTTAAAATCTCAACTCTGGGCTTCTGCAACTTGTCATACAAGGATTTTTATTACAATACATGGTAAAAGAGTGCATCTAGTCATGATTGTCTGTGTTTAGAGGACACAGTCGTATCTGTATCTTCTTTCTAATCTAAAACTTGTGCCTTGTACTACACTGTACTTGTATGTATTCCTGGGTAATAGGTTGCTACGTTGGGATCTGGCACTTAAGCCGGGTTCCCCCTTAAGACAATGCACCTAACACTGCATTGCCAATGACTGTTTGATTTTGTTCTCTAGGTGGTAGAAACGCTGGCCCATAATTTGGAAAGTGAGTCAAGTCCACCAAAAAAAGTTGATTTATTTTTCCTCGTCGACTCCATCACTCAGTGCTCAGGAGGAATGAAAGGTTTCAATTTTCTGATGTGATTGTTTTACTTGGATGCGTATTACAACTAATTTCTGTTGTATTGAGTATTGACATTTTGTTGCATAGGCAATGTATTCTAATACTGGAATTTTCAGGAGATGCTGGCCTGTATCCCTTGGAAATTCAAGCCCACTTGCCACGATTATTGTTGGCTGCTGCACCTCCTGGTTGCAACTTCTATGAAAATCATAGGCAGTGTCTTAAAGTAAGTAGAGCACCCCGTTCAAATAATGTTTCAGAATCTTTCTTATATTTATTATGTCATAATGTTCTCCCTTGGTTGCTGGTTAGGTTCTGAGAGTTTGGCTGGATAGGAAGATACTTCCTGAATCAATAATTCGTCACCATATTCGCGAACTTGATTTCCGCTGTGGAGCACGTTATGGTGTAAACTCCAGTCGATCTTTAAGATTTGAAAGGCCTTTTGATGATCCTATCAGGGAAATGGAGGGAATGTTGGTTGATGAATATGGAAGGTACTATGGCTTTTGCAGCTGTTTGAAGTTTCGCCTTTCTTGAGGTAGTCATGTTGTGATATTTTTTGGATGTTACTAATGAGCTCCTCTATGTCAATTTAGTAATTGTAGCATCCAGCTTCCTGGTTTCTGTATGCCTCCATTGGTGAGGGATGAGGATGTTGGAAGTGATTCTGATGGAGAGAGCTTTGAGGCTGTTACCCCAGAGCATCATGTTGAACATTTTGATGGAGTTAAAGCTCTGTCTGCTGCAGTTGAGAAGCGTAGTCATATATTAAAAGATGTTGATGGTGAGCTTGAAATGGAGGATGTGGCTCCATGTTATGAAATTGATACAACATCCAGCAGTAATATTGGTGGAACAGATTGTACAGACATTTCCCTTCATCAATCTGATAGCCAGTATGAGGCATCATTTGTTTCTGAACGTCCTAAAGATACCAACCTTTTACCTGCTACTGTATCAAGTTCCCTCTTACCCCCACCTCCAAGTGCACCTGAGCCCGTACCAGTTCCACCGTCTAACTTTCCTTCTTCGGGTCATGTTTCGAAGATTTGCTCAAGACCTCAGGTTTCTTTTTGTGCTGTTTTTCACATCTATTGGCTATTTCTCACTGCAATCAGATATTTGATTTCATCCCTAACTGTATGGTTGCTGCTGCAGGAGCCCAAGGCAAAGAGGTCTCCTTTGCCAAGATTTAGAACAAGAGCCATGGATGATATTCATTATCGCAATCATGAAAATAAAGATCCTGAAGCCCCTTTGCCAAGACGGACGCCTGCTTGCGGTAATACTTATTCTAATAGCGATCACCCTAGATCTCGGTTCTCCAGCCGACCTAATGGCCTCCAACCAGGGGGTGGTACTTCTAGAAAGGGTTACCATGTGCACCCTCCTCATCCTTCTCCATCAAATCAATTTTGTTCCCAACAACAAAGCCATTCACGGAGGAATATTCACCCCTCTTCCCAGCCCAGCAGATTTCATATGCGTCACACTGAAAATGGGAATTTTTACAGAGATCACGACAGAGACAAGTTTGCTCCCCGTGATGATATTGGAGAGTACTGGAGGCCGCACTTGCCATCCATCTCTGGTAAGTGACTCAGATCATATTTTATTCCGTGCTTGGTTTGTTATTTTGTGAATAACCTTTTTAATCTCTCTCAGGTCCATTGTATCATGATGAGTCCAGGATGTCTCATGCACTGATGTCTTACTGCAGTCCACCTCGTGAGCTCGCATATCCTAGTGATAAGTGGAATTTCCCTCCCCGTTCCGTGAACCACAGACAATATAATCATTATGGACCATCCTCCGGAGGCCCTATTCCAGTGGCAAATAGAGGTCACGTATCTTTTCTCTATCTTATGGATATCTTAGAAATTAGTTATATCAATTTGCAAATGGATTACTTTCCGTGTTCAGTGAGCTAGTTATATGTTGCAACAGTGGATTTTGCATCTTGACAATCATAAAAATCTATGTCACCTATCTAATTTGTTGGCAGTGTTGCTGCTTACTAAGGATGGTATTAAATAAATGGATAACTGCGACACACAACCTAATACAGACCCAATTTCATGGGTGTGCATAATGTCAGGGAATAAATATTCAAAACATAGGCTGATTAAATATAGATACCCGAACAAGAATGGTTTAATAATCGCATACAGATTTTCAAGTATATATTTCATTTGCATCAAGAGTTGATGGATACTACTATGATCTTTATTATCACCTAAATCTATTGGCATTTTATGGAATTAGGTTCATGTGTGGATTCTTGGATTTCGGCATGTTGTGCTGATATGCTGCTTTCTGCCAAAAATCAGGAAAATGCATGTGCTTTTGAATCAACATGCAGTAGCTTTTATTTTAAATAGCATGAAATTCGTATCAGATTCTAGATAATGCATATATACACTAATTGTTTATTTTTGCTCATATCCACACCTACACACACAGAGATGTGTGTGTATGATATGGCTAGTGTCAGATAGGGCACCTGCTCGTGGGTTTGGGACTCTAGCATTAGAGTTGATGTAGAAGAACTTGTCAGAGAACAAGACTAGCATTAACTCTTCACCATGTTAAATAAATATGTTTAGTTGAACATTTTGCTTTTTTGTTATCGTTGAACAAACATTTAAAAGTGTTCCTTTTGGGTTGTGGTGCAACCTTGTTTCATTCACAACAAAAATAGTAGTAGCTGAGTTTCGGCCTTCACAATAGGCTTCCCTTCATGTGTTAGATGTGCAGAAGCAGCTTAGATCCTTTATCAGTGGTCTCATCAATAACTTGGCATGTTTGCAGGTCCTAATCACTGGAAATCAAGATAGTTCATCAAAGGGAAACTGTATCGAAATGATAAGTGTTGTCGTCGCATCTCCTACTGCAGTTGTCAATATTATTCCTGCTTGTCCATTTTGCTGCCGTTGCTTTGTTAGGCGGGATGCTTGTGATATGCACTTCTGGGATTGCTTAGCATTTGATGGATGTTATGCTGTTGTGGACCGTGTCCAAAAGCAAAAAAGAGAAAAAAAAAGATTGACTATGTTCATTCTGCGATTGTTGGGACTGACTCACTTCTACTCGCTGGATCTACCTAGCTAGTTGAGGGAGAGGGTGTGTGTAATGTAATGTAATGTTATCATGGCCTACTTTGGTTTTTTGATTTAATTGGAAATATCTCAGTTTTGAAACGGTTTGTATATCTGTAAGGTACTGTTGGCGAAGGTGTGTTGTCATTTTGGTTATCATCGGCCACTTCCCCTGTATTGAATTGTATGTATGTATATTATTATTATTATTCTATTAAATTCTCCAACAGTAACAGTAAGATGGTTGTGTAGTACAATAGCATTGCATAGTAGCAATATAAATGTTTGAAGAATGAGAGTGCAGGCAGTGTGGTGTGGTGTTGTTGTATGATAGCCAGGCAGCCTATTGCCACAATCAGATGAGATGAGATCAAGTCAATCTTGGTGGGTCGGGTCGGGTCGGGTCTACTCCTCTATGGCCCTTATATCCTCTCCTCCTAGGCAGAGAGAGTTCTCACAAAATTTCAATAGGCGAAGAGTTTCCATAATGTTTGTAACACACGTTGGGACAATGTATTCAACCAAGCTCAACTCAAATCAATAGCACTAGGGAATGTGTTTTGGGGGGAAGAGAGAGAGAGAGAGAGAGAGAGAGAGAGAGAGAGAGTGACTGACTGAATCTCTGGGTGTGCTGTGGCTGTTGACTTATGTGCCGTGCCGTGCCTCTTTCACACACAACTTAAATTGAGCTCACTCGCGCATTCATATGCACTCCATTTCTATTATTCTCTCGATCGCATCGCATCGCATCGCATCTCATCTCATCTCATCTCATCTCCCGCGGTTCCCGCTCCCATTCTCTCTTGATCCGAAGCGCACACAGAGGTGGACTGGACTGGTGGTGTTTGTGCTGTATGTATGTATTTATGTATGTGAGCACGCATAATTGCGTCTCTGTGTCAGTCAGCTCGCTCCCTCCTCCTCAACCTCCTTCTTAATCAGCAGCAGCGAAGAAGAACACAGATAAGATCAGATAGATCGATAGATGGGTGCTGCGTCATCAGTCCCACAAAATTCCATCCACGAATTCACCGTCAAGGTTGTCCATCCCATCCCATCCCCCTCCATTTCCAATTTTTCGATTCCAATTGAATTATCTTCTTTTATTGTTCTCCCCTAACCTAATGTTGTTGTTCTGTTCTGAGCACCCATCAGGACAGTAGAGGTCGAGATGTGGACCTCTCTTCCTACAAAGGCAAGGTCTTGCTTGTTGTTAATGTTGCTTCCAAATGGTGCGTGCCCCCGCCCCCTCTCTTTTACCTTCGACGATTAGGGTTTAGGGTTTTGTTATGCTCTGTTCTGTTCTGTGTTTGTTTATTATTCTTCTATTTATCTGAGCATGCCATAGTCTGTCTGTCTAATCTTGTCTGAAACAGTGGGCTCACGACTCAGAATTACACCGAGTTGACTCAGCTTTACTCCAGATACAAGGACAGGGGTAATGTTTAGTGCTCCCTCGCCCCCAACTATTATTCTTGATTGCTGCTTTCTTTATAGGAAGGAAAGCAGGCAGGCAGGTGATTAATTTGTGTGTATCGATCCATCAGGTTTTGAGATTTTGGCCTTTCCCTGCAATCAGTTTCTGTACCAAGAACCCGGACCCAGCGAGAAAGCTGAAGAATTTGCCTGCACCAGATTCAAGGCTGAGTATCCCATCTTTCAAAAGGTAAGTAACTAGGTGTAAACCTCTACTTGATGGAAGAATTCTGCAATGTTGTAGTGTTTATGCTGTGAGATAGCGAGTGACTGAGTGAGTTACCTTGCCATGCCATGTTTCATGATTGATAAGGAAAAAAAAAAAAGAACTGCTCTTGGGAGATCTGATCTGCAAGATAGCAAGCAGTCAGTCAGTCAGTTGAATAAATTATCTGAATTATGCAAATAATGAATTAGGGACTTTAAATGTGTTTCTTGTCAAAGAAAGTAGTAATTTGCCCATGTTTTTTTACGTAAAGTGATTTATAAGTAGTGGGAATAATCAGCAGTGCACTATACCTATGTGATGGATGGATGGATGCATTGTGTTTACAAGTTTTATTTGATGTCCAGGCTACATAACATACATAATAATTATGCAATTCTTGTATTACTTCTCCTAGCTCTTTTTGGGGGTTGTGTGTGTGTGTGTGTGTATCAGAAGTTTGCAGTTTTACATTTGATCAAACTATTATCAAATCTGTCCTATACAAGGTAAAAGTGAATGGACCTGATGCAGCACCTGTTTATAAGTTTCTTAAAGCGCAAAAGGGTGGTGTTTTGGGGTCAAGAATCAAGTGGAACTTCACCAAGTTTCTAGTTGACAAAGAGGGACGTGTAGTCAAACGATACGGGCCAACTACATCACCATTTGCAATTGAGGTGGGTGGCTGCTGTCTTGGGACTTGTCTCTGTTTGTTCATATTTCCCTTTGAGATAGATTGTATTGTCTGTGCTAAACAAAGAACAATGAAACATTAAATTCACTTCTGGTTCTGCTGATTTCAGGCGGACATTAAGAAAGCCGTGGGGGAAATTTGAAGTTCCGAGGGAGGATTGATCTGGGATTCGTGACTGCAGAAAACCATAATGTATGTGGATATGTATTGTTGTATTTGTGTCCATATTAGTCTTCTCTTGGTTTTACAACATTACAATACTCTTTGTTGGTACATGCATGTTATGTGGATGTGTATTATTAATTTATTATTATTATGGAGTAGATGATTATATTGCTTGTTGGTTGCAATATTTATGTACTCTTGGATATTTACTTGTATCTAAAACAATCATGATGGATTGATGGGCATTCATATAAAGGTTGACTTGGTGCGTGTGGTGACTTGAAGAACCTGTGACAACACACACTTCCACTTCACTTCATTTCACCACAGCCATGATAGATAGATAAATAGATAGATAGATGGCAATAGACAGCACCCTGACGATTCAACAACCGCAGACACAAACTAAATAGGCTGCTGCTGCTGCATTGCTCTGCCAGTTCACAAGAACAAGAACAAAGAACAAGAACAATGTCGTGACAACCAAACCAGAAAATATTTTTGAAACATACACACGCACACACACGCGCGGGAAATCAATTCATTCTAATCCCACTGTAGATATCATTCTAATTCTGAACAAACTACTGCACAGCGCCCACCTCCAACCAACAAAACCAAGCAAAATAAAATATATACACCTGAAGTCCCACAATCCACATTGACAGTCAGGCAATCAATCCAGGAAGCTATGAAACTGATTATTCATGAAAAACGAAATAAATAAAAACAAACGGGGTCCTGAGGCTCAAGTCCAAACCACCAATAAGATATATATATATATATATAGTGCAAGTTCGATCAACCCAAGGCAGCCATCCTCGCCCAACCATAGGCGTCATCATTTTCATTTTCGCACAGATCCCATCCACCCTCTAGAACTGCCTTGCCATCATCATCTGATTGTTGCTCATCACTTGGATGTCTTTCTTTTGCCTTGGTGGTGGTGGTGGTGGCGGTGGCCTCCAATGAATCAGAAACCGCTTCAACCTCCAAGGATGAAAGGGAGTAAGCTAACTTGCCCGATGAGACTGAGTTAGAGACAGACTTGCTAAAGTGAATGTGATCATCCAACTTCTCTTTAAGCAGCCTCACATCCTGACATACAACACCAATTTCTCCTCTAAAGAGAAGGTGAGGTAAGGGGCAGAAAAAAACAAAGGTGCTTGTCAGCTATCATTATCCAGGATAAGATTTTACAAACAAATGGTAGAAAATGATGACTATAATAAGACAAGGGAGAAAAACAACAACAAAAACAAAAACAACAACAATAACAAGTTTACAATTGGATTAAGAGAATAAGCAAGGCATGAGAAGCTGTTTCAATGCTGGAAAAGTGAAAAACCTTGCATTTACAGCTTCTAATCCGCTGCCGCAGGAACGCACATAATGACACACAATAAGCAAGTCACTCTGCTTTGAGAGAGAATAAATAACTAATTGGAACTGTAGCATTAACTAAAATGATAGGCTACAAAGCAAAACTCTTAATTGGAATACGAAACCCACGCCTCAGTCATCATGGAGTCAGTAGTAAAAGTAAAATTAGTTAAAAAGAAGAGGAACAGTAAAAATATATGCTAAACATATAGTATGACTTACTGCAGCATATCTACAATGCGTCCACGGCTCACGAGAAATTCCTGCAACTGCAACATGACAGCCACAAAATCAATACCCATATCTATTATAAGATAATAAACTAAACAATATACAATAAAATAAAATTAAAAATTAAGTGATAAAGTATTGGGTGGAAAATTAGCCAAGCTGAGGCAAATGCAATGAGGAAACACAACCTATCATATAACACATTCCATGTCGAATGCCTAATTTTTTAAAAAGAAGGCAGTCACCACCTTTGCGTTTTCTTCCACCTGCTGTTTCAGGACTTCCAATTCATGCATCACTTTCCCCATAATCAGCTCCTCATCAGCAAGGGCTTTCATTGCAGCATTTTCCTTTTCTACTTTCATCTGCTCTGCAGATTTGATGACATCCTCAGCCTCAGCTATTTGCAACTCTAAAGCATGATGCATCTGCAAGCCAACATTCAAACATTCAAACTGCTGCAATGGATCATTCAAACACGCCTACACTTTACTGTAGCCTGAATGAGCTGTGCTTGATAAAGGTCAAGAATTCCTACACAAATTAAGTTTCCAAGAAAGCTCTATGGGCATTAGATACAGTTCGATTGAAACAATATGAAAATCATCTATCAATTTGCTTAGAAAAAACTAATTGCAACTGTGGGGTGAAAAAAATATAAATAAAAAATGAAAAGCATTCTGAATATATTACCAATACAATTATTAATAGTAAGATAAACACTAGAAATTGACATTAGTCCGGAAGCCATGCAAGAGAAAAGAAGTTTGATTTAAGATACAAAATGTAACAGCAGCTGCTTCCAAGGCAAAACTAATACTAATTGCTGATAAACTACCTCAACAAGGACAGAAAGAGATTTATCTCTTTCATCGGACAGAGATAGCACACGAGATTGAAGCTCTCTCAACTCACTTGCTAAGATGGACTTCTCCCCGTACACCTCACCAGCATGCTAAGATGAAAATATAAGATATGAGAAGCATAAAGTATGTTGTAAGGAATTACTGAAACACCAGTAGTAGGAATCAACCATGCTATTCGCCTCCTTTGCATGTTGAATTGTTTGTTTAACCTCTTCAACCTTAGCAAGTATGTCATTACCCCCAATTGCAGCTTCCACCATGGCTTGTTCTGCAGCTTGCTTTTTACATTCCACCTCTTTCATCAAGCTAATAACAGGCTGCATTGCGGATGACACAGTTGTCTGCACCAATTTATTATAATCATAGTTACCATCAAATGAAGGTCTCATTTGAAATTCAATAATCCAAATGACCTACTCAGACTAATGCGATGATTGACAACTCATGTTTTTTATTGTCACTTCCAAGATGAGGATTATTTTCAATCAAAGCATCCAGTCTAGAGTGCCAGAAATTATTTTCAGCATTTCATGAAAGTATGCATCTACTCAACCACAAAACTTTCGTTTATCGAAATCATCAAAAGAAAAACAGTCAAGTGCAACCAGCTTTCAAGCAGAATGGAAGAGTCTATTTCCCTAGACCATCAAATTGACAAACAACTTTTCGGAAAGACCAGGAAGTTTGTCACCAATTATATCAAAATGACATAGGTTAGGATATCCACAGATTTAATTTAAGAGCCAGCATTCATTTCAAAAAATAAATTTCTAAACCATTTTTGCAGAAAATAATCCTCAGAGACACCAAGCCAGTAGCAACAGATACTTCAATAAATGCAGAAACAATGCAACATGATTAACAAATATAAGGGTTCAATACTACCGACACCTTATAAGCTTTTGCATCTTCTAAAGCTTGCTCAAGAACTTCAATGATACGCATTTGGCTAGCTTGGGACATGGAGTCATTCAAATTAGCATCCTCACTGCTAACAGTAGAGCTTCCAGTTTCCATCTGCAAACCAGTATCATTTGACAAACTTGCATCTAAACCCTCTAAATCACTTTTCTGAATCTCCCGAATCACTCCCAGCTGAATGCTGCATTCGGAAGGATACATTGATTGATCATCAACAGTCAATGATTCAACCCCCAGCACAGCAGTGTTTCCATCTGCCAATGACTTTTCATTCTCATTTTCTTTGTTGGTAGTTGTGCTGGCTTCAGTTTCTAAATGACCATGCTCTACTGTGTCTTTGATATTCACATTCTGACTTATACCAGCATCATACACCTGTTGGGTACCCAACTTCTCACTTTCTGGTAATTTCTCTAATAAAAAGATATCACTGGTTTGGAGGTCTTCTTTGGTTTGAAGAGTATGTACATTATCCCCATCGGTAGTATTACCTTGTCCACAATGGCTGTAGTATGTGTCATATAAGGGTTCATTGTTCCCATCATCAGCATCATGGGAAGATAGAGAAGAATCCAGATCCCCAACTGTTACATTACAGCCATCTTGAATTCCCATGGAACCCACTGCATTCAAAGATTGGCCATCTACAGTAGGAACAATATTTGTGCCACCAATAGGAGCTGTTGAGAGAAAAAAAAGTAGAGCCATAAAGGAGATATTAGTTAACAAAATAATTCCACCGTTTAGAATTCTAAGCGTTCATGTGATGTGATGGGATTGTGACCATGAAAATAACTTCTGGTGTTTTACTTAGAGGCAAATGGCACCTTGCAATGTTTCGCCAATGGACATGTTCTCAATCAGAGGAGAGCTTGGTGTAGATCTTTCCATAAAGAAGGGAATTATCTCTGAAAGCACAATTTCAACTGCGGCATCGGCATCCTTGCTATGCTCAATTGCAACAGCTCTAAGGAGCCGAGCATCAATCTGTAACCAACAAAAATCCAACAGTAAAACCACTGAAACAGTAACTAATAAATTTATAGCAGAAATACAACATGACTGTTAGATTTTTCAAAAGAACAATGAATCAATGAGTAGCTCATCATATGCTTATATCATAATAAAAAGTCTCTTACTATCTTCAAGAAGATCAGAGGTCAGCAACCTTTATGATGTAATAGAAAAGTTGAAGATCTAAAGTTTGTGTTTGCTACTAACAAAATTAAAGATTATGCCACACCCTGGCCTGGATTACCTCCGGAAAGATTTCTTGCAATAACCTGTACACCTTATTGAAGCCCATCTCAGGATACCGCAAACCAAATCTGCAAGTAACATATAATTACTATCTACAAGATTACATTTATCTTTCAAATTACAGTAATTCACCAATTCTGAAAGCAAATGCAACAGTGAGGGTTCAAAATACTTAACCCCTCAATACACCCGACCACCAAAAAAAAAAAAAAAAAAACTTTGACAAATCAAAGATGGCAATTTGGCAAATACAACGTACATGCAAAATAAAAATTACTTAAAACTTATGTTCCTTTTTGTCAAAACCAAATTTGGAATAATACAATCATAAAATCACAACGGCGCGACTTCCAGGTTTCATCTCATCAGAAGTTGAAACTTTTGGCATAAGGAGGAGGTCATATACAAAAGATTAAGATAAAATCACAGAAATAAGTAAAACGATCAAAATATCACCGAAAATATGGAATTCGTGGAAATAAGAGAGAGCAATCAAGTGATCATATTGACACTAAATAAATATCACCAAACTATTTAGAAATTCGTTGATAATCTTGGCCGCCTCAGCTTGGGCGATGTCCTCCAACTTGAACGAGTGGGCTTGATCCCAACTGAATTACACGCTTTTGGGGTTAACTTAGATACAGAAACGATAGAAATAGTAGTATATTCTTATATTATTGGATAAATTTTTGTCACTCATTTGATTAGTGTCTTTTGTTTTAGTCTTTATTACTTCATTATTCTTATTTTAATTCACCTTTTATAATATTTTTAAATTTTTACTAGTTGATTTCTTTTAATTGAAAAAAGCATGAATATTAAATAATAAAAATAATTACAATTCCTATCCAAATAGCGAATAAATGTGTATAATTATGAAATTTTTATAATAATTTTGCTATTTTAACTTTTAAAATTATAAAATCAAATATTTATTTTTAATTTAATATATTATACTAATTTTTTTTAAAAAAATTAAAATATTAAATCAATACAATATATTTATATCATATTATATAATTATTTTTAATTTAACATTTTGTTACATGAAATCAAACTATCACAGATAAACATGCCTTCGTACTCTCTCAAAATATTGATACAGTATAAAAAAAAAATGCTAAAAACATGTCCTTATTCGATGAAACAATATCTTTAATTAAGAGAGTTTATTTCATATTATTATTGTTATTATTTAAACAGAAAGTTGGAAAAAGTATTTTTCAAATAAAATAAAAAATAAAAAATCACACCCAAATAATGTGGATTATAATAGGCAATCAAATCAAGAGAAGCCGTTGGCAGTACAGAGCAGTGTAGTGTAGTGTCACCCAACCCAACCCAACCCAACCCAATCCAATAAGTATACACAACTCCTTCCGCGACGCGTTTGCCCCAAATCTCTCCCTCCGGCCCTACCTCCAACCCTACCACCGCACGAGTTTACTACCATGGCGAAGACAACCGCCGCGAAATCGGCTGCCGTCGTGCTCGGAGCCTTGGCGTTTGGCTGGCTCGCCATAGAGCTCGCATTCAAGCCGTGGCTCCAGAAGGCTCGATCCGCCATGGATAAATCCGACCCGACGCGCGACCCGGATGATCAGGCGCTGCCTTCTGTCGACAACAGGGACAGGGAGGATGACGAGGGAGGGAGATGATCGCCATCCATCTCCAGCAGGTTAGCTATTGTACTCCAGAATTGGATGACAACCGGACATGATTGATATGTGTTCTCTTCTTTTGACCTCTTGTTAATAAAAATTAAGTAATTTTCTTATACCATCACTCTGGTTCTCTTTTTCTTTTGATTTCGCAAAGCTAAATCCACTGTTGCGCACAAACAATATCATATCGTGGCACCGGCTACAATATTAAAAATGATTACTAAATTCCACACACACACACGCAGAACTAACCAACCAACCAACAAGTTGTTCTTTAAAAGATGTCAATGTGTTGAGGGACGAAATTGGTTAGATCCAACTCTGCCGCATACTACCCTCACCTCACTTTGAAACAAATGGTAGTCGTAGTCTATATTCATAGCCACAGCCATAGCCATAGGTATAGTGTTAAAACACTTGAGATAGATAGATCAGACTTTAGAGAGCTTGCTTGCAGGGTGGCTGGCACAGATGAGATGAGATGAGAGGGCGCTACTACACTGACTCTGACGGACTGTTGAGTCACTCAATTGGTGCAAGCACAAACCAAAATTAGCAAGACATGGAGCGATGTAGGTAGGTAGGTCGATTGGAGTTGGTGTCCCTAATTTGGTTCGCACATGAATATCTCCTCCTTCCCGCCCATAGGCAGCAATGGAACGAACCGTGTTGTTTCTCTCGGGTGGACAAATGCTTCTTTCTAACACAGATAAGATTCCATTTGCATTTGCATTAATTAATCACTCCCTAATTAAGGTCGGTCGGTCGGTCTGTCTGTCTAATTCCACCTTCAGCTCCTGCCAGGCAGAGGCAGAGGCAGAGGCTCAGGCTCAGCAACAAAATCGTGATCTTGGTCGGAGTTGTGAGTATAGTAGTAGTAGTAAGTAGTAACATACAGGCAGGCAGACAAATGGAGACACTTGCGTCGTGTTCTCGTGTGTTCTCTTCTCTTTGTATTGTCGAATCTCAATGTTGTGCCTATGTATTCTCTTTTTCTATTTCAACAAACACAATGTATTTAGTCTTACTAAAAAATATATAGGGTTTGTTAGTTCACTTTTTTTCTTTTTTTTTTTTCTCATAGGATTTTCACAATATATTAAATATAATTATTTTTAATTTATTATAAAAAAATGTAAAATCAAAAAAAGAGGAATGTAGTATTTTATTTTTGTATATATAATATTTTTTTTTTGTTCCAATTCAAATATACAATTTTTTTAAAATTATGTTTGCTTGTTTCGACTAAAAATATTCATTTTTATTTTAATTAAAGTAATTATATATTAATATTAAAATATTTTTATTTTTTTAAAAAAATTATAAATATATTATTACATGTAGAATTATTGAAGATAAAATATATATAATAAAGTATTTTACATGCTTTCACTTGTCATTATTATTTTTTAATCTAATAACAAATCCCTAAAAATACATTCAAATGGTCAAAATCTTTAGACAATTATACTAATCAATAAAACATTAACAAGAAGGGAGGGAGTACAGAAATAAAAAAGAAAAGCAGTATTAATTCAAATAATGGAGGGAGGGTTTGGGTGGATGGATCCGACGGACAGTGAAAACTCATTTCAAGTCACGCCGGTCAATAGATTCGATATCGACGGTCAGGGTCAGGGTCAGGGTCAGGCTGGCCTGAGCAGAGAGTATGTGTGTTGACTCACGCTACACACATGACAGCCTGCGACCGACTGTGGCTGCATTGACATTGCCGCTCGTTTACCCCATTCAATCCAATTCAATTCAATCCAATTCTTACTTCTTCGTAAGATCACTATCACCATCATCATCTCTCTCTCTCTCTCGTGTTTGATTTACGGCGTCCCTCCGGTGGACTAATAAACAACTCACGACCAAAGTTAGGGTAAAAACATTTCTCAATCTCTCATACTTCTCCACCGCCGTTTCAAAGTTTTCTTATTTCCTCTCAACCAGAAACCAGACTACGAGTATGCGCGGTAAACAAAATGCTGGGAGGGGCAGTGCCTGTGCTCCACAGGTAAACAAAATGCACCTGCACTTGTGATGTTTTGTTTCTTAAGCTTCTCTTGTACTTCTATGCATTCTCTTGCTGCTATTGTTGTTCTGTGGAGGCGAAACTAGGGTTTTCTAAATTTTAGTAGGAGGCTTTCAGGAAGCGGTTTTGAGAAGTTCTAAATTTGCTTTTCATTATTTTATAGTTTTATTTGAGTTTTGCTTTAATTCACCTTTTTTTTTTTTTTTTTCCTTGAAGTATTTTGTAGTGATATGAACCTTCAGAACGCGTCTTGTTTTGGACACAAACCCTAGCTGTTGCCGGGGGTCCCCTTATTTCGAAAATTTACATCGACCGCTCAAAAATGCTCGTAAATGTTTTGAAAATACTCACTAGTGGTGATGCGTTGATTTCACCTGTTTTAGGAAGTTTCCAATTACTAGGTCTTGTAGTTTGAGATGATTCCCACGCTCGGTTCTCTTAAGTTCTTAGTTTGGACTTCGATAGCTGACCTAGGTTTGCTTTGCGTTTTGTATGCACAGGAATTTCGTTGCAATATATCTCCATTTTTATGAATAAAATATTTGGTAGAAAGCTAAATACTTTTTCCCGTCTTGTTGAATATTCCCTTATGAGATAGCGACATGTATTTTTAGAACCCTTTATGGGACAGCTAAAGGCATAAAGTTATAGATTCTAATACAGTGGTTTTAATCTCTTAAGTTCATCATGAGAAACTTGAGGAAATATGCGGATTTATTAACAGGTTGCCTTATATTTCCCATTGATAATTTTGTTGATTCTACTCAGCACTAGGAATTGGTTCAGATTTCTTTCTAGATAATAATTTGTCAACCATGTAAACCTGTGTCATGCTTTTGTATTTATTTTTCTAGTTTTGTGCTCTTGGGGGACATGTTCATATCAACTTTAAAATAATTGTTTGTTGCCAACTGCAATGGAAAGAAAAAAAAAAATGCTATGAATGATAAGTCATTGTAGTACTAGAGTCTTCTAGTTTAGCTGATGCTATTGTTCTGTGATTGAGCTAGTGAGCATCCCCTTTCTGTTTGCCTAATTTTCTGCTCAGGCATCTTCTGTCTCCTATAACACATTCTTAAGGTACATAGAAATCATTTTTGGTCATTTTTATCTCATCAATTACTATATCTAGCTGCATTTACTTTGTACTTGTTGTGTGAAGTAAGAGTTGTGATAATAATACAAGAAAGAAGATGTCAAAGGAAAATTAAAGATTGATGCAATTTTCCTTTGTGTTACGAGAAGTCCATCAATGATAAAGCCTATAGAGAAAAGCAATTGCATTTACATATTTTAGAGGGTTGATGTGTTTGCTTGTGTTAGGAGAAATCCTCCTCTGTTACAGAGCCACCAGCTGCAGAAAAGCAATCACATTTACATGTTAGTGGCATGCATTCAGTGGAAGCTACATCAGCGGGACCTGATACCCCACTGGATTGCAATGGTTCGCCAGAAGCTAAGGAAACTAATGGGGCTAAGAGAACAGTTGTTAGACGATCTGAACGACTTAAAAGTCCTCAATCTGGTGGAGTGAAAGCGGTAATGCCTGTTGTAAGCCATACTTTTTCTGAAACTGATAAGGGAAAAGCACCTCACTCTCAGCAAGTTAGTACCTACCCAATCTTGAATGTTAAAAACCTGGGATCGGAACCACAGATTCAACAAGACAATACAGTTCCAGACATGAGTTCTCCAATCTTCATGGAAAAGATTGACTATCTTGTTCAATCAGTTGATGAATTTAAATCTCAGGTTAGATTCCATGTTTGATTGCGATTTCTCTGTTTCCTTGGTTTTTATTTTTTTTTTCATATGTATGGTATTGAATCTAGTGCTGCTTTAGGGATTTGAACGAGCTCCTAGAAACCCGGACAATGATTGTGCAGCCGACCTAAACTACAAGACCTTGTACTTGGACTCACAAAAGAAGGCAATGTCTAGCTCTTGTGCAAGGAAATGATTATTGATTTTGCGGAGATGATGATCTGAACTTTCTTGTACAGATTGATGCTTTGGTAAAGGAAAACATTGAGCTAGTCAAGAAGTTGGAATATGCTCGCGGAAAAGTTGCTGCAGTAAGCTCATTATCTGTTATTTTCCATATTGTGGAGATTTCAACTAGATATCTAAAACCTGTTTGTGAGTATTCTTAGAAATAATTTGTTTGAATACCCTCGCCATTGTGTCTGTCTGTCTGCTTGTAACATTTAGTATGAAAGTGTGCAGGATAAGCATGAGAGAGATCTTTTAGATTGATTGACTTGTTACTATTATTTATCGTTGACAGTACGAGCGGATGAAGGATGCCGGAAAGGAAGTGGTGGTTGTGTGGGCAAAGGAGGCTGCAGGAGCTAGTCTAATGCCTCAAACGGTTGGTATTGCAACCTCACCACCTCCACCTCCACCTCCACCTCCTCACACTAGCCTAGTGAGTGCGGCTATGTCTGAGGGGAGGAAGAGTGAAGGTAAGAAAAGGAAGTCCAGGGGTTGATGGCAAATGGTGTTTGGGTTGCATATGTGATGATGGTGCTCTCACTCTTTTTGGCTGGTAGGTAATCTGATAATATTGTAAACAGTGGTCTTGAGAAGGATTTAAAGGTAGGCAGGCAGGCAGGCAGGGTATTGAGTTTGGGGGCCGTGTGTAAGAGGAATCAAGGTTGTGAATATGCAGGATGTTATGGGGGTGGTGTGATGAATCTAATGCCTCCTCATGAGTCGTGTGTGTCTCAGTCTGTCTATCTGAGAAAAACTGTTTTTACTAATTGAGCCCTTTGGTTAATAATTCCCGTCTTTAAGCAACCAAAGAAATTTCACTGGAAGAGAAGAAGCATGGCATTACTAGTATTTTGGATTGAAGCACGTCTGGCTGGTGAATGGATGTGTCTATAGTATAGATGGGCATGGCATGTATGATGTGTAGGTATGTTAAACGTACTAGTAACTAACTAATCAGTTGTTGAGCTTCCTTCCGCTTCCGCTTCCGCTTCCACTCCCACTCCCACTCCTACTGGCGCTATGGCATTGACATGAGCCACAGGAGGCAAATATCCTAGTAGTCAGTCCTACTCAACTAATACGCGGTTTTAGAAGGGTGATCGATTCGGTCTGTAATGAAGAAGGGCACTTCATCTCCTTGAGATAAACAACTCCCCCCCGCTGCCGCTACATGACATGCATATACACTACACATTGCATACAACCCACACCACACTATGCCACTTGGCACCTACTACTGTGATATGATATGATACTGATAGATAGATAGTTTTGAATTACCCGGTGGCGGTGTATATAATATAATATAATATAATATGATATGATGGCCCTCTCTCAGTCAGTCAGTCCATCAGAGCAGTAGTGAAGTGAAAAAGAGGAGAGAGAGGCAAGGAGAGACGACTATACAAGACAAAAGTAGATGCCGCTCTCTCTCCCCCTCTCTCTCATCATCAGGAAGGAGAGATGGTTAGGGAATAGTACTTTTTGATCGTATCCATCTCCAGATATTGTGGGGAGAGATACACATTCATTCATTCATTAATTCATTCCTTAATCCATATTTATACGTAACTAGTGGTACGGTGTCACTGTGAGTGAATGAGATTGAGAGAGAGAGAGAAGAAAAGGAGAGGGAGAAGACAAAGACAGGACAGGACAGGACAAGGACAAGACAAAGAGAGAAGGAAGTGGGGCGGGCTTCCTGGCTGGCTGGGCTTCCATTTTCCATGTGTAGTGTGACCTAAAAGCAAAGCAAAGCAGCCAAATTTAGAGGGCGAGGGAGATACATACAATTACACGCTACACCCTCCTTCCTTGTCTCGCTCGCTCGCTCGTTCATCCGAAACACATCCGCCCCTCCCCTTTTCTTCTTTTTCACATCACATGTATACAATACATTACTAGTAGTAGTAGTAACATAAGCAGCAGCAGCAGCCAAGGTGCGGACTCTCGTATCAGATCAGACCAGATCTCTCCCTCTCTCTCCCCAATTTGAATTGCAGGTGAGGTATCTACTTTTTCCTTCCTTCCTGCTTTCTCAGATCAATTCTCTTCTTATTAGTAATGGGGCCTGAGCTGAAGGAATCGCTCATTTCTAATATTAACTAATATTATTGGGTAAGGCTTTTTAAAGAAAGAAAGATACACATACATCTGATCTCTCTCGACATTAGACCTCATCCTCTCTTCTCTTTCTCTTTTATTTTTTTCTCCGGTAAGCAAGCTATAAGCTATGCATCTGTTCCTCCTCGACTTGTTGTTGTTCATCTGTTGAGGATAGATCTGTTATAAATAATAATGGGATATTATTACCATAACCGACAAAAAGTATTATTTTTATTATTATTATTAATTGAAGAAATCTCTGCAATTTGTTGGAGTTGTGAAAGACAGACGCACATATGTTGATGCTTTAATTTGCTTTGTGGTGCAGCATAAGCATAACAGCTCCCAACTTGTACTTGTTTCTAGGCCCCCAATTTCGGCATTTGAGCTGCTGCTGCTTGAATTGAATGCCAGAAAAGGGGGGTGCTCATCAGAAATGGGATCCTTGCCGCTTGATGTTGAGAAAGAGATCCTAGGCCCGCTTGATTGCGTTACATTGGGCACAGGCACAAGCAATGATGGCTGCTGCTACTACGACATAGGAATTGGAGTGGGAGTAGGAAAGCCCTTGGTTCTGTCCCTTGTTTCGACATTTCTTGAGAAGGCTGTTGAGGAAAACGAGAGGAGGAGGATGAAGGAGGAGGAGGAGGAGGAGGAGGGTGCAGCAGTGAGTGCATTCCAGGGGTCGACGGCTCCTTGTCTGAGCATCGAGCAGTACATGGAGCGGATTTACAAGTACTCGTGTTGCAGCCCTTGCTGTTTTGTGATGGCACAGATATATGTGGACAGGTTCCTTCAGCACACCAACCTGGTCTTGACTTCCCTCAACGTGCACCGCCTCCTCATCACTGCGGTCATGCTGGCTGCCAAGTTTATGGACGATGCGTAAGTCTGCTTCGCCTTCTCTTTTCTTTCCTTCTCTTGGTCATACATCAAATACTACAATGGTGAGTGAGTGAGTGATTGATTGTTGGTGACTTGTGATGGGTCAGGTTCTTCAACAACGCCTACTACGCAAGAGTGGGAGGCGTGAGCACGAGGGAACTCAACAATCTAGAAATGAAGTTCCTGTTCAGTATGGATTTCAGATTGCTTGTTAGCGTGCAGACCTTCAAGAAATACTGTTGGCTGCTCAAGAGGCAACAAGCATCTGCATCTGCCCTCCTCACTGGACGCCCTCCAATCCCAATCACTACCACCTATACTTATAAAGACAATGATGATGATGATGATTCCGTGTGTTGCTCCATCTCCAGATGACACACCCCCACACACCATTATTTATTTATCTGTCAATTCATCTACGCAAGAACACGTGTGGATCTATTTCTGTAGTATGTATATTTCAGAGCCAAATGCCATAGAAGATGCTACTACTGTCAGGAATCAGGATGGATGGATGAATATGCCTGCCTGCCTGCCTGCCAAATAGGTTTCTTCTTCAGGGCAGGGCAGTTGGCCTGTTTTGATGATGATGATGTTGTTGTTTGATGATTTGTGTGTAGTTTAGTAGTCACTAGTGTAGGGTAGGGTAGTGTAGTGGAATGTAGTTTGGGCTCAGTGTTATGCCCTTATTCTTTCATTTGCATTATTATTTCCAACATATACATCACACATTGATTGATTGTAATCATTGTATCAGTTTCCATTTCTTTGTTTGAGCGGGACCGGACTTCGGAGGTTGAATTGTATTTGTCACACAGTACTCAGATCAGACGCGCGCCTCCCTCAACCAACCGGATTAATCATGATCATGAAGTAATCATAATATATAAACTTGGAAATAGGTGTGTATGTACAAGTAAGTACAATTCAGCTCATGGAGTTGGAAAGTCTAGTGGTAGCTCAGATATGAATGAATCCATTCCTTACTTGTTTATGTGATACTCCATATCTACACTACATTGAAAGTGAGGTGAAAGTGGAAGTGGAATCAAGAACCAAGAATCAAAGCGCGGCTGCCAATGTCCAATTCAGTAGTAGTCTCCTCTATAGCAATTGGCAACAAGTATGCCACGCCATGCCATCTTCATTGCCAGTAAACTCGGCCAGCCATTGCATCCCAGATTCATTCATCTTTGAACATGGGGACCAACGCACACTATATGTTCCAACTATGTGTATAGCTGCTTTACTTTGGAGGCCTCTCTAGTGCTACCCAACCAAATTTACCTTTCCGGAAATCTGACAGGATGCGGAATGCTGCTTGATGAGCGTCCCCATTGAACAATTGCAGTCCCAGCTTGTGGACGAAGCTGCATATTATATGGATGTCAAGTGATGACAGACCAATGAAGAAAGAAAGAACAAGAAACATGGTTAGCGCCAGATAATATTGTACCAACAAACTCACGTTTTACCAACACAGCCATCCGCCTCAATCTTGTAACGATCCTGAATTGCTTTATAACCTGTTTCCAACAACAGAATCAGATGTACTCTGGTTTTGTGTAACGTATTCACTCACAGCAGGCAAGTAAAGTAGCTTCACATAAACCACATTAATATATACTATGCCTCTAGCATGCTTACTACTTTTAACTATTGCGAGATAAGTGCAACATACCTACTGCAGGAAGTCGTGCCAAAATCTGCACGAGAATGGCCGCAACTTCAGAAACATCATAAGACCTCTCTCCAATGTCATCACATATGGCAAGTTTTACAGCAGCAGACTGATCATCAATCCTCATTGGAATTATGCCTGGAGAATCCAGTAATTCCAAGTCCTTTCCGAACCGAACCCACCTATGAAGCAAAATGCAAGATTAGCAAATACAGATATGTAAAGTCAGACCAGAACTATATCCAACATTTACAGTTTATAAAATAATTACAACCTTCCATGAAAAGATTATAATAGCTGATGAGTTTAGTACAGCAAAAGATCAGTAGTAAACCTCATGTGATACTTTATCATACAGAGCATGAACACAACCATTTGTCGATATAAAGCAGTTTTAGATCAATCATCAATGAGCAGCGAATGAATCCAAATTCTAAAATCAAGGTTTTCAACTTTTCACATTACTGCAGATACGCTTACATCATCTTTGAGGAAACTGGATTTAATATTTGACCACAGAGAAAAAGAACTTACTGCAATTCTCTTGTTACACCTGGTCTTGGAGCTGCAGGACACATTCTACGCTTGAGCAACCGGTTTATTAAAGATGATTTACCAACATTAGGATAGCCAACTATTCCAGCTCGAACCTGAATATAGGAGTAAAATATCACACAGGTAGCTAACAACTTATATTCCTGATTACAGGGTACAGACATGGAGAAGAACTCAATGAGGAATATCGCAGATTAGTTCATAGAACATTTATGGTAATGAAATATACTACAGATTCTCTTCTAAGTATAAGACATAATAGTTGACCATTGTGTGTTTTCAAAACCAAGACAGTGCATGTGGGATCAAGGATGGAAATGTTATGGAAACATCACCAGTTTGGCCAAACCAGTTTCTAAACTGTCTGAAACATGAGAAACTCACAGGACGGGGGAGCAGTTCCTTGGCTTTGCGTTTGATGTTTACATCGCCAGCCAATGTCTTTGCTAATCTAGTAAGCTTCATTGTGCCCTGAAATTCTCAAATAGTTGCATCAACTGTAAGTAGAGTATTAATTTGGTAGCATAGCTTACATGATAAAGATGTGAGCTTCAAATACCATTCCAAGCTTGCCATTTGAAAAGACCACTTTTGTCCCTTGCCGGGCATAGTAATTAGCCCAAGCATTTCGGTCATCAGTAGATATCATGTCCTCTCTGTTCAAAACAATAATTCTCTTCCGATTTCCCAACCATGAATCCATCTGTTCATCAAAGTCAAACCAAATGATAGAAACTCAGAAGGCATTACGTTTGACAAAACACATAAACTACATTAGTAAAGCCCCAGTTTCCTGATACCATATGCGGAATGTGAGAGTTTTGTGAAGTCTTATGTTTATTTATTATTTTCAGATACCCTGGAGAGCACAATGGTCATAAAGTTTATACAAGAAAAAAAACCTCTTCTTTCCAACCCCAAAATTAAGTGTGATCAAAGAGCTTCCATTGGTTCATGCCATAGTTTAGTGACAACAAAGAGTCTTCCTAATAGTAACTTTAACTTCTATCTATAAAAGAATTTCCTAGCCTGTGATTCTCTTCATATACAAAAAGAAGTAAAATGTAGTGGAGCTGAAAAGGCCCAAGGTTTTCAATTCAACTATGTTAATGAGAAGCAATACTACAATAGCATTTCATATTTCAAACACAAGATATAAAACTAATAAAGTTTTAAACCTGTGGGTGGCTAGTGGCCATTGGTATCCTAGCATCCCGAACTTCTATCACAACGTCCATCAATTTCAGCTGGTCCTTGAGCTCTTTTTCGGTTTTGGCAATGTGACCAGGATACCACTATGAAAGTGCCACCATTGAAATTGCAGAAATCACTGTCAGATTCAAGTTGCAATAAAAGATGTAACTGATGTTCCAAAACATTGGAAAGAAGATCTGACCTGAACAGGACGCAACGCTTTTGCCCAGTGATAAATATTGGCGTCTAATTCAACCCAGTCAAATTCATTGGAATCCAAGTCCAAGGTGCCACTTAGTTTTGAGCGATCCGTCCCATTTGATCCCAAACTTTTTCCACCAACAATCTGCAGGGCAAGTTGAAGCAAAATGACATGCACCCATATACATATATATACTTATATTTATTCTCTATAACATGCAAACCAACAATTAGAAGGGCAAAAGATCAAAATTTATGTAAACAAATAAAAACTGAGTGACGGAGAATAAATTGAATCCAAGAATCAACTGGAAAACATGTCAGTTGAATCGCACCGCATAATTTAGGCAGACATGTAACACACAGGTGCACCGCAAGGAGTAACAGTAGCTAACAATGAAAAATCAAATAAATAAATTATACTGCTACTAGGTTCCAAAATGATGCCTGGATGATTGGCGAAGGGCGGGAAGTAGGTAGGGTAGCGGACTGTATATGCGCAGCGCTCCGGGATTTGATTAAGTTTCCGGCAACTGGTGCTGAAGGATTGCTGCTAAGAGAGAAGGCATGAAGCTGAGCAGCCATCATCATCGACTGAGACAGACAGACGGCTGGTTGCTTCTGTCTTGCCTTGCCTTCCCTTCCGCTATCCTCAAACAGAAAGGAATGAAGAGAAGCGCGCTCTACTGCAGCACAGGACAGGTGAGTAAAGGAAATTTGTAAACCCGACTTTGTTCTGAAATGACTAGTTTGTCCTTCCACTTATCTTTTCCAAACCCAATTCAAATTAGACTTGCCCAATCAGTTCAGTTTGGAACCGTCGATTCGAAATCGAAACCGGTCTATACCCGGTTCAGTAAACTGTTGGTTACTTCCTCCAACGGTATTTATGCTTGGTAGAAGGAAGAAACTAAAAAGTAGAGAATTTTAATATTAAAACATGATAAAATTAAGAATATACTGTATCTTGTACAATTTTAATTTTAAACTGAAATATCGTGAATTTATATCAGTAATATTTTGTGCATGTATAATGTATGTATCTATCTCTGTACATAATGGAGTTATGGAAATGAATAATATTGGGCTTGAAATTGGCAGATGGCCCATTAAATTAAATGGGATCAAAGGTTATTATATAGACAACGAATGATGATGTCAGCACATGGCATGACATGAGTGTTCCACTCAGATATGAAATAAAATGAAATGAATGAATGATGGGATGGATAGGAATAATATTACTTGGGATCAATCAATCGATATTTGCGGGGTACTTTTTGAAACGGCATTTTGAAGAAGATGATGATAAGTATGCATGTATGTTATATGTGTATTCACCAATGCATATTCTCATCTTGCGTTTTAAGCAATAATGAATTACAACATATACGACCATTACATTACATATATATATATATATATATTCATGTGGTCCTGTCCTGTATGTCTTCCTTTTCCAATCAAATTATTATTACTATAAGGGTTGCATGTTTTCCCTACAAAAACAAAGCTATATATATATATATATATATGGCGCTGTACGTAGAAGCTTCAGCAGAAGGCGACGACATATGACTAATAATTAATCTATCTATTTCCGATCAAAGAAATAATTAATCTATCTATTCATTATTAATTCTGTTATGATCAAATTCAAATGATGTATAGAATACGTAGGTAGGTATCTATCTATCTATCTATATATTTTTTGGTTATATATGAGTAGGGAATGAATTCTATGAAGACAACGCACTAGAACCTAACAAAAAGCCAAGCCAATTCAATCCAACCCTATTAAACAACGGTAATTACAACATATTATAATATGTGTCATCATATTACAAATACAATTCAACTTGGCAATTGGCATGCAGTAGTAAGGGAGAACGCATCGGAACTGTCCGGGATCGGGATCGGGAGCACCACCTCATATAAATATAAATATATATATATATATATATATACACATATCATCACTGATCAGTCCTACTTTTTCTATCTGTGTCCACCCTCAGCCTCAGGTGATTTTTGCAAGCCCAATACCCCACACACACACACACCATGAATCAATCAAATCTCATCTATCCACCTGCCTGCTGCTGATTCTTCTAACCCGTTTGTCCATCAAAACAGAGCTATTCATTCATTCATTCATACTGCAGACACGCCACCCCTTTTGTTCAGGTCCATACCAATATAGGAGTATTTAAGACAGACAGACAGACACCCCCTTATTATGTCTCAGCTAACTGCTGCCTGCTAATACACCCACACACACTATCTAATTCAATTAACTATACCAACTTAAAACATGTTCTACCTAGCCTAACAATACATAAATTCAGGCACACCCCTGATGATGTATTCATAATCAGCAACCAAGCTAAGCAAGGACAGAAATAAATAATATTACTAGCTCAACAGCTTCAGTCTCTTCTCTATATTAAATAATAAATGTATGTCTCTGTGCCCCACAAAAATTTACCACCTCCATCCACCTATATAAGTACCAGATCGTACTTTTATTCCACTTGTGTATACTTCTTCATTACTACAAGACAAAGTATGTTATCACATAACATACATGTATCATGAATGAAGAGCGAGGACGAAGCTTTGAAGTGGGTGGTCATTTATGTGGAAAAACAACAAGAAGTACTTGTGGAAAAATATTCCACAATATTAATTATTGCAACAATATTGAGAAGATCTCACAACATTCAGCAGAACAAGGATACTTAAATCAAATTAATCACCGGCAATAAATATATACGGCATCATAATGAATATATATATATATATATATCTATCTAGGCAGACAAACTCTAGTATTGTTTTTCCTAGACACGCATTAATTGTGGGTTGGAAAAATAAGAGACCGTTAGGTTCCAGTTGATTACTCACATGCCTGCCTGAGAGTAATTTACTTGGCAAATAATACTAACATCTATAATAATAATAATAATAATAATAATAATAATAATATAATTATTATTATTATTATTATTATTATTATTATTCTTATTATGAGTATATAGTATAATAGTAATTTATTGTATTGGCTACCGCTTAAAAGTTGACAATAGAGACAGTTAACTTAACTAGGGGAAATAAATTAATAAAAAACTGGCACAAGAAAATGGATGGATTAATTAATTAATTAACGAACCTAACGGCCGTTTCCTTGCACGGACTCGGTGGCAGGCTACTCCGTCCCGTTACGATTAGCTGTTGTACGAACCTTCCGATCCTCTCTCTGTTTGTCTCCGCCAGCAACCGCTTGCCGCCGAACGGCAACGACTCCACTCCTCTCTCATCCAGTGCTTCCTCCGCCTCGCCGTTGGCCTGAAAAGCGGCAGCGTTGAGAATCAATTTATGTTTGGCGTAATGTTTAGTTGTGCGAAATTTTACCTGTATTCTGACGTAATTATTGGAATTCCAACAGAAGGCGTTGCCGAGCATTTGATCGACGGTTTCGGAGACGCCGTCGAGTGCAATGCCTAGGATGGACACCGTCGAGCAGTCACCGTGGCGGCCGAGCTTCATCGTCGACGGTCTGCTTAGTCCGTTTCCGAGCGACAGCACCAACAGATCATCCACGCCAGTAACAGAGGGGAAATCGCGCTTGTTGTGAAGAACGTGTGTGACGGCCGCTGCGGTGGGATTGTTCATCACAATCCCACCATCCACGGCTAAGCAGGAGGTTTTTCCGTCACACGAGGTTAGCTTAAACGGCTTGAACATTGACGGCGTCGCTGCCGTGGCGCGAATGGCTTTCCAAAGCTCGAAATCGAAGCTCGGCGACTCGGAAGCGTCGGCTCGAGAGAAAACAAACGGCGCCGAGGTGTTCAAATCGAAGCAGGGGACAAGGAGAGGCCTACATGTGTCCCTGAGGGTTAAGACCTTGCCATCATCTCTCTTGAATGCTTCCTTCAACGCCAAATCCATGCTCGTCCCCGATAACCTCATCCGCCGGCGGAAAACGCCAACGTGTTTAACTTTGAATAGTGCCGTTCGATTTCTAGCAATAAAGTTAAGGGCGTCCCTAGCAGAGTAGAGCGGATGACCAGCGCCGTCATCGGCGACGAGCATTGCGGCGAGGAGCGCGCCGATCCCAGTGCCGGCAACAATATCGAAGAAGTGAGCAATCCGAGCGTTGGAATCGCCAGTTTTGGCTTGGATCTGGTGTTCGAGATGAACCAAGGCGGCTCCGGCAATAACACAGGTGGTTCCTCCACCGTCAATGGTGAGAACACGTGTTTTGATCTTGCCCTCGCAGTGGTGCAAGTGCAACCATTTCTGCTCCAGCCTGGAGAAAATCTCCATCGTTACCTTATTCAACTCCATCACATACTACTACTACTACAACACCACTTGCAAATTGCAATGACTCTCCTCAGTCCTCTCCTCTCCTCTCCTCTCCTCCAATTAACTCGGTCAATCTATAGGCTTTCATTCAGTGCACGGCTAGAGTAGAGAGACCTAGAATAGAATAGGTTGGGGGACAAATTACAGGGGAAAAGAGAGGGTGGTCACGCTTAACCACTGAAGGGCATTAATGGCTGGTTGGCGTGAAAATGAGAACAAATCCTCCCTCCTCCTCCTCCTCCTAAAAGGAAGGGAGGAAGCACCTCTCTGTCTCTTTCTGTCTTACTCTCTCACTCTGCGTGGGGGAGAGGAGTGCTGGAAGGTGAGTGGGGGTCCGTATATATACACTTACCATACATACCCGTCACTCAGTTGGACTCGACGACGGTGTGCTACTCCAAACATAAAGTGAGACAAACTAGACTAGATTAGAGTAGAGTGCACAATGGTTGTTACTTGAGCCTATTTCTATGCGTAGTCATAGATAGATGGCGATGATAGTATTTGTATTTGTATTGTTGGAATGGCTCACTGCATACAACATAATAATAATAATAATAATAATAATAATAATAATAATGATGGTAGTTATTTCATCCAATCTATTCTATTAGTGTATTAAACGCGCTTTTACTGAGGAATCATGTCATTATTAAATTGATTAATTAAAGACGGGCGAAGAGGAAGGGAGAGAGAAATACGGCTCTACTTCCTACTAGCACTAGCACTAGCCCTAGCCCTCCACTCCAGTCCTTCCTAGGGTAATAAATTTTATGCATCACAGTCACGGCCACACCCACCCTATTGTAATAATTAAATATGTGATCGTTTTGTGTTATTGCTGTTATAGAATAATTGACACACCACACAAATATCATAACTCGACGTCCAACCTATACGGAAGCTTGCTTTGCTTGCCCCGTGCCCTTGCCCTTGCCCTTGCCACTTTCAAAGTTCCGTAAAACCACCCAATGATTAGGGAATCATGTTATTAGCCTAGCCTACTCATAACAATACTGATACCAACAACAAATTATAAAGAGAATAATCATAGTTACAAAAGACCAAAACTTATGTATTTATCACGCTGCTTCAAAACATAAAAAGCACCCACCAACAGCAACACCATTAAGTATAAAAAGATTTCCAGGGTGGGTTCAACAAGACAAAAAACACAAACCTAACTAATAATACGATAGTAGTAGTATTACTGCATATGTATGTGTGTATGCATGTTTCCGAGACAAAACTTGGGGAGATGGAAGGAAGGAAGGTGGTGATGAAGCTTTATCCAGTAGAGGGTACTATAGGTGCCATTTCAAGGTTTGAAGTGGTGTAGGGCTTGGAGTCGGACAGACATGTTATGCTGTTGCCTGTCCCAAGGGGAGACCCTGACGAATCAATGACAATCAGGGATTATTACATGTCAGGATATCATGAGATGCACAAGCCAAAAACGGAAGACAATATCATAACCACTTACTTAAATTACAGATCCCCAACCCCCCCTCCCCCCATTTCTTTTTTTATCTCACTCGGGTGGGGTGGGTGGGTCAAGAAGAAGCTGGAGGTTTGGCCTGGTTGGCATACTTCCCATATCTCCTGCCGATCTCAGCATCCGTCAGTAAATCCCACACCTGAAGAAAATTAGCCAAAAACACCAAGTACTTAGCATCCGTTTGCAAATTGAACAAACAATGAAGCCCAAGGCAAACGATTGAAATGGAAGAATATGCACAATTTGCTAGATAAATCACGAACGCTGGAAGAAGAAGAAGAAGAAAGCAAAACGAGCTAATAAGAAGACAGTCATCCATCAAGCAATCGCTAAACAGAGGCCCACAGAAACTAAAAATTCATTGCTACAACATTAGTAAGAAAAGAAGTGGATAGAAGGCGTGGTAAACCATGAGAAAAAACGCATTATAATTACATACAAACTAATGCATGTGTACTGGCTGAACACGACAGAAAGGCCCACATTCTATGATGACGAAAATATGTTCAAGTGAAGAGTATGAAAGATACCACCCACCTGGAGTTGTCCCTTGGAACCTCCAATTGCTAATGTGAGAGGGCTCTCTTCTGAGAAAGAAATGGAAAATACAGCTCCCTGGCAACAAACCATTCACAAGAAAACAGATTAACAGTAACCCTATCATATTCCATCTTCAACCTTCCAGTGGAAAGGGAAGGGTTGGATTGAGATCAATCACCAACCACCCAAGTCTCACTGGAAAGATCCGTGATATTTATTGACCACTCCCAAAAACTGTAAAGGGAAAACAAAGGGGGCATACAGCTTTACGGTTTTGAGAAGCAATGCACGATGGCTCATTTGTAAGATCCCAGAGTTTCACCTGCAGTAGAAGAAAGCCAGCAGACCTTGTTCAAAACAAGTCCAGCAATGAACAAACGAAGGCAAAGAGACTCAGAGCATACCATCTTATCCATTGCACCAGTTGCTAGAAGCTAAGAAAACAAATTAATGTTCCCAAGTGAGTTCAGAAATAAATGCAATGTCAGAAAATGTAAAAGAATGGAACAACAGGCACATACATTTGGGATTTTACTATTATATGCAATTGCGCATACTGCTTTATCGTGTGCATGGAGAGTGAAACTTGGCTTAGGCTGATGAGATGCATCAGAACTAGCTGTACGGATATCAAAACCAGTAACCATGCCATTCTCAAGGCTGACCTGAGAAAACAATTAGAATAGCATTTTTATGTGATGAATACTTCATCCTTGACTGAGGTAGACATTAGGGGATCTCACAAACATCCACTTCACAATTGAGTTTAAGCTTTAACCATTCACCAATTATATTTTCAACATTCAGAGTACAAACCACAAATGAATGTTCTGTGTGAGGATCCCATGCCAAGCTTTCAACATCAGCTGCAACTGACCATTTAAATCCACTATGCGAAGGCGACCTCACATCTCTCTGAATGAGTAAAATGGTCATGCAAAAGAAAATTTAATTGATAGAAAGAGAGAGAGAGAGCAGCAGCAGCATAAAATAAAATTTAGAGTGTAAGGGTTTGGTACCATAACTACAGAATGATCAAAAGATCCACTGAGAAGAACATGAGGAGCAAAATGATTCCATGCAACTGCTTGAACCTGCGCATCAAATGATATACCATCAAACATGATTCAACAAAATAGATAAAAACCGGCACATTAACTTCACCACCTATATTTCCATTAGAGACATTTCAACAACAGTAATTATCGTGAAATAAGTCATACACAGCATTTTGTATGTTTTTGTTAACAAGAAGTTATTGAGTATGATCCAAAATCAAGTGAAAGTGAACATTATCTCAGTCAGTTTTATCACTTTTAACTTGAAAGTAGAGAAAGACATCTACGAGTGATGAATGTATTCTTACAATGTTTAGCAGCAAATTCATGTAGAATACAACCCACAACTTGATTCAGTTACTAACAGAATATTAGTGAACATCAACCAACTCATTGTTATATTCTAGAAGTAAAACAGGCAGAAAAGGGTTGTTTTTGACTTGTGAATGTGCAAGACTGAAATTTCGTATAAGTTAATTACAGTTGCAAACCAGTTTGTAAAGATACTGGAAATATGAGCCTTGCCTTGTCTGTATGATGCTCGAAGGTTGATGTACATGTTTCAGCTTTCACATCCCAAATTTTAACCAACTTATCTGCACTTGCACTAGCAAGTACGTTCCTGGAGAAGCCCAAAATAAATAATAAAAACAAACAAACTAACAAACACAATAAAAAAAAAAAAAAAGAAAAAAGAATTCATCTTAGAAACCTGAGCCAAGCACTAAACTCAAAGACCTTACAAATACCTGAATTCTTTGTTCCAAGCAAGTCCAAGAACTGAATCTGTGTGACTGCCATCTTTGTATGAAACAGATTTCTGATCAAAATTAAATAAAACATTTGTGTTAGAATTAGCATGTTGTCAAGCTTTCTAAGAGTTTCAGGCTAGTATTCCCTAAGGAAACAACAATTTATATTACTGCTCAAGTTTTCAAGCACAAGGGATCATCACTATTGACTATCATACTCTCAACTCTCAAGATGAACAGCTTGTTCAATGCAAGAAGGCATACAACCTCTTCCAAACAAAAATCAGAAAGGAGAAGCAATCCACATTCAATTACTATACATCAAGATCAAAGTTTATACACTTTCTATGTCTTACAACCAAGGAGATTTTTATAACTAGGTTTCTTAACAACATTTAAGTCTGAATACCATAAGTTACCTTCTTTCCCTTTTTCTTCTTTTTAATCATCCCACCCAATGTAGCAGTTGGCTGGACTTCATCCATCTAAAGCCAATGAGGGATTAATTAGTACACTGTAACCTAAGGGATCAATAATATAACATTAAAGCCCCCAAACTACATACAATATCAAGATCCCATATCTCAATAGTTGGTTCCATAGAGCCGACAGCAATAAAGTTGCCTGTTGACAAAAAAATAAAATAAAATAAAATCTCGATTTATAAACAAGTCCTAGTTTGGGGTAAAAATTAAAATATAAATCAGGGAAAATAAAGTAGCAGAGAAGAGGGCAAAGAAAGAAATAAATAAAAGAAAGAGAATTCATTATGACTTAAAGCATAAAGTTTGACATGTGAACAGTAAAAAGGAAAAAACAGTGAAGATATATAAGATCATTAAAGGAAAGGACTAACAAGAATATATCACAATCCGTTAGAGAGAGTCATCACCCAAACCTAATTATTTCTACAGATCTAATAAGTCAGCATATCCATGTATTCAGTTACCTTTTTCTCCACCTTTAATAGGACAATCCAGCCATGCTGTGCATAGAGGGAATGCTGGGAGAACAATATCATGGTGTACATACATGTTCAAATCACCATTTGCATCGCTTTCCAAAATCCAAACCTGATTGTTGATATGGGTTCAAATCATGACATTTAAAACATTAAAAATAATAAATAAAAAGGGATTTCACATTCATTTTGACAACACATCTTTACAAACAATTACATGCCTCAAGCTGGCTAACATCGTCTTCATTCCTGGCACAAACTATGACAGCATCATCTGGCTTTATGATGATATCCTCCTCCTCTTCAGATTCACTCTGAAATAATTAATTGCACAAACAGAAAGTAAATGTTCAAATGATACGAGCAAAAGGAATGGAATTGTAGCATGTATGGCAACTTAAACTCCAGAGAATCAAAGGGTTTGCTTGGTTGTTTCTTCACAGCCCCATTTTCCCTATACATCCACAGTAACTTATTTTGTTTCCTCCCCAATACATCACATCAAATAATTATTTATATTACATCAAACAACTTTTAATTTAATATTTTTACTATATTCAAAACACACCAAAACAAAACCAAACAAACCCAAAGTTTCAGTCAACTTACAGATTGTTTCTTCAAATAAGGGTCCATCTCATTACTTGGATAATATAAGTTACTGGATCCGAAAAGATCAACACCTGAATTGCATTCAGGAAAAAATGTTCAGCATATAAAATGTGTGCACGTGTGTGTACACATGTTTGAGGACAACACACCATGGACAATAAACCCAATGACCCATATAATAAACATCACATATATTTATGCAAGCTCTTCAAAGGTGAATTTTCACACTTTCTATATCACAATGTTGGGAAAGTAACTAAGAAAATTACAATGCTCATCATAGATATCCACCATGATTTCCAGTAAACCCTTATGAGTAACCATATGGATATTCATGGAAAGGTGAATCTTCACAGATAGGTTATATATCAAAATGTCAAGATAGTAACTAAAAACTTACCATCATCATCTTCATCATAGTTATCCATGTCCAGATCTTTCAGTGCATCAGATAAGCCATCAGTTTCTAGCTTCGAACTCTTGGAAGATTTGCCAAGTGCATCAGCAGTGGATAATGCACGAGCTACTTCATCATCCTCATCGTTATCATCATCAACATTCATAGTTTCATCATTTTCTTCACTATGACTCCCTTCACTGCAAAGATTACCACAGATTACTCGCATATAACACTAAATTATAATAATAACACAATATAGCCTCATATTGCGTGATCAAATCTTTTCCATAAGCATCATAATTATTAAAGACGAGCTACAGAATAGCTACACTATCAGTCTACTGCAGTGATGAATGAAAAGGTACCCAACAAAGAGAGTGAGTGATCAGTATTCATAGTTTAGTTTTTATATTTCAATTGAGAATTTTGATGACTGGCTCCTACGAATCTATTTCACCCGCACGCAGCCTTTTGGTTTTTCAATATTAAAAGTATTAAACCAGTCAATACTAACTAAACTAAGCACTCCACGTAGAAGAATGAAAGGGATCAGGGTAACTCAAGCCAAACCGTATTTCCAAGGGTCGACTCTTCAAAATTTTCTCAATTTCTTCTTTCGACGGAGGATCGGCTGCTTCAGGCACCGACTTTGACGCCCCTTTGGGAACCCAAGACACGGCCGCTATCATTATCGCTTATCCTTCCTTCCTTTCGAATGTAAACAGAAATTTTGTTGATAAAAAGAACAAATCTAACATGATATAAAAAGAGAGAGAGAGTATATAGCTAAACTACATCGGGCTAAGGACTGCGCTTTAACACGGATTCAAAGCATAACGAAAAGAGCATACTCATACATGTACCTCAGATAATGTATCGTGACAATTAAATGTTTTCTTTTTTTCGTTTTCAGTGTGATGATACAATGTCCTCCGAACCCGAATATCACGCCGGAGTAGGAATTGTACTCTGCTCAAGTTTTGTATGGTGGCGCGAAGGAGTTCAATTTAGGGCTTAGGGTTTTGATGAATGAAGTAAATAAAATACGGGGCAAAATTCGTCAAGACCATATGTATGTTTATCCAATCTCCGATCGGGTCGGGTCTCTTGCCCAATCGAACCCGAACCGCAACCGAATCCGTCTTTTTGCACGGTTCGGTGTGGGTACCTTCATACTTCATTCTCCACACCGTGTGGTTCATTCATTATTATAATTATTATTCCCCTGTCCCACATCTCATGTCCACCTTTATATTTTCTTTCGTTCTATTTATTTTGTTATTTTTCAAAAAGAAATTTTAATTTTATTTTTAAAAATTTAATTTTTAATTTTTTTAATTTTAATTATACTAATCAATTATTTTAATCTTAATTTATAATTATTTTTATTATACGATAATTATTTTCACTAATACATTTTTAATTATTTATTAATTATACCACTTTTAGATTCTCGTATCTATAGTAACATGATCAAATTATCCGGAACGGAGGGAATATTATTTAATGTGTATATATAGGGAGAGAGAAAAAGATCTTACCAGGTTCATTATTATAATTATTATTTAATGTGTGTATATATAGAGAGAGACATAAAGATCTTACCAGTCTGGCCGAGCCGCAGGAAAAGAAGAGGGAGACAGAAAAGAATGAGGAGAAGAAGGACTGATGAAGAGAGGAAGAAATTGGTTCACGGTGGCTGTGGATTTTGAAATCGTTAGGGCAAATTTTCTTACATATATATTTTACAAAAATATAAAAAATAATATGTTGGTAATGTTTGTTTTTTACAAAAATTTCAACGTGGCTGTAAAATAAAGTGATGTGACATGTGTTTCGAATTAAACACGGCCGTGTTCTGTGTTCTATGTAGTACACTGACAAGAAGCATGCGTATACTTGCTTGATGTCTGCTGTATAATCGAAGTCTACATGAAAACACACAAAAACTGAAGCAAAAGAAAAATGGTAATGTAAACAGACGCGTAGGCGTAGTTGCATGCATACCTTGTACGTACACCACAGCTGATGGATTGGATCTTTCTAATTCTGTTATTTCACTGCATGCGTGTCTTGTCACTTTCTTGCATATAATATCATAAGTATATGCTATTGCAATCAATCCCTTATTCCATGATTTACACTTTCACTTGCAAAACATCCTATCCTATCCTATCCTATCCTATCATATTCATTATTATAATTTCTATTTCCTGTTTGATTTTACATAACACTAGTTGTACAACTATATCTCTATATCTATATATATTCATTCTTTCCTTCCTTCCTGAGATCAAATTCTACAATTTAAAATATATAAATACCTGGTATATTTAAACGCATATAAAACTCAAAATAATTGATTTTTAAACATTAAGTGGTGAATATACTATTTAGCATATATGATCCACCACTTTTGAAATGCTACGTAGTATTCAAGTATGATAAATTAAAAATATTTAAAATTCTATTATTCAATAATATATCAAATTTGTTTACATAAAAATAAGTTTCCAGTTAATATTAAATTTACGGCCAAGATTTTCAGGCATGGGGACATGTTTAGAGGTCCGCGATTGATTAATTGAAATTCATCTTGTAAGTAGACATAAATATTTTTCACTGCTTCCAATGCATAATTTATAATAAAATAAATGTTATTATTTAATAAAACATTACATAAAAATCAGTTTTACACAAAAACACATCAAATTATGAATTATGAGTATGTTTTGATTTGAATTTTATTTTATTTTATTTTTTTTATGTATAAAATATAAAAATAATATTATATCTTAAATGTTTGCTTTTTGTAAAAAATGAAAAACAAACCCTATAAAATACTCTTACTTTATTCAAGAATTGTTTTTTTATTATTATCTTAAATAAATAATAAGAAGTGATGCTCATATTATAACAGCATTGGATAATGATTCGATGCATGCATTCATTGATAAAAACACATACGTGTGCATACATCCTTTTTTCTCTATTATTTTGAATTTGTTTTAAAGTTAAAAAGGTTCATTAAATTGAATATTTATAGATAGAGAAAAATGCTAATGGAAATTGTAAAATGAAATAAAAACACAAGTGAAGTGAATGGGTGGAAATTATTTAGAAATGTATCTGTTTCTGTCTTTTCTTCTAGTGCTGCCATTTTCCCTCTCTCCTCTGCTTTTAAAACCCCCCATTCTCTTCTCTCTCTCCCTCTGTCTCTCTCTCCCTCAGTGGTCGCTCAGTATTTCTCGTTTCAGCACCCCATTTCCCTCGTCCAAACATGCCTTTGTTTTCCCTCCTCGGATCATCCCCCTCCCCGCCGCCCCAGCTCTATATTCCGGCAGCATCTCCTTTTCCTCGCACCTCCGGTAGGCAGCGCCGGCTCTCTCTCTCTCTCTCCCTCACACACACACACACACACCGGGCAAACAAAAACAAACGAAGTTATGTTTCGAGGTCTCCTGCTTTTGTCTGGTTAATTCCAGACTGATTCGTTATATGCTGGGTTTTACTACTCTGTTTCATTTATTGATAGCCCGAACTCTGATATCTGTCATTTCTCCCTCCCTCTTCCGTTAATCAATTATGTAATTTACACTGTAAAATTGCTCATCAAACTTACGTGAACACACTTCAGTTGTTGCAGGACTATTTTCTGTTTGGAGAAATACAACAAACACTGGCTATCCCCTTCTGCAATGTGGTGCAGTTTCCAGAGCTCCTGCTGAAGGTGCAGTTCCCATACGAGGAATTAATAATCCTCTTTTCTTTGGTTCTTTGTTTGTTTGTATTTGAATTTTTTTCTTGTCAAATAATTTGTCCACAGTGCTGCAAATTACAGTATTGTTGATATTAAGAAACCATATATTCTGTAGGAGAATATATAGATGTGATTCTGAGTGGTTTCCCTGTCAGAAAGTGGCCATCGAATATTGCTACAGAGGGTGACACACAAAAGGATAAGTATAAAGTAAGCATTGCTACTCATAAACAAACATCCCTCTTGCTTCAGTTGCTTGCACTTTATTATAGTTTCTTTTTAATAATTTTTGTAGGGCGAGGAAGTGAGATCAAATGAGAGGAGGGATCGGATGGTTGAGATGATCAAGTCAATGCTGAGATCAATGGACGATGGAGAGATAAGCATATCTCCTTATGACACTGCGTGGGTGGCGTTGGTGGAGGATATTGGAGGCAAAGGACAGCCTCAGTTTCCCACCAGCATCGAATGGATTTCAAACAACCAACTGGAGGACGGTTCGTGGGGCGACAGTGCTGCCTATTCAGCTCACGACAGGATACTCAACACATTGGCTTGTGTTGTCGCATTGAGATCCTGGAAAATGCACCAGGACAAAACTGATAAAGGTTCGTCTATCTGAATTTTGATTTGTTTCTGATTTATTTCACTTAATTGTGCTGAACCATATTCTTCTGTAAAAATATGTTATATATGCATTTCATTGAACTGTGACTTTGAAAGTTGTCTAATAAGAATTTTTGTATTGAGGTTCCTTAACTTTTTCGATGGAATATGAGTATGCAACACGTCTCTAGTTTGAACATAGGATAAGATTTATCATAATGTGGTGGGCCCGTGAGCATAAATACGTAGAACCATTCTATCATGAACCTTACGATTCATTTAATTACGATTATCATAAAAAGAACTACTTGCTTTGCAGGGGTTACATTTATCAGAAAGAACATTCACAGGCTAGACGAAGAAAAAGAAGAGCACATGCCCATAGGTTTCGAAGTGGCACTGCCATCCCTTATTGAAACAGCCAAAAAGTTAGGGATAGATGTGCCCAATGATTCCCCAGCCTTGCAAAAAATTTACGCTAGAAGAGAATTAAAGCTTACAAGGCATGGGAATAATGATCACACTCATTTATCTGTCTCACAAATATGCTTGAATGATATCCGATAAAGATATGTGCAAAGTTAATACTTAAACCTCCTTTTTGTGTACGGTTGTGCTGGCAGGATACCAAGGGACATTATGCACAAGGTGCCCACAACATTACTGCACAGCTTAGAGGGAATGTCATCAGGGCTTGAGTGGCAAGAGCTGTTGAAATTACAGTGTCCTGACGGCTCATTTCTCTTTTCTCCATCCTCCACTGCCTTTGCATTACAACAAACTAAGGATGAGAATTGTCTCAAATATTTACTCAAGCATGTTAGAAAGTTCAATGGGGGAGGTAATTCGGTCAAAAAAATAATAAAAAAATCGCTACAGTAATATAATAGCATGTTTGAATGGAATGACTTGAAGCAATTGCATTCAAAGTCACAACAGTTTTGTTTCAAATTCAAATCCTTATATCTAAATTATCTAAGATCTTTCTGGTTTCTGGTCAGCGTTGGTTCATATCTGTTTATAGCCCTCTTTGTAATGCTTTTGTTCAGTTCCTAATGTGTATCCGGTGGACTTATTTGAGCGCCTATGGGCTGTGGATCGGCTACAAAGGCTGGGGATATCAAGGTATTTTCAACCTGAGATTGAAGAGTGCCTTGGTTATGTACACAGGTTATTTTATTTTACTTTTCTTTTCGAAATTATTATTGTTTTCAAGAAGGCATGCTGTTTAGGGATTTTGAATTGCAAGATGGTAATTAAAAATTGTTGAGGTATTTCAGATACTGGACAGACAAGGGGATTTGTTGGGCAAGAAATTCTCAAGTTCAGGACGTTGATGACACTGCCATGGGATTCAGGCTTCTGAGGTTGCATGGCTACCGGGTTTCGGCAGGTATATATAATAGTTGTAATTTAGAACAAAACATTGTAAATCTTCGCATTTACGCATACTCAACCCAAAGTAGTGCTAAAATTCCTGCGTTCATCCAAAGTCTCTATAATGCATCTTGTAAGAATTTTTTGTGTACGACAGATGTTTTCAAGAACTTTAAACAGGACGAAGAGTTCTTCTGCTTCGCGGGGCAGTCAAATCAGGCAGTGACTGGAATGTATAACTTGTACAGGGCTTCTCAGGTGATGTTTCCAGGGGAAGTTATACTTGCAGAAGCCCGCAAGTTCTCCCACAAGTTCTTGCAAGAGAAAAGGGCTAACAATGAACTACTTGATAAATGGATTATAACCAAAGACCTTCCAGGAGAGGTACACATATAGAACACTAGCCCTAGTCACAAGTGTTGTGGTCAATTTCAACAGGGGGTTTTAGCTAAGTGGTTGTGCCTAAAAGCACGTAAAATTGATGATAAAGGAATTTCAGGTGGGATTTGCACTGGATATTCCATGGTATGCCAGTTTACCTAGAATTGAGACAAGATTTTTCTTGGAACAATATGGTGGTGGTGATGATGTTTGGATTGGGAAGACCTTGTACAGGTAAACTATATTTACATTTCAGAATATTACAATAAAATAAGAATTTTTTCTAATTACTTATACCATTGGACTATTATCTTTTCTTCAGAATGCCCTACATTGACAACAGGGCCTACCTTGATCTGGCAAAGTTAGATTACAATAATTGCCAGGCATTGCATCAGAGTGAGTGGAAAAGCTTTCAAAAGTAAGACATTATTATTTTCTTGATTTTTGCACATTGACGCGTCCAAAGATTCATAATTATTTCTGGGTTTCTGTTATTTAGATGGTACAGAAGTTGCAGACTTGAGGAGTTTGGGTTGTCGGAGACGACCCTTGTTCAAACTTATTACATCGCAGCAGCAAGCATATTTGAGCCAGAAAGATTGTATGAGCGGCTTGCATGGGCTAAAACTGCGATTCTAATGGAGACTGTCATGCGGCATTCGGACCAAAAGAAACTCTCCAAGCAACAAAAGCACGCATTAGTCAATGAATTCAAACATTGTGCACTGCTTGGAGAAAGGTACATAGATGCCTCCCATCCCAGCTGTGTCTTTTCAAGCTCGTGAAATCTGTTCCTCCCCCCAAGTTTCAAAATGACACAATTAGCAGATGCTCCAAAATTGGCAGGTACAAAACACGAAACAACCTGATAGGGACCCTGGTCAGAAGTGTGAATGAACTCTCATTGGACGCACCATTGGCGCGATACGCAGACATCCAATCACACTTGCATCGGGCGGTAACTCCAACTTTCCTTTCTATGTCATATATCTATCTATCTATCTAAATAAATAAATTATATAAAATGATATGTGGTTATCCAACTAGATGTTGTATTCGGTCAAATGTCCAATGCCTCTTTGATTAACTGAAGAAAGGAAACATAGTGCTGTCGTGGAATGTACGTGTAAGGGAGGGATTGCATGGGAGTAAGGAAAGAAACAACAAAGAAATGGTATAATATTAATCAATGATGTTAGGCGGTGGTAGATGATGATCCACAAGTCCACATCCTGACGAGTACTCTAGTTCTAGCAATATATATATATATATATATATTTAATTAATGACTGAATAGAAATGTGGTCTGGGCGGCATGCAGTGGCAAAAGTGGCTAAGCTCATGGGAGGAAGGGGACACGGGTGAAGGCGATGCAGAGCTGCTAGTGTGCACTCTAAATCTGTGTGGTGGAGGCCGCAGCAGTCACAGTCGATGGTCCGACAAATTATTGTTGTCGTATCCTCCGTATCAGCCCCTTGTGCAGATCGCCAGCAGAGTCTGTCACCATCTCCGCCTGTCTCCAACCCGAAAGGTTACCCTTTGCCCACCCACTCCTGCCACTTGACCTTTTTGACATATCATAAATAATACTACTACTATATGTATATGCATATATTTCATTCTTGTTGATAACAACTCTTACTCAATCATGCATATCTAATAGCGATTAATAATAATATTGAAAGCAGGAGGAGGCAAGGATGTGCGAGCAGAAGCTGCAAAGTGGCGTGAGTGGTGGTGACATAGAAGGGAGCATGCAAGAGCTGGTGAGATTAGCGCTGGCCAAGAGCCACAGCGAATTGGAGTTTCGTGTGAAGCAAAACTTCCTCCTTGTAGCCAGGAGTTATTACTACACCGCATATTGTAACCCTGCTACTATCAATCTCCACATAGCCAAAGTCCTCTTTGAGACTGTCGTACTAGAATGCTGTGATGACCATACCCGCCGTTACTTCTGATGTTAAATAAATTAATTGATTGGGAAGAGTTACATACAGTAACATCAACATCAGCAGCAATCATATATATATATATATATCGATTTTGGTAGACATTCTCAAGAATTTCTCCCAGTCAGTCCCATTAGTATATACATACATACATACAGATATCTGGTTAATTTTATAATATTTTGAAAGAGATTGATTGAGGCAGACACAGTCACAGACACAGACAGGATAAGAATAAAAAGGCGGCACTATCAGTTGTCCTAAAAATAGTCAATGCATGTGATGTGCCAACAAAACACATATATGATATATATATAGATATAGATACCCAAAGGTTGTATGGTATGGTATCATCCACGAAGAGATGTTTTGTTTGTTATATTTTATTTGTATAGAAGAGGAGGTTGTGATTCTTATATAATTTGATTCTCCCCAACCCCACCACTCATGAGGTTGAGATGGCAGTGATGTGGGAGTCACGCGTCCATGGAATTTGGGTTGGGTATGAGACTGAGATGCGTCTTTGAGTGATAAACGCTATCAAAATAAATTTATATGTGGGATTTGAATTCGAAATCTAATACTCTGATATAATATTATATAATATAAATTGAGTCGCACCTAAAAGTTTAAGCTATAAGAAAATATATATTATTTATTTATTTACAAACAAGAATGCATTATATATATCATACATAGCATAGCATAGCATACCAATATATATATGTGGTGGTGTGACTGGACTGGAGTGGTCTATACTATACTCAACTGGCCTGGATTAATATTAATATTGGATTGGATGGGCACCCACTCAACTCAACTCAACTCAACAAAAGTAGTAGTAACTCACAATCACAAACAACCACGATATCGAATAGGCATTGGTGATTGGGGTGTGACTTGGATTGGATTGGATTGGATTGGACTAGACCAGACCGGCAGTGAGCCCACATAATAAACGTATAACTAACTAACATCCATCTGTGTGTAATGTAGTAATTGCGTTTCTGTTTCTGTAAACCAAACCTATTTCTATTTCTATTCATGGTCACTTGTTAAAACTTTTCATTATTACAAGCCACAATACAAATACTAGTAGTATGAGATACAAAACATCTCCGTCTCTACCGCCCGTTTCGATTGTTTTTTAAGGGTTCATTTATTTGCCTTAAATATTATTTTCACCGATGCTCAAGTATTTATTTTTATTTGGCCCGTTAGGTTTGGGCTATCTATCCGAGAAGCTTATATTCATTGGCCGTTTAAAACAAAAAAGCAGCCCATTAAGCAAGACCGTTTTGATTTTTGTCCTACTATTGCTCCAGCTTATTTCAAATCTTGGGGTTTTTGGTTGTTTTGAAGCCCATCCATCTCTCGAGCTGGAAACCGAATAGGCGTGAAGGCGGTGGCGGCAGCCGCCGGAGCACGGTGCGAACGACTCTGTAACTAGAAAATTACTTGTACGACTTGTGTTCGTGATCGTCATATGGATTTATTGTGTGTACTCGAGATTGATTTGAATCTTGATATCGCCTCTGCTCATTTATTTTTATTTTTTTACAGAAAATGGCAGACAAGGCTGTGACTATCAGAACAAGGAAGTTCATGACAAATCGTCTTCTGTCCAGGAAGCAATTTGTGAGCTATACGCCGACTTTCTCTTTCCTTTTTATTCTGCCGGATATAAACTGCTCTTTGTGCATGCTTCAAATGTATTTCTCGATCATTGCTGGCTTCTTGTCATTTGTTTGTTTTTCGTGATTTGGATTTCGTTTCGTAGGTAATTGACGTGCTGCATCCGGGAAGAGCTAACGTTTCAAAGGTATGAACCATTCACCTTGCTTTATATAGTATATTTATATGTATTCCACGGGTTTTTGTTGTATTGACTACAATTTTCTAACTGGATTATGTGGTTTAGATGTAGAATGTTTATTGACTTTGGAGTTGCTAAAATTTTTTCCCAATAATATATAGCGGATGATTTGTCATTTGCTTTCGTTTTTTTTTTTTTTTGAACTTGTGATCATGTTCACTAATATTATGAAATGGGTTGTCTCAAACAATAAAAATTACTGAATAGTAAACAACCAGCCTTTAAGTTGAATGCTCCCTGTCAATTCAAGGAGACCGTGTGATAATTGATATGCATAATGAGCTTTCGGTTCCTTTTTGTTCCTTATTTGTAGGCTGAGTTGAAGGAGAAATTGGGTCGGATGTATGAGGTCAAAGATCCTAATTCCATCTTCGTATTCAAGTTCCGGACTCATTTTGGTGGAGGCAAATCAACTGGCTTTGGCTTGATATATGATTCAGTTGAGAGTGCTAAGAAATTTGAGCCTAAATACAGGCTGATCAGGGTAATTTTTTTCACATCTTTTATCATTAATTGCTCATGTTTATATTGTCATCTTCTTGATGCAGTCAACATTTTGTCACAATACACTGCTTATTTTCCTACATTACTGAGTTTTGCCTATCCAATTGCTTTTCTGAATTGATTGGAACCTTCAAGTCATTGAGAAAATGGTTTGTACTTTCATTTTGTATGCATTGCATAGTTGTGATTTAGCAGGAAATTTAGTACATTGGGAGAAGGTTTTAGCAGGCCGTTTTATAGTTTCAAGATCACTTGTATTTATTTCATGGGATATCATTTTGTTCATCCCATATTATACTGTTATTTTTTACCCATTTATTATTACTGCTTCTGATCTTAATTTTTTCTGAAGATAAAGTCTGATTGAACTGCTTTTTGTTTTGACATAGCTGTTATTAGCGATGCTAATTGATTCTAAACTATTTGAAAAACACACTCATACAGGACTTCAACTTGATAGTTATAGTAAACTAGTTGATTTCATGTTTGAGCTTGACCCATTTGGTTTAAAAGCCTGATCTGAACGCAAATGATTATTATTGAGTTGAGTTCGACCTCAAAGTTAGAGTTTAAAAACTCCAAACACAACTTGAATAATAACTCTATCATGATGCATGGCGTTTGCAGAGTTATAAAAATCTTCATTTGAGATGCCCAGATTAAAGTCAGCTGGGAAAGTTATATACAAGTTCTTAAATACTTGAACAATCATGTTATTACTTGTGCAAGTTTCGCACGTGTGATGGATGACCTACGACTTGTGTGCGTTCAGAACGGTCTTGCTACCAAGGTTGAGAAGTCGAGGAAGCAGATGAAGGAGAGGAAGAACAGGGCTAAGAAAGTTCGTGGTGTCAAGAAGGTATACGTTGGCCTCCTCCCTGCATCACAATCCACTCTCTGTGTTTTATTTTCTTATTATCTTTTCTGATGATTTTTCCTCCTGATTTTGTAGACCAAGGCCGGAGATGCTGCCAAGGGCGGAAAGAAGAAATAATTAAATCTCTTAGTGTATATATATATAGAGAGAGAGAGAGAGAGAGAGTTATCTTCGTTAGGATTGACATATATTGCCATGCAATATTGTGGATGGTATAATGAAAGAGGCTGAGTCCCCACTACTATTATTTGTAGTTTGTACCTTCCATCCCATATAAACTATATATTCATTTATGAGTGCACCAGTGACGAGGCCCTTATTTTGTACATCAATCTGATGTAATAAGCTATATTCCTACAAACAATACTTTTGATTTTTATTTTTTTATGAGTATATAAGTATATATTACTCCCTCCGTCTCCACACATACTGTGTCTGCTATAGATAATTAGTAAATAATTAATAATGCATTAGTGAAAATAATTATTCTATAATATAAATAATTATAAATTATTTATAAAATAAATAATTAGTTTAATTTAAATTTTAAAAGATAATTTAAAATAAAATTAAAGTGTGTAATATTTTTTTTTAAAAAAGTGAGCAATATAGTATGTGAATCGGAGGAACAGAATTAGAGTTAAAAAACATCCGTCAATCTGCACACTGGTTTTGTTTCGCAATGTGAGTTGTGTTAGGTGTATATACAAAGCGGAATGGGCCATACACCTCTCAATTATATAGTTATTACGGCCCATTTATATATTTAGAAATAGGCCCAATCACGTGGGCCCAGCTGCTATGACCTTTCTATATATACCTAATTTCTCACGCTGCTGGACCCTGTCATTAGGGTTTCTTGTTATAAGTGCTGCGCGACTGCCTTCTTGAAGCTCTATACGAAGCCATGGTATGTGCCGCCGTGCTCGATTGAATTTCTTTGTTAGGTTTGGTTGGTTGTTTGAATTGATGTGTTGAAATGTCGATTTCACTTTGCAGTCGCTTGTAGCAAATGAGGATTTCCAACATATTCTGCGTGTGCAGAACACAAACGTCGACGGCAAGCAGAAGATTATGTTTGCCCTGACATCCATCAAGGGGATTGGCCGCCGTTTTGCTAACATAGTCTGTAAGAAAGCAGATGTTGACATGAACAAGCGGTAACTTTTTTTTAAAAAAAAACTATTGCTTCTGTTGTTTAAGCGCAGAGATTTTTGGATTTAAATATGTTATTGTGAGAACATGTATTTTCCTAATAAAGTCATTCTTGATTGCAAAAATCTGTATATAGGCAGTACTTGTATCGTAATCGTGGTTATTGGGGCTTTCTGTGTTTGATCTGGACTTGCGTTTGATTTCGGATCGTAACGTAATTCATCAATGCCTCGCCATTAATCAAATGCCACCAATTCCCATTAGCTCTGTAAATGCAAACTGTAGTGGCGATTCTGATTTATGTACTCAATGCCGTACGTACAATGCGAGCATTTACGATCCGCTAATCCGGGATCTCTCCAACCCAGTTTCGTGTTTTGTCAAAAATACTGAATGTTATCAAATATTTGTATGAATTGAAGAGAGGCTCCAATATAGATTTAATCAGAAATACACAACAAGGTGTTTGACGCATACCCCATGAAGATGCGAAGACATTCTGTTGTGGTCTTTTATCTCTTCAAGCTTGAGATCTGTGCTCAGTTTTATTTTTTAATTTTTTTATCTTCATTTTATTTGTGGGTTTGCTTGTGAAGAAATCTGAGTGGGATGATGCAATTTTGGTAGGGCTGGTGAGCTCTCTGCTTCTGAGATCGATAATTTAATGGTAATTGTGGCGAATCCTCGCCAGTTCAAGATCCCAGACTGGTTTCTCAATAGGAAAAAAGATTACAAAGATGGGAAATACTCTCAGGTTACATCCAATGCTTTGGACATGAAGCTTAGGGATGATCTCGAGCGTCTTAAAAAGATCAGGTTTTCTCATAGTCACCCACAGGCTTTATTTTTCTGCCTATTTTGTTTACGTTACTTACATGTAATATTTGCAGAAACCACCGTGGACTTCGACATTACTGGGGTCTCCGTGTTCGTGGGCAACACACCAAGACAACAGGTCGCAGGGGAAAGACTGTTGGTGTCTCGAAGAAGCGATAAGCAGTGTCTGCTTTTCCCCAATTCTGCCTTTTATGTTGTTATTTGGCTTGGGACTACTAGTGCCGATCTCTTTTGAGAGAGAGATATCACTGGCTATAACATGTGTAGCAAGTTTCATGGATTTGAATTTTGGATGTTGTTCTTTGCTATAGTTTTTTCCTTTTATTATATTATCATATTTTGGCCTAACTATTCAATTTGTTGAACTGGATCTGCTGCAATATAGATATTAGAATTTCATACATATTGACATTGGCAGATAATCGTCATAGGGTCTGCGGCTGCAATCCACACTGGTTGCGTAGCATAATTTGCAAAGAAGAGCTACAGATGAACTTAACCATTCATTCATTATATGTTTAGGAAGGGAGGCAGGGCATAGCAACACAACACATCATAACACAAGTGCCTACATGACATGGCTGTTATTTGGTCTGTCGGTTGTTAAGATTAAGCGTGGCAGCTGCGTAGAGCAATGCCCCCATGCCATCGGGATGTGCGGCATTTGTGTTTCTTCTATTCCTGGCTTCTGATGTAATCACTCTCTCAGCATCCTCCCTTGTTCCTGGATTGCATGTATGGTAATTGGTAATCAATTAATGGATGAATGGTACCAAGTCCACTTCAAATTCAATTCGATAGAGATTAGTGTACCATTAAAATGTCTTCGAGCTTTGTCTTATCCTGGTTGTTGGTGGAACGGAGGTTGTGTGCGGCAGCGGACTGTGCCTGTGCTGCAATCCCAATGGGGATGACGTGGCCTAGCCCTGTTGCCGCACTTCTGCAGCCTGTATTGCTGCCGCGTCGCTTTGGTCGATTGCCTTGCTCTCGGCCTTGAGGGCGGTTTCCTCCTGTGCCTCTCCGATGGTAATGGCGTCTGGATCCACCAGCTGCTGCTGATCTTTTTTCATCATGATTTCCTTTGGCTGACTGTATTGTCCAATTACCTGTTTGTTTGCTTGCCTGCTGTTGAGACTTGATTTTATATCCCAGATATCTATCTCTCTCTATATCTATCTATGTTTTGAATTATAAAAGACTGGTATAAAAGAAAAGGATATGATATAAAATATTAAAAGAGGGAGGAGAGGAGGTACTGTATGTTGTATATTTGGGTGGGTGTTAGTTTGTTGATGATTACCTGTCCGGCAATAGATTCCGTGATGATGTGGTAGCCGGCGAGCTGGGATTGAGGCAAGGTGGCGCCATGGCCTTGGGTGAGTCATAAAAGTCTTCATTTGAGATGCCCGGATTAAAGTCAGCTGTGAAAGTGAGATACAAGTTCTTAAATACTTGTACAATCATGTTATTAATTGTGCAAGTTTGGCACGTCTAAGACTACTTGTGTGTGTCCAGAATTGTCGGTTGAGAAGTCGAGGAAGAACATGGGGAAGTTCGTGGTATATGCATCACACTCCATTCTCGGTGTTTTATTTTCTCATTACCTTTTCCGATGATTTTTCCTCCTGATTTTGTAGATCATGCTGCCCAGGGCCGAAAGAAGAAATAAATAAATCTCTTAGGAGAGAGAGAGAGAGAGAGAGAGAGTTATCTTCGTTAGGATTGATTCATATTGTGGATGGTATATTGAATATTTGTAGTTTGTACCTTCCATCCCATTTAAACCTTACATTCATTTATGAATGCACCAGTGACCAGTCCTTTATTTTGTATATTTGGTATCATATTTGAATAATACTCCCCATCTCCCAGTCTATATGGGTTGGAGAAGAGAATTTATGATAAGTATAATTACTGGATAATTAAAAATATATTAATAAAAATGTATAATTTTTTTTTTTAAAAAAAATGACGTATGATATGAAATAGAACATAAACGACAATGTAGACCTGGCTGGTGGGACGGAAGGAGAGTAAATATTTTCTTTCTATTTTCTAATATAATAAAATAAGTAAATACTATTTGATGTAATCAGCTATATTCCTATTTCCTATGAACAATACTTTTGATTTTTATGTTTTTAGGAGTACATATAAGCATATTTTATTTATTTATTTATTTATCTTTTTATGACGTGAAACCTGCCGTTGTTATTCGAAAGTATATATTGGGTAAACCCCGATCAAATTTAATAATTTGCAAACTAGATCCGACAGACAAATCACACTAGACTACCTATGTGTATAGTAGATGACCTGATGCGTGAGGCATCGGAGAGGTTCGTATTTCTTGGATAATATAGGGTTAACAATATTTGGGGGGAACACATTCATTTATTTTTTTTCTTCAAAATTTAAACTCGAAACAAACAATTTTGATTCGAAACAGTAAAAATGTAACAGAATAGAGTTAAAAAACATCCGTCAATCTGCACAATGGTTTTGTTTCGCAATGTGAGTTGTTCGGTGAATATACAAAGCGGAATGGGCTATATACCTCTCAATTATATAGATATTACGGCCCATTTCTATATTTAGAAATAGGCCCAATCACGTGGGCCCAGCTGATATGACCTTTCTTATATATACCTAATTTCTCAGCTGGAAGCTGTCGTTAGGGTTTCTTGTTATCAGTGCTGCGCGTCTGCACTCTTGAAGCTCTATACGAAGCCATGGTATGTCCCGACGCGCTGGGTATCGATTGAATTTCTTTGTTAGGTTTGGTTGTTTTAATAGATTGGTTGACATGTCGATTTCACTTTGCAGTCCCTTGTAGCAAATGAGGATTTCCAGCACATTCTGCGTGTGCAGAACACAAACGTCGACGGCAAGCAGAAGATTATGTTTGCCCTGACATCCATCAAGGGGATTGGCCGCCGTTTTGCTAACATAGTCTGTAAGAAAGCAGATGTTGACATGAACAAGCGGTAACTTTTTTTTAAAAAAAAACTATTGCTTCTGTTGTTTAAGCGCAGAGATTTTTGGATTTAAATATGTTATTGTGAGAACATGTATTTTCCTAATAAAGTCATTCTTGATTGCAAAAATCTGTATATAGGCAGTACTTGTATCGTAATCGTGGTTATTGGGGCTTTCTGTGTTTGATCTGGACTTGCGTTTGATTTCGGATCGTAACGTAATTCATCAATGCCTCGCCATTAATCAAATGCCACCAATTCCCATTAGCTCTGTAAATGCAAACTGTAGTGGCGATTCTGATTTATGTACTCAATGCCGTACGTACAATGCGAGCATTTACGATCCGCTAATCCGGGATCTCTCCAACCCAGTTTCGTGTTTTGTCAAAAATACTGAATGTTATCAAATATTTGTATGAATTGAAGAGAGGCTCCAATATAGATTTAATCAGAAATACACAACAAGGTGTTTGACGCATACCCCATGAAGATGCGAAGACATTCTGTTGTGGTCTTTTATCTCTTCAAGCTTGAGATCTGTGCTCAGTTTTATTTTTTAATTTTTTTTATCTTCATTTTATTTGTGGGTTTGCTTGTGAAGAAATCTGAGTGGGATGATGCAATTTTGGTAGGGCTGGTGAGCTCTCTGCTTCTGAGATCGATAATTTAATGGTAATTGTGGCGAATCCTCGCCAGTTCAAGATCCCAGACTGGTTTCTCAATAGGAAAAAAGATTACAAAGATGGGAAATACTCTCAGGTTACATCCAATGCTTTGGACATGAAGCTTAGGGATGATCTCGAGCGTCTTAAAAAGATCAGGTTTTCTCATAGTCACCCACAGGCTTTATTTTTCTGCCTATTTTGTTTACGTTACTTACATGTAATATTTGCAGAAACCACCGTGGACTTCGACATTACTGGGGTCTCCGTGTTCGTGGGCAACACACCAAGACAACAGGTCGCAGGGGAAAGACTGTTGGTGTCTCGAAGAAGAGATAAGCAGTGTCTGCTTTTCCCCAATTCTGCCTTTTATGTTGTTATTTGGCTTGGGACTACTAGTTCCATTTGTTTTTAGAGAGAAATATCGCTATCTATCACATGTGTAACAAGTTTCATGGATTTGAATTTTGAATGTTATCTTGTTCTCTAGTTTTTTTTTTTTTTTTAATTATATTATCTTCTTTTGGCCTAACTATTTAGTTTGTTGAACTGGATATGCTGCTTTGTAGAGATTGGAATTTCAAACATATTGACATTGGCACATAATCGTCGTAGGGTGTTTCTGCGACTGCAATCCACACTGAATGCGTAGGAGGAGCTACATCATGAACTTAACCATTCATTCATTATATATTTGAGAAGGGAGGCAAGGTATTGCATAGGAATACCACATAACACAACACAACTGGTTAGGATATGTTTTTGGTGCTAGCATAACAGATGATACACAACTGCCTACATGACATGGCTATCATTTGGTCTGTCAGTTGTTAAGATTAAGTCTAGCAGCTGAGGCGAGCGATGCCCCGACGCCATCGGGATGTGGGGCATTTGTGTGTCTTCTGTTCCTGGCTTCTGCAGAAATCACTCCCTCAGCATCCTCCCTCGATGCTGGTTTGTCATCGGCAAGTTTTGCAGCCGCATCCTGTATGTGTGGTAAGTGGTAATGAATGAATGAATGGTACCAAGTCCTCCCCAAATTCAATTTGATAGAGATTAGCGTACCGTTAAAATGTCTTCATACCGTTAAAATGTCTTCAAGCTTTGTCTTGTCCCGGTCGTTGGTGGTGCGGAGGTTGTGTGCAGCAGCGGACTGCGCCTCTGCTGCAATCCCACCAGGGATGACGTGGCCTAGCCCTGTTGCCCGCACTTCTGCAGCCTGTATTGCTGCCGCATCGCTTTGGTCGATTGCCTTGCTCCCGGCCTTGAGGGCGGTTGCCTCCAGCGCCTCTCCGATGGTAATGGCGTCTGGATCCACCAGCTGCTGCTGATATTTTTTCATCATGATTTCCTTTGGCTGACTGTATTGTCCGATTACCTGTTTGTTTGTTTGCTTGCTGTTGGGACTTGATTTTATAACCCAGATATCTATCTATCTCTATATCTATCTATGTGTTGAATTATAAAAGACTCGTATAAAAGAAAATGATATGATATAAAATATTAAAAGAGGGAGGGAAGGAGAGGAGGTATGTTGTATATTTGGGTGTGTGTTTGTAAATCATGGACGATTGAAATCACATCGCCTCACCTGTCCTGCAACAGATTCCGTGATGAGGTGGTAGCCGGCGAGCTGGGATTGAGCCAAGGTGGCGCCTTGGCCTGGGGTGATGATAGTAGTATCATCATCGTGGTCTCTGAGTAGGCCGCGCTGTTGGTTGAGGCGGGCGGCTGATTGCATGACCGAGGCAGGACCGCCCTTGGGTATCTGGCCCAGCGCTGCTTTCTCGGCTGAGAGCAGCGCCTCCGCATCTTCTGGCGCAATTGGCTGCGAGGCTAGTTGCCCGCTCACGTCGAAGAGGTCCCCGTATTTCACGGCTTCCGGTTGTTCCTCCTGCTGCTGCTGACTCATTTTTAATTTACGGGCTGCGACTGCGATTGTGATTGCGATTGGAATTTGAGTTGAAATCCGCATGGTATAAATTACTATTATTAGATGGACGATGGATGCATATTCATCCAGAGAGAGAGAGAGAGGGAGAGATGTGTGGCGTGGAGGTGGGGGAAGAGGCGGCATTCATGGAAGGGATGGGATGGGTGGCCTTTAGATTTGGGATTTGATAACCATCCAGTATCACCACACCACCGCTTTTTTCTTTATTTAGTTTTCCTTCCTACTACTACTAACTACTATTATTAGTTGTTGTTGTTATTATTATTCTTATTATTATTATTATTATTATGCATTCCCAGCCCTAAACCCTAAACTCTCCCCAATACAAACAAAACACAACACAACACAGAGTAGAAGGTGATATTAGATAGACAGATGCATCAGTTTTAGTTTTATTTGGTTTGTGCCTTGATTTATAGTACTATATTATCAGCGTCCCTGTCTGACTGACCGACGGACGGGACAGACCCACCCGGCCCGGTCAGTCCTCCCTCTCCCTCTCCCTCTCCCTCTCTTATTATAGTTCTTGTGACGATGATCATATGATACGATACGACACAATGTTGGTGCTGTACTGCTGTTACGCGACTTTGTTGTCCTTGGGCACCTTCACTGCCAGCTGCCCGTCTTCGTAACTTGCCTCAGCCAGCTCTGCTCGCACCAAATCCGGCAGCCGAACTCGCCACATATCCACCTCCAATTCGGAGGTCGCCTCCGCCAATCCCAATCCCAATCCGCTTCCGCTACCCCCCCTCACTACAATCTTACTCATTCCTGGGCGAATTTCCTTCACTTCCGCCCTAATTTCGCCTCCCATCCCTTCTTCTTCTTCTTCTTCTTCTCCAGTTTCAGTGGCCACCGCCACCCTGAATACCAGTGAATCGGGTGTTTCCACCACTGAAACTGCCGTGTCCCGAGGGAATGGAAGCTCTAGAACCTTTGCGAATATGTGAGGAAGCCGCCGCAGCCGGCAGATACTCAACGTGATTCGGCGGTTTCCGGGGAGTGAATGTGGATGTGGATGAAGCTTCATTCTTGCTTGATGTTGAAGGAAGGCGAGAGAGATGGAGCAGGCAGCAGCACTGAACTGCCGCGGATTGTCAGTTACACCCAGGACAGGTAGGTAAACAATCTGCACTCTCTCTTTCACTACAGATTCTTGCATTTATAGCAATTTAAAATTTACTGCCATGAATTGAAGAATTTCCGAGTGATTCATATCTGATTTTTTTAATTTCATGGATGATTTTCATTGAAATTTCTGGAATGGGACCGACTGGGAAAAAAAAAGAGGAAATGACGGGTCATGTGTTATTCTTGGCGACAGTTTGGGAATTTGGGCTTCCGCCTTCTCATACGTTACAGTATATTTATTTGATTTAAATATATCAATTGACTTCAAACTTGTTAGTGTTTCAGCTCTTTTATTTGACAAAACGTCTTATGTTAGTTCAAACATCGAAGTCAATTATCAAGTGAAGATGGGGAATTGGGTAAGAAATTTCTAGGGAGAATCCTAAAGTTGGCTCCTTATTTGTTGCACATACAAGCATTTGCCCTTTTGACGAAAAAGGGTGCTGGCTGTTGATTTGAAGTGGAGAAACTTCAATGAAATTACGGAAACTAAGAAAAGTATATTTATTAAAGGGCATTTTAAAAGACACTACTAATAGTCTGAATGTCATGCAGTGCAGGCTAACTCAAACTGTTATTAAGGGCATTTTAAAATAATAGTAGTAAGATTATAACATTCAACAAGTGTTATTGTTAAATTCATATATCTGAACTCTCTCATCTCCTCACCATCACCATCCATTAACTGAGAGAGAACGTGTGCATTTATTCTTTCCTTAAATATCTATAAAGCTCAAAAACTAATGGTGCAATTTCAGTCGCACACATATGTGTATATATATATATATATGCCTAGCTTATGAAATTTATACTATTATATATGAAAAATGAAATCTAATAAAAGAACAAGTGCAGCAATTGAATTGATAATATGCACTCCAGGACATGAAGCAGCATTGGATTCAGAGTCTTAGTAGAACACCCTGCAGAGAGAGGTAGGTTAATGAATCCCGCCCTCAAGATTAGTAAAAGCTTCAACAATTTACGGGAAAATCATTAATCATTATTTTCATTACCTGATGGAGTTGGAGGGGGACCTGAGATCACAGAAGAGTAGAATCAAACTTTGCACTAAATAACTATATATGGTTCATTGGAGTTGCATACACTACTTTCATTTTCATTTTTTAAGTTAAATGTGATCGTGCATGGTGATTAATATCAATTACTGAGGACGTAAGCATGTTTGAAATCAGTGAACTAGTTACTGACTTTCATGTTCATGATGCTTTCTCTCTCTCTCCCCCTCTCTTTATATGGAGAATTCTACAAGTTTAATCAGTATATGAATTAAACTCTTGTTGTTTTACATGAGCTAGTTGGTAGATTCTGGATTTTGCAAGCGGTTGGGAGTTGCCGAGCTCGAGTCTTGTTGAGGCCATCTTCTTCTTCCCCGGAAATCTGGCAAAGGCATATTGGCTGTGTCTTAATCACTCCTTGAAGCTGGCTGCAGCACTGTGTCGAAGGGGCATCCCCGCCGCCATTGCTCAGGTAGCTGAAGCACACTTGTAGCCCATTTAGTGCATCTTTGCAATCCGATGCCTTAACAGGAAATAGAGCTGCTGCAGAAATTGCTATCACAGCTACTACTGTTGCTGCTATTTTCATTTTTTCTCTAACCCTCTGTTTTTTTCTTCTTTGTGTCTGCCTATGTGGAATAAGGAATGTTATGCTACTATATGAGTTGAAATTGAAATCGAAATCGAAATCCTTAAAAAAGGTTGCAGACAACAACAAAGTAGTAGCACTGAAGAAGAGGGAGGGTAACACAATGAATTTATTATTAATTATGTATGTGATCCCATGATTCATTAATGATTTAGTTGTCTTGTAGGTTTAGGTAGGACTAATAGAATAATTAATATTAGTGCTACTTTTGCGGGCTATGTTTTGGAATAGGTATGGATGGTATACTCAAAGGACGTTTGTGTCTTTCACAACTAACGTGATTTGATGTACGTATAACATAGTCTAGTCTAGGGTGGTGCGATATATGTTGTGGGATCAATCTAAATCCTATTCCTATTCCTATTTTAATTGATTGTAATGAGGAAGCACACAAAAGAGTTGGAGAAGGAGAGAAGAAATGAAATGAAATGGCAGGCCTTTCCATGATGTCATGTCGTCTTCTATGCTGTTGATATTGATGATATCCACAAGAATAATAATACTCTACTGAAGGGGAGCTGTATTGGGCTTGGTCCATTAACAACCCTCATCCCATGAAGACCCAAGAATGGAATGGACTCGCTCACTCCAAAAATAATTTAATTTAATTTGAGCAACAAACCACCCGCGTAGCAGCATTACTGCTGGTATATGGTTGATTTGATCTTTATTGACTCCCCATCCCATCTCATCTCATCTCATCTCCTCTCCTCTCCTCTCCACAAATTTCCTAACCCTACTACTACTATACATGAATCAATCATTAGTTGCGGTTTTAGTGTCATCAAAATAGTAGCAATAAATTGAAGTAAAAAGATATAGTGTATATCTAATATACTAATTAAACATGCAAGTAGTAGTATATGTAGAGAAATATGATAAAAAGAAAACACTGCACGGAACCAAAACACTCGACACCCCATTGTAATTGTAATTGTAATTGCAATTGCAATTGCATGCTTGTAGTCGTAGAGATGGGTTTCCTTTCGGTGCGGTGCGGTGCGGTGGTGGTGTTGTGCGGATGAAATTAAATTTGTCTTTTCTGCAACGTGTTGGGATAACAGAGTGCATGGGGTGCGGTGCATGCAGAGTACGCGGCGACAGAGCGCGATTGCCACAAGCCACGTAGACGTAGGAAGAGGACACTTGTACCACCGCATGCACCCCCACACTCCCTATAAATTTGATCTCTTCTCTTCTCGTCTCTTCATCTCATCCATCAATCCTCCATCTCTCACTCCTAATCATGGGCGCCCTCAAGCCAGTACTGCTGCTGCTGCTATTCGCATTGGCGGTCGCCGTCGCTGCTGCTACCAAGGAAAAGGACCCAGAGCTGGAGCAGTGCAAGCACCAGTGCAGAGTCCAGCAGCAGTTCGACAAGAAGCGTGCCGACGCCTGCATCCAACGCTGCAGAGACTACTACCGCCAGAAGCAAGGCGGCGGCGGTGATGACGACGACGACGAGGATGATCTTATCATCTCGCTGCCCTCAGAGCGGGAATCTGAATCCCAATGGGGGTCAGGGAAGGAGGCCAGCAACAACCCTTACGTCTTCGAGCACAGGCACTTCTTCACTGGGATTAAAACCCAGCAGGGGCGCCTCCAGATCCTCCCCAAATTCACCGACCGATCCCCCTTCCTGCGAGGCATCGAGAACTTCCGCTTCTCCTTCCTGGAGGTGGAGCCGCAGAGCTTCATCATCCCGGACCACTGGGACGCCCACAACGTGGCCTTTGTGGTGCGCGGCCGGGCTACCATCAAACTCGTGCGCCCTGAGCCCCAGGGCAGGGAGAGCTTCAACGTCCAGCAGGGAGACATCTTCAGGATAAGGGCCGGGACCACCGCCTACATGATCAACCGGGACGACAACCAGAAGCTCCTCATCGCCAAGATTCTTCAGCCCGTCTCCGTCCCAGGCCACTTTGAGGTAGTACAACCATTGCTTGCTTGCCACTTTAATCCAATTAATATATTTTTTTGACGTTATCATTCGTCATTCATACATACATACATAATTAATATATACCGCTATTTCTGCTCTGCAGGCCTTCTTCGCCGCTGGTGGTGAAAATCCCGAGTCCTTTTTCCGATCATTCAGCCAAGACATCCTCCAAGCTGCTTTCAACGTATGCATCCATGCATGGAGAAATTAATTTTAATTAATGTTGGTCTGGTCTGCTTCGTTTGTTGGATGCATTCTTAATTATTAATTAATTAATTAATTGTTGGTACGTACGTACAGACGAGGAAGGAGACATTGACGCGGGTATTCGGGGAGCAGAAGCAGGGAATGATTCTGAAGGCGTCGCGGGAGCAAATCAGGGCCATGAGCAGCGACGAGGAGGAGAGCGGCGACTCCAACAACTCCTTCAACATTTTCCGACAACGCCCCACTACTTCCAACCAGTACGGACAGCTCTACGAGGTCGACTCCAGGGACTTCAAGCAGCTCCAGGACCTCGACGTCGCCGTTTCTGTGGCCAACGTCACAAAGGTACAGTACACAGTACAGGCCCAGAGAGGGATTCTAATCGCAATCGTTCGTCATTGAATGACTGACGCGACGTAGATGTGGTTCGATGTGATGGATAATTGAATTTATTAAAAATTGGCTTGGCTTGGCTTGGCAGGGTGCAATGACGGCCCCGGTCTACAACAGCGAGAGCACCAAAATCTCCTTCGTAATGGACGGCGAGGGGTACCTGGAGGTGGCGTCCCCGCAGTCGTCGGTGATGAGCGAGCAGGAGCAGCAGCAGCAGCGGGCTCAGGAGCGGGAGCGCCGCCGCCGCGGGATCGTCGCACCCCCGAGCTACCGGAGGGTCGCCTCCGGCTTGAGCCCCGGCATGGTCTTCGTGGTTCCGCCGGGCTTCCCTTACGTGACAGTGGCCTCTCAGAAGTCGAACCTGCAGCTGCTGTGCTTCGAAGTGAATGCCGCGCAGAGCCAGAGGTTCCTTCTTGCGGGGAAGAAGAACGTTCTGATCAACCTGGAGAAGGAGGCCAAGGAGCTGGCCTTCGGCATCCCTGCAAGAGAGGTCGATGAGTTCCTCAAGAGCCAGCAGGAGGAGTTCTTCCTTAGAGGACCACAGGAACGACGGTCTGCTTAGATCCCGACACACACCCTTCCCCGCTGTTGCCGCCGCCGCGCCGCCGCCGCCCGGAATTTTGTTTGTATTGTTAATATTCTCCACCAGGGGATATGAACATCGACGGTGCCAATAATAATTTGTAGCAACAGCGGCAAGAATAATAATGAAAATAATGACAGATCACAATAATTTGTCATTTTGTTTTAATAAATAATCACGTTCCATTTCTTGTTTTTCTCCGACAAAACACGGCAATTTAAGATAGTAAGTGGCTCTTCTCGATTGATACCCACCTTTTGGATAGACTATAGACGATGTGGTTATGAGGTTACTCGCATACAATTTAGTAGTTACTAATATTTTACTTCTTTTTAAGTCTCTGAAAACTTATCTGATATTTTCTTCGTAATTATGTTATTTTTGTATGGGAGGTATTGTCGCAATGGTATATCTCTCTAATGTAATCTATTAATATTATTTTTGTTATGGTATGGACGAGTAACATGCATTGGTTGTCACATTATCGTAACATCCTCTGCAAAACATAAGCCTTAGTAAGGAATCTGAAAATAATAGCAAGGAGAATAATAATAAGATTAAGTAGAGGAAAGTTGGTGATAATATGATTTATCCATCGTGTTACCTAGTTGAGTAAAGCGCGTTCGTATTTAATGCGGGCCGGTATATAATAGTAGTTGGGGAGGGGAGGGTTTTTCCGTAAATGTAATTTGTAGCGTCGCATTGGCATACAAAACTGGAGAGCAGACGACGCAAGAGTTAAAAAAGAGGGGTAGGGCAGGGAAGGGAAGGGAAGAGCAGTCACTCTGATTTTGATTTTGATTTTGATTTTCGAGTCGTCTTCGTTTTGAATCAGTACTTTGCAGTTGCATTCAGCAACAGCGACAGCCAGTTCACATTCAGCAGCAGCAGCAGCAGCAGCGAGCGCCTCTGCGTTTGTTTGAAAGACATACCCGCCGTCTCTCTACCAACAACTCAAAATGCCGTTCAAGCGTAGCCGGATCGGAAGCTCTTCCACCCACCAGGAGATGCCACCAGCCACAGTTATGAAGGCCGGCGAGCCCTCCAAGATTCTCGACATCGAGTCCCCGCTTCGAGTCGGGCAACCCGATCAGGTCAAAATTGGGGGATTTCTGGAGCGCTGTCATTTCTGCAAGAAACGGATTGCGCAAAATTCCGAGGTCTTCATGTATAGGTATGTGTGTATGTATCTACTTGTGTTGTACATATACATAGATTGCGTTCCTAATCGTGTTTTTGTTTTTCCTCTAGTTTTGGCGCTTGATTGATTTATTTATTTATTGTGATGGATTATCTATCATCATCCTGACTGTTGTATATTGCAGTAGTCAACCGAACTGATAGATAATTGGCTTGATGGCGGATGCTCTGCATCTCTCAATTAATTGACCTTCTGTTCAATGTCGATCTATTTATTTGTTGTGTTCCTTTTTCGGTCGGTTCCGTTTGAGATTGTATACCCTTTAATCAGACTTGACCCACCCTAGGCAATGCGTTTCTTCTTCTTCTTCTTCTTCACAATTCACTGTTACTTTTTGTTCCTCAACAGTTGAGTTGTCTGGCAGTGAACCGAGTGTGTCATTATGGTGGGTCTGATCTATTTCTTCCTCTGTCAGATTTGATTTGTTTTCTCTTCTGCTCTCGGCCACTTTCCTGTATCTTCCCCATGTTTTGCCATCTTCTTCAGTAAAGATGGATCAATTTAATTACTCAAGAGTCTTTCATTTTCTTTGAAAATTGTAGACATCACTGCCAGATTCTATTGCCTCCACCCTAATCTAACCTATTCAGATTGTGTTTAACTCACTCAACTCAGGTCTCTTGATTAATGAATGCTTCATTGACTAATTAAATTATGATACTATATGATAGTCGGTCACTCTTGATTACAGGTCTCTTTCGTATCTGATAATTTGACTTGGTATTTCATTTCATGGTAATTGGTAAAGATGACCAGCTAGCAAGATGATATCATATCAGGTCAGGTGAACTGACAAATTTTGTTGATGCAGCAACCTGTGTGCATTCTGCTCGGCGGAGTGCCGCGACCGTCAAATTGCACTGGACCGCTCTTGTGCAAAGAAACAGCCTGGAAATTCCAAAGAGAAGGTTCCTGGAGGTTAGGGGAAATTGGACATTGGGTTCTTAAGCACCAAGTATATATAGTAGTGACTGACCGAGTGGGGCATGCAACAATAATACTAAAATTAAAGAGTGCGTGCATATGCATATGTGCTAGTAGCTGCAGCGGGTTTTTTGGGTATCAGCTCTGCACCAATGCATTGTAGGGACATATGATAATAATCTACTTGCTTTGTATTGTATTGTATTATAAAAGTATGTATATAGACCAAGTATGATGTGGGACCTCTGTGTGTGTGTGAATTGTGGCATCTTGTATATAGTAATTAAGTAGTAGAGGATGATCTATCTAATCTAGCTATCCCATTCCCATTCCCATTCCCGTCCACCCTCGAATGGGTTTATTATCTTGATAATACTCACCTTCATTGTTTTGGTTTTCTGTCTGGCCTGATGTGATTAAGCTTTAGCATTTCGCCGGGAATAACGGCCTGCTGCTTGCTCTGACCAAATGAGAACTAGTGAGTGTACCCCCACGCCAGGCAGGCAGGCAGGCCGACCCACGCGGATGGATGGACGGAGCCAAAAACAAATACCTATTATAATTGTTATATATTTTTAGTAAAAACACCAACTGAACAATTGAAAAAACAACTCTAAAACGACAAACACTCAAATCGTTGGTCGTTTTATTATTATTATTATTATTTTGTTTACTCCTAAGTCTTAACCTCAAAGTTTATGCATACATATATTCTATATACGTTCAATTTCAAACTCATTCATTAGATTTGAATAATTCAAATATTCTTTTATTAAAATAACACAGCTCATAATATTTTTATAAAAATAAAAATGGGCCAATCTAATCAATGATTTACACACAATACAGGCCAGATGCCGAGATGAAAAGTAGTAAATGGGCCTACATTTCACAATTTTGCCCAGCCTGCTAGGTATGGACGGTCCGGTCCAGTCCCCATCAGATCAGAGCCCGGGCTCTATATTTATTTGCACGGTGGACGACACCAAATACCTAAAATAATCTCTTTATACTGTATTTATTTTTTTAGTAATTTCTGATTAATTTTTTGAAAAGAACATAATTATTCATATTAAATATAATTACTTTTTAAAAATTTAAACTAGTCGATAATATTATAATAATAATAAATCTATTCTTTTATTTGTTTAAGGTCGGCACGTGGGAGACGTCTAGAACATTGGATGGTACGGTACCGGTGGTGCCTACACTGATCAAGAACCAGAACTTCCCTATCATTCTCGAATCGATCATCGCCTCGCGTGTTCCTATTTCCGTATTTCGTCCTTAAGCCTTATCCCTTAAGTAATCGAAAACATCCTACTTAATTCTCCTTCTCCTCCTTCTCCAATCGCCTCGGCACGCTCATTCTGAAGACTCTTGGATTTGTTTCGAAGATGTGGGGTCAATCTTATGGGAAATACGATTTGGAATCCGGCGCCGACCTGCTGTATCCTATGATGCAGGAGAGTCCGGCGCTCCGATGGTCGTTTATTCGCAAAATTTATACAATTATTAGTCTGCAGTTGCTTCTAACCGTTGCGGTCGCTGCGATTGTTGTTACTGTGCCTCCAATTACAGTTTTCTTCGCCACCACCACGGCTGGCTTGGCGCTTCACATTCTTCTCATAGTCGCCCCCTTTGTTGGTAAGGCGTCTTCCTCGATTATGTCATCTGAATTATAGCTTTCACTTGGTTATACTAATTAACTGATGTTTTGGTTTGAAGTACTCTGCCCTCTACATTACTATCATCAGCGGCATCCTCTGAATTATTTCCTGCTTGGACTGTTCACTGCTACGCTTGCATTTGCGATTGGGTTGACTTGTGCCTACACTAGTGGTGAGAACGTTATTTTCAGTTGTGCTTTCTGTGAGTGGTGGTACGGGTTTTATGGAAGTTCTCCATTGCTAATAGGCTTGTATTGCCAAAAACTGGGGATTAAAAATTGGAAAGTCATCAATGGATTGAAATATGTTGGTGTGAGCTTTAACTTAATTAGTTTGAAGAGAGTTTTCTGTTAAGGTTTAAGTTTTCATAAGTTTTTACATGATTAGTAAATTTCGAAGCATTCCAGATTGATATTTAAGTTGTGTTGTCAAACTGGGGATAAGGAAAGTGCAAATTTCACTCTTCAGGGCTAAAGCTTGCGCTTGCATATTATTATTTTGAAAATTATGTTTTGTCTTGTGTAAATGTATCAGTGGAAGTTCTGAAGCCGCTCTTAATTTTGTTGTGTGCAAAAATATCAGCTGAAGTATAGTTGTAAATGGCACCAAAATGGTGGATGGTTAGGCCATTGCACCATTCTCTTGGTGAGGCATGCTTCTTCCCCTTTTCGCTGGCTCATAGGAGTGCTGTGGTGCACTCCTAGGGATATGTCTGTAATTTTAATCTGAAATGATTTCTAGTGTTGCATGAATGTTTCTTCTCTTCCCCACTCATATTTGTTCTCTCCCATCCTCTGCTTGTTTCAATCTCTCCTGTCTCCTATAATGGCCTTGTGGCTCATACACTTACCTGGTCTGCCGCTTCAGTGAATTATTTTGATATATTGCTACTGGCTAGAGTTCACATTTGGCTTTTGATCAATTTTTAATATTAGGTATATTTGAATGATGTGCATTGATTGCATGTTAATCATATTTTAATATTTATGGTCCGTACCATGTGCCATGGTATGATGAAGACCTAGTACCATTCCACATCGTGCCCCATTTACAACTGGTCGGAGACACTGTGCATTCTTGATCGAAGACACTGTAACTAGTATATTCTAAGTTACTTCTCATTTAATTCATTGATTGTTTACAAGACTAATTCAATGGTGTAGGGAAAGTTATTCTGGAGTCTGTCATCTTGACTACTGTTGTCGTTGTCAGTCTCACTCTGTACACATTCTGGGCTGCCAAGAGAGGCCAAGATTTTAATTTCTTGGGACCGTTCTTGTTTGGGGCTGTCATGGTGCTTTTATTGTTTGGGCTGATTCAGGTTTGTTGTTTTTAGTTATTCGTACTTATTAGTATAAAATATAAATTAGTTTTACTGATGCTTCGTTGATGGTGGATGCTGATTTCTATGGCTTCTTATTTTGCAGATGTTCTTCCCCCTTGGTAAAATAAGTGTGATGATCTACGGTTGCCTGGCATCCATAATATTCTGTGGGTACATTCTTTATGACACTGATAATCTTATCAAGCGATACACCTATGATGAGTATATCTGGGCCTCTGTTGCACTGTACCTAGACATCATCAACCTATTTCTATCTCTGTTGACCCTTTTTAATGCTTCAGAGTCCTAGAACAATGGAACAGGTTTGTGTCGTCTCTTTATGTATTAAATGTTTACCTTGTATGTTTTACACTTTGATCTCTGGTTTCATTGTATGTTGAAGGTTGTGCTGACTGCTGAGTCATCCGGAATTCAGAAATTTCAATGCTTATATCTTAGTGAGTGGATTTTCATGTATTTTTATTGCAATAACTTGTTTCACACATCTTGGGATTTAACAACTGTTTTACTCAGTCTTGGATGATTAATTTAGAACATAAATCATTTGCATAAGATGCTTTACTTGAGTTATTACATTATTTGATTACTTTATAGACTTGCTGATTTTGTAAGTAGATATTGAAACAGATGTGCTAATTGTAGGAATTTAATATCCGACATGAAAAAAGTTGGCCACCTGAGATTCATTTTTGTTGGCAATCATTCAATACAATAAATAGTTTCTGAATGAGGAATGCTGTGGCCTACCAAGAATTGGTTGGAAAAATCCACTCCCTATATATATGTATGTATTTATATCATTTAAACTCCAGCCCTATAGAGGTTGAATCTAGGATGTGCATGAAGGTATGGTATATGTTGGAGGTGCAGGTGTTTAGCAAATTCATTTCATTGTTAATTACAAGGATAAGAGTGACTACAATAAAGTTCTACTTGGAGCTAAGATCTCTGTAACCTTTTTCTTTAGATTATACTCTAAAAATTTGAAGCCACACAAAAGAATAATTATTTTTTTTTAAAAAAATAAGAGAAATGATTTATGTTGTTTCAAATTTGGAGCAAAGACTATTCATTTCAACAAAATTTGGAGTGAAAAATGGAGATTGTTGAAGAGGTTTAGAGTCCAAATTGGCAGTAGTAAATTTGAAGATAGTTGGAGATGGTCTTAAGTTGGCAGTGAAGTAAGCAATTTATGATGAGGTTTCAATATATGTTAAATGAAGTATGAAAGAGTGCATGCATGTTGACGTCGGTGCATCACTCACTAATAATATTACTTGTGGTTATCATTGATATATATAGAGTTGTGGTGCAGGTGCAAGTGCAAGTGCAAGTGCAATTGCAACAAGCAAGGAGTCTCTGAATGTTAGGTTGTGATTAATGATTTATATATATAAAAGTTAGTGGGTGTGCTGTTATGATATCAATAGTGATCCCTTTGTCTTGGTCTGGCCGTAGCCGCATGCAGCCAGCAGTAATATATATATATATACTTTGACAAGGTAGATGGCCTTACTCCATTACATGCTAACATTTTGTCTAGTTTCACTCAACTACTACTACTAAACCCCTATTAAGGTTGTCTCTGAGAGTCCTTCATCCTTATGTTGTGTATGTGAGTCGCCTGAGGTGGAAATAGATAGTTAATTTTGAATTGAACTTGTAAATGAGAGAGACAGTCATTGATTGATGAGAGGGAGGGCTAGGCCTTGTTAATACCATCACCATCACCATCACGTATTAATTAATGAATTTATTCACTTCTCTTCTATGTATATATATATATATATATATAGATTTGTGGTGTTCTGGGACTCTTTAAGAGTGAGTGGGCGAGGGAGGGAGGGAGGCATCGGAGTTGCATCATATCTCATCATACAGGCTGCAGAATGATTGATTGATTGCCTTTCTTGCTGAGTGAAAGATTCATTCGTTTATTATACCTTCACATGAATGAATTAATTCTCACATAACATTCACCAGCTCCCACATTGCTACATGCACATTAATAACCAATTCCATCCTCCGTCTTCGTCTTCTCCCTCTCCTCCTTGCCTTGTGCCTCGCAACCATGCAGCTATGTATATCGTTTCTTATTTACTTCATTTAATTTCTAGCTTGCTTAATTTCGCCCTTCTCGACTACTAATTAATTCTCTTCTCACCTTTATATGTACCACTGCTAGCTCTTCAATCTTGATATACACGTACGTACATCTTTTCTTCTTTAATTTTAATTGGTAGATATATCCTCCACCCAACCATCCTTCGGCTTCCACACTACTGTCTGCTCTGATATTTGTAATATTGTATTGTGTATACTTATACATATATATAATCAGAGCTAATTAAATCCCACGACTCTTTTATTATGTATTATAATTAATTAATTAATTATATTTATGTAAATTGGTGCGGCACGCAGGTTAGGGTTTACAGTGGATTATCTTCTATGTATGGACGCATATGCAGTAGGGTTTATGCATGGCAGCGACGCAACAACGGTGGTGTGCAGTGCGGTGTGGTGTGGTGTTCCTTTACTGCCTTCAGCACCGCCAGCTAATCAGGATTAGGATTGATATTCCAGACACGCCATATATTAACCTAATATCATATCATTTTTGTTTTTGTTTTTATTTTTTGTGGACAAATTAATTCATTCATTCATTCATTTTACAAGAGTTTTCATCACGCACTAAATGGTCCGTTCGTCTATATATGGGAAGGAAATTATATATATTGTTGTTTAATAAAAATAAAAATCTTTGGAATGTTGTATGGTTAACTTCAATATATTTGTAACAATAATCATTTAATAACTGTGTCCTAATAACATGCAAAAAAAAGAAAAAGGGGGAATAATGCCATTCATTTAATTTAGTACTAGTATATCGCACAGACCATATATAATAATAATATACACACACACAAGGCAACGCAACGCAACGCAACAAAATTCGTTTATTGACCTTTGTTGTAAACAGTCACGACTTTTTTACCAGACCATGGATTCCAGATCCCCACTGCTTCAGAAATATCGAAAAGTACATTTCAGGACCGGAAGTCCGGACCTTTAACAGTAAACACAAATATGTAATGCGCATTAAAAACAAACACATAATTATTACACTGACTAACTGACTGTCTGACAGACGGATAAAGATATACACACATATATATATATATACATGCGCATATATGCGGTGTGGTTAATAGAGAAACAAAGAAGGGATATATTGGATGCTTAGCTGTTCATAATACCAGGTAAGTAATTGTAGGTAGGTAGGTAGGTAGGTTAATTGCTTATATGTATGTATGTATGTATATATATATCCTATCTGGACAATGGAGGAGAGGAGAGGAGAGCATAATTTATCTCTGTAACTCCGCCGTACGTCAGATTCATCTACTCTAGGTCTGGTCTGGTCTGGTCTGGTCTGGCTAGACCTAGGGTTTTCAAAAAGGGCAGCCACCACACACACATATACATTGCAGATCGGAGCCAAGGTGTTTGTTGATTTGGTTTGTAATTTGTCTGTTGGATTGGATTGGATTGGATTGTTGTTCTTCATTCGATCGATAGATAGATAGATAGATAGCTTCTTAGTTTGCTTTAATTAATTTGTTTATTGAGCGAGCGAGTGATGTCGTCGTTGGGTGCAGTTTTGTCGATGTCGTCGTCGTCGTCTGCCCCCAACAACCACCATCACCATTCTGCAGGTGGTGGCTCATCGTCCCAGTCCCCTCAGGATGTCCGTCACTTGCAAATCACTAAGAAGAAGCGAAAGGTCGCCGGAAATCCAGGTTATATTAATTAGTTTATTCATCATTAACTATTCAACTCTCTTCTTCTTCTTCTTCTTCTTGGATCGAATTATATATTTTTAGTTAATTACCTATTATTGTCAGGTGGGTTTGCCGTTGGAATTTTCCTCTTTTCGTTTAGTTTCTCAAATTAGTATAGTATTTTTTATACATATAGATAGATAGATCTCTAGCCCTTCCATTGATTTACTGGCTCCTTTTGATTTTCTTTTGCTGTTTTATCCTAGCGCACACTCATCATGATACAGCACTATTATTCAATCAAAACGATAAGCTAAGGAGAGATCGAACAACTTGGTTAATTAATTGAAATCTCAATCGATGATCATGCATCTGCTATAATTAAGTAGATGGTTAATAGGAGGTGAAAGTGGTGATGGATCGATATATCCATCGATCTCGTATGGTATGGTATGGTATTGAGTAGCAGTAGCTAATTAGTTAAGATGTATAATTTATATTGCCTGCAGACCCTGATGCACAAGTGGTGGCACTGTCCCCGGAGAGCCTCCTGGCGACAAACCGGTACGTGTGCGAGATCTGCAACAAGGGGTTCCAGAGGGAGCAGAACCTGCAGCTCCACCGGAGGGGACACAACCTCCCCTGGAACCTCAGGAATAACAACATTGAGGAGGACGACGACGACTTGATCACCTCGAATTCGAGGACGACGGGTACGAGGAAGGTGAAGAAGGCGTACGTGTGCCCGGAGCCGACATGCGTCCACCACCACCCGTCGAGGGCTCTGGGCGACCTCACGGGGATCAAGAAGCACTTCTGCAGGAAGCACGGGGAGAAGAAGTGGAAGTGCCAGCGGTGCTCCAAGCTCTACGCCGTCCGCTCCGACTGGAAGGCGCATACCAAGATCTGCGGCACCAGGGACCATCTCTGCGACTCCTGCGGCACCCTCTTCACCAGGTAACGTACCTGCCTGCTGCTAATCCATTCGTTCATTCATTAGCAATTAATTAATTATATATATACATACAATGGTGCAGGAAGGATAGGTTGGCAAGCCACAGGGCATTCTGTGATGCAGTAGCTGTGGAGAGGGCCAGAGTCAGACTAGTCTCAGCCCCACCACCGCCACCAGCAGCATACCCTCCACCAATATTGGCCCCCCCGCTGCGTGCACGCTCCACCGCCATCCTCCAAACCCCGGTACCGCTGCAATTCCTAGCTCCCTTGTCCTCCTCCCCACCACCACCACCTCAAAACCCTAACCCTAACCCTAACCCTAAACATATCCATGATCATGGAAAGATGATCATGACCCAGCTCATGCCTTCTTCCTTCAACCCTGTCCTGCCGCCGGCCACTTCTGCCCGCCGGCCACCCTTCATCCTGCAGCTGGGCCCTGCTGCACAACCAGAACCAGAAGAAGTAGTGAGAGATCGATCCACCGACGACGACGATCACAACGCCAGCACCACCGATGGCTTCACCAGAGATTTCCTGGGCCTCACTACTGCAAAACACTAAGAAAGCGGCGGCTTCATCGGAGCCTGCAGCCGCGTATGTGGGGGATCGGATCGGGAGGTTATATATATCATCTATCTTAATTACTTATTAAACCTTTATATACTATATGCGAATTGCACCAACCATTTGCATCCATGCATATAGATATCTGCTGACTTGTCCGCAGAGAAATTATTACATTGATTGGAGGATTATACTTATATAATCTGTTAATCATGATTTACATTATTACATATCATCAGCAGATTCAATCAGGCAGCTTTAGGTTTCCCTGAGATTGAATCGATTTTCTACTGTTACGATTTATGGAATAAACTCTAGTGAAGGCCGCTCTAGGCCTTGGGCACTACATATAACTCCTCCTTACCTTCCCTAGGTGTAACTAACTTATAAGTTCCGATCGTGCTATGACATAGCAAAATAATACGCTTTGGATTATATATACTTTTCTTCATCAGAGTCAAAAGAATTTATTTTTAATTTTTCTTAAAGTGAATTTATGTAATATTTTATAAATGTATACTATAATAAAGTCCTTAGTATTAGTAAAATTAAAAAAATAAATAAAATAATAAATTTTATCAATAGAATAATATTTTATTTGTCATGTAACATAGTATTTCTATACTATAAGAAAAGTATTTTATGATTTCTTGCACTGATGTTTAGTATTAATTATTATATAAATCAAGAAAAAGAAAAAAAATACAAAACTATTTGTACGTATTAGTATTAGTATGCTTTTGTTATGAGGCGGAGATACTATTAAATTAAAAATTATTTCATGAAAGTTACAAAAGTATCTATAAATACAATAATCTTCAACGGAAAATGGCGATTGGCTGATACGTACGGCGGCACGGTACCAAGCATGGTCGGATTATATTACTAATTTAGATTGAAAACGCGATTTATGCTCATGTTTGGAAACTGCGACTTACAAATAAATAATACTCCATGGAATATGTACATCATTCTATTACCGTCGTCTAGTCGCCGCGTGGCGGTTGAATGGACGTGGATCCCGCCAAGGTCAAATAGGGGAGAATGCAGAAACGTACATGTTCGGTTCGGAGAGAGAAAGATATATATACGTATCGATATCGGTGGAAGGCGTCCGAGCGAGAAAGAAGGCGCCGAGAGGTTATTCGAGAAAGCGTTGCCATTGTTCGCCTCTTTGCTGTAAATGTAATGCTTGTCATCTTAATCCCATCTTCGTTGATTAGTCCAATAAAACAATCACGTCATCCATAAATTAATGTTAATAATTGATTCACTCTCTGATTTCAAGCTTGCACTCATCAGATTGTTGTTTCATACTTGCATGGTCTATAAGCGCGTCCATGTAGATGCTTGCAAATACAGATATTGCTCCCTTCAATCCCTAATTGGATTCCTCTTTCCATTTTTATTTTTTCTAAAGCATTTCTCTTTAATAGCATTTGTTCCATAAAAAAAAAAAAAAAAAATCCCGGGGATGAGCCAGGGAGTTTTTCCGGGGAGGGTGTGGATTTCGGATCATATATCCGCGAATTGGAAACGATCTAGTTTTCCAGCCGGATGAACGAGCTTTTGTGTGCTGTATTTTATCGTAAAATTTGCGTAATTCCAGTAAATTATATCTGCGGCAAATTCAGGGGGAAGAAGAAATTAAACGATGAAATGGACAACATTGTTTAAAGCCCTCAGGGAAAGAGTTGGTATTTCTCATTCTCAATCTTCGACGCAGCACGGAGAGAGTAGCAATGGCTATGGACCTCTCTTCAGCCAAGACTCTTCATTTCTTTCGAGGTTTGTTCTTTCTTTTGATACAAAACTTATCTTGGGGTTTCTATATTTATGCTCTATGTGGCTTCTTTCTTCACAAGTGGGTGGAATTATCAACGACTTGGTAAAGTGATAAATACTGAATTTTCTATCAGATACCATGGATGAAGATTACCATGTGTAATTATGTACGCTGCGATGAGAAATAATAGCAACTCTATGTAGACTTGAACTACTTTATATATATATATATATATATATATATATAAAATAGTTATATTTTGAGATTATATGCTAAGTACTCAAAACTAAAGAATGGAGTAAGGAGGCTCGTCTATTTGAATATGAGCCTTTCACTAGAGGTCTAGGATATTTTATAAATATGAATAGATAGACATCCATCTTTGAACGTGGTTAGGTTGTTGGTTGTAGAGCCTGCTTTCCAGTTCCTTCAAATTTGGAAGAGTAGCAGTATAACAAGAAGAGTGAATTCTTTCACAATAGCAGAGTTGTATGCATCATATTAACTGAATGCAATCATCCAGCTGGATCGTCCATTATGATGTCTAGTAATAATGGAGTGGAGCACATTCTACAGATTTGGCGACATAATCTAGCTAATCAGTTTCTTGGTTTGGAAGGGATTTCTATATAGATTTGGCCTCCTTTCTATCCTTATTGGCCATTCAAACTGGTATTGGTCAACAGAATGGTGTTCTAGATTCTTAGAAAACTCTTTTGTAGCTTTGGATTGATGTTCCAGAGTGTTACCAAATTGAGGCAAACTCTAGACACCAGGTATGACTTCAATACAACAGGTCAGGTCAGCCTAAGGCTTTGACATCTGTTGGGCTTCTCTTGTCTTCCACGTGATCTCAGTAGATCAAATAGAAAAAACCTTTTGGGTTTAGGGATAACAAGTCTTATACATGTGATCTTTTTATGATTGTCAATCTTTTTTGTTCCACAGAGTCCCCGATGCCCTTTTACATGAGTCATCTCCTCTCCCCATTCCAAATTCAGCACCTCTCACCATAGATTATTCCTACAACCAAATCAAGGTGTATTCCAAATTCTGCCATTCACATAATCAATAATCCTGTCTTTCAAGAATGATGCAAGCACATTGAATTTGATTTTCGTGCGGCAGTAATGAACAAAAGGATTGTATCATTTCACACCTTCTTTAAAGCAAGTAGCTGATGTGCTCTGAAAGGCATTGTGGTACATCATTTTCAGGAACAATGTGACACACTGGGCATGGCTGATGTATATGCTCAAGTGTAATGGGAAGTGTGATATTTTTTTTTTATTATTATTTTTTTTTAGGGAAATAAGTATATAATATTTACCTTCATAGGGGATTCTGAAGAGTCTAATGGTTCCCATCCATTTGTATTTTCTGATTATATATGCATTAGTCTGTAAAGTGAATATAGAGTACTGGAAGAAAATAAAAGATGGTATTTATTTTCTCACTAAAAACAATATTATTTGTTTTTTACAATCCTGTGAAACAGGGACAAGCATGGATCTGAATTGGATTTCAGGAAGCACTGGGAAGAGTTTCATTCATCTACTTCTGAGAAGGTTTTGCGAGATGTCTACGAAAGTTGTGGTGTTATGTTTAGTGATGTTATCACCAGAGCATTTGCTTCCACAGTCTTTCACTTCAAGAATGGCAAACTCTACAAGTGCTTTTGTGCTTGCAGGAAAAAGAGAAGGCTTTGAATTGGACTCTAGAGTTCTTTTGTAGATTAGGGAAGCAGCAATCAAATGTTCCTCAAGTAATTAACATGTGAGAGGAGAACAGTCTTTTCCTTAATTCTAAATTTGATTTCTACGTTTATAATTAGTGTCTGATGCTAGAGTGGTAACAAGCACAGGTTAGCAGAGCCACACGTGTTTGCTTTCACAGTGGGAAGGGCATTTGTGACAGAGGTAGAAAAATTGAGGCTCAAGTGTAAAACAAAATCCTTGGAAGTTGATAGAGTTATGGCATTTTTTTCTGAAACCACAAAGGTCTTAATGTCTTTACACAAAAATTTCAATATTGTAATTTGTGTGCATGGAGTTGTCTAATTAATAGCAACTTATAGTTGTAGTTTTCTGCAGGATGGTATCAGACCTGGTGCAAATCTATTACGAGCACTGGAAATACTTGTTTTTGGGGTATGCCTATCAACCCATCAAAAGAAAGTACACTGCCACTCTATATGCTACACAAGCTGATAGCGTGGTGGTTAGTTTCACATTATATGTTATATTTGAAATATGTCATTTTCCATTCATTTATAATTGTGATGATTCAAATCTGCATGTAATACACAACTTAATATGGCTTAGCGTAAACTTTGTTCGCAACTGTAAAAAACATGAGAGCACATAAAACTATCTAGATTTCCAGTCCTTGCTGCACCTTAAGCAACGTCATTTCATTGTCATCTTTGCTAAGGGTGAAGAGTTTGGAGGGAATTCTTTCACTTGTTAATTTCAGTTTTTGATGATCCTTGAGGCTTCCCTACAGTGAAAAGCAAAATGATATCAATGGATTTCTCATAATGGAAATGAGTTTATTCACTTGAATAATGGATTACTAAGCATCTTGATATACTTGTTAAATCAAGTTTTAATTTATATTTAAGTTGACCCTGTATTCAATTCCATGTAAATAATTATGATTTTTCATTAATAGATTGATGTATCCATTTATATATGGCACTGCTAATAGACAAAATTTATGACCAGAATGGTGAACGTGTTTGTGAATGCATTTTTGTTTTTTTTATTTTTTCTGCTATCTCTATGTTTTTAAGTAATTCAAAGTGGTTGTTTGCCTCAGCCTGTTGACAAACAATCATTCCTTGATTCTGGAATCTTTTGCTGTCTCATTCATGTCTTAAACACTCTCCTCACCCCTGATGGACTCAGAAAGAGACAACAGCTGACTGATGACAAGGAGCTGCTATCAATGAATGAAAGCTATGATTTTAAAACAAAACCTGCCCCCCAGCTCGAGGTGCTATAATGTTTTTATTTTTTAATATAATTTATAGATTTCCTGTCTCAACTGTTATGTTGTTGAATTGTACTATCACTCTGCAATAAGCAGTTTGCTATTGATGTTTTTTCATTGAGTCAGGTATGAAATTCTTCTTGAATGTTTGTTATTTCAAATTTATCTCCTTATTATCACAAATTTTAGAGTAGTTGGCTAGGTGACTGAATCAGAACTCGAAATTATTTTTTAGTGTGCCACATCTGCTTCCCAAGTTTAAGTAATCTTGATTGCATGCAACTTTGAAGCCCATTTTGTATTGCAGTAGACAGAACTGCTTAGATGAAGAAAATTAGCACCTGAAAGCTAGTCAGGAACCTGTAAATAAGAATCGCTCTCAATTCAAGAGAAACCTCAGTCCAACATTACAAGAAGTTGCATATTATCACACTACTGGTTGTGTCATTAATAATTTTATCCGTGTACAAATTTTTCTAGGATTTTCTTACCTTTATATGGTTTTATCAGGTTGAGGACAGCATTGTCCATATCATGAAGGCATTGGCTGGTCAACCATCAGCTGCACAAAGCCTGGTAGATGATGATTCACTTGAATTACTGTTTCAAATTGTTGCTAATGGTTCTGGACTGGTGTTTTCTCAATACAAGGAAGGTCTTTTGCCTTTGCATGCCATTCAGCTTTACCGACATTCTATGCAGGTAATATGCGATATCATTTTTTCCAAAAAGTAGCAGAGAATATGCGTGGTGATTACCTGAAGCATGACTCTTTAATTCTAGAGTATATCTTATTTTTATTTGTTACTATTGTTGTTCCAGATTCTTGGTCTTCTTTTGATTAACGACAATGGCAGTTTAACCAAGTATATACAAAAGCATCATCTGGTATGTAACTATCCCATATCAAAGATTATGTGTAACATTAATAACACGTGGAAGAGTGATCAATTGCAAATTCTTTCACTTCTTTCCCCAAGTGGCTGTCATGAGGAAAATTATAAGCCCTTTGGTAGTTTATGCATAAACCATCAGGTATCAGAACTAGATTTGTGAACAAGCTCTGACTCTATTGAGAAGTTCCCTTTCCTAACTTTCCAACACGTTTCCCGAATTGAAAACAGGCTGTGGATAGTTATGCAAAATGGGGTGTTAGAGGAAATGATGATCTGTTTTTTTGGTTGTAACTTATTGAGTTCTCCCTTATTTCTCTATAAAAAAAAAAAAAAAGTAAAAGTTAGTTTTTTTGTAGCGAATGTATATACTCGTAGTAACGTTCATAAGACTTTTGAAAGTTTTGAGTGAGAATGTATGTAGACGGTAGATCCACATTAAATGTTTCTTAGTTGGGGGCGATTGGTATTATATGATGTATTTATTGCCCATTAATAATAATAAAATAAAATTAAAAACCCCAAAGACATAAATCAACCAAAAAAATCAGTGAAAAAGAATCTTCTATCTAAAGTTGCAATCTAAAAGTGGGAGTAATTTGCTGACTACTTGGCAAAGTGAGAGGACTTATCAAAGTGAAATATATATATATATACACATATATATTCAATTACCTAGAACTTGTTTGAATCAGAAAAGTCAACTAGAATCAGTGGGAGAAGATGTTATTCCAGTAAAATATAAAGGACAGTGATTGGAAACCTTTTTCCTTTTTGTCACAGCCCTTTATTGGATTTTTGTAATGATTGCTTATATCTGAAGAGACAACCTTTTTATTTTGATGCTTCTATGTTCTAGATAAAAGTTCTTCTAATGGCGGTCAAGGATTTCAACCCTGATTGTGGTGATCCAACTTACACTTTGGGTATTGTAGAGTTGCTGCTTCAAAGTGTTGAGTTGTCTTACAGACCAGGTAAATATGTGGGATGCCATTAGCATACATTGTAGCTTTTGGTACTTGCATGTTTCTTTCTTACGCTTCATCTTTATTTTCCAAATCTACATAAGCTCAAGTTATTGGTAGCTTCTTTTAAACACCTATGCTTTATTTGCTACTATTTATTGAATTATATGTTGACTGATTTTGCAGTAGTGACTCACTTTTGCTTACTGAACAATGTTTTTCTATAAATTAATTAGAAGCTGATGTTGTTCAATTTTCCTGTAGAGGCTGGTGGTATAAGACTCAGCGAGGATATTCACAATGCACATGGCTATAATTTTGTGGTTCACTTTGCTTTGACACTGTCAACATGTCAAGGCAGTGAAACATTTCAGACCAAGTCTTCTTTTAATGATGATTTGGCTATGGACACTTTGGATGCAGCTGGAGGGACAGATTGGGAGAACTTACGAGAAGATGGAGGAAACTACTCCCCATGCAATATCTCTCCTGCACTCATTAGGCTTCTTGACATCATTGTTGCTTTTGCCCAAACAGGTCCCTCAAATGCGCCTAATCTCTCTGAACCAAAAACTTCAAAAAGTTCTCATACAAAGGCTAATGAACATGGCAGAAGTCAGGCATCATCTTCTAAATCAATAGATGATGAAACCTCAGAAAAGGATAATGAAAAAATCAAAGATTTAGAAGCTGTTCAAATATTGCAGGATATAATTATTAAAGCTGAAAGTCTAGAATTGCAGGCCGAAGTACTCAATAGATTATTGAAGATTTTCTCAAGTCATGCTGAAAACTACAAGCTGTGTCAGCAGTTGAGGATCGTACCTCTCTTGATTCTTAATATGGCTGGTTTCCATTCATCACTTCGAGAGATAATCTTGAAAATTCTTGAATATGTTGTGTCTGTATTAAATATAATCCCTGAACAAGAGTTGCTTTCACTTTGTTGCTTGCTACAGCAATCAGCAGCATCTAAACTGAAGCATACAATTCTATCATTTTTCCTGAAGCTCCTATCATTTGACCAACAGTATAAGAATATCCTCCGAGAAGTTGGTGTAATGGAGCTTCTGTTGGAGGATCTGAATCAGAACAAATTTCTTAATGGGCCTGAGCAACTTATAGAGAACCAAGGTTATTCAGGAAGAAAAAGTAGCCCTAGTAGCTACAAGAAGCACTTTTCGAGTGATGATTCAATTCTATCTTCCCCAAATTTGTTAGATACTGATTCTAGAAGATCCCTTATCTTTGAAGAAGAAGATGCAACAGAAATTGCTTGGGATTGTTTGGTGTCCTTATTAAAGAAATCAGATGTAAATCAGGCATCATTCCGTTCTGCTAATGGTTTGAGCATCATACTGCCTTTCTTGGCATCTGATATACACCGTCCGGGTGCCCTACGGGTGTTGTCATCTTTGATTATAGAGGATATCAAGCAGGTACAATCTTCTTCTAATGCTCTATGTATTCTATTTTTGCATTTTATTTCCACCATGGTAGAAGTTCCCATGACAACATGGTATTGTGTGGAGAATACCTAGAATAATTTACTCCTTGCGATTTGGAGTGGTAACTTTAAAATATGATCTACTTTATGCATCTCATTCATCTCCTTCCGTGCCTATATATGTGTGTATATATATATATATATATTATATATGCATTTGTGATTATTTTCTCCCATCTATCTATATTTACGCCAGGGGTGTGAAAAAAAAAAAAAGGAATTCTGCAAACGTGATTGAGATAATGGGATTGTATGCATAAACAAGGATTTATTGCATAATTTATTTTCCATCAATGGTTAGAAATTTGATAGTGTTTGAATATCTTCTTAATATTTGACTTCTGTTCTATTTCCAATTTGCATTTTCAATTAAAATAAGGGCGATGGAATGCATTTATTATTTGGATGGAACATAAGAAATTCTTATTTTTAAGATACAATTGATTTGCTAACCGTTGCTGCATTCCACATACTACTAAGGTACATCCATTCTAATCTTGCTATCATGTTCCATTTGAGCAGTTGCCTTCTCTCTCTTTTGCAACATTTCGCTGCTGTGTTTGTCAAGATTAGTGCCACTGCAAACTCTGTTGCACATTTTGACCTTCTGTGTTACATCCTCTCCAGCAAAAGCCACCAGTCCTATTAATGCATGCTTCAGTTTTGAATCATATCAACTTTAGCAACTGTCAGCCATCTCGGCTGCTCATGACAAACTTTAGTTCAGTTGTACTGCATGTATGCATCATGCCTCCAAGAAATATTCTCACATCTCCTAACTAATGTGCAACTATCTTAATTGCATAGTTTTCTCTCTTTTCAATGTCTCCGTTCAGTCCTCTCGTTGTATTCCTTCTCTTCCAGTCACTTAAAGCCTAAACATCCACAAAAGAACTCTTTGTGCTTATTGCATACACTCCACTAAAGAGAAAGTTTCCAACTCTGCACGGCCAACTTAGCCAACCAGCTTAAAATTTTGCTAGTGTCTATACGACTTAATTTGAGTGTCAAACTCTAGCTGGTTTGAGCTTAATTTACTCAATTATTCTTGTAGTGGGGGTTGTTCTTTTCTCAATATGTGTTTTCTTTTTCTATGTGTGCCTGATCGGTGTGCTTCTGATTTGCTACCTCTATTGAATCAAAGTATTCAAGACCGCCATATGCCTAGACTCTCGCATTCATTGGCCCATACAATGTGGAAGTGATGCTGCTACAGTTTGTTTGATCTCTTGGTTTTCCATGTTCTCCTTAAAATTTTCTTTTGGTTTTCTTAATTTATTGGGGTATTTTAGCATATTGTTAATATTATTACATGAATTATTATGATAAAAAAAATTGAAAAATGAGTCTATTCACTCATTGATACTGCACAGATATATGGAGTTACATGAGTGAATAGAAAAAGAAATAATCAATTTTAATCCCAAAAATTTAGGAATATACTAATGATCTTTAAATCTAAACTAATCATATCTACCTAAATCTAGAAATATATTTTGATAACCCTCATGCTGGCGAATAGATTTCTTCCATTCCCCAACTTGAATAGGAGGAGTACATAAATTTCAAGCTGCAAAGTCCCTTGGTTAAGATATCGGCTAGGTGTAACTTGTAAGTCAGAGAGAATGTAAAACATGCACACCAATCCTGCCTCCAGCTTTTCCTTGATGAAATGTCTATCTATTCCAATGTGTTTTGTCTTCTAATTCTGTAGGGGTAATGAACAATGTTGATAAGAGATTTGTTATCAATGTGCAGCTCCATAGGGCCTTCAAGTTTAGTCTTCAAATCATCAAGAATTTGTTTTAGCCAAAACAGTTTGTATATTCCTTAGGCAATATCTCTGAATTCAGATTCTGCTGATGACCTTCTTACAATATTTTGTTCCTTGCTTTTCCAAGTTTAACCTTCAAATCATCTACACCATTGTGAATAATTTAGCCAGTTTGTTCTAAAATTTGAATTCTTTCTAGGACTTTGTTTCTGACAATTACTGTTTTCTTGCTCTTTTTAAGCTTGGGTGAATGGAATCTTATTCCATGACTTTGTGCTTCTTCAATGTCTTTGTGGATTTGTCATAATCATTAGTGTTAACACATAATGTTTTCTGTTTTCATCAGACCCACCCTGAAGAGCTGGCCTCTTTGATTGATGTTCTGAAAACTGGGATAGTTACAAGTGTTTTGGGATTTCAATACACACTTCAACATGATGCAGCATGTGATACTTTTGGGGCCTTGTGGCGCATATTAAGATCTAACAGCTCAGCCCAGAGGGTTTTTGGGGAGGCAGGCGGGTTTTCACTTCTTGCAACCATGCTTCAACAAAAAAATCATCCTTCTATAACAGTATACATGAAGTTATTTACATATACGTTACGCGTAATAACAGCAGGGGCCTGTGATAATGTTGTCAACCGATCGAAACTCCATGGAATATTATCTTCGCCTACATTTCATGAACTTCTGTGCAAATCTCAGTTAATTTGCATAGAATGTGAGTGGCAATTTATACAATTGATGTTGGAGCTCGCTCTAGAGGTAGTTAACACGCCATTTATGATGTCTGAACAAGATAGTGAGAAAAATGAATCAGCTGGCTTACCTTTACTTACATTGTCGGGCTTTTTAGTCACTTACAAAACACGGGTGTATAATGCTGCTGCAGTCAGAGTGCTCTTACACACGTTGCTGCTGTTTACTCCTAAAGTGCAAGTAGATTTACTAAACTTTGTTGAGCAGATTGCTTGTGTTAGTTCCTTCAATATGGAAAACCTCACATCTGTAGGTGCGAATTTTCCATCTTTAGTTTGTATGTACTTACAGATTACTGCAAGCATCCTTAGTCATTTGTCCTCTAATTCTGATAGGTTGCGTGGAGCTTCTTCTGGAGACACTATACCCCTTCATGTTAAGTTCTACACCTCTAATTGCTCATGCTATGAAGATTGTGGAAGTTCTTGGTGCATATAGGTAATTCTATCTCTTGACCAAGATTCTGAGCTTGTCTAGAACTCCATTTGCACTGCTTTTAGTTGTATTTTATTAATACTAGCACATTTCTTTCTGACAGGCTATCAGTTTCAGAACTTAAAACTATTGTCAGGTACATTTTGCAAACAAGACTTGCAAAGTCTGGCTGTTGTCTTGTTGCAATGATGGAGAGATTGATTCTTTCAGAAGATATTGGCTCAGAAGGTGTTTCTTTTGCACCATTTATTGAGTTGGACACAAGCAAGAAGGGACATGCTTCCATTCAAGTGTCATTAGGAGCAAGGTCATGGCCTCCAGCTGCTGGTTATTCTTTTGTTTGTTGGTTTCAGTATAAAAATTTTTTGAAGTCACCAACAAAGGACACTGAAGCTTCTACAGTTGGCTCTCCGAAAAGGTATAACTTGATTAATGGACAAGTTGGAGTTCAAGTGCTCCGATTATTCTCTGTTGGGGCAGTGGATAACGGAAGCACCTTTTATGCTGATCTTTGTCTGCATCATGATGGGGTTCTCACTCTTTCTACGAGCAATTCGTCCTCCTTGACATTTTCTGGACTAGAAATGGAGGAAGGCAAGTGGCATCATCTTGCAGTTGTGCATACAAAACCAAGTGCTTTGGCTGGACTCTTTCAAGCAAGCTTTGCTTATGTGTATCTTAATGGAAAACTAAGGCACACAGGGAAACTTGGATATTCCCCATCCCCAGCAGGAAAGTCTGTGCATGTAACTATTGGAACACCAGAAGCTTGTGCAAGGGTTAGTGATATGTCGTGGAAGCTTCGATCATGCTATCTTTTTGATGAAGTGCTCCTTCCAGGCTCTATATGTTTTATGTATATTCTTGGGAGAGGATACAGGGGACTTTACCAGGACACAAATTTGTTGCAGTTTGTTCCCAACCAGGCCTGTGGTGGGGGCAGCATGGCTATCTTGGATTCTTTAGATTCAGACCTGCCTTCACCATCTAACATGCAAAAATCTGATGCTAATGGGAAGCAAGGGATCCTGAAGTTGAATGGTAGTGGATTTGTATGGAATCCTGATAAATTAGGTTATCACTCCCTTCAGTTATGGGGTAAAAAATTGATATTTGCATTTGGTGGCACAAGTACAGAGATCTTCCGGTCACCCGGAAATTTATCTATTCTCAATCTCGTTGATCCTATGTCAGCTGCTGCTTCTCCCATTGGAGGTGAGTGATGTCGTAAACTTTATGTATAATCTTTTATTTTGCAGATGTAAGTTACTTTAATTAGTTATTATCTTTTGTTGTTGGTTAATTTTGTATTTTATTTATATATTTATTTATTTTCCCCAAGGTATACCTCGGTTTGGTCATCTTCTGGGAGATGCATATGTTTGTAAGCAGTGTATGATAAGTGATACAATTCGCCCCATTGGTGGTATGGCTGTGGTCCTTGCACTTATTGAAGCCTCTGAATCAAGGGACATGCTTCATATGTCCTTGACATTGCTTGCCTGTGTCCTCCATCAGAATCCACAGAATGTGAGAGACATGCAGAAGTGCAGAGGATACCACGTGCTAGCCCTTTTCCTGCACCAGAGAATGTCCATGTTTGACATTAAATTACTAGAGATCTTTTTCCAAATCTCTGCATGTGAGGCTACTTTCTCTGAACCAAGGAAAACTAGGAGCATGAAGCCGACTTTGTCACCGTCTTCCATCATCAATGAAGCTAGCTTTGAAGATCTCAATATATCAAAGTTCAACGAGGAATTTTCATCAGTTGAAACTCAAGTAGATATTGACGATTTTTCTGTACCGAATGAGTCATTTAGTCATATGTCAGAACTGGAAAATGCAGATACTCTTACAGAGACTTCTAATTGCATTGTTCTGTCAAATTCTGATATGGTTGAGCATGTGTTGCTGGATTGGACCCTCTGGGTGGCAGCTCCAGTTTCAGTTCAAATTTCTTTACTTGGATTTCTTGAGAACCTAGTCTCCATGCATTGGTACAGGAATCACAACCTTACTATTCTACGTAGAATTAACCTCGTTCAGCATCTTCTTGTGACTCTGCAGAGGGGTGATGTTGAGGTGCCAGTGTTGGAACATGTAGTGGCATTACTAGGTCTCATTTTGAGGGATGGATTTCTCCCTTCTGAATTGGAAAATGTTGTAAGGTTTGTGTTTATGACCTTTGATCCCCCTGAAGCAACATTACGTGATCAAATTAGAAGAGAACCAATGGGGAAGCATGTTATTGTAAGAAATATGTTACTTGAGATGTTAATTGATCTTCAGGTGACCATTCAATCAGAGGAGTTACTTGAGCAGTGGCAAAAAATTGTTTCATCTAGATTAATTACTTATTTTCTTGATGAAGCACTTCATCCTACTAGTATGAGATGGATCATGACTCTTCTAGGTGTGTGCCTTTCCTCTTTCTCTACATTTGCTCTGAAATTTCGATCAGGTGGAGGTTATCCAGGTTTGGCACGGGTGCTTCGTAGTTTTTATGATTCTCCTGATATATATTACATTTTGTTTTGTCTGATGTATGGGAAGCCTGTATATCCAAGATTACCTGAAGTCCGCATGCTAGACTTCCATGCACTAATGCCAAGTGATGGCCAGTATGGAGAATTGAAGTTTGTTGAACTACTGGACTCTGTAATTGCTATGGCTAAAGCAACATTTGATAGGTTATGCGTTCAGTCAATGGTTGCACATCAAACTGGAAATCTTTCTCAGGTTGGTGCTAGCATTGTGGCTGAACTTTTCAATGGACATGAAGACATGGCTGGAGAGCTTCAAGGTGAAGCTCTGATGCACAAAACCTATGCCGCTCGTTTGATGGGTGGCGAGGCATCATCCCCAGCTGCAGCTACTTCAGTTCTGAGGTTCATAGTTGATCTTGCAAAGATGTGTCCTCCATTTTCTGCCATATGCAGACGAGCTGAGTTCCTTGAGAGCTGTATTGACCTCTACTTTTCCTGTGTCAGGTCTTGGTTCATACTTGGCCACTGCCTTTCACTAACAATTCTGCTTTATGTATGATGGTTCTTTTAGTTATGCTTGGTAAAATATTTCATGTAGATCAAACATATCATGCATTGTGCATTGTTTACTTCAATCAGTTGAACATGCTCATCTTTGTCTTCCAGGGCTTTCCATGCTGTAGATATGGCTAAAGAACTAACTTTGAAATCAGAGGACAAGAATCTGAATGATCTTGATGAGATCTATAGTTCCCCAAATTCTTTCTCTAGCTTGCCTCCTGAACATGAGCAATCATCAAAGATCTCTATCACTGTTGGCAGCTTTGCTCAAGGAAATGTCACTGTGAATTCTGAAGAGATTCCTATTTTCCATGATGATGTTACTACTGAGAAACCAGTGATTGTGGATTTGGAAGACCAGCATGAATTAGACAAAAAGGTCGAGGAAGATCTTCAGGCTGTGACAAGTGCTGACCTTGAAGCAGTTGATCAATTATCCTCTGCTACTTCTTGCGGTAATGAGTTAAACTTCAGGGATATTTTAAGTGTCCAAGATCATATTCAGGCGAATAATTCAGAGAATTCAAGGTCTTTCACTGCACATGAAGCTTCTACACCACCTGAGAGTTCTGATACCAAGATATCCCTGGCTCCCTCCCCAGATTTAGCGTCAAAATCTTCGCTGGGAGGTGCGAGCCACAATGATTCCAAATTCCATCCCTCTAAGGCTCCATCTGTGGATTCTTTCATGTCAGTAAGTGAAACTGATTTCTCTTCAGATTTTAAGTTTATATCCCATGCTGAATATGCTCCAAGCACAGCATTTGCAATCACTCCAAAGCTGTTGCTAGAAGTGGATAGTTCTGGCTATGGAGGTGGTCCATGTTCTGCTGGTGCTACTGCTGTTCTAGATTTTATGGCAGAAGTACTTTCAGATTTTGTGACTGAGCAGATGAAGGCTATACCAGTTCTTGAGACTGTCTTGGAAAGTGTACCTTTGCATGTTGATTCTGAATCTTTTCTAGCTTTTCAGGGATTATGCCTCACTAGATTGATGAACTTTCTTGAAAGGCGTCTCTTACGTGATGATGAGGAAAATGAGAAAAAATTGGACAAGAACAGGTGGTCAGTAAACTTAGATGCATTGTCTTGGATGATTGTTGATCGTGTTTATATGGGAGCTTTTCCCCAATCCGGTGGTCTATTGAAGACTTTGGAGTTTTTACTATCGATGTTGCAGTTGGCAAATAAAGATGGTCGGATTGAAGAAATAATTCCATCTGGCAAGGGATTCCTTTCACTTGCAAGGGGAAGTAGACAACTTGATACTTATGTACAGGCGCTTATTAAAAATATGAACCGTATGATTTTATTCTGTTTTCTTCCATCATTCTTGTATACAATAGGGGAAGACAATCTGCTTGCAGGCTTGGGCATGCAGAATGAACCAAGGACAAAATTGTTTTCTTACTCTTCACCAGAGGATGGAGGGATTGATATTATCACAGTTTTACAGTTGCTTATTGCTCACAGGCGAATAATTTTTTGTCCCACCAATCGTGATACTGATCTGTTCTCTTGTCTTTGTGTAAATTTGATATCTCTACTCCGCGATCACAGAAAGCATATATGGAGTACAGTTATTGATATTCTCAAGTATTTTCTGGTACACCGTAAGGTTGCACTTGAAGAATTTCTAGTCTCTAAATCAAGTCAAGGCCAAACTGAGGATCTTCTACAGGGTGGTTTCAATAAGCTTTTGACTGGAAATATATCAGAATTTTTTGAATGGTTTCATAGTTCTGAGACAATCATCAATAAAGTAATGGAACAGGGGGCTGCTGTCATGTGGAGGCAATATGTAGCAGGGGCAACAAAATTCCCTTCAGTGAGGATAAAAGCTTTGGAGAATCGTCGTTCGAAGGAAATGGGAAGAAAATCAAAAGACCTTTCAACATCAGAACGGAGACATTGGGAAATACTGAATGAAAGACGAAATTCACTTCAAAAGGTGCACGATGTTATGGCCACTGAATTACGTGTTACTCGTCAGGATAGATATGGATGGGTAGTCCATGCTGAAAGTGAGTGGCAAGCTCATCATCTCCAACAGCTTGTACATGAAAGAGGAATATTTCCAGTTAAAAAATCTTCCAGAACCAAAGAGGAACTTGAGTGGCAGCTTTGCTCCATTGAAGGTCCATACAGGATGCGCAAAAGGCTTGAAAGGTGTAGAGCAAAGATAGACACCATACAAAATGTTCTGGAGGGACAGTTTGAGAAAGCTGAGGAAGACATATCCAAGGAAAACACTGATTATGAACACTATGCTTGTGAGATTGAATCAGACACTTTTTTCAATATTGCAATTGACAAGCCAAGGGAAGAATCTTTTAGATCTGAATTGTATAATGAGCCAACAATTAGAGAATCCGGTGATGCACCAGACATTGCTTCTTCTAGTTTTGGATGGAATGATGATCTAGAGAGTAGTATAAACGAAGCAAGCCTGCACTCAGCTGCTGAATCGGGTTTCAAATCTAGTGATTCATCTTCCCTGAGAACAGAAACTAGACAAGGGAAATCTGATTTAGGTTCTTCAAGGTTATCCGCTCCAGTAAACGTGGATGAATTGAGAGTGTCAGACGACAGGTCAGACAAAGATTTAAATGACAAAGGTGAAAACTTGATCAGACCTTATCTGGAACCTTTTGAAAAAATCAAGCACAAGTACAATTGTGAAAGAGTAGCTGGACTTGACAAATATGATGGTATATTTGTGATTGGGGAATCATCTCTATATATCATTGAGAATTTTTACATTGAGGAATCTGGCTGTGTATGTGAAAAAGAGAGTGAAGAAGAACTCTCCATCATTGATCAGGCTTTGGGTGTACAGAAAGATATTTCTGGTAGCAAAGATTCCCATTCCAAGTCGAATTCCTCTTGGGGTGCTAATTCACGGGGAAGGGCATGGGCATTTGATGGTGGTGTCTGGGGTAGGGAAAATTTGTGTTGTACTGGTAATATGCCTCACCATTGCCGTTTGTGGAAGCTCGACAGTGTGCGGGAGCTTCTGAAGCGCGATTATCAGCTTCGACCTGTTGCTATTGAGATTTTCAGCGTGGATGGCTGCAATGGATTACTTGTTTTTCATAAAAAGGAGAGAGAAGAAGTTTTCAGAAATTTGTTGGCCTTGAATCTACCAAGAAACAACACGTGAGTTATTATGTTCCTATGGATTCATACCTTCTTTTTTTTTAACTGATTTGCATACTTTCCCTTGAGTTGTGGTAAAAGTTATTGAGAATTAAAATTTTTATTTACTATAGGCTGCCCCAAAGTGGTAGATGTCTTCACCTCACCATGGAAAACCACTTAGTACACTGCAATCAAATTAGTTGACTGTATTTGAAAATTTTGTTGAAAAGTAGAAGTTATTGAGGAGTGACAACCTTGTGGTACTAATAACTTGGTAATGCTTCTCTAGAAAAAGATCAAAGCTCAGGAATGGCATGGTGCATGATTGGGGTGTTACTGTTGTATGTGCTGCATATTTAGATCTTCTTCGAGATTCGCAACTACATTTGTGTCTTCATAGAAATGTATAGACTATAAATATCCAAATTGTTGGCGTTGATATTTAAGTCTGTATACTAAATTAAATGCAGTGTTTTTATGATACTTAACTTTAGTTTAATCATTTCACCTTAGATCCTCCTCTCTAAACAGAGCACCGATTATGGTTGGAATGGAACCGGAGTAATTACTCTGGTAAATGAATGTACAGCCTAGCCTAGAAAGAAGTAATTTTGATTTCTCATGTCAACGACATCTAATTTATGGTTAAAACGCAATTTTGATTTCTAGTTTATGGACATTCATTTCTTTTCTTCTTTGTGCCTTGTCTTCCCTCCCCTTGGTTTATCATGTCTGTATGTAATCTATAATCACTCCATCTCCATCTTCTGCACATTGACGTAACTCCTTCTTTTAGTAGCGTTATTATGTTCTTCTTCATCTGGATGCTGCCAAAATTGGAACTCATGTTAGCCCGTCCCCTTGCATGCATTTCAGTTTAGATGCAACAATAACTGGATCGACAAAACAGGAAAGCAATGAAGGAGGTCGGCTTTACAAGACTACAGCAAGTTCCCTTTCCAAAAGGTGGCAAAATGGAGAAATTAGCAACTTTCAGTATATCATGCATCTCAACACTCTGGCAGGCCGTGGATACAGTGATCTCACCCAGTATCCGGTGTTTCCTTGGATCCTGGCTGATTACGAGAGTGTAAACCTTGATCTATCCCATCCAAACACGTTTCGTAATCTTCAGAAACCAATGGGCTGTCAGACTTCAGAAGGAGAAGAGGAGTTCAGAAGGAGGTAGGTGGTTCACAATTCTCGATCCATCTAATCTAATTAATCATTACTATTTCCATTTCTTTGTTTGCGACTCATCTCCCTCTTTCTTACTCTCTCTCCCACAGATATGAGAGCTGGGATGATCCAGAAATTCCCAAATTCCATTATGGTTCTCATTATTCTAGTGCTGGGATTGTTCTATTCTACCTGTTACGGCTACCTCCGTTTAGCTCTGAGAATCAAAAGCTACAGGGCGGACAATTTGACCATGCTGATAGGCTGTTCAACAGCATTCCAGAAACCTGGCTGAGTGCTGCTGGGAGAGGAAACACATCAGATGTTAAGGAACTCATTCCAGAGTTTTTCTATTTGCCAGAGTTCTTGGAAAACAAATTCGACCTTGACTTTGGTGAGAAACAATCCGGTGAAAAGGTTTGTTAAAGTTTGTTTATTGATGGAATTAAATGGATAGATTCCTACCCTATTATTCCTTTTTCAAATATTCTCTCTTATCTCATCTTTTGGCAGGTTGGTGATGTTGTATTGCCTCCATGGGCCAAGGGCAGTCCTAGGGAGTTCATTCGAAAGCACAGAGAAGCACTGGAGTGTGATTATGTATCAGAGCATCTTCATCATTGGATAGATCTCATCTTCGGATCGAAACAGAGGGGGAAGGTAATCATCCAATCATAAATTTATTTTGTTGTATCTTCCTACCTCACGTGCCTGTACTTCCATTCTCTCTTTATTTAGCATCAAAATTTCTACAAATTTTTCAGGCGGCTGAGGAAGCTGCAAACGTGTTTTACCACTACACATACGAGGGCAGTGTGGACATTGACTCGATTGCAGATCCAGTAATGAAAGCATCTATTCTAGCACAAATCAATCACTTTGGACAAACCCCAAAACAGCTCTTCTTGAAGCCACATGTGAAAAGGAGAACTGATCGGAAGCTTCCACCTCATCCGCTCAGGCACTCTGCATTCCTCGTTCCTCATGAGATTCGTAAGAGTGCATCTTCTATATCTCAGATTGTAATTTTCAACGACAAGATTCTCATCACCAGCACGAATCACTTGCTCAAACCGAGATCATTCACCAAATGCATTGCATGGGGCTTCCCAGACCGTACCTTGAGGTTCATGAGTTACAATCAGGACAGGCTTCTATCCACTCATGAAGATCTCCATTCCGGCAGCCAAATACAATGTGTAGCTGCAAGCCAGGATGGCAAAACACTAGTTACTGGTGGAGACGACAGCCTGGTCTGTGTTTGGAGACTCCAAAAAGAGGGACTTGGGCCTCGCGCTGTTCGTCGCCTGCATCTGGAGAGGTCTCTCTGTGGCCACACCGGTAAAGTCACGTGTCTTCATGTTAGCCAACCGTACATGATAATTGTGAGCGGATCAGATGATTGTGCAGTAATATTATGGGACCTCAGCTCTCTAACATTTTTGAGGCAGCTTCCTGAGTTCCCTTCCCCGATTTCAGCAATATTCATGAATGACCTGACGGGAGAAATAACAACTGCAGCCGGTGCTGTTGTTTCTATTTGGAGCATTAATGGTGATTGTCTGGCAGTGGTGAATGCATCCCAACTTGTGTCGTCTGGTTCTGTTCTCTCACTTGTAGGGTCGACTTTCTCAGACTGGCAGGAGACTAACTGGTGTGTTTCGGGCCACCAAGGTGGCGATATCAGAGTCTGGAAAGTGAGTCACTGCTCCAGTGAGGAGTGTGGGCGTGCCCAAATTGATGAAGAGGCTGAGAATTCATTGAAACTTGGGGGGGATAGAGTTCCCGAGTACAGATTGATTCTCCACAAGGTACTCAAGTCCCACAAGTTCTCTGTTACGGCGCTGCGTCTGTCAAACGATTTAAAGCAGTTGCTGAGTGGGGATTCAGGTGGCCACTTGCTTTCGTGGACATTGCGGGACGAAAGCTTCAGATCCTCCATGAAGAAGTAGCATCATTCGTTGATTGTCTTGTCAACTCAAGTAGCTAGCTAGCTCGCTGCCTGCTGCATATATACATATATTCATGTGATTGATTGATAGGTTGATGGGTGCATGTAGTTAGTTCCTTCCATACAAAATAATATGGAGCAGAAGCAACGGCTGGGCTATGCTTCAATATGATGGATCGATAGATCATATGCTCATGCTCCTTGTGTGAGCAAAGAAACTCAATTGCACAGCAACAGGCAACCGACCTGACCTGACCTGACCTGCGGGGAGTGGCATTGATTATGTGCAGCTGTACGATATACTTTACTATACTAGTCGTGTTTGGGTAATTGTTCTCATCACAGGATGCTGTATAGATAGATAACACACGAATTTTTCTTTCCAGAAGCGAGAACAGGGGCGGGTGAAGCTGCTGCTGCCCCAATGTCGACGAATGTAATAGTTAGTTAGTTAGTTACTCTGTGCGATTGATGATTACTCTTGGACTCACAAGTTACAGGCACAGAGAGAGAAATTAGGAGAGGAACATTATCTGATGAGATGAATGGGATTTCTAAATTTATCTGATTCCCAACTTTAATAGCTGATGACTGACTTCTGATTTGGTTTGTTGGTGTGGGGAGAGGAGAGGAGAGGAGGAATCTGAGCTCAGAGGAACTAAGAAGTTCCACAGCAGCAATCAATCGATGAACCTCCTGTATGACTTTCATCAAATTTAAAACTAAAATTCAAAGTAAACATTATCTTCCGTCTTTCCCTCTCTCCAAATCTTTAGGGGCATGAAATAATCGAAAACACTTTCGCCAATCCAATAATCCAGACCAAACGAAACCAAAATAATTCCAATTATTTTATCAGCGGAGCTTTTAAGCTTTTAGTGAATGTCTCCAATTCTTTCAACCCTTGTTCTGGCGACTTTGCTTCGCCCAATAGCCTCACAATGGCACTACCAACAATGACACCATCAGCTCCCCATTCAGCTACCTGAAACAACACCCACAATAAACAAGTGCTGGTTAGCATCCATCCCTATCGAGGCAACATAACACCCACAAAGATGTGTCCTCACTCAACATGGTAAATTTGGAAATTGAATGCAACTATAAACCTCAGCATAACTTTGTGGTCTAAAGTTGAAGGAATGCTGACAGATATACTATAGTGAATCATAACAATACTAATTCGTATGATATGATCAAATATTCTGAAGTAACATACTTTCAAGATAGCCCTTCAACATGGTTTAAAAGTTTGTATTTGTATCAGCCAAAATCATGCTCAGGCTGTACGGATTATTACCTGTTTCACATGTTCTGGTTTAGATATGCCAAAACCAACTGCCACTGGCTTGTTTGTCGACTGTAGAGAAATAGTGGTGTATAGTCAGTAGCGGCTTTGTCATGGTTATCTCAGATTGATATAAGTATGCCACATTTGTAATGATAGGTGTTTGTCCTTTTCACAGGATAATTTGGCAGCAGTCAGTGGAGAAATAACTGTTGGGGGGGAAATGGGTTGGGTTCTTAGACTAACCTCTTTGATGTCACGGAGAAGAGATTCCACCCTCTGGCTAACAGATGACCTTGCTCCTGTCACTCCCACTGAACTTACCTATTGATGGGATATGAATAATTAAAAATATGCAATAAATTGCAGGCATGCATATGAATATGGTATTTAGATGATTTGTGTAAACCCAGTGTGAAACTTTACAATATGGTATAGTTTAGCTTATAAATTGAACTTAGATTGTTCCAAAAGGAAAGTCTGTGTGTTACAAGGTAGAGAAATCCTTCTGAAGCCTCAGCAATGGCTTTCATTCGCTCAGCAGGCGTGGTGGGAGTGGTAAGCAGCACCTGAAATAGAAGGGCAGATCGAATCAAGTTATAAAGCAGCAACAAAGCATACACATCCAAGACAAAAAGAAAAAAAAAAAAAAAAAAAAGGCCCACAATGTAATTACGGTATTACATTTGAAATTTTGAACATAAAATGTCACTCAAGACTGAAATGTGCAGCACCCTTGTAAAGGAAAATGGCAAGAAAGATCACTGACGACCATTTACTAACTTCAAGAATTTAGACCTGAAATTGAATTTATTTTGCATTTTATGGAGAAAAGAATCATGATAAATAAGAAGTAATTTAACATGTCTGGCTGCTTACTTCCTGATTAACGCAGCAATATTACAAATTACTGATAAAAAGTAAGAATAATTACGGATCAAAATCCATGGAAACACTACTGAAGATAAAGCAGTTTAAGCATCAAGAAAAAAAATTCAAACAAGTTATAGTGAAGCCAACCAGTTCTATATTTTTGCTAGAAGCTTCTTTCCTCAATATCTGAGTCTCCTCGAGAGGGACATCCGGAACAACTACTCCTGTAGTGAAAGTGTACTTAGAAGTTTAGACAGTATCATACCTATAAGGAGTTAACCAAAAGAGAAGAAAAGGAAGTTGAGAGATTCAAATCTGGTGTAACTGGAATATGCAAATGATATTAATTTCATCACACTTCTCACGAAGGGAAAAAAAAAAGTGTACAGTAGCAAGCACAATTACCATGCACTCCAGTATCTTTCAAGGTGGTCATGAACTTTTCCACACCACGCTTAAGTATTGGGTTATAATATGTGAATAGTGCAATTGGGCACGATAATTGAGGAACCACCTATGGAGAAATAAACCCACATTTAGAAACTATATCTTAAAGATTAGGCTCAAAATCCGACACTAGAGAGCCAGTGTAGACACAAATGATAGGAGCAAAATGCATGTAAAACAAATGTCTCTTTTCCAACAAAATCTACGAGCAAAGATAACAGAATTGTTCAATATTAGAATGTAAGAAAAAACTAGTTTCATATTGATGAATACAAGATGCATAATTAAAATAAAAAAGTAGTCAATGATGTATTCACTCAAAATCTAAATTAAATTATCTCAAATTCCATTCTATCTGACTTTCCCCTTCATCAACTAGTGACTTACATCCTTCAACATATCAATGATCTTCTCAAAGGTGGTTCCTTTGGCCAATGCACGGGTGGCTGCACCCTGTTGTGAGAAATATGAAAAATAAATGGCATCAATCACAAGTGGAAGCTCTGATTATACCCTTAAGATGCAATATCCCAAATAAATAAGTTACTCCAAGTAAAATTGACACTTTGGCAATCAGTATTAATACCTGGATAACAGGGCCATCAGCCAGAGGATCCGAGTAAGGAACTCCTAATTCTATGATGTCAGAGCCAGATGAATCAAGGATTTTCAGTGCTTCAGCTGTGATTGATAGGTCAGGATCGCCAGCAGTTATATATGGTATCAGCGCCACCTATCACCAAAGCACGAGTATAAATCAAAATTAATCTTGAAATAAAGGATATTAAATCAATTTCATTTCGAATGCCATCTCAATTATCGAATCAGGGTATAAATCACGCCATAAACGTCATCACTTCACAACCAATAGCCTTTCGAAGACCTAAATAATCCATCGGGACAAAAAACTACTTCAACCCCGATTGTAAGCTAACAGAGAATCAACAACTGAAACAAACGCCCGCATAAAACTTTCAACTCAATGAAGAATACAATCCGATAGATTGCCTCCAGCACTCACAGCGCAACCATTTAACATGGAAACCCAACAATACAAACATTAAAACCGTAGCCAAAAAGGCTAACATTACAAATCAGAAACAAAGTGAAATGCTCACCTCGCCGCGCTGCTTCAATTTGGTGAAAGTTTCGGAGATGGAAAGAGTCGGGGAAGTGGTAAGTGCGGCCATCGGAGGCTTATACTTAAACGATTTGCTCGTAGGAAAGGCGAAGGATAAACGTCGTCCTGAGCAACTGGAATCGGTCTTTCGCTGAAGAAAGCAAGTCGCCTTCAGAGCTGCAGCCATTACCGTACGCACAAGCCCTTACTGAAACTGCTCCAATTTTTAAAATTTTTTTACAGTAAGCAAAATAAGAAAGCTTGTCAGATATGCATAATTTGAACACTTACTATAAATATAAATATTTAGAGACATTATATACGTCATTATTACAGAGAAATAATTGCTAAATAAAGTTTTTATAATTTACCATTATTTTATTCACCTGTAATTTTATTATAATTAAAAATAATTAAGTTTTTTTTTTTTTTTTTATCAATATTGAAGAAATATAATTTATAGAAAATATATAATATATATATATATATAAAATATCTTAATCTTAAATGCTCAATAAAAATAGTCAAGAGAAACATGCAATAGAAATATATTTCAACTTTATTCACCCAAATAATTTTTCTAATTCTCAATATATATGTATATATTTATATATTAAGATATATATTTTTTATGTTTTTATAAAAAATTAATATTTGATATAAAATATTATTATTATTATTTTTTTATTAGGGACATAATTTTTTATAAAAAAATGTTGTCACACTCTACATATTATTTGATGTTGTATAGTATGTGTTAGCATCTGATTGAAGAAATCAACAAAAATAACTTATGCCTGAAATAAAAGTAGTAATAAATCTACGAGGAAAGTAAGAGCGGGCATCATTAGTGTATGGATAGGTATCATCTTTATCTTGTATGTAATTTTATTATTATTATTACTACTACTTACTGCAAGTATTTTCATAATAGTATATTTTACTTACACCAACAACCACAAGGCCTGCATGCTGCATACAGATACATACACACACATGTTAATAATTCAAAAGACCCAACTTTGACCTCCAAATCAACTTATCTGTAATAATCCTTTACTAGTGTGCCTGCACCTGCCTTTGTTTGACTTCAACACGTAGGTCAGAGCCCTTTGACTCTCTCTTGCAAGTCGCTACGTGTTCTCTCCACCCGGACAACCAGATGATACAAAATTTTTATAGACGTACATGCATATTAAATCCAGAATGACTATGAGGATGTGTTTGTTTGGGGGTTTGGATCTTGAGTTGGGATTTGAATAGTAAAAATTTTGAATTTAAATAGTTGTATGATGTGATATAAATAGGTGTTGATGTGATGTTTTGAATGTAAAGAAAAAAAAAATGAGATGAATAGTGAAAATTAAATCCAATCCCCCAAACAAACACACCCCAAGTCTACAATTAAATGTCTTTTCTTTTTATTTTAAATCAAAATTATTATTATTTTAATTCAATTTTTAATAAAAATATTATTATTTTAAACTTTCTAAATTGACATAAAAATATTATTTTTATAATACAATATTATTTAAATTAAAACCAAACAAACTTCTTTAGACTTTCGTAATCTAAATACGAATATCATACTAAATTAATTCCATTGAAAAATCTCATTCAACATTCATTCACTATATATAATAAAATATTTTAATTTGACTCTATAGTTTCCTAATATTTTGGTTTGATTTAGAAAAACATATACATATAGTTTCCTAATATTTTAGTTTGATTTAGAAAGATATATATATTATATATTCCTTTCTCACCAAAATTCTGAAAAGATTATTTTTTGTAGTACTCTAAATTTATGCATGATTTTATTATTTTTATTTTAATAAATAATAACTAATTTATTATTATTATATTTATTTGATTATATAAAGGATGACATGGGAACCGCGGGAATTGGTCATGGTCACCGATCCCACTCCTACACCACCATGTGTGGGAATACTTAAATTTGGTAAATAAGATTTCTTATATATATATAACTTTGAAATGATCCTACCGATAAGACATTAATAAGAAAAATTTTGTTTTTCTTTTTTTTCATAATAAGAAGAATGTTGTTAAAAGATTAGTTGTTTACATTAGCTTTGTTTCAGTATTATGTTTTGTGTTTTAGTCTAAATAGTGATAATAGGATATTCTTTTAGGAGTATATTTTTTATAAAAAAATTAATTAAAAGGAAAAACGAAAAATAAACGTAAAAGTACTTTTAATAGCAGTAGTACTGTTGTAGTTTAGAACGTCGAGGGACGAAGGGTAGAGACGTAAATTCATTGAAAAGAGGAGGCGTTTTCAAACATGGATGCCTTTATAAGTCGTTAAAGAGAATCTCCGCTTTCGCAATTTAACGCTCTCCTTTTCCTTCTCCCTTGTTGGCTTTCCCTGCTCTCTCTACAGTGAGTTGGGAAAAGAACCCGCTTCGCCTGAATCTTCTTCGCCAATCTGTTTTTCCAATAGAAATCGCTCAAAAACCGTATACAATAAGCTGTTCAGTGCATGCAATTGTGGATTCTAGTTCAAAAATCCGAAGACGGTTTACGCTTCTCACTCCATGGCGAACAATCCAGGCGAAACTCCATCCGACGATTTCCTCGAGCAGATTTTACTGTTTCCTGGCTACGCCGGTGGCACTGATGCTAGTATGGTCGCGAACGAAGCGCCAATGATGCTGCAACTTGGTTCGGGTGACGGCTCGGCTCACTTAGGTGGAGTCGGGGGGATTGGAGTTGGACTCGGAGTTGGCATCGGCGGCGGTTACGGAGTTGGAAGCGGGGGCGGTGGTTTTCCGCTAGGGTTGAGCTTGGAACAAGGGAAGGGAGGATTTAACGAGGCCTCCGGTAGCGGGAAGAGGTTCCACCGCGATGAAGTTGAATCTCGCGCTAATTCTATCAAACAGGTAAATGTTTGTGAAGTCTCTGTGTGATGGTGCTGCCGTTGGCTCTGCAGGTTAATTAGGGTTTGCGTCGTGAAATAGGACAGATATGGTGCACAGAGATGTCATCTATTTAGTTGATAAATTTATCATTAGATTCTAAACACTTCAATAAGCGACTAAGGTTGCATGTAGGAGACTGATAATATAATCGATGGTTTGAGTATGGAATATCCTTTTGTACTGGGGAATGTGCTTGAGACATTGGGAAGCTGATTCACTTTCTTCTTCTTCTTCTTCTTTTTTGGTTAAAAAAAAAAAAAGGAAAAAAGAAAAATCCTTTTTGGAGGTCCTGTTTTATAGAATGTATAGATATGTAGAAGGTAACGAATGCTTCTTTTATACTTTTACGTCCTTATGGTGCCTTATAGAATTCTAGACAATTCTACTCTCTCAGGGCTTTCCGGGGCAGCCAATGGCAAATCCAGTTCCTGTAGCGCCACATCCACCTGCAATTCGCCCAAGAGTACGAGCTAGACGAGGCCAAGCTACTGATCCACATAGCGTAGCTGAGAGGGTATGATAATTGTATACAAGAAAAAATGTTTGTTCTCTATTCAAAGGGGGTGGAATTCCTATAATTCTATTTTCCGATACTACAACTGTATAATGAAAATTCTTATATGCTTGTCGGGTATTTTCTTTTTATATTACAGCTGCGCCGAGAAAGAATAGCTGAAAGAATAAGAGCACTGCAAGACTTAGTTCCAAGTGTCAACAAGGTCAGCCTACTCTCTATTGTCTATCACGGCATCTTACTACTTGAAAATCCTCTTCTTGGAAGACGATAATAAAGGTTTTGGGCTACCAGTTGTTTAGCTTTCTTTCTAGGAAACCTTTTAAGGGGATTTGTGCCCTCTTAGTCTTTATTATTATTCTGTAGCTGCAATCAGTATTTCGCTGTACACATATAGCAATTTGACGATGAATTTTATTTCTTTAACTCTTCCTTTCCCTTGACTTTATTCTGCTGAAGAATTTATTCTGATGGTTGTTTATTTTAGTCTGTTCTTATTTTACCTTCAGCATCTATAAGTTGTGGTGGGTGAATATTTCTTTCTCGTCTAACATCTGTCAGAGGCTTTGGTGAGATGAAAAGTGGATTGCCGTAATTGAACAATATTATTGTGAAATCATACTGTATTTATATAGAATAATAATGGGATCCATGGTTCTGGTGTTCTTTTGTAAAAGAGTGTTCCGTGATCCTTTCTTTGCATGATTCTAGTTTTTGCATTATTATTTTTCATCGGCAACTTGTGGGTGTGTCTAGTTGGTCTATGTGATCCGCATCCTTGTAGAGGAGCCTGGTCTGATAAGCCAGTAGGCTGTTACAACCACAAAACATTTCTTTGCTAATAAATATTATTCAACAATGATGACACTATTGACTTTTATGTGCTTACTTTATTGTGCCCATAAACATCAATGATTTGAGTTAAGATTCCTCCACATTCTCTAACAAAATAATTTTGCAGACAGATAGAGCAGCTATGCTTGACGAAATTGTGGATTATGTGAAGTTCTTGAGACTCCAAGTGAAGGTATAACATATAAATTCTTTTGGTTAACATTCAATAACATGCAGATATGTTATGATCTTTGGGTTGGCAGCATTGAATGAAGAGATTACTAAATTCTGAGTATGCATAAAAAGTTTTGGAACACTGCAAGCTAACATATATAAAATGACTGCCTACGTAAGAGGATCTGGATTGCTGTATAGGGTGATGCCTTGAACATAAGAAAATATTCTGGTGACGCTTGGGTTTGAGCAATTCCAGATAATGATTGGATTCATTATCATTAAATAGTTTTCTCCAGAATTTTGGGCAATCAGGATAGTACAAACAGGGATGCCAAAAACTACCCTCTTTAATTTATGAATAGACCAAAGATCAGTGGACTTTTGCTTTATCTTTGATGAATAAAGAATTTGTTATGACATCACTGGCTTAACTCTCTTTTGACTGTAATGGGTTATACCTTCAAATTTATCATCTTTGTCCTTGACCATCAACCTCACCAGGTGTTGAGCATGAGCAGATTGGGAGGAGCCGGCGCTGTGGCGCCACTTGTGACAGACATGCCAATACCATCTGTAGAGGTATGTATACATTAAGCGCACAAGATCTTCCCCTAATGTTACATTAATTCTAATCAATCTTGTCCGCTATTCAGGAAGAAGGCAATGACAGCGGACAAGCTCAACCAGCATGGGAGAAGTGGTCAAATGATGGGACAGAACGACAGGTGGCAAAACTCATGGAAGAAAATGTGGGAGCTGCAATGCAATTCCTCCAGTCGAAGGCCCTCTGCATCATGCCCGTTTCCCTTGCCTCGGCCATCTACCTCAGTCAGCCGCCGGATACATCTGTTCCGGTGAAACACGAGTCATCGGAGCCCCATCAAAACCCTCCAAATTAACAGAGGTCAGCCACCTCCCCTTCAGTCCAAAACAAGAGTGAGTTGAAATCTTTGTCAGATACCTTTGTTCCGCCTTAATTTATCAAAGAGGGTGTGTCCCTTTGCTAGACTAAAGTAGTGAAGGGGGGGGGGGGGGGGGGGGGGGGGGGGGGAAGTTCAAAACTATATTTGACATACCTTGCTTTTTTGTGCCAAATGGTGGGACATATTTTGGGGTGATGGTGGTGGTGGGTGATTACTGATAAAGGGCACTTTATTAGTGCGGGTTGTAGTGGATTTTGGGGCCCTTGATGGGGATGAATATTTTGAATCATGAATGCTTATATAAATTATAGAGTTTGCAATCATTGTAGCGTCGTTGTTTTCAGTGGAAAATGGAGATGGATAGGTAAGAAGGGTAGATAATGTTTTACTTGGGCTAAAAGCAGGATTAGAGGGTCAAATATTCATCAATTATAGCATTGAATTAAAAGTGCGATGTTCCTTAAAAGCAATTTAGCTGCTGCCTGCTTTCTATATGTCCTCCTGTGTCATTATTGTGTCACCCGGTTGACTCTGACTTGGAGGTCATTTGGTTTGGTGTGGCTGCAATATCAGGGTCAATTAATTAATTAATTAATTTATACCTACACAAAAACGAAGGATAGAATAAAAGGCTGTCATCATCATCACTTCATCAGCAGTAGTATTTATAATAGAATAGAAAATTGAAAAGGGTGGTACGATTTTTAGTCCATTCCTCCCCGCCCCAAATTTTGTTGGTAGCACTCGAGTGGAGAGGCCCATTGTTTTATACTAGCACAGCTTTGTCTGTATATTATATACTAGTACTCAATTCAATGAAAATAAGCTGAATGTACATAGATATAGATAAAGGCCTCTCACCAGAACAAGTCCTGGCTCATTTACAGACGAAGGACTAAAATCTCTGCAGATAAGATAAAGCTACAAGTAATTAATTGATTACCCTTCCTTTTTTGCGAGCGAGAAGTAGAGAGTAGCGTCAAATCCCCATCCTTGTCGTCTTCGTATAGTTTCCCTAATTTTATTAAATAAAAAATGATACCATACAATAAAATACTACTACTTGTTAAACAAAACCCCATCCCAAATTGATTAATGAACGATCATATGATATGTGTTCTAAAAAGTTACGGATTGTGCAGTTGAACATGGTCGGTCGTTCTCCAATGCCTTGAGAAGCTAGTTATACGTACATTTTGAGATGTATATATAATATTTATGTACATTTCACAGACCACATGGAACGAGCATGTTCACTATCTATCAGATTCATTAGCTACCTTTCTTCTGGTGCACCATATTTTTACCATGTGCTCTCACCCTCACCCTCACCCTCACCCGTTCCGGCCACACCACACTCAATCATCTATATATGTATAATCGCCAACGAATACAAATATAAACACAATCATTCATTAATTAATTTCACTCCGATCCGCTTGCACGCTTTCTATAGATTGAGTAGCCTTTTCCATCGGAGAAGATCACTTAGCTTGTTTTTCTTCGCGGGAGGGGAGGGAGACGATCGAATTCAAATTGTTGGTCATCATCGCGTCGGATTCGTTTCTTCCAGTTCCAGGTAAACCTAATTTCATCAGCTCTGTAGCCTTCAGTTTAGGTCATCTTCCTTCTCAAGCATTAATCCACCCGCCCTTGTTCATACATATATATCTTCTCGGAATCGATTGCGAGCAGCGTATGAATGTCCGTCCCCTCTGATCAACCGCGAGATCGATCGAGGCTGATTTCCCCGTGTTTGTGTAATTAAGTTTTGTATATATAGGCTGTTAAGTCCGATCAATCGAGTAGAGATATTCTAAAAGCGAGGTCCATGCGTTTCAGTTCAGCGCCCATTATATTCGTTCGTGTTTGTTGATGTCGCATCATCATGTAAGGTGAAGATTGATTCCTTCGGATTTTGAATCCCCCATTGAATTTGAGATGGAGTGAATGAGTGAGTGAGTGAGTACTGAGTAATAGCCTAATAGCGTAGGTAGGGTAGGGTAGGGTACCGTGCGTGAATTTCATTTCATCCATGACATGGCCCATTCCACGCTGAGGTGGCATGTGTGCCGTGCGCGTGGCCCATTCATGACAAGGACTGAGTGGGCAGGGGTTTATTTTATTTTTTTTATTTATGTCTGCCTGCATAAAGCGAAACCAAGTCAACTCGAATTCGGTGGAAAATGGAAATAGGGTAGAGAGAGAGAGACGGAGAGAGAAAGAGAGACGGAGAGAGCTTGGACTTGGACAGGGGCAGGGGCAGGGGCAGCTGTAGTTTGTAAATGCACGGTCCAGATCATCCAATACCATCACACACCCATTCCCGGCTACTATCATGCTACCGAGTCTACATCGTAGTTTCTTTCAGTCTTAAATCTTATGCCATTTTATTTTTTAAAAAATAATTACACATCTTATATATTATTTTAAATTTTTTATTCTATAACTTTTTTTTACTTTTAATTAAATGATAAATTATCGATTATTTTAATTTTTACTCATAATTATTTATATTATAAAATTATTATTTTTATTAAATACTCTTAATTATTTACTGATTATATTTATTTTAGCTTTATATATCTCTCATGGTAAATAGGACTAAAAGAGTATGATATTTTGTGGATTTCTTATAATGTTTTAGTACTCAGTTTTCTTTTTCATTTTTTTGATTTAGAGAAACGGGTTAATTAGTTTAGGGAATCAGTGTCTCTTCTTAAACCATGTTTTATAAATAAATGAATATAAGCTTATTTAGAGTTATAAATGTGTATAATAAAATTTTGGAAAAAAAAATAAAAATACAACTAGTCGATAATTTGGAGAATGAGAAAATTGGCAAAGAAAACACACCAAACAATAACAATGGAAACAAAACAATCATGGAAAGTAGGCAGGCAAGCAGCAGATAGCCGGCGCTACGTCACACTCCATTTCCAGCAGGATTACAAATCAAGCGCTGCTGTTGGGCCACGTGTCATCATCTTCATTAAAGACAACAGCTCAAACCCGCCACCCTTTTCCTTCCCTTTTCTTCTCTTCGCTTCCCCTTTCCCAATTATTGATTGCCTTTGCTTTGCCCCCGATCGAGAGAAGAAGAAAAGAAAGAGAGGCTGTCGTCTCCGGCCGGAAGCGACTGCAGAGCCAGAGGATATATATATATAGATAAATCACATCCGGAAATGGTGGAATTAGGGTTAGATAGCCCCCAAGGCAAGAGCGCAACTGAGGATTTCGAGGAGACTGAACTACGCTTGGGTTTGCCTGGCGGCCATGGAGAGAAGTTTGGCAACGGAATTAATTGTTCCGGGAAAAGAGTGTACCGGGAAGCGGTGGATTTGAAACTCGACCTCCCTGCCAAGGAGGAAATGGATTTCCAGAAGAATACATTGCCTTGTTCGAGCCGTCCGACAAATCCTCCTGCAAAGTAAGTTCCAAACTGTATAGATTCCTTCAATTGACGACTACAATCTCTGTATTGTAGTTCTAGCTAGCGCGTGTATTGACGACTGACGAGTTTCATCAATTGCGCGTACGTAGGGCGCAGGTGGTCGGTTGGCCTCCGGTTCGGTCGTTCCGGAAAAATACCAATACCAATACAGCCATGCCGCCGGTCAAGAAGAGTACCGAGGAAGACAGCGGCGCGGCTCTTGTGAAGGTGAGCATGGACGGCGCACCGTATCTCCGGAAGGTTGATTTGAAGATGTATACTACATATCAAGAGCTGTCAGATGCCCTGGGCAAAATGTTCAGTTCCTTCACTATGGGTAAATATATCATTTTCTGTATAGCTGATAAATTATATATGAAGGTTCAGGATCTTATACAGATTTGATAAATCACGTCTATTAGTTATGTCTACGAAAGAGAGATACCTAACTTGACATTAGATTAATTATGACACTGAACTGAACTGAAGGTGAAGGCATGATGGACTTCATGAATGAGAGCAAGGTAATGGACCTTCTGAATAGTTCTGATTATGTTCCAACTTATGAAGACAAGGATGGGGATTGGATGCTGGTTGGTGATGTCCCTTGGGAGATGTTTGTTAGATCATGCAAACGCCTGCGCATTATGAAAGGAACAGAGGTTAAAGGGCTTGCTTGGTGAGTATATCTCCTAGCTAGATCTCTCTTTCTGTAGCTTTTTGAATGTTTTAAAATCTTGTTGGAGTTCTTAATGCATACATGACTAATGGTGGCGACCTCACTCTGCAAATGCTTTCCATGGCAAGTATACGACTAGCCAATCAACAAAATAATTAGAAGGTTGGACTAGTTAAGACACATATCAACGAGCTAGCTTACATCTTAGCCCTGCCTTGGATTTGCATCGATATTTGTCTTGATCAATTGTGAACTAGTTATGCCATGCTTGCTTCCATTTTGGATCTTGTAGTAGGTACCATCATAGTTATTAACCACTGAGCGAGCTAGCTAGCTAGCTAGCTAGCAATACAATATTGGTTTATTAACTTGATAGTCCATTCCTCTGATGTGTTTACTTGACAGTTCAGTGTACATTCAGTGTCTAGTTTGGTTTAAAATTCCCAGTGTTGTTCTCTGGGGCTCCCCTTAGACTTAGAGTTAGCCTGCCTGACTCCCAGATTAATTGATTCGAAAGGTTAACACACAGACATGGGAGTGGTGTTATGTTGTGTCGTGGGAGCCTTCAAAAATCATCGAGATTTCAATCAATGTGCTGAACTGAAGGAGTTCTTGATTTTTGTTCTTGTATTTTTCAGGACCAAGAGCCCTGGAGAAATCAACAGCAGGCCGAGCTAAATGAGAAACCAAAAATTCAAGCTCACTCATGTGGAGTAAAATGATTTTCTCGACAAATACTGATGAAAATGGTATTTGTTGTAATTTGCATCACATGCTTCCTTGTATTCTAGTATGTGACTACTTATATTTACTAAGTTATTGTAATAATCTTTGGCAGATAAGATAAATATGTATATGAAATTAGAATATTAAAATGACCAATTTTTACTTACTTGCCAGTAAATTTCATGCTAGGGGATTTCAATGTTCCTATTTTATAAATTTACAACAAGACTTAATGAATTGTTTTAATAAAAGATATCCAGGTGAGGTGATCGTAAGAATAATTTTGATCAAATGAAAATTGGTATTTTTGACCCTCACCAATATCTAAACTTCAATTTCTAGGAAATTTTAAAAACGTTTGTAAGGTGGAAATATCAACAATTGATTATGTGTTAGAAGCTGGCCAAGTAAAATCAATCCAATACTAGGGAGGTAAAGATGGATATTTGGGATGCTGTACGTGCATGGAGAAATTTTAATACCTGACAAAATAAGGTAATTATAAATAAAATCGGATACCGGCAATTTCGCCTAATTGTTTATTTTTAATGCCAACTACCCAAATTGTTATTTCATAATGGGCTTCTAATTGCAAGAGCCTAATAATAATAATAAAGGCCCAATATTGTAAGCCTACTAAGCCCATTACATATCCACCTCCCTGCATTATCATTTGAAAGTCATAAACCCTAGATTTCGCTGCCATTCTCGGTTACCGTTCGTTACTCCGTCCAGAAAAGCTATCAACGCCGGCGAGATTACTTCGTAAGTCTTTTGGTTGATTCGATCCGTTCAATAATCATTCTCGTTGATAAAATATGATATATTCTCTGTGAATGGAACAACTTCCGACGGTGAAGATTTTCGTTTTTTTTTTTTTGGAGGGGGGTGGGGGCGGTTAAATAGAATGTACTGCATCATGCTATGATTAAGCTTCCTGCGTTGCAATCAAAATCTATTGATTGTTTAGCATACCTCCGCATTTTCAGTACCTGGTTTTTGGAACTTACTTTAATTAAATCCAGTATCATTCGTTTTATGTTTGTGTAATTGGTTTTTATTTCTTTATCTATTGTCATTCACTTCTGGCTTATTTATTTGGTCGTTGTTTAGTGGGATTTAGTATTGATTATTTGACCTGGTTGGTACGGCAGGCAAACTGAAGATGAGTTTGATATCTCAAAATGCTGCGGTCAAGAAGAAAAAAAGGGCTGCAAAGAAAGATGACTTGATGCTTGTCGGAGAGGAAAATGAGAGTGGTTTGGGTATTATCGAGGATCCAAAGAAGAAAAGACTGCAGAAGGAAACTGGTAATTCAATGAAAATCGACCAGCAGAATGAAATAAAGAAGCTTGAGAATCTTCTATTTGGCTCGCTGCATTCTTCCATTGAGTTTGGGAGGGACAGTGAAAAAGAAGGTAGGGATGAGTTGGATGGCAACTCTGCTTTGTTCTTCACCGACAGGACTGCAGATAATGTTATGCCTGTGTATGAGGAGGACATGGAGCTGGGAGAAGAAGGTAAGGTGGGGCAGGAAGGGGTGGGAAGGAAACCTGTGTGGGTAGACGAAGAAGAAGAGAAAACTACTGTAAATATTGCTAAAGTAAGTAAGTTGCGGAAGCTGAGGAAGGAGGAGGATGAGAGTGTAATTTCTGGAGCTGCGTATGTATCTCGTTTGAGAGCTCAGCATATGAAGATGAATCGTGGTACTGACTGGGCCCATCCTAGTGTTCACCGTAGGGACTACAATTCTGAAGATGATGAATCTGACTATGGAGGTGAGGTTATAGCAGACCCTGAAGATGCTGGCAGTCTTCTAAGGAAAAATGAGGACCTTGTGGTAAAACGGAATGCAAAATTACCATCAGGAATTCTTGAGTACTCAAGGCTGGTGGATGTTAATTTGAAGGCACCATCTGATAGTATTGTGAATTCTGTCCAATTCCACAAAAATGCGCAGCTGCTCCTTGTTGGTGGGTTGGATAAGACATTGAGGTTCTTTCAAGTTGATGGGAAAAAGAATGATCTAATCCAAAATGTCTTTCTTGAGGATTGCCCTATCCGGAAGGCTGCTTTCTTACCTGATGGTTCTCATGCAATTATTTCAGGGAGAAGGAAGTTTGCTTATAGCTTTGACTTGGTAAATGCAAGGGTGGATAAGATCGCCCCCCTTGCAGGACGGGATGAGAAGAGCATAGAATCTTTTGAAGTTAGCCCAGATTCGAGTATCATCTCATTTCTTGGAAATGAAGGGTATATTCTGTTAGTTTCGACCAAGACAAAGGAACTCATTGGGACACTAAAAATGAATGGAACTGTCCGGGCAGTAGCATTCGCCAACGACGGGCAACAACTGCTCAGCTCTGGTGGGGATGGGCGGATTTATCACTGGGACCTCCGGACAAGGACTTGTTTCCACATAGGGACTGATGAAGGCTGCATAAACAGCACAGCTCTCTCTGTTTCTCCTACTGGGAATTTACTTGCAGCTGGTTCGGATAGTGGAGTAGTAAACATTTACAACCGGGAAGATTTCTTGGGCGGGAAGCGAAAGCCACTCAAGGCTATCGAGAATTTGACAACAAAGGTAGATTTCATGAAGTTCAATGCAGATGCACAGATTCTGGCCATAGCTTCTCGGATGAAGAAGAATGCAATGAAACTGATCCATGTCCCGTCACAGACAGTTTTCTCAAATTGGCCTCCTATGAATCAAGCGCTGCACTATCCGAGCTGTGTGGATTTCAGCCCCCGTGGGGGGTTTATGGCGCTGGGCAATGCTGCTGGGAAAGTGATGTTGTATAAGCTGCATCACTACCATCAGGCATAGTGAATATATACACATTTATATGTATGTGTTAGGCCACACTTAAATTTGATACCAGAATGAGGTTTAATTTTACTGATAGATCAGTTTTCTGTCTGGGTTTTTTGGTATCTCCTGTTTTGGTTCATATATAGACAGGACTTGTATGTCATCCGTTGATTGATTATTTAAGAGAAATCCCCACCATATTGAGACTAGTACTAGTACTACACTCATTATATTGATACTGAGGCATTTATTTAAATAATTAACAGCATTATGTTGGAAATGGAAAGTCTTTACCATATTCTTAATAGGTAAGGGTAAAACGGCTTGGGTCTAATTCGTATATAAATAGCGAGAGATCCATTTGTGTGTGTGTGTATTTACAAAAATACTCCATTCTGAACGAGGATCTAATCTATGCTCCAACGACCGAGACTAATCCCCCATCAGCAGCTTCATCTTCTCCAAGGAACATATCCTCGCTCACTCTAAACGCCGCGTGCAGGCCAATGACTGCTGCACTAATCAATACCGACACCAAAACGTTTAACCAAACTCCCGTGACAGCCAGAATTGCAATGGTCACGAGGCCGAGTCCAATCATCACTACGCGATCATCCACGCTGAAGTTAAGCACCACGATAGGCTCGGTGCGGGAGAAGTACAGGAGCAACCAGAGTACGGAGATTAGTATAAAGACTATCATCGAAATCGGGTGATACACTAGGCTGAGGAAGAGGACGAGGAGTGCGATCATTGCGTAGTTGACGCGGAAGTGTTTCAGGTTGCAATTGAGGCGAGATTGGAACTCAGTGTAGCTGTAGGGTACGGAATAAGACGCACCGCTGCCGAAGAGCTCACGCCAGGGACGGCGCGTGGCGAATTGTCTTGGTTTGCCGCGAATGAAGGCTTCTGTTCGGACGGTTGACGGCAGACTGTAAACGGCCGTCATATTTCTTCCAGTCAAAATTGAAGGGGAAAAAAGAATCAAGATGTAAGAGGCGATATTTTTTGGATGCCAGAGATGACGGGTTTTATAACTTCCGTTACGGGGGATTTCAAGCGTCGTGTACGTGTGCGGTCGCTGGTCGGTGCTTGATTCGCTTTTGGAACTTCAGAGGTAAGCAAAGTTTAGCAAAATAATTAAAAGAAGTAATGAAGTTCATGCTTGGTGAATTATATTGCGAAATTGTGAAGTGAATGGATTAAGTATTCGAATTACAGTTACTATTTTGATGGCCACAAAACTCGAATTAACACATAATGAGAAGATTTCGATACGGCTCAAACTTCGTAGGAATATGAAGATTGTCAAGCGATGTCGTGTGTCTTGTCTACACTCTTATTTTCAGTTCATGATATTTCTTATATATTTGAGGGGGATTACTTTTATGGTATTGGAACCATGCTGATTTTATTGTTCATACGAAGCTGCATAGGGGTAAAACTTTCATTGCAAATGGAATTCCAGAGGCAATGGGCCCACTATTCCAAGCTTGGTGAGAGTCTATCTTAGTCCAATAGCTATATTCTGTGATACAAGTTTGTAAGGTTTTGGCAATAAAGAGTATATAGTCAATATGTTTTCAGTAGCATTGCTGCATAACTTCTTCCATGAAACAAGATCCATGGAGGTTTCAAGATTAGGGCACCGAGGATAATCTACTATCTCCTGTCAGAGTGAACTACAGTCTAACATATGTGGTTAGGTTTATGTTGAAAGAGAGTTACATTTGCAATTTAATTTTGTCGGTCATTGAATATGTAAACCACCTATTGCGGAGAGGCACCTGGTTAAATTATACTTTCTTTTCTTACAATTCCATTATTCTTCGAGTGTCATTGTCCACTTTTATAACGCCCTTGACTTTGCACTTTTAGAACACCAACTACATATCTGAATTCCTTACGCTCAATAAACAATACCCGTTGATTATTTGCTGTTTAGAAGCATCTCAATTTAAGGCAGAACTGATACAGGATCCTAAAAAGATGGAGAGTTCAATAAGATGTCTTGTGATGGCTCACTGTCACTGGTGGAGCTGAAGGAATTGCTTCCTGTTAGAAACATCACCTACCTATTGAATATGTGCGTTGAATTTGAAGTATTCATTTTCATAGCTTGAGCTTTAGAGGAGATGATAATAAATTTTCTTTTAAAAAATCTCCACATGAATATCTTGTTAAGTGTCTTTTATGTCTCCTTATTCCTCACTATGACATACTCTTATAGCAGTATATCACAGAAATGATGTTCCTTTATAACTCTGAAAGGATATTCTTAGGTTTTTACTAACAATTGTGTCGTGTTGTTGCTCTTCCATAGTTACTTGTTGTGGTTGACATCCCCTGCTGTCAATTTTATATAACTTCACTGCTGTCTTGCAGTTTCTCCCTTGAAGTATGAAGGTAATATGTCCAAATTTGTCTCTGTTAGTTTCCTGGAACTGTAACCAATTTGTTCCATAATCTGCTGTCCTGCCAAGGCCAGTCCAAGTTGAATGTTCTGCATGCTCATGCTTTGGTGCATTATTATTGTTTCAGCTATAGTTTCCCTCAACATACAGTCGCTTTTTTTTTTTTTTTTTTTCTTGGAATAGTTGCGTTTTCTGCTTCTGAAAGTCGTATCTTTAGTTGTTTTTTAAAATTTTTTGAAATTTATTTTTATTTTTGTAGAAAAAAATATCTCACTTGCAGAAACACACTCTCACCTAATTATATCCTTGCACACTTTTACCTTAAAAAGCTAGCCGCATGCCCGAATTCAGCATAGTCAAATCCCTATCTGTTCAGATATATGATATGAACTGAATAGATTGTTTAATTACTGTAAGCAAAAATTGTTAAATTATACTGGGTTTTGCAAGATCATTACAAGTTTCAAAAAGGGCCTACGATATCGATGCAATGTCTTTATGCCTTTATCAGATCCCAAGGCACAGATTTGCCTCTTTATGCTTTTTATTTATCCTGCAAAAAGGTGATGTGCTGCCTCAAAAGAGAGTGAAATTCCTCCTTTCCCAGCTCTCAATAAGTAAAGCACAAAGTGATCCATTGCCCCTTTTTGTGATTGATAATTGTAGGATTAAACTCATGACCATATGGAATCACTCATCGTTTTGTCATTGTTAGGGTTGTGGGGGAGTCCCAGGACCCCCAACACCCTGTTCCACACCATGAATGGTGCCAATTCATTAAGAGTTGAATTTCAAGGAACCCCTAAATTCATCTATAGCTTAGATAAAGGTAGAAATCGCATGCAACATCGTGTATATGCATATGTGTGTGTCCTTTGTGTGGCTAATGGAAGTCCAATTACGTGCCCTTCCAAATACGAAGTTGCTGTTTTTTAAAAATAACTTTGAAAAAACCGGCAACTTTGTGGTTCTGATAGATTGTATAGATATAATCACCCAAATATCCTGCCTTGCCTATATGTCATTTCACCATCATGTTGTACATTGTACGAATATAATTACGGTAAGAAGTTGTACAAGTGGTCTATAAGAATTCTTTCTAATAAAAATTCCAAACCCGTGTTAATTTACGTTTAGTGTTATTATCTCTCTCCACTCTGGTGAGATTTTGAGTGGGAGAGTCAACTAAAACTCTGTAGTGCCAATATTTGCAGATGGAGCAGATCTGATGTGGCTCCAAAGTGGGTGGGGGAGCTATTCATTGGATGATGGTGATGCTGGTCGGAGTCGGATTATGAGATGATAAGGATAGATCAAGAAGTTGGTATGTCCCCCTTTATCACTTTGTATTTTACTTCACTAGATGTTATCTCGGGTTTTATTTTATTTTGGATTCACCAATCACCAGTTTAATCCATCAACACTTAAGGCTTAGTCAAGTAACTGCTACTGCCAGTACTGACTATTTAGTGAGGGAACGGAAAGGCTATTTAGGGAGCTGTACACTGTACACAATACGTACTGAATGAAATTTGTCTTGGCATTAGTATTTAGTGGCTAATGCCCTACTGCTACTGCCAACTCCCACTGCGCATTTATAAGTAACTCATTTGACTGCACAACCCTACAAGACAAATTTTCATTTATTCCAAGGACATGAGACCGATATTCTTTTGTATGTTTCCAGTGCACAAATGCAATCACTTCAAATGTTTTAATAATATGTGCAGAGCAGCGCAGGTCACAGAAGACATAAGAACAAATTATTCAATTATTGATTATATAAATACAGGAATTGTAGCCAAGATGCTCCTGCTGGCTAAAGGACAAGATACAAGTCTTGAAAGTCTTGCCTTGGAAGAAGCAAAAGCGTCGCGGCAATAGAAAATCGATTAAAAATTATTCTTTCACTCTAGATGGTCCTGTGAGCTGAAATCCCGGACTAGTATCGGGTACACAGCCCACTCCATGAACTGTTATTCCGGTGCGGGGCTCCTGGCGTTTCCAAGAATCATACAATTTTATTATTGCTGACAGGTTCAGGAGCGGACCCCACTTTGAAATCTGCGACAGAGACGGCAGTTTCACTTCTGGTGCGCAGGTTTATTATAATGCCTGCTGTGCTGCTGTACTCCCCACTCCCCATTAGTTCTCCCTCCCCCTCTCTTATCAACTTATTCTTCATGATTCTAATTATTAATTGCAGGAATAGTGTTCTGGAGTGGCTCTATAAAAGCTTCAACGAGTGCGATTCTGTTAAAAATTTTCCTGGCCTGTCTCAAGTCTCCAGCCGGACGTAAGGAAAACCCACAAGTCTTCTCCTTCATACTTCCCAATCCATTATCATTCTTTATGTCGCGTTCACCTAAGAAAGTTGAAGTTTTTTCACCCTAAAACCTTCACTCTTGTGAAGCTTGTATTCTGTAGTCCGGTTTTGATGCAGCACTTTTGTTTTTCCTGTTCCTGGCATCTTCTTGGTTGCTCTGAGGCAATGAGTTCTTATAGCTTGAATGATGTCCTGTGCGTGCTTAAAGAAGTCCCATTTGGAGTTTGCCAGAAATAGGAGTTTTTGTTGGGTGGGTTTCCAGGTTTTCTCGCTCTTTATTTTTAGTTGTATATTTTGTCTCCTGGGATAGTTGGAAATTTGTTGGACTCAGTAGGTTTCATTTATTTCTATTTTAAAAACTTTTCTCCTCCCGTGCCTGTGTACTTGAATATGGTCTGTTAGGCCTTTCTCTGGTTAGCTGTTATATGTTTATGTGTTGGTGTTGAGATAAATGGAGGAGATTGCAAAGGCAAATAGTGCAGCTGTTCAAAGCTGCCATAGAGTTATTAGCATCTTATCTCAACCACAAAACCAGCATCAGTGTAGGAATCTATCAGCGCAAACAGGAGAAGCTGTGCATAGCTTCAAGAGAGTTGTTTCTCTTCTTAGTCCTGGCTGTGGGCATGCCAGAGTTAAAACACACAAGAAATTTCACACCCCTTTGCCCCAACATATGTTCTTGGAAAATCCTATCGTTGATCAGGAGCAGCAGCCAGAACGGCCCCTCCAACTCCTTCCAATTAACCCTGTTGAGAGCGAGAGCAAGAGCAAGAGCAATCCACCTCAAGAACTCGCATCTGTTGCTCTCACATTGGGGAACTCTTCTTTAGAAGGTAAAAATCCTCACATGCCTCAAAGAACCCTGCTGCCCAATTACCATTTTCTCCAGAGACAACATCAGCAGAGGCTTCAGCTTCAGATTCAGATTCAGCAGCAGGCTGAAGCTATGTACCGTCGGAGTAACAGCAGCATTAGCCTGAATTTTGACAGCTCCACCTGCACTCCAACCATGTCGTCCACTAGGTCTTTTCTCTCCTCTTTGAGCATGGATGGGAGTGTTGCTAAATTGGATGGAGGAAGCAGTAACCCCTTCCGGTTAATGGGTGCCGCTCGCTCTGCTGATCAGGGCTCTTATCATCACAAGAGGAGATGCACTGGAACAGGAGAGGGTGGGAGTGCCAAGTGTGGAGGCACTAATGGTGGTAAATGTCATTGCGCTAAGAAGAGGTGCGATTGCTTTGTTTCCACTAATCTTGTTATATTATATACTGTACTATTTACTTTTGATTCATATGCCGTTTTAACTTACTTGAATTGGTTCGCAACAGGAAGCACAGGATCAAACGGGTTGTCAAAGTTCCAGCTATTAGTAACAAGGTGGCTGATATCCCGCCAGATGAATACTGCTGGAGGAAGTATGGTCAGAAACCTATCAAAGGTTCTCCTCATCCCAGGTATGACTTGAATTTCCTCTTGCGAATATGACAATTAGTGCCAAATTAGTGTTAGAAAAGCATTGCAACGTAGGTTCCGTAAACTTTGTTTGCAATACTTGCTCCATTCTTCATATTTGAACCAGATATAGTGATCCAAATTTAGCTATAAATTTTCTCCTTTGATAAAGCAGAAGTAATGTCAGTATGGTGGATTGGTGTTGTTGTCTGTCCCTCGGTCAATTTTGTGATAGATTGTTTTGCAATTCTAGGGGATACTACAAATGCAGCAGCATGAGAGGCTGCCCCGCAAGGAAACATGTGGAGAGGTGCTTAGAAGACCCTGCAATGCTTATTGTCACATATGAGGGCGAGCATAATCACCCAAGGCTGCCTTCACAAGCACCAGCCAACACATGAATATTTTAGCGTCGGGATCATGTCAACTACAGGTACTCAGCACCCTAAATTCCTCTGAAATATGTTGAATTGCTGCTGGTGTATATATGTTGATTGTTTAACCTGAGGAGGGGATGGTATTCAAGTCAAATCTTCAATATTTTTGAAACTCTCCATTTCTAGGCAATGGTAGAAAAGAAACTAGCTAGTCTAAGTTGTGTGGTTTCCTAGATTGTAATTTGTAAGGGAAATAGCTCCATCATCAGTTCTCTCTGAAAGAAAAATTAGAAGCCTCAGTTACTACCCTATTCTGTTGTGTTCACTTCGTCTATGCATTACTGACTAAGAAGAAGGTTTCAATTTTCACACTTTACTCATTCCTTGAAAGGTATGTTTTCCATTAAAGAAAAATAAATGGTGCAGTACACAAACATTAGCTGGAATGGTTGTTGATGAACCTTTTTTTGTTTCTTTCTTTTCTTTTCATTCTAGAACAGCAAAACCCATTACCTTTTCTGGTTTGGACAATATGTCCATTGTGAATGAATTATCATGGAATCTATTCACTCCCTTCTTTTGTTCTGATTCTAATTTGATGTGGATGCGATTCCTTCTGCCAAAAACATGACCATTTTTGTCCAAAATAAATAAGAAAAAAAGGGTTGGCTCTCGATATCTAGAAATCTGCATAAACAAGTGTCATTGTAAAGAATGAGTACAACAGCTAATGATTATTATATATTGTACAAAGGCAATGAGTGATTGAGCGAGTGAGAGAGATGGAGATCTTCATCGTCGTCATCATCATCCATTATAATGTTATATTGGTGCTAAAAAACTGACACTTACCAGTGTTGGTGATGCTTTGTTATTTATATCAGTGGATGACACGTATGATGCAATACTTTGGCGGCTATGTTTGCGTCTTAATTACTGCTTACTCTGACAAAATCAAATTTCATTACCACCTGCATGCCTTAGTTGATTATACCAATAGGGTGTGTATGGATTTGTAATTACTAGCTTTTCAAAGGAGATTGTTGCGTATATATTTTTTGAATATTTAGTATGATATGATAATTTTATTGATTGTTTTGGGGTTATATGTCAATTATTGCTGTATACAAAGCTGCATGATTCACTAATAACACATTCTATTCTCAGCCAGTTTGTTATTTTTTATTTTTATTTTTAACAAGGTTTTAATAGACGCTTAATATCAATGATACTTGATATTTAACAATACTAAGTAGATCGCTGTTAAAGATATGCTAATTTTGTTTACTATTAATGGTTGGTTAATTAATTAGATTAATGATTACTGTTTTATTTATTTATCGTTATCGTTTTCATTTCAACCTTCAATATTACAGCACATCCAATGTGGCAATTCATAAATGGATAGTTTCAGCACCCAATTATATTATTATTCTATGAGAGGATTCTGGTGCGTTTGGTAACATCCCACAATCTGATATCTGTCTCTTTCATTGCACTGCACTCATTATCTTCCAATACTTGGTGCTTAACTTAGTTATTTTCAACGCTGTACCCGAAACTTTGAAATTTTAAACCACCTAGTCAAATAAATAATAGCCTAAAATAGAGTAGTAAAACTTTGTAGTAGTTTGATCCAGTCTTTTAAGAGTATTGCCTAAATAAGCATATAGATGGTCGGCTCCGTTTATATATATGTTTTGAGGAATATTTGAAATTTGGAAATGCTTAGATTGTGAATTTGATGATGATAAGGTAATTTTGATAAAGTCCAAATATTAATTATTATCTTTTATTTAATATTTATTTATAACAAAAATTATTATTTTTAATAGAATATTTATTTTCATCCAAAATAAGCTAAAATTATCGGACATGGGAGTAACAAGTAGTTTTTCAGCTCAAATGAAATGGGGGCCGCAGGGCCTTGATGTTTGGACTCCTGCTCTATAGTCTATGAGTTGGCCGCTTTTAAGTTATGGGCTCGGAGCCCATTCAATTTTTTAAGCCCAGATGCTACATTCTACAGCTCTGTTAAATTTTTCTTTGTTAGGTTGATACTAATTCATACACCTATCTTTGATTGTAATTGTTTCAAATAGCTCTGTAAATTTATTAGCACAAGCGGTGGAGGAAAAGACCATCGATATTAAGTGAGACCCTTACCCTTGATGTTCACACTTCAATTTCCTTCCTTCCTTCATGTTCACACTTCAATTTGTCCTGTCATTCTTCGTTCCCTTGACTTGACCACGCTACACTACAAAACACACACACTCATGGTAATCCCCTGGTATATTGACTTTGCGCATATACATACATACATACATACTCCTCCTCTCCAATCCACCACCATAAGGTAAATTAGTTCATACTAGCACGTTTCTATCTGTGACAAAACTTGATTCCAGTTTGATTTTAAACTGTAGCTCAAACCAGAGTAGCATATACCTGAAATGCATACAACGGAAATTACCAAAGAAGACATATGATGTGTTATTATTACTATCAAAATGTTCATTATAGATCAAGGCACTCAGTGTTGCTACAATATGCAAAGCACTTCGAAAATGGGGAAGAACGGGAAATCGCTTTTTAATCACCATATGTACATAACAATTAATATCGGCACCCAAGGCCAGGATGAATGTGAAAGTTGGCATCGAAATTACCTTTCAGCGCCTAGATATTACAGTATCTAATATCGGAGATGGCTTCGGAATCGCCACAATCAAAAGAGGGGCGGCGGAAGATTCAGATCCAACATAAAAGGCTTCTTCTCAGTGCGATTTTTCTTCTCCTGCTCATTCATCACTACCGCACCGACTTCCTCCAAATTATACCCCTTGTACGCCGAACGCAAAGCCTTGCTGTCGCCATCAGGTCGGAGGAACTCCGGCGGTGTCCAATACGAGACTCTCACGTCCATCAGACGCTCTGAAGACGAATCGTCACCGTAAGCGAAGTTCGTCTTCGCCTTTGCACCTCGAAGACTCCTAGCCGCCTCGTCGTAAGCCAGCGCCGCCTCCTCTGCTGTGTCGAACGTTCCGAGCCACTTCCTCGTCTTCTTCCATGGATCGCGAATCTCGGCTGCGTACCTACCCCAAGGTCGCTTCCTCACGCCACGAAATTGCGTTCCTTTCTTCAGAGGCTGCGAGCGGTGAGCTCCACCGCCACCGACGTCGTCGTTTTGAAGCTTCTCAACAACCATGTCGTTTTCACCGAGCGCGTGGCAGAGCGGTACGCATTTCCGTGTGGAGACTGGAGATGAACGAGTTCGGCGGCATTTATAGATGCTTCATCAAACGCCGACAGGTTTATGAATTTGTGATTATTTCTTCTTTACAATTATTATTATTATATTTACGGCAATAAATAATAAATAAATGCACGACGTGTGAGAGAATTTATTAATTAATTGCAAATCTGCCACTGCCACTTCTTTTCATCGTGAAAACTTTTTAGTTTGACAATATAGGCAGGCTGCTTTCGAAAACGACAACACATTAAACAAATCTAACAAAATAAAATATGCCATTTATTTATAATTAACCATTTTTTAGTTAGTAGAAAAACAGACAATGTGGACTAGAGACGACCATAATTTATTCCTATATATCTCGCATTTACATAGTGTACAGATCTTGGAATCAATGATCATAACTAAAACTATAATAATTTAAAATTACCGTAGAGAGAATAGAATAGAATAGAAAAAGCGCAGTTTAGATAAATTAATGAACGGCGGCGGGCATACACTCTAGCTTAAACCCATACGGGCGGCGAATATATCACGCGACTGTCATGCGCCGCCCCAATGAAGGAATATTTTATTTATTATTGCGAAATTGACTTCTTAAATTAATATACTACTAATTTTTTACTTTTTATTGCAAAACATATTTATTTCAACAATATAAATTATATAGTGAAGCTTTTTTTTCTTTTTCTTTTTCTTTTTCTTTTTAATTATCATTAATGAAAATAAAATTAACCACGGCATTTTTATCCGTGAACATGACCTACTAATAAATAATAATTCTTCCAAAATCGGGACTCTGTATTATGATACCGATACGTTCAAAGTACGCCTTATTAGCTTTCCATGGCCATACGGAACGGTTACAGCCTCGCAAGTCTGGTGAAATTCTGTTAGATTAACCGCCATTCGATCCATCTTCCGTAATTTCCAAGATTCCTTTGCGTGTTCATTTTGATCGGCGATCGTGATTCAGTCGTATCATTGATCTGATTGACCTCTTTTCTCAACCCTCTCTTGTTTCCTCGTCTGCTGCATTGACAAATGCTGGTAACCTTATTCTCCGCGTGTTTTTCGATTTTTATTTAATTGTTTTAATTGATGTGTGTTTTTACTGATCAAAGATTTTGTCGATTTTATTGGTAGATGTTTGTGTGTGTTTGATTTTGTGAAATTTGGATTCGTTTGTTATAGATATGGTGTCTGTAATCGTCGATGCGGGCTGAAGGTTTCGAATATGAATTTTCATTTGCCAACATGAAATGGTTTCTTTACAAATCTATTTCATGGTTTGGTTTTGTAGGCCGTAATCCTATTTTATCTGTTTCTCCCTTCTGCGTGCATTGTTTATGTTTCTAATTCCACAGTTCAGATTGACTCTTAATATGTGAGTAGTAAACTAGTAATATAGAGATTGCTTGAATGCAGACGTTTCAGGTGACCCTGGAGATTACACGGTTATGGCTGCCGAAGTTTCTTTTGTGACTAATAGAAAACACCAAGGATTTATGAATCTTCTGTCATCCGCTGCCTGTGAATGGCTCTTAATAATTTTGCTGTTTCTGGAAGCTGCATTCTCCTATTTTCTACCAAAGTTCGCTCATTACTGCGAATTGGAAACGCCTTGCCCTTTATGCTCAAGACTTGATAATTTTTTCGGGAAAAAGAAGCCAGGATTGTGTTGGACCCTACTTTGTAGCAATCACAGAGAAGAGATATCTTCATTAATGTCTTGTGCCACCCACGGTAACCTGGCTAATATTGAAGGAATGTGTGAAGAGTGTCTTGCGTCCACTACAATTCGGGAGAGTTCAAATTCTGGAGCTTCTAGAGTGCTGGTTGGCAAATTGTGGGTGGATGTTGAGAGATCTGATCCTCAGAACTTGATGATGAATAACCACATTGAACTTGGTTCTTCTGGGCTTAGGACCTGTTCCTGCTGTAACAAACCATGGAAAGTTAAATCCAGTACAGAAAATTTGGTTGAGCTTGAACAAGCAAATTTAGAGGCTTCCAAGGCCAATCTCAAGCCTCTTCTGCCTCGTATTCCAGGCCGCAGTCGCGCCAGTCGTAGAGAAAATTTAAAGAGGCTGAGGGATAAATTTACAGGACCGAATGCCCATCAGACAAATGGGAAGAATGCTGCTGACAAATTGTCTCATGTGGGTTATACCAAGATCAAGTTCAATTCAGGTTCTGATTCAGAGGTCCCAGTGTCAGAGGATGATGAGGAGGACGATGATGGAACTGTTTCTGGTGGTAGCAGATCTGAATTCGAAATTAAAATTGGGAGAGGAGGCATCCCTAGACCCCCAATTAAAAACGTGACCTCAAGCAAGCAGAGACGTCAAAGATTGAAAGGCAGACCTGTTTGCCATGATTCAAATGAGCACAAGAATGTTAAGTCTTCTTCATCTGATGAAATGCAAAGCAATGGCTTGAGAGAGATTGAGCCACAACCTAATCATAAACCAAGTCCTAGTTTGGCAACAAGTGTAATGAATCAGAAGAATATAAATGCTTCCTCATCTGATGAAGTGCGACACAATGGTTTGAGGGAGGTTGAGTCACAATCTTATCATAAACCAAGTCCTAGTTTGGCAACAAATCTAATGAATCAGAAGAATGCAAACCCTTCTACAAATGATGAAGTGCAAGGCAATGGCTCTAGAGAGTTCGAGTCACAATCTTCTCATAAACCAAGTCCTAGTTTGGCAACAAATCAAGTTTCAGTTGATGGCGACTCCCATACTCCTAATGGTGGATTTCTGCGTGGTTCAGAAGAGGCTTCCAAGTTTTCATTCCCTCGCAATGCAGCCCTTTCTGCACTAACTGAGCTTTATTCTTTATGTGAGGTCCCTTATTCATCCGTCACCATGACAAGCACCAAGTGTAAGATCATTTCCTCCAATATGTACTATTTCCATGTGTGCTATTGGCTTGAATATTACCTGTCTCTGCATGAAATCTTCAGTCCAAGAGATTTGCCATTGTTCCATGAGTTACTTGTTTGTGACTGCTTCTAACATGTAAGATGTGTTTGCAGCAATAAATGTTGGAGGAAGCGCTGAAAAGGTTGGTACGTCTGTGAGTATCCATGTAGAAGTTCCAGGAGGGCCTTCTTCGAATGGTGCTTGCCATGCATCACAGCCAAATAGTCAGCTTCAAACTGATTCATGTGAGCACGTAGTCCTGCCAATTAATGGTTCGAATTCCTCTCGAACTGCAGAAGAGAAGACCTCTCTCTTCGAAGATTCTTCTTCTGAAGTTGGGACCTCATTTTCGAAAGATGCCAGTTCAAAGCCTCTCACCGAACCGAGTAAATCTAGAAAAGATGATCATTCTAGCTCTCCTGCACTGATTCAAGCATCTACTTCTGATGTAGTTGGTTTATCTCTAAAAGAAACCACTTTCAAACCTCACAACAAGCAAGATGAATCTATAGTAGATGAAGAAACTCATGAAGAACAAAATGAAGATAGAAAAGCCGAAGAGATACATGACAAACAAAGTGACTCTAGAAAAGGCAAAGAAACTCATGACAAACACAATGTATCTGGAGAAGGCGTAGAGCCTAGTTCTCAGCCACCATCACATATTTCTGCAGTTGTAGAAGGTGAAATGTTTCCTACAACGAATAGTTCAGAACCTGGTGGCAAAAGTGACAAATCTAGAGTAGTTGATGATTCTAGTTCTCAGGCACCGCCATCTGAAGCAGATGACCCATCTCCAAATGAGAATGGTTCAAAACCAGATTATGTACATAATATGTCCAGAAAAGGGGGTGATTCTGATTCAGAGGCGCCATCACAAGCATCTGTGTCTGAGGTGGGTGGCACACTTTCAAAAGATACATGCCCAAGAACTTTTTTGGAAGGCACGGAATCCATGAGAAGTGGAGTGAAAGTTGTTTTCCTGAAAGACTCTTCTGTTCTCGGACCTCCTGACAAACACAATGAATCCAGAAAAGATGAAGATTCTAGTAACCCGATAGCTCCAGATTCCCCATCAGTGAAAAGAAATGAGCAGCACCACCCCTATGAAGTTGTCTGTGAAATTGAGGGTGAAAGTACTCTTGATTGGTTAAAGAGACAGATCGAACACGATAAAAAAGTCATATATTCTTTACATAAGGAATTAGAGGCAGAAAGAAATGCTGCAGCTACTGCAGCCAATGAAGCAATGGTTATGATTACAAAATTGCAGGAGGAGAAGGCAACACTTCACACAGAGGCCCTGCAATTCATAAGAATGATGGAAGAGCAAGCTGAGTATGATATGGAGGCACTGCATAGATCAAATGTGCTCCTTGAAGAAAGAGAAAAGGAGCTGCAGGAATTGGAAGATGAATTAGAATTTTACAGAAGTAATTTTGATGATTTAGACAATGACAAAAAAGAAACCTCAGTTTTAGAAAACCATGTCGCAGACAACTCGGAAGACTGTCCTGAGACAAGTGACTCAAAGTTGGCTAAAATTTCAGAAATGCCCACAAATACTTCTCCTTCAACATACGAGGATGGAAAGCTCTACATTATGGAGTTTTTGAATAAGCTAGAAGAAGATCTCCGTCAAGCTTATTGCAAGGAGAAACCAGACCACATACAAAGTGGGCTAAATTCTGATAGGATGAAAACTGAAGGAGTTAATCCCAGTGACTCTTCACCAGATTTGGAGACATTATCGCATCCTCAAACCGAAGGTAGTACTTCATCTGCACAAGAGAAAAGTTTAAAATCTAATGGAAGCTCTGGTAGTGGCACTGCATCAAATGATCTCAATGATGATAAAAGTTGTAGAGCCTTGGATGCATCTGAGAAGGAAAATGTTGTACCTGATGAGAGGTTGGAAGCACTTGAGACCGACCGAGATTTTCTGAGACGTGCCTCTGACTTGCTGTGGAATGGGAAAGATGGACTGCACTTAATTCAGGAAGTTGCAAATCAGCTAAAAGAGTTACGAAAAATTGAATTCTACAAGCGATGACTACCAATCAAATGATGCTGCATTTCTTCAATAGGGTAAGCATTTGACTGATGTGCATATACTCTTATAGCTCCTTTGTTGTAGATAAATATAACTGTGATTGGATGAGATAGCGTGAACTTCTAAGTTGATAGTAGGTGATGATTGATTCTAGATTACCGTCTATCGTTAGCTAGCAATAGTCGACAATGATGGCATAATTCTTTTTCTTGATTATGCATGAAAAAGCACAATCCAGTGTTTGGAGCAGGTCTGCAGATTGCAAATCCATGCTAATTGGTATATTAGTTGAGTAAGAATATTCAATGTGCGTTGAAACTAATTTGAACTCCCTTTGGATGTTTTTAGATGATTTAATGCCCCAACTGCGTTAGAATCTTTTATAATTGTCTGCTGCTAAATTTTTTCCCAAATGTGTTCCAGATCTGTGGCATGAGAAAGATCATAAGTGATACTTGAGAGAGAAGATAACCCCGGGTGAAGAATTGAAAGAGGAGGGGGTTGACTATAGGAAGAATGCTGATGGTATCATATGTGGAAGCACTTGTTGGTTGAGGTATACTCTCCAAAGATGCTTCTTCAACTTTTGGTTTTAATTCATAGATCAGTTTCTACTTCCCACAAGATTTAGTAATAGATGAGTGGCTGTTTCAGGCTTTAGAGATGCCACCAGCTGATAATATTCTTTCTTTCTTTGTTTCAACACGAGTCAGTGTGGCTGTGGACATTGGCTGGTGCATGCGGGTCTTGTCATAGTTAGAAACTTGTGATACCATCCCACACAACACATATATAGTAGCATGGGAATGAGTGGAGACGACGACTACTACTACTACTACTACTTGTTTACGTTTTATAAATCAATCTAAAAGTGTGATCTCTGTCTTTGTGCGTGTAGAGTGAATGAGTGAGTGAGTCTCCTTCCCATCCCATTTATGTTTGCTTTTTCTGGAATTTGGGTTTGCAAAGAACTCTTAAGCTGAAACTCTGATGCAATGCGGGGATAAGAAGAAGAAAGGATTGGGCCGACAGTGTGAAGTTTGATGGATTAGGCGGCGGACAGCATCGTGGGATTGGGCCTTCTATCTTGATAAGCCTATTCCGTTTGGGCTGATATGCTGATGGACTAACAGATGTAGATGGGCTTATTGAATTGGGCTGATTGAATTAGATATGGGCCTCCTTGGTACTGACCTAACAGCGCGATGGGTCTACTGAATTGGGCCGATAGCCTCTGGGCTTAATGTATCGGATCAATAAGTATGCGGCCTGCTGCAACATGGACCTGTTGAAGTTGGGCCAAATTGAGCCTACACATATCGGCCTGTAGGTACTGCATGATGGGCCTTTCCTACTGGATTGGGCCGAAAAACTCTGGGCTTAATGGATCGTCTCAATAGCTACGCTGCCTGCTGCAACATGGACCTATTGAAGTTGGGCCAAATTGAGCCTGCAAAAATGGGCCTGTAGGTACTGCATGATAGGCCTTGCCCACTGAACTGGGCAGTTGGCCTCTGGCCCTAATGGATCGGGTCAATAACTGCTCCGCCTGCTGTAACATGGACCTGTTGAAGTTGGGCCCAATTAAGCCTACAGATTTGGGTCTGTAGGCACTGCATGATGGGCCTTGCCTACTGAATTGGGCCAGTGGCCTATGTGCTTAATGGATCGGGTCAATAACTGCTCGGCCTGCTGCAACATGGACCTCTTGAAGTTGGGCCCAATTGAGCCTACATATATGGGCCTGTTGGTACTGCATGATGGGCCTTGTGAATTGGGCTGAGAGCTTCGAAATTGGACCGACGTCTTACTTGATTGGGGCTGGGACGCAGGACAATGGGCTTGTGGATTCGGCCTACGTCATCTGGGCTTTTGGTGCAGCGTGTCGCCATTTTGATTAGGCTTAATATCTAGTGGGCCTCCCAGAATTGGGCCGAAGGAAAGGTGGGACTCAAGGCTGTGGACCTTCTGAGGATGGGCCAACTGGACCGATTGACGATTTAATCGGTGCTTCTTCCTGGCTGTGTATTCGACCCAGTCTAACACAGCAGCACTTCAGCCCGGCCCATTAGCAGATTCCCCAATACCCAGGAGGATCGGGTCTATTTAGCAACAATGGTCCCTATAAATGAACAATAAATACTTTGCATCAACATGTACAACATACTTACATCTAATACCAATCTCTATCATATATCCATATCTGCCACCCTATGAATACGATATACTATGAAATATTATATACCGGTGGTAGAACAGCAGCAAACCTAGAGCCTAATGGTGCTCATCACAGCTGTTCTAAAATCTATGGGCTGATGAAACGGAGGTTTTGCCATCACTGATCGCCACGATCTCTTCCTAGGATCATATATCTGTATTAAAAGAGTTGCCGACCTCTTATTATGCGATCTTGATCGTCGCCCTTCTGCTGGCTCGCTTGAATTCACAAGGATAAACAAGTGCAGCTCCCCATCTATCCCAACAAACCCCACTGACCCATCGTCCGAAGCCTTTCTGGGCATGCTCGTCTCCTTTTCCCATCGATTACAACTCCTGTCATACCTGCAACATTTTTCCTCCCTTTTCACTTCTTATAAAAATGGCATGAAACGGCATAATATGGAAAGGTGATCTAGTAAAAGAAATATATAAGCACAAAGAATGTCTGGAAATCTAGAGCTAGACTGTCAGATAAACCTTATCTATCAATATAGTAAACATAATCAAGTTTTCAGTCTTCAAAGAGAATGTGAAATATTTAAAAGCTCTGGTCTTCATAGATTATATCACATTATTAAGTATGCCATACATTCGCTGATAACATTTCAAGTAAAAGATGCAGCATAGCAGTTTCACAGAGACAACGACAATCAAGACAAAAGTTGTAGTGTTATGCACCAGACAAAGAAAAGCAAAAACAAAGGATTCATATGTTAGCAAGAGCAGAGTGAAAACCATATTACTTGTGTACATATTTTAGCGTTACTATGTCACATCAAGAACATAATCGTCCTCGTAAAATTTCCACTAAATTAACCCTCTCATCTTGTACCATATCACACCTCACCCACCTCATCCTACACAGAATTCTTCTGTACCTCCATTTTACACATGTGACACACATGCAATGCATATATAATCGGTGCCCAAAACAAAATGATTTTTTCTGTATTGTGGCAGGAGATTAATAAAATCTTGTATTATGTTTACATGTTAATCACAGTTCATCAAATTCAATCAACCCTGCAGTAAATATATACAATGATATCATAATATTATATATCAAATCAAACATATATATATATATATATGCATATACAAATATATCAAGCAAAATTATATTGATTATTACTATTCAAATCAATAAAAGGACACCACTTCGCACACTCCGAAGACACTGATAGTTTATCACGCTATCATCAAATAAATCATGCTATACATGCTTCAATCAACAACAAATTTATCATAATTATCTAAAAGCTTTTATTCCGTTGTTATCAAGACGTTCTTCTCAAAATTTAAATCAACAACACTAATGTTACATACTTAATCTCATATCAAGAAAGCAAGAATTTGCAGCAGAGTTCCTCAATTACATACAAAATCATAGCCAAAGGACCTCGCGAGAAGTACCTGAATATTTCACTCCTGTCAAGCATGAAAATTCCTGGAGATGCATCCCAATAGACATCCTCAACCACAACAATTTTCCCAAGCTTACGTCTGCCGCCATCCTCCCACATGTCTCCAAGCTCCCTCCACTTCCCCCCATTCTTTAATTCCATGGCCACCGCATCCTTATAATATTCATCCACCGGGAACACACCTGACACTGTCCTTGACTCCCCGTACCCACCCATCACCCAAAACTCTGTCCCCATGAAGAATCCAACGCAACCCGCTCGAAACCTTGGCAAGCCATCCAACGCCACCCACTCATCCTTGACTATATCATACATCTCCACCGAGCTCATCCTACTCCCCGCTGCCCCAAACATGGCGTGCCGGGACCCGCCCCCGGCCACCACAATCTTACCCCACTCCGGAGCCGCCGCGCAGGCGAAGCTGCCGCGTGCGGTGATCATCGGAGACAAGGAATCCCACGTGAACGTGGAGAAATCAAAACGGTAGGCGGACGAAGACGGCGAAGGGCGGTCTAGGGGGAACGAACGGGTGTCAAAGAGGGAACCGCCGAGGACGTAGAGATGCGGGCCGACGGAGACGGAGATGAAATTCGAGAGGCCGTAGACGTGGGGATTGCAGGGCATGGGAGGCAGGGGGCACCACGATTGGTTCCTAGGATCGAAGAGGTACGGTGAGGAAATCGACGGATCCTGCCGGAAAATACAGAGCAATTGAGGCGGAACGACATAGGTTTGACGGAGGGAAATTAGGGCTCTTGAAGAGAAGAAACGCCTCCACGATTTGCAAATGGATTTGAGGCGAGATTGGTGGGAATAGGGTACGAAAGCTAGAATCAATGCTCCCAGATCGTTGGGTAGGCCCGGGATAAGGGTTAGGGTTAGGGTTTGCATTCCGAATTCGTCCGTCGACGACGACGACGAAGGCGGCGCCATTCTTCTTCAATCAATCAGCCAAACCAACAACCTAAAAATTTTCAGGACGCGAAACAAGCGATAATCTTATACATCATATCATATGTACAGGTGGTGGTGTTGCAGGAGAAGATTTTTAATTTTAGGGGTTGTCAAAGTCCATGGGATGGGATGGGATGAGATGATCGGAGTGATGGAAATAAATGAAATAGAAATCAATGGCGGTTCCTTGATCAGCAAGAATTAGTGTTTGACTGACCAAGAGAGAAAGAGAGAGAGATCCGATCTGCTGCTGCTGCTGCGGTTGTAAGCCCGGCCGGACACATGTCTGTCACTCACTCAGTCTAACGGATTTAATCCTCGTTACACTCCAAAAAAAGATTTAATTTTAATATTAATATATAATTATTTTGACAAAATGATCATTTTGAATAAACGAATGATGTAATTAGCAGATGATTAAAAATATATTAGTAAAAATAATTATTTTATAATATAAATAATTATAAATTAAAATTAAGATAATTAATTATTTTAATTAAAATTTTAAAAAATAAAATTAAAATAATATAATGAACATATTTTTGAAAATAAAGAAGAGTAATAAAATATTAAATGTGCGTATAAGTAAATAAATATATGTTGCTTGGTTTATGTGCATGTTAATGTTGGATTAGGACAGAGGATGAATCCAAGATGGTCGTATTTAAAATAGAAAACTACAATGATCACAATGACTCAGATCGATCATCAGAGAAGACAGACATGTCGCGTATTCGCTTATAGATAAAATGAGGCCTGATTTTTATCAAAAAACTGCAGACCATTAAACTTTGCAAGTTGGCGGCTCCAATGGCTTCAAAAATTCTAGCCATGAGTGCTGAACCAACCAACCGTCTATACCTCTATATAAATAACACACACTAGCAAGACATGGGAAACAGCGTCAATCTAATCTAATGTAATTAAGAATGGATTTCAGTGGTCTGAGGAAATAGGCAAACCTTTGAGCACGTCCCTCAGTGCATAATAATGGCTTTCACATTTATGGTCCGAAATTAATCTGCTCGAAAGCAGTATTTGCTGAAAATGTTGGCCCGGATGTCTCTTCAGCAGTGAGAAGTACTCCATTTGCTTGTGCTGCCTTTCAGGGTCCTTGTTCCTCTTCACATAATACAGACTGCCCGGCACAAACAAATCCAAATCCATATCCTCGCCCACTTTGCTGCCAGCCCGTTTACTTTCTACTTGCTCCAGCCTCTTGCTCTTGCTACAAGTACTTGAATTTCGACCTGCGCTTCTATCTGTGGAAATGTTGTTTGTCCTGGATATCTCTGTAAAGTTATACAGATATTTATTACTTTTGTGGGCAAAAAGATAAATAAAAATGTATGATCGCAATATGAATTGCAGAAATTTCTAGAAGTAGCTCGATGCAAATATATGGATGGCTCTACAAGTAGAGTAGTTACATCTTTAAATTCCAGGTGGGATTGAGAAAGATAAATGCCAATATAGCAGCTTTGGGAGCTATTCAATTATATGTTAACTCAATAACATAGGAATGCAATAATAGGGTAGTGTTTAGTAATTTAAATCACATAAAACCAGCGCTCAGATGCAGATAGTTGACAGAAATGTTTGTAAGGCAGATACAGCCGTTGTATGACCTGTGTCTCATGCAGCATCTCTTAAATTTGATGATTTGGAAATTATGAGGCTAGTACATTTAAAAGTTAGGCCATGCTTGCTCATGACATAAATATTAATTACCACGACAAGGTAAACACACCTTAGCATATTTAAAAATTAGATGTTGGCATGTGGAAATTCTAGTTTAATGTAACTCAGGTCTAAAGAGAAAAGCATACTGGATTTTGCCTGTCCTCTGAACCTAGCATAGTCAGAGATTCTCCCAGCAACATCTTGTACAGAAGACACCACCTGCCTTGCATTATTTATGAGATCCACAACACCTTTCCAATCTTCTTGATTCAGAACACTTACCCTGCCAAAGGAAAAGGTAAAATAACTACCATAGCAAAGAGTCCAAGCCTTTGAGCCTAGCATCTGAGTCCCATGAACCCGCAAAGAAGAAAATGGAACAACATTACTACTGATATGATTAATATAAGAATTGATTGCAGTATTATCCATTAACCACTTGCAATTTGTCGACGACTCGACATACATCTTTTAAAAAGGATAAAGAAGAAAAATTCTACATAAAAAGGGTTGTCACTCTTGATAGGCAAGATAAAAGGAACAGTAAAGAGATTGGTGTTGTGTTTGGATTTGTTTTGAAAATAGGTTTTAGATGAGATAGTTATGAATGGAAATAAGTTTGGATGTAATGGGTCGGAGAAATATTCAACTATAGATTACATAGAGCAAAAATTGAGATAACAGAAACAAGCACACCCCTCAATCCTTTATAAGTCATCCCTCAAATGTTTTTCACAAGGATATTATCCCCCATAGAAAATAATTGTATGTAGCATATGGCTCGTACAAGGAAACTTTGCTATATTTCATCACATCTCATACGTATGGTTGAAGGATCCATTTAAATATCAGCACTTACCAATCAGTTTCAATAATTTCATTCCTCAATCTTGTCAAGGAACCGATGCTTAGTCTTGGGATTATATCATCCTGCATCAGAAAATGTTAAATGCATCCTGTAATAGATTCACTCTTTATCAAAAGTCAAAACACAACCAATTCATTGTAAACAGATAAACAGAATCTCTGCAAAGTCAGACCATTTTATAAAGTGAAGGATAGATAGAACAAGATCCACAACCTGCATCACCACTGTGGTCACAAAATCGGAGCAACTTTCAGCAAGTGCCTTGGAGACACAAGGGGGTGTGCCATATCCAACTGCTGTAATTGTTTCTGGATCAAAGCCAATCTCCTTAAATGACTTTTTACGAAGCATGATTGCAAGCAAAGAAGCAGTTGCACCTCCAAGGGAATGACCAACAAGCCTCAATCTAAAACCCTGTTGATTCATTAACTTTCTTAGAATAAATATATAAAACCCTGACGAGAACACAACTGAAAGACAGAAAGATCTTATACACCACCTTGTGTTTCTGTATGCACATTCTGACAGTCTCCATCTCATGATTTAAGAACCAACGAGCAGCCTCAGCAGTGCCAAAGTGGGTTGAGTAGCCTTCGAATGTGATTTCTTCACAACCAGAAGATATTATGTCAGTAATGAGGTCGTATATGGTGTGAGTCCCACGGACACAAAGAATGACTAGCTTTTGCCTCATGTCAACTCCTATGTAATAGCCAGGTCTCAACAAGCTAGAATTCTTTACAAACTTCACCACATTTTTCTCTTGGAGCATGCTACTCCTTGCCAAACCACGAGAGCTGTCTTTGTAAGCACCTTTGGCTAGTTCAATGTGGTATATCAAATCCTGAACCTAAATCACCACAAAATACTTTTTGATAATTCAGAACAGAAACTAACACATGCAGCATGTAAGAATAATAGCTCCAAATGATAGCACATTTTCATTGTAAACAGAAAAAAGGCATGGTTAACATAATTACAATGAACTCAGAAGAGATGAGTTCACCCTTCACTTCCTCTAAATCGCTTCTGGATGCTTGCCGAAGATACATGAGATACAAACCGATAGTAAGATCACTCAGACTCCATTCCTGAATTCCAAGTTTACTCCTCTGTATACTGGAAAATATTTCTGCAATAGATCTATCGGTGGGTGGCGGTTTGCTTTCAATTGTTTTCCCTGTTTTACAGGAGTTACTTAGAGACTTTCTTTTTAGTATTTTCACTGAACATAAAATAAAAATAGGCTCTACATGTATTGAGAGTTATCAAATCCAGGGACGACTGATGGTGTTGGTAAATAATGCATCAAGTTGAAACATTTTCACATTTAGAAATTGTCTTTAAAAAAAAAAAAAAAAAAAAAATTTACGTAATTATGCAATAAAACCTCAAATCCAAATGGAGAACAGTTCGCGCTACCATCAACATGCTAAGATTGAATCATTTCCAAAAAGAATAAAAAGATAGAATAACAAACACAAACATGTTGGAAGCGCCCACTTGTACAACTGCAAAGCCGGCTCAAGAGCTCTACCAAGCCAAGCAATCTCCGGCTTCCATTTATTACTAGAATTATTCCCCAATTCATCATCCGATGAGCTACTACTACTCATCTCCGAATCAAAACCAGCAAGCCTATTATCTGAACCATTTTCCCCCTCCAATCGATCGCCCTCCGCCTTCGACCATTGGAAACGGTTCAGAATATGGCACGAATACTTCTTCAACAAATCCTCTGTCTTCAACAACACATTGCTCCTGCTGAAATCTGCAGCAAAATGAAAGGCATATCGAATCATCACAGCCATTAATCTATTATAGTATGAACGAAAACAACATTTACCAATATTTGCGAAGAATTGCTTCACGTGTATTCTAGACATTGTAGATGGAAGAAACGCAGGGAGGAACCAAGCAATGGCGGTGATGGTAATTAAGCGAAGGAAGACTCAAGAGTCGGTTTGGGGGCATGTTAACAGCGAAACAGAGGCCAAGCTGGCCGGGGCCGGGGAAGGGGGAATAAGCAGAGGATATGCTTGAGCTTCAATCCTCTGGTGGCATATTTGTCTTTTCACTTCACTCAGCGGTCCTTGGCCCAATAATTAAATTGGGCTTGTATCTAATTTTGTAGAACAAGCCCAGTTACCTATCCAACGGCCTATGTCCCAATTGCGGCAATTCTACATTAAAAAAATAACGTATGAGAGAGTTAATACAATTTACAAGCAAATATTTTCATTTGAAATATCAATAATTAGAGACGACAAGATCAATAATTGAATGTACTGTATTATACAACAAAGGCATCCATATTACAAATATGAAAAGCTCTAAATAAAAAACTAGATGAGTATTATTATTTAAAACCACTATTATTTATAATATAACGTAAATTAGCAGTGCGTGCGTATGTATAGTCATAGTGGCCCAGAAATATTTCTAAAAGATCATGATCGAGCAATAATGTGAGAATACGGACAAAAATATATTGCACTAATTAATATCCAATTGTTGCTAACGAAATTAAATTAATACACACGGTGTGCTATTTAATAGCGATGACGATGGTGTTTGCCATCACTGCATTCTAGCTCGATAAGTTTCCTGATCCAATAATCATGGTAGTCCTCATGTCGGACTGGGCAACGGGAACCTCCTCCGTGCCGGAAACCTACATACTCCCGCCTGGTCAGAGGCCCGGAAAACTCGTCTTCCCCGTCCTCAGCAACGTTCCTCTCATCGATCTCGAAAATGTTGCTGGCGAAGATCAGATCATTCCCCATATTCTCGAAGCAAGCCAAGAATTCGGCTGCTTTTATGTATATAAATATTTAATTTTACGTTCAAAATATCATATTTATATATTAATATAAATATTTAATATTTTTTTTTTTGTAAGGTTACGAACCACGGCGTGCCCCTGCAACTAATGGGGGACGCCATGGCTGCGGTGAAGGAGTTCTTAGCAACTCCGGCGGAGAACAAAGCGAAGTTCTACTCCAACAGCCTGGACAGTAAATGCCGGATCTATTCAAGCAGCATAAACTACGACTCCGAGGAGGTGCACTACTGGCGAGACAATTTCACGCACCATTGCCACCCCCTCGACGAGCAGATCCACCTCTGGCCCGACAACCCGTCTACATACAGGGCAGTCATCGGAGAATACTCCACGCAAGTACGCAAGCTCCTCTTCAAGATCCTCGAGCTTTTCCGCCGGGGCATGGGTCTGAAACGGGCGGGCTATTTTGAAGGGCCGTTGAGTGGAATACAGCTGATGTCGGTAAACCATCATATCCCCTGCCCCGACCCGACCCTGACTCTGGGGATGCCCCAACATTCGGATCCGAATCTTATCACGGTGCTGCATCAAGGTCACGTGCCGGGGCTCCAAGTGTTCCGCGGCGGCGAGTGGGTTGACATTGAGCCTTTGCCCCACGCGTTTCTCGTCATCCCGGGGCTTCAACTTAAGGTGCAATTGATGTAAATCTTCCATGGATATTTTGCGAACCTAGTTAATTAGGTAGAATTGAATTGAATTGATTTGATTTGATTTGATTTGTAGGTGATTAGCAATGGGAAGCTAAACACCCCGAAACATCGAGTGATAACGAACGCGAAAGGGGGGCGAACCACCATCGGAACATTCTTGAATCCGTCGCAAGAGGCGGTGATCGAGGCTGCTGCGGCTGCCGACGAGGACAGTAAGGCCTACACAAGTTTCACTTACAAAGAGTTTTTCAAAACCTTCATCGGCTCTGGTTGTGATGCTCGTCTTGCACTCCAATGTTTCAGCAGCAACACTAGTAGTAGTACTAAAATGTAACTCTCATCTCGAATATGTTTATATTTGGGTGTGTGTATGTGAAAGAGGTCAAAAGATTGTTGGTGATTTTGCTGCGTGAACACCCGCACACTCTGGGTGTGTTTTAAGTGTTAGAGAGAATATTACTCCCTCCGTCTCACGTACATTGTCTGCTACAATCTAAACACGCTATTTTTTTAAGAATATAATTAGTAGATAATTAAAAATATATTAGTGAAAATAATTATCCTATAATATAAATAATTATAAATTAAGATTAAGATAACTAATTAGTTTAATTAAAATTTTTTAAAAAATAAAATTAAAAAGTTTAAAATGAGATTAAAATGTATAATTATTTTTCAAAAAAAAAGAAAATGACATGGTATGTGGGACGGACAAAAACGGCAACGTGCACATGATATGTGGGACGGAGGAAGTAGTATTACTTAGTGTTAGTGTTGTTGCTGGAATACTCATTCGAAAGACTGAGATATTGAGTTCCTCGGTCTATTTAGGGTGTGTTTGTTTGGGAGTTTGGATTTTGGATTGAGATTTGAATATTAAAGAATTTGAATTTGAATAGTTGTATGATGTGATATAAATATAGATTGATGTGATATTTTGAATGTAAAATTGATTTTTAGTATAATATAAAAAAATAAAAAATAGGTGTTTGATTTGATGTTTTTGAGGAGAAAAAATTTTGTAAATAGTAAAAATTCACCAAAATTTTTCAAACAAACGCACCCTTAAAATAATATCCAAGCCAAGTTGAACTTCATGGGTACGTAATTAATTATAGGTGTGGAAAGGAATAACAACAATGAAATAACCTAGTAAGAATAATGAAAATGATGCTGAAATAACAATAGCAATAAAAATGTTAAAAGAATTGAGTTAATCAAGGCTTAAAGTTGATAACATCAGAAACCTTCTTTGTTGGTGTTGAAACGTGACTTAGATTTAGCGGTCTATCCGACCCTAAACCAAAGCGAAAGGGCTGTTTCAATTGACAGGGTTCCTTTTGGGCTTTTCCTAATTAATAACAAATAGGCTTAGGGTTTAGGGTGTTTTGGGGTGATTATAGATAGACAACTATGGTTCTTAGTCGGATGACATATTGTAAATCTCTGAATCAGTATAATAAAATCTCTCCGGTTCCTGCCCGTAGACGTAGGTTGACACACCGTCACCAAACCACGTAAAACCTCTGTGTTCTTTATTTACTTTCTTTCTCGTTTTCTCATAACAAATGGTATTAGAGCCATATCTCATTGATTGAAGATGTCCTCGTATAAGTTTGATCTGGAGAAGTTTAATGGGTCGAATGACTTCACGCTCTGGAAGGTCAAGATGAGGGCACTTCTGGTTCAACAAGGATGTGCGGCTGCGTTAGAGGGAGAAGACAAGTTTCCTAAAGACACGAAGGAGGAGGTAAATAAGGAGATTTTGGCAAGGGCTCATTCTGCGATCTTGCTGTCAGTTACTGATGAGGTGTTACGGGAGATTGTAGATCAGACAACGGCTTTTGGGTTATGGAATAAACTGTGTGAGAAGTACCAAAACAACTCTCTCATGTACATGCTATATCAGAAGCAACGCCTTTACACCCTCCGGATGTCCGAAAGTACTCAGGTAAAGGATCATCTTGATATCTTTAACCGTATCATTCTTGATCTTCAAGAAGTTGAGGTTAAAGTAGATGATGAAGATCAAGCCCTAATTTTATTGTGTTCACTACCTGGTTCATATGAGAATTTTGTAGATACTATGCTATATGGTAGAACTACAATTTCTGTTAATAATGTGAAAGATGCCCTTATGTCCAAAGAATTGAAAAAAAAGGTTTCTCTGGAAGAAGGTTCTGGTTCAGGTCTGTTTGCAGGTAGGGGAAGACCACATGAGAGGGGTAACGGGAATGGGAGGTCGGGTTCAAAATCAAAATCCTCTAGCAAAGTTAAGTGTTATATTTGCAAGGAGAAATGGCACATTAAAAGGGATTGTCCACAAAAGAAGGGAAATACAAAAGTTGATTCTAGTAACAGTGGCAGCAGTGCTGCTGTGGTACAAGACAGTTCTGATGATGGAGACTTTGGTGAAGTTCTGACAGCGTATAGTGCTAGTACTGCTGATTCCTGGATTATGGATACCGGTGCTTCTCCCCATACGACGTTCTCTCGTGATCTACTCACTTCTTTTAAGGAGTGGAATGGAACGGTGAAGTTAGGTGATGATGGGATTCTAGCCATAAAAGGGAGCTGGGTAGTGCAGATAAAATTGCATGATGGTACTGTCAGGAAATTTGACTGTTGGTATGTTCCTGAACTCAGAAAGAATTTTATTTCTCTTGGTACCTTAGCCAAAAATGGTTTAAAATATCATGGTGAAGATGAGTGGGTGAAAGTCCTGAAAGGTGCTCTGGTAATGACGAAGGGAAAACTGCAGCATGGAATTTATTTTCTACAGGGCAGTTCAGTGATGGGAACGGCGGCGGTATCCCAGTCCTTGGATAAACATGATGACAGGACAAATTTGTGGCACCGGCGATTAGGTCACATGAATGAGCTAGGGTTGTCTGTGTTGAGCAAGCAGGGTTTATTTGGTGGGGATGTGATAGGTAAAATTCAATTATGTGAGGCTTGTGTCAAAGGGAAGCAACGCAGGGTGAGGTTTAGTACCAGTCATCACACTTCAAAAGAAATTCTGGAGTATGTTCATTCAGATCTATGGGGTCCCTCTCCGGTGAAATCGCAGGGCGGGTGTTCTTACTTTGTCACTTTCATAGATGATTATTCGAGAAAAGTCTGGTTGTACTTTCTGAAAACTAAAGATGAGGTGTTTGGGAAGTTCAAAGAGTGGAAGACCATGGTTGAAAAACGGACGGGTAAACAGGTCAAGACTCTAAGGACTGATAATAGGTTGGAGTTCTGCAACGCTCCATTTGACGATTTCTACAAGAAATAAGGTATAGTGAGGCACCGCACTGTACGACACACACTACAGCAAAATGGATTTGCAGAGCGAATGAATCAAACCCTCATGGCCCGTGCTAGGTGTATGCGCATATTTGCTGGCTTATCTAAGCAATTCTGGGTTGAAGCAGTTAACACTGCTAGTTATCTGGTTAATAGATCTCCATCAACTACAATTGACTTAAAGACTCCTCAAGAGGTATGGTCCGGTAAACCCTCTGATTACTCTAATCTAAGAATATTTGGATGCCCTGCATACGCTCATGTGAATGGTGGTAAGTTGGAGCCGAGGGCGGCAAAAAGCATATTTCTAGGGTATGCAACAGAAGTAAAATGTTATCGACTGTGGTATACAGAAGGTAAAAATCCTGGTAATTTCTTATTAGCAGAGATGTAACCTTTGATGAATCTGCTATGCTTGATCAGAGTAGAGGTTGTGAAAGTATTGCAGGTACAAAAGATTGTGGTGCTAACCAGAGGGTAGAGTTTGAGACTCCTGACAAAGTTGTGTTAGAGAAAGAACAACAGGATAATACTATTGATCAATCCGATCAACCAGATCAGTCAAAACCTCAAGGGAAACCGGTTGAGGGGGAAACTGATGACGCTGGTACTGGGGTTGAGTATTCCATAGCAGCAAGAAAAGGAAAGAGAAATATTCAGAAACCAGCTAGGTTTGCAGGATGTGTCAATACATGTGACACGAATTCTGTGGCTTATGCATTAGCGGTTGGTGATGATCTTGGCTCTGATGAGCCAAAGACATATAAAGAAGCTGTGACGAGTAAAGATGCAGAAACCTGGATTATGGCAATGAATGAAGAGATGCAGTCTCTTGAAAAGAACAAGACTTGGGATCTTGTTGCACTACCAAAAGGGGTGAAGCCAGTGGAATGCAAGTGGGTCTTTAAAAGAAATGAGGGAATTCCTGGTGTTGAACCTGCTAGGTTCAAGGCGAGACTGGTGGCAAAAGGGTTTTCACAAAAGGAATGAATCGATTACCATGAAGTCTTTTCTCCTGTGGTGAAACACAAAACCATTCGGGTTCTTTTGGAAATGGTGAGTGCTTTTGATCTGGAGCTGGAACAGCTTGATGTAAAAACAACATTCCTTCATGGTAATCTAGAAGAACAGATTTACATGTCTCAACCGGAGGGGTTCTACAGTTCTAAAGGAGACCAGGTATGCTTGTTAAATAAATCTTTGTATGGCTTGAAGCAGTCTCCGAGGCAATGGTACAAGAGATTTGACTCATTCATGGTGTCTAATGGTTATACTCGTAATCAGTTTGATAACTGTGTTTACTCGAAGAAAGTTTCTACTGATTCCTTTGTGTATCTGCTGTTGTATGTGGATGATATGTTAATTGCAGCTAAAAACATGGTTGTAATTAATAACTTGAAGGCTCTACTAAAGGGTGAGTTTGAGATGAAGGATTTGGGTGCGGCAACGAAAATACTTGGTATGGAGATCTGGCGTGATGGAGAAGCAAGACAGTTATGGGTTTATCAAGAAAAGTATATTGAGAAAGTTTTGCAGGCATTCTCTGTTGATCAGTCCAAACCGGTAAGTACCCCTTTGGCGGCACACTTTAAACTTGATCGAAGTACTATACCGGCTACAGATGAAGAGGTTAGTTACATGAAGACGATTCCATATTCAAGTGCAGTTGGAAGTCTTATGTATGCGATGGTATGTACGAGACCGAATCTCGCTTATGCGGTTAATGTGGTGAGTAGGTTTATGGCTAATCCGGGTAAAGTTCACTGGGGAGCTGTAAAGTGGATCTTGCGATATTTGAAATGAGCGTTTGATATTTGTCTGGTATATGATGATAAAGGCCATGGTGATGGTCTTGTTGGCTATGCAGACTCTGATTACGGGGGTGACTTGGTGAAACGAAGATCACTAACTTTTTTTATCTTCACTCTGTTTGGATGTGGAGTCAGTTGGAAGTCTACTTTACAACCTACGGTTGCATTGTCGACGACTAAGGCGGAATACATGTCAATGACTGAAGGTATTAAGGAGAGTATCTGGTTACATGGTCTAGTGCAGAGTTTGGGTCTGAAGGTGGAGAAACTAGTGTTATTCTATGATAGTCAAAGTGCTTTGAGTTTGGCTAAAAATCCAGTGTATCATGAGAGAACCAAACATATTGATGTAAGGTTGAATTTTATCCGTGATGTTCTGGAGGAAGACAAGTTTTCTATTCAGAAAATAGCTACAGAACACAATCCAGTTAATATGTTGACAAAGGCGCTACCGACGGAGAAGTTTGAGCACTGCTTGAACTTGGTGAATATTCGTAGGAGGTAAAGCCTTCTCGAGGCATCTGGCAGGAAGGAGACGACTGAGAGATACTGACGAACCTTTGGCGGTTGGAGAAACTCCAAGTCAAGGTGGAGATTGTTAAAACGTGACTTGGATTTAGCTGTCTACTCGACCCTAAACCAAAGCGAAAGGGCTGTTTCAATTGGCAGGGTTCCTTTTTGGCTTATCCTAATTAATAACAAATAGGCTTAGGGTTTAGGGTGTTTTGGAGTAATTATAAATAGACAGCTATGGTTCTTAGTCGGATGACATATTGTAAATCTTTGAATCAGTATAATAAAATCTCTCCGGTTCTTGCCCGTGAACGTAAGTTGACACACCGTCATCGAACTACGTAAAACCTCTGTGTTTTTTATTTGCTTTCTTTTTCATTTTCTCATAACAGTTGGGTTAATAAATCATGTTGGAACTATAGGCCTTCGAAGATTTGGACCATTCTAATTTGGATCTTTTGGGCTCTAAGTTATCAAGTTGAAGTCACAATTCTTACGGATCTGGATTTTTTTCTTTTCAGCAAAACTTGAATTACATAGAAGAAGATATACATTAATTTACTATATCCAAACAATTTTTATAATTAAGAATATACGAACATTTTTTCAACACAGAAACTCAAGCTTTAATCCATTTACAACCAAACAACGTTATTACACTAATAAAAATAAGAAACTAACCAATAAACGAAAGGCACAAACAATGCAATAATTCATAATTAATTAAACCCGTAAACAGTTCCACTAATGACAAAAATGAAAAAAGAAAAAAAGAGCCAAATGAATGAATGCATGCATATCATATTGATGAGCATGATGGATCGAATGAGTTATTTGGTCTTCTCCAGAAGATCCTCCAGCAATTTATTATCAAGGCACTCCAATTCGATCACTCGCCCATCCTCCTCCGCCGAGGAAGATGCACCTGCACCTGCACCTGCAGCTCCCGCGGCATCCCGGTAGTGGCCGTCGTTGGGGAAATTGAGGATGGCCTGATGCCCTCTCAATGCGTAAGCCGCCCTGTCGTACGCCCTCGCCGCCTCCTCCGCCGTCCCGAAGGTTCCCAGCCACACGCGAGCGCCGTTCCTGTTCGGGTCGCGTATCTCCGCCGCGAACTTCCCCCACGGCCGCCGCCGGATGCCTCGGTACTTTAATTCTCTCTGCCCTCCTTTGCCGCCGGAAGCTTCCATAAATTATTATTATTATGCGATGCTTTGCTGAAGTTCAATCCAAAAGCAGCATTGTACTAAATTAGGCCATATATATACACATTACGTAAACTGGCTGGTGTGACAGTTGAAAGATCCTGGGGGTGCAGCTCCCGAAATCTGTACACCGTTGATTCTTCCTGATGCTGCTCCGATATTGCCCCAGGAGCTCGGATCCCAGGAGCGCTAGACTCTTAGTCAAAGGCCAAGAACATGTGTAGAGAGGTCAAGGGTGACGGTTTGAAATTATTCAGAAAAAGAATGGATTATTACAATTATATAATATTATATATATATATTCTGCAAAAGCTAAAGGAAATAAATTTCAAAATTTTCAAGTTGGGACCTCAAAATTGGCTTCCGATCATACTGAAATATTTATTGTTATTTTAGTGTAATTATTAAGAGCAGTCAAACTAGAGTCATGGAATTGAGGTCAAGTCAATGAGCCGCCTACAGTAGTCGCGATACACAAAACGCGACTCTTGGAAAGGCGTCATTTAATAAAAAAATGACCGTACGTGCGTAATTACAATATTCGAATATACATATATATATTTCTTTTTATGAATAAATTGTTTTTTATTCCCTTAATTTATATTTTTATTATTTTAATCTCGTAAATAAAATATGTATAAAAATTTGGCGTAATTATTCCAAAGAATATTAAACATGTGAGAATAAATATGGAGTCAAAAGTTAAAGAAATAAATTAAAAATATTTTTTGCCTTTTGGTTTTTCAGTATTGGGCCTTAAATTAAATAACAAAAACATGGCCCAGATTCTCCTTAACGTTGAAGAGATTTAAAATAATACCCATAGATTTTAAAATAATACCCATCCTCCCACGGTTTCCTTCAAGAATTATGTATTTAGTACTATATTTTTATTTTTTTTCCCATATAAATTTTTTTAAAAATAATCAAAACGACTTCATTCTATTATCTAATTCGTTTTCTCTTTTTCTATTTCCAATATAAGTTAATACTATTCACTTCATACAATAAAATAAAATTAAATATTATCATAAAATATCATATCAAAATACTATTTAAACAAATTTTATAATCAAGCATTCATTTTCAAATCAAAATCAAAAATAATTTTCCAAATTTTTCTTATAATTTTCAATAACTAAAAAAAAAAAAAAAAAAAAAAAAGTCTCACTAATGTTTAGCTTCTATTAACAGTTTTAGGATTCTTGATATTATACACCAATAGTATTCTTTTTTTTTTCAAAAAATAATAATAAATTACATTAAATGTTTTTTTTTCTATTATAAATTATAAAATCATATGATCTAATTTGCACTATTATCGTTTTATTATTTTTATTTTCAAAATTTCTCTCTAAACTAATTTTTGGTTTAGTCTTGATTTAAAAATTTTGTTAGATCTATGCATTATAAATTACTCCCTCCGTCCCACATAATTTGTTCTTATTTTCTATTTTCGTCCATCCCACATAACTTGTCATTTTTATTTTTGAAAATATAATTATGCATTTTAATCGCATTTTAAATTTTAAATTTTATAATTTTCTTAATTTTAATTAAACTATTTATTTATCTTAATCTTAATCTATAATTATTTTTACTAATATACTTTTTAATTACTTACTAATTATACTTTACTTAAATTCTCGTATTTAAAGTAATACACTCATATTATATGGGACGGAGGGAGTAGCTAGTAAAAAAAAATTCTTATAAATATATTGAACAAATTTGAAAAAATAAAATAAATAAGAAGTTTTTGTTTTGACATCTTATTTGATCCAATCTTTGTTACTTTAAAGTCAACCGCCACACACAGACATCTCGTAATCATGCGGCCTTCACCATCAAAATTGACATGCTCTCACATGACACGTGTCTTAAGCCCACATGAGTGTACTGTTTATTTATACCTAGGACTCTACGAACATTTTGCTAGACATTTCTAGCAGCCGTTCCATCATCACATTTCATGTTAGAGCTATTTATAATGTGCAAACTGAACTCATGTTTAATTCACATGCTTCTTAATTATTCTATTAGCAATATGTATTCGAAAAAGACAAAAAAAAAAAAGAAAGAATATTAATACCTTTTACAATTCTAATAAATTAATTTTGAGAAATGAATTTGAATTTATGATCGGGTCATACTCAACTATTTTTAGAGCAATTATTCACTTAAATTTATATTGAATCAAAACCTCAATGTTGACTTATATCAGAAGTAATAGGATCAAAAATAAATTGTAATTAGAAAAAAGTAGTTTTATTCGACGGTTGAAATTACTTCTTCCTCCCAATGGAAGAGGTAATCAAAATGTTCTTTCGCACATATTTAAATATTTATTCATAAATATCTTTGAAAAAAATAAAAATATATGGATAGGGGGGGATCCACTTTAAACGAGGGCCCTTCATATTGGACGGGGTTATAATTAGTCACCAACAATGAACGAGTTTGGAAGTTTCTCGATTCATTTATTTTACTTTTAACAATCCTCCACTAACAATTTCAACCGCAACCAATATATCAATTTTTTTGCTCATTTAATTTTTTTCCGGTATTATTCCCAATATATATATATATATTATATTTTTTTATTATTTAATACAAATTATTATTTTTATATTATCAATATAATTTTTTATATATAAAATTAAACAAAAAGAAGTTGAAACTTCAAATTAAAATACTAAGCCAACTGACTTTATATACTATACTATTTAAATAATAGAATATTATATAGTAAATTAGTGTAGATAGTAGACCTACCTTACACATATTTTTCCCAATTTTTAAAATTTATAAGAAATCAATACTCTTTTCTTCGATTGACATTTATGTTTATTCAACCCAACATAAGTTTTAATACAAATAAATTAAAATATAAACAAGTAAAAAACATACAGAAAGTTTTTTTATTAAAAAGAGAAATAAAAATAATTTTTATATTGTAATTACTTAATATATTTTAATTCTTCTATCTGTTAGTTTAATAAAATATTAACTTGATCTAATTTATCGATTTTTTATAACATATTTTATTTTTTGCATGTATATATATATATATATATTTATATGAACATGATATTTAAAGTTAATGTTAAAATAATTTTTAAATATATTTTTATCATGCATAGCATTAGTATTCGGCTGTTTATATTTATAAATACAAATACAAATATATATATTTTCTTGCATGTGAATTATATATATGTCAATATTAGTGTTAATTATATTATTTGAATTAATTTGCACAATAATTTTTGTTAACCTTATTATTATAAAGTATATGAATTTAAAAATTAAAATCAAATTAAAAAGGAAATGATAATTAATACTACTAGTATTTAAAGGGCAACATAATTTATAAGGAGGGAGTGAGTCCGGGGACCTGAGAACCAAGGTCCAAGACCATCATCACCGTCGAAGAGGTGATTTTTACCGACTTCATCGACGGTGGTGGTGCATTTGATTTTGGAGAGGAATATGCCAAAAGGAGATTCCCCCAATTCTTACGTTACCATTTCTATATAAAAACAGCATGTAGCAATCCCCTTGGCCTTTAATCTGCCAGCGGAGAACTATCACAGACTTACTTGTAATTCCTTCCTAGGCGCGCGCAGGAAGACTGGTGTTTTTAGCGGAATAGGTCAGTGATCGTAGTGTTTTACATTCTTTTATTTGTTTGTATGTTTTATTTTATGCCTTCGTTTTCTAGGGATTTGGATTTTTCTTATTTGTCATGATCCGTTCGACTTTTGTTTTCTTCACTGTGAAAGCGATGTGTGTGTTTTTGTGAAGTACTTATCGATTCCGAATATTCTAGATGGTGATCTGTTTGTCTTTCTTAATCGTCCTTTAACTCCTTTCGTATAACCGAGTTAAGTTTTTAAACGCCTTTGTGCGGTAAGTATGGTGCGGTGCAGGCGCAGCTTCTTCTCTTCTGATTCGCTTTCTCACTCAACATACACCTACATACGTGTATGCGTGTGCGTGGTGATTGATTTTTGATAATGCACACTCCATTTCACGGTTAAAGCTTTGATTCCAAAACTTTGAGAAAAATTCTCGGTTGTTTTTGAAAATCTTATCGTCTGTTTAATCTGTCATGCTTGATTTCTATCAACATTAATGCAGTTAATTATAAATTTGGAAGGACTTGCAAAATTTTGATATTCTTACCTTTTACATATTTGCCTACATCGATATATGATATCATTCATATTCATTTTCCCTTTTGTAAAAAGTATAATTAACATCTCATCTTATGCATATAGGTACAGTGCTATCATATTTGCCATTTGGCTAGCAGTTATACAATTATACACGCGTGACATTTGTGGTGCAAAATGGTTTTTTATATAGGTTGTTTTAGCCATTTAATAACAATATTAATAATAATTTCGAAAGTCAAGTTAAATTGAAATAAAATATATATATATATATCTAAATTGAGTCCTAAACGTGTGTTATGTATGTGCAGCAGAATTATTCATTTAATTACTTATTTCAGAAGCAGAAACAGAGAGTAACAGAGAAGAGGGAAATGGCAGGCGAGAACCTGCAAGTACTGAACGCGCTGGATGCGGCGAAGACCCAATGGTATCACTTCACGGCGATCATCATCGCCGGAATGGGCTTCTTCACCGACGCCTACGATCTCTTCTGCATCTCCCTCGTCACCAAACTGCTCGGCCGCATCTACTATCACGTCGACGGTTCCCCCAAGCCCGGCACCCTCCCGCCCAACGTCTCCATGGCCGTCAATGGCGTCGCCCTCTGCGGCACCCTGGCGGGGCAACTCTTCTTTGGCTGGCTCGGCGACAAGCTGGGCCGTAAGAAGGTCTACGGCCTCACCCTCATGCTCATGTGCCTCTGCTCCATCGCCTCCGGCCTCTCCTTCGGCAGCACCCCCAGATCCGTCATGGCCTCTCTATGCTTCTTCCGGTTCTGGCTCGGATTCGGCATCGGCGGCGACTACCCTCTCTCCGCCACCATCATGTCCGAATACGCTAATAAAAAAACCCGCGGCGCCTTCATAGCCGCCGTCTTCGCAATGCAGGGCTTCGGAATTCTCGCCGGAGGCATGTTCGCGATGATCATCTCCGCGGCTTTCAACGCCGGTTTCAACAAACCGGCGTACAAACTCGACCCAGTCGGTTCGACCGCCCCTCAGTCGGACTACGTGTGGCGGATCATCCTCATGGCCGGGGCGCTGCCGGCGTTGCTGACTTTCTACTGGCGGCTGAAGATGCCGGAGACTGCCCGCTACACTGCCCTCGTGGCCAAGGACGCGAAGCAGGCCGCCGCCGACATGTCGAAGGTGCTGCAGACGGAGATCCAGGCGGAACCGGAGAAGGTCGTGGCGCAGAAGGGCGGAGGCGGAGGCGGAGGGTACGGTTTATTCTCGAAGGAGTTCGTGAGCCGGCACGGGTTGCACTTGCTGGGCACGACGAGCACGTGGTTCCTACTGGACATCGCCTTCTACAGCCAGAACCTCTTCCAGAAGGACATCTTCAGCGCGGTGGGGTGGATCCCGCCGGCGGCGACGATGAACGCGATACACGAGGTGTTCGTGATCGCACGTGCGCAGACTATGATCGCCCTGTGCAGCACGGTGCCGGGGTACTGGTTCACCGTCTTCCTGATCGACGTGATCGGGCGGTTCGCGATCCAGTTGATCGGGTTCTTCTTCATGACCGTTTTCATGTTTGCTCTGGCCATACCGTACAACCACTGGAGCCACCCGGACAACCGGATCGGGTTTGTCGTCATGTACTCGCTCACCTTCTTCTTCGCCAACTTCGGGCCCAACGCCACCACGTTCGTCGTGCCGGCGGAGATCTTTCCGGCGCGGCTCCGCTCGACCTGCCACGGGATATCGGCGGCGGCCGGGAAGCTGGGGGCGATTATTGGGGCGTTCGGGTTCTTGTACCTGGCGCAGAACCCGGACCCGAAGAAGGCCGATGCGGGTTACCCGGCAGGAATTGGTGTGAAGAAGTCGCTGATAGTGTTGGGCGTGGTGAATCTGTTGGGGCTGTTGTTCACGTTCTTGGTACCCGAAGCCAAGGGCAAATCGCTTGAGGACCTCTCGGGGGAAAATGAGGAGTCGCCTGGCCCAGCAGGGAACGGGACCGCAACTCCTTAATTAGAATAATATTGCTACTAATAATAGTAATAATTAATATTTATATATTGTGTATCTGCTTTTTCATTTCTTTAATTTTGAGCGAGTAATTTTTGTATCGATGGTTGAAAAAGCTATAAATTTTATAATAATAATAATTTTATTATTATTATTACTTTTTTTTTAATCGAAAAAATCAATGGCATATTAATATTAAATGAATAAGTAGATACAAATATGTAGGGCATATTTGGAAGATTAGTGGTTGAAATCCAACGTCCCAACATAGCTATTACAAATATTTGAGGATGAGATATTTCATCAGATTGAGTGACTGACGATAAAGTTTATTTTTGTAACTGTTGGAAATAAAGAAACAAGACTAATATTTACTTTAAAGCCAATGGGCCTTTTTATTTTTAATTAATACTACAAAATAACATCATAAAATTATCATTACGTCACTCTTTTAAGTGTACATGATTTTTAAATAATATTTTATGAAAAACCTACGAAAATATTTTGTCAAAGCTTTGGCTTTTATTCCCTCAAACTATGATATTACACTCATATGATTTTCAATATATAATGCATATTTATCTTTTTATAAAAAAAAAATTAATATTCAATATAAAATATTATTTTTTTCTTTTATCGACATGATTATTTATTTTTAAAATAAAAAAATACTTAAATTACAATACTAAACTATTATATTTGTGAATTTAGTACATTGTTTTGGTGTAGTTGTTGCTTTTATTATATTATTGTTATGGTTATTGTGAAGTCTCCATTCTTATGAATATATATGTGATAAGGAAGAATATAAAGACACTATTATTATGATTTAAAAAAAAAAACGTTATCTTACTAAATAAAACAATGAAATAACAACAAATTACTATTAAAAAAAGCATATGTTTTGCATATGACTATATGAGCACATTAGAGTGAATATCTTCAACTTTATACATATTTAAGGGAATGCACATTTATATTTTCTATAATATGAACAGTTTCTTATTCTTTGCAACTTTTAAGTATTTATTTTTATAAAATTTAATATATTTTTTTAAATAAAAGTTAATTAAATTACTATTCAAACTAGAAACACCCTATATGACATGAATTTATAAACATGTGCTATATCAATATATTGTCTAATGATTCTTAGATGTAAAATTTTAACAGTGATATTTTTTTAGGGTGTACATATATAGTATATTTTTAATTTATAAAGATAATTATTACATTAATTATTTATTTTATATTTAATTAAGAGTTGAAATTTTCTTATCAATATAATTACATATACACAGATGGTGAAAGTATTCAATTAATTTAAAATATTTTTCCGAACAAAAAGAAAGCATTGGTATTTTTAAATTTTAAATTTCTCCAATAAAATTGGAGTTATCTAGGAAAAATAAATAGTTTATTATCTTTTTCAAAACAAAGAAGTAATAAAATTTCTACTTCTGACTTTCAAAATTCATTGTAAATAAATATTTTGGAAATCGAGTTTTCATAAAATTATGTATTGAAATCCAGCATAATTAAGTTTTGGAAGGAATCGAAAATTGCAAGTGCTATGGATCCCCCAAATTCAACATCAAATCTGGATAATAAAACTTAACGTAACATCAGTTGTTGTCTTCACCGCCAGATTTTCTAATAAGTCGCAAATTTTGCTTACAAGACCTAAATGTGAAGAACCTTTCTAAGAAAATCGTATATTGTTAATCCTACAATTGAAACAAATTATTAGTACGTTCTGGTGATTGTTCCCTTTTTCGATCTGTGGCTAATTAAGATCATTAATTATATTACGAAACAAGTTAATGCGACCATCACTTACTCCAATAACATTTGTTTTACGTGCATGCATTATATATATATATATACATTTGTAAAACTAAACAGCAGCATTGCCAGATTTGAGCATCGATCATCGATTCGATCTGATCATGGGGAGGAGTCCATGCTGCGAGAAGGTAGGGCTGAGGCGAGGTCCCTGGACTTCCCAAGAAGACGAGATCCTTATCAACTACATTACTCATAACGGCCATGGCAACTGGCGGTCCCTACCCACACGCGCCGGTACGGATAGAATTAGAAAGATACTCATATTTGATCTCCGATCCGCCGTCCATTACGCATATTAATCCAACGGCGGTTGTTGAATATAAAATTGAAACAGGCCTGCTCCGATGCGGCAAGAGCTGCCGCCTCCGATGGGTGAATTACCTCCGGCCAGACATCAAAAGAGGAAACTTTACGGCGGAGGAAGAGGAAACAATCCTCAAACTGCACAACGAGCTCGGCAACAGGTAGCTATGTATCATTATGAATGGAATGCTGTGTCCTTCACTGCGATAGCGATCCCATCCCATGGAACTAGTAATCGGATGAGTTGATTTCAGGTGGTCTGTCATAGCGGCGAGGCTGCCGGGGCGTACGGACAACGAAATAAAGAATGTGTGGAACACGTATCTCAAGAAGAGGCCCCCCACCAGAACATCTCAGCCGTCGGATCAATCGGTGATTATTTGTAGTAATTGGGAGAGGGAGAGGGAGAGGAATTCCACAAAGGACGAGGAGGAGAGCTTCTGGTCGGAGGTTTTCTCCGGCGACGAATTGTCGGCGCCGAGGAGGATCAGTTATTCCATCCTTGACGACTTTCCCTTCTACTATCTAAATAATACTAATAATATTGATATGGAAGAAGACCACAGTGGGAATCATTTCTGGATCTGTCCCGGGTCCTGACCACATAGTATTTCATACTTAATTATTCTGTAATGGAGTCTAATCAAAATTGCTACCTCTGCTCTGCTCTGCTCTTCATTGAAACTAACTACAAACTCTCCAAGAGGAATCCTCCTCCAAAATTAATAATGTCATTAAATAGATTTAATTGATGAATTAATCATAATCAAAATAAAATAAAAAGGTCTCCTCCCTTCACACAAAGCTGTGTCTAAAAGACCATAAAATCCATCCAGAAGAGGAGAAGGGAACAAGGTGCAGTGCAGGTGCATTATTATTATTTATAGTAGTAGACACTAGACAGTAGGTAGCTAGGGGTATAAATTTTGGTAACATGATAAAATTTACAAATCTCTCTACATTTATTGATAATCAATCCCAGACTATAAAAGAAAAGACCTACAAACAAATTTAACACACGCCTTCTTCATGTACATTCATTCATTCATTCACTCCATTACATGCTGCAAATTCTTCCATAATACACACATCCACCAATGCCTCGACTCTTGTTCCTTCCTCTCATCATTCCCGGTATTTCGTCAGGTCAAAGGTCAGTGTCCTTGAGCACCTGTAAAAAATTGTCAGGTCGGGTCGGGTCGGGTTGTTTAGTATTATAATCAGTCTGAAACACAAGGATAGATCTACATACCCTCTGTCGGAATCACGGTAAACACCAACAAGTGCTTCGGCTTTGTCATAGAAGTTGTCCTTGAGTGAAATCACAATGCTCTGAAAACCAGATCCAAGTTCTATTTCTTGGTGGTCCGTTCGGCCGCCACATGACTTTGATCGGATGAAACTAGCAACTTTAGCAACATTTAAATTATCCAATGCAGCATCCACTTCATCCAATATGAAAAAAGGCGATGGCCGGAAACTGCAAAAGGAAGCATGGTAAGATAGATAGGCATGCAATCAAGTAAAACTCGGGATCCTCAAACCAAAACATAAACTAGGGAAATTATTTTCACTTCATTTCTAAATCCCAAACTCTATTGTACCAATGACAATACAAGTTAGAAATAGAATCTAAAAAACATATAGATCAAATGTTATGCTTAACCAATCAAGCATATGAGTGGTACATCACATCATATTAAAAAGTATGAGAACTTCGCGCAACCAAGTAGAAAATCTCTACAGAGGACCTAAAATAGCAAAGGTCAACACCCCAAGAAAGTAAGTAAACTTTTCTGAACTGTTCGCACCTGTGGATGGCAAAAAGCAATGCAAGTGCTGCAACAGTCTTCTCACCACCAGACAGCTGTGACATATCCCGATACCTCTTGGTTGGGGGCATGGCACTGTATTTGATGCCAAACAGGTAAGGCTCATCTGGGTTCTCCAAGTTCAGAAATGCAGTTCCACCCACAGCATGGGTACCGGTTGTCCCACCCACCAAGTTTGCATTGCTTTTGGTGAGTTCATTATATATTTTGTCGATGTTAGTGGAGATGTGGTTAAAAGCTTGCATAAATAATTCATGCCTGTATTCAAATTAAAATCAGTTGCGTTGATTTGAGAACTTTCATAAATAAGATACAAAGTATCAGTACAAATATACTCACGAATATAACCACATTAAGTTCATATTGTATACAAAAGAACAGTTTCAAAGACAGTATTTCAAGTTGCAACAGCATAGGAATAATCCTTGCCAGTAAATCACAATCATGCTTTATAAATGATTTGTATCTTCATTGCTTAAAGGGGTGATGTCTACAAAGACCTTTACTCAGTCTAGATGTATTAAGACTAGACATGGCCTTAATTGGGAGTGTCTAAGAACATGCAATCTATTTCATGAAATTGAAAGAGTACCTGGTTTGCCTAACTTTGTTGTATTCTCCTGTTACTTTGTTCTGTTCTTCTCTGGCTGCTTCCCACTCTCTGGATGCGTCCCTTTCTTTCTCCAAAACAGCCTCATATTGATCCAGTGCCTTCAAATTTGGAGCCGTTCTTCCAATTTCAGCATCCAAGGCAGCAATTTTCTGTGAGAAGTCTGCTTCAATCTTATCCCTCTCAGATGGTTTTGACCTTTGCTGAAGAGATCTACTCAGTAAACTAAAGTCATAAACTGTCCCTTCAGATGCTTCTGTTTCCATGGGGTCCTCAACAGTTGGAATGTCAATATGCTCTACCTCACACTTATCCAGTATCTCTTGCTTCCGCGAATTCAGTTGCTCTATCAGAGCCTCCTGTTAATAATACAGCCAGAAACTTTATTAGCTGTTTTTTTAATATAAGGAAGGGCTAGAAGATTGTGCACTAAGAAAGTTCATAAATAACCTTCGACTTAATTTGACGGTTATGCTTGGTAATATTTGATGTAGCAGCAGATATTTTTTTCTTCCACGATTGGATATCCTTATCACACTCCTTTGCTTTCAATTCCCATTCTAAATATAAGAAAAGATAATACAGCTGCTGAGTACAACAAGGATCATATAAAAATGAAACCAAATGAAGCAAAAAAAAAATATGATCGATCTCCTCGAGAATACTAAAAGCATATGCTGCATTTTTCCCTACCAACCAAAACCAGTCATATATATAAAATGACTGTCCACAATGAATCCCATGGTTTAGCATAGCTTTTTGAAATCTTAACATTCTTAATTTGATTCAGATTATAAAAATGTCACTATTTTAAGCTTCAACAAGAAGAGAACAAAAGAAAACCTCAAATACCTTGTACTTCTTCCTTCAAATTTTCAATCTCAGAAGTTATAGTCTCGGTCGACGACTTCAAATCATTTTGCCTTCTCTCAACCTCTTTTAACGAACTTTTCAAGTTGGTAAGTGTTGATTCCAGCTTGGAAATACGAGAACCCATGTCTCGTTTCTTTTCATACTCCAACCTGGCAACACAGCATGTATGAGGAACTCTAACATCTTATGGAACCACATTCAGTTCTTACAGAAAAAACCAGTTATGAGCATCATTAATGGAAAGATTGGAAACTACAGTTTTCTTCTCTGCACTTCCCCAGTTTAGAGTTTCCAATTCAAAAGATAAGGTCCATTGTCAATCTTAGTCCAGATAACTGTTTTATTGTATGCTATCTGTTAGCTCATGTCATGCAAACCTTTTGGATAATGGATAAGATACAATATAATCTCTTTGGCTTCAAACATCCACATTTAACTCTTAAGTAAGAGGAGAGATTTAGATATCAGACATGTGGGTTGTTTTGTTAACTACAAATATCTCCAAACACTACTGATCTTGGAAACAAAAAAATTACCATTTCTAGTAGCCAATTCTTCAAATTGAGTCATACAATTCTCTTCCATGAGTTCTTTACTAGTAGAATGCAGTTTAACAAAAAGAGGAAGTAACATGATGCAAGACTTAATTATCTAATGAGACTAACATTTTGGTTGCAGGACAATGCATTCTAAATGTAAACTTGCGATGTTCACATAGTCAATTTTTCTCATGTGAGAGGCAAACAAGTTAGAGTAGTTACTGGCCAAATATGACAAGGCTTCAGATATTCAAGGTTATGAAATGTTTTGGAAATTTTCAGGAAGTAAAGAAGCATGCAAACCATCATGGGAAAACCAATAATTATCAAGCGCAACACATACTGGTACTTAAGTTTTGATTGCTGGTTATGCAAGTTGAATCTTTCTGCAGCTGTCTGCTCAATTTCCTTGAGATGGTTTTCTTCATATTCACGGATGTTTTTTACTCCAACAGACTCACTAAATTTCTTGTAGATTCGGTCAACAATATCATTTATTCTCTTCTCCAGTGATTCAATCTTTGATGCCCTTGTGGCAATAGCATTTTCCAACTGAAGAAGAAAGTCATGTTTAAGTATCTGATTAAGGATAAATACGAGTGCTGAAAAGAAAAATGCACCTTCCGAGCTTCAGGTTTGACACGGCTAATTTCATCTTCAATGCTGCGCTTCTCAACTTTCAATTTACTCAGTTTGTCCTCGATACTTTTCTGCAGAAGAGTTTCTGAATTATATGGATGTAGCCTCAAACCGCAACAGATTTCATGTGGAATAGGGAAAAAAAAGGTTTTGCAGTAACTTTGGATCTCACCAATACAACCAAGTAGACAAATGTAAAGTTATAAACTATGCTTTGTTCAAGGATTTTGTGTAGAATAGAAAAAGGGAAACAAAGTGTGTGAAAAGGCATAAAAAATCTCAATGTTGGCTCGAGGAATTTTACAAGAAAAATAAAATAAAATAAAAAGAGAGAAATAAAGAGAACAAAAATTATTTTTTTTTTCAAAACACACCAAGCAAATGAAAGAAAACACATCAAGGGCATATTTAGTTTGATGGATGGGATTGATTATGGATAATTGAAATAAAATATCATACTACCTTTGGCCCCAATCTTTTGTTATTATTTTTAATTTTGAATATCCCTAAACTTTTGCAATTTTTCTTTATTTACAGTTTTCCTCTTTTATCCTTCAAAATACAGTTTATAAAATTATTCCAAACAAAAAGTGAGAACAAAATTGTAAAAAAATTATCAAAACTATACCATACCATGCAAAAAGTAAAAGTAGCATACACAATCGGAAGGAGGTAACATAAAATAGCTAAAATGTTGGATAAAAATTATAATGTAGTTAACCAATTCCATCATATCCTTTAAAGTAAACATGCCTTGGGCTGGTGAAAATTTTGAAGGCAGATACAAGGTTAGTTTGCTCATTATTCTACGCCAAATGATTTTTCCTTCTCCAAACCAAGTTTTCCATCCATATCATTTTCCTTCCTAATCAAACAACTAATATTCTTATACTCATCATGTTCGGTTTCCTTCCAAGATCCTCAATCTAAACACAGTTGACATATTTGGAAAACAAGATTCCGAAAATCTAGATTTATAGCAGGCCAATAGGCACTTAACATTCTGTAAATTCCATTTCCAAGATCACCTATAGGTGAGAGCAGTTGATGAGTATTAAGAGCAAATTGTGGTCAAATATGAAATATCCTTATCAAGATTATTTATCTGCCAACTAACATCATGAGTTTACATGAACATTAAAGCCATGCAAAAATACCTGGTACATCATCTTCCCTAATTTTAAGAGGATGGTACTGATAAAAATGTATTTGTGAAAGTAACAACTAAATTTCATGAATACAAAAATCAATATGAGTGAAAGAGAAACCTTTTCAATTTCTTTATACTGAATATTCTTCTCAAGGCCACTAATTTTCCCAGATGCTTCAGACTCCTTAAGCTGCATTTCTCGAATTGAACCAAGCATTTCCAATTCAGACTCCAGATCTTCCTTTTTCTTCTTAAGCCCTACAAACATCAATACTGGATCAGCAACGAAAAGAATTGACCTTAACGATGACAAAAATTATAGTACAGTAAAAGATACAATTCCATTGACCTTCTACTCTCTTATCATCCCATTTATGTGAGCGGGCTTCCATCCCGCCACTTGTCCCACCAGTCATTGTACCAGATTTGGTCAACAAAATTCCATCAGTAGTCACAACTGACATCAAAATTGAGATGCATCAGTCCATGGAGTATCTAGAGGGATAAAATAAGCAATATACCTTTGAACCTCTGTCCAGTCCAGCTCAAATGCTTAGCTTCATCAAGATCGTCACAGACTAAGGTATTTGCAACAGCAAACAAAATAGCTTTTTCCAACACAGGATCAAATCTGTAAGTGTTAAGGAAACAGGCCTACAAATTCTTTAAACAAAAATCCAGCAGTAAACAGAAGTAATACTCTTTTGCTGAATGCGAAAACATGTTAATTTAAAGTAGATGTCAAGGTTTCTTGAGGTGGCATTGTGATCACACAAGTTTGCAGAGAAGCTCAGAACAAGAATTATGCAGAATCTTATAGGTACGACAGATTTGTAAGGTTTGACATATAGATTATGTAGTGTATCAACGCCATTAAATCTATTAGTACACAGGGGCTGAATCCAATAAAATGTTACTTTAAAAGAAAAAACTGTTGTAATAATGATCTTAGAATATCTAGAATACCATAATTTAGGTATTCGATGAATATAATGTTCCAACACTAGTATAGAGAATTTATAGCATAATTAAGCTACTGGAAATAAAGGGTTTGTTCTCTTTTGAGTTTTTTTTTTACCAAATATTCTCTCAATTTTCCACCAAAAATCACATCCAAAAACTATCTCACCTTAACAACATCAAAACCAAAAACTAAAAACCAACTATTGTATTTGGATAATGAATGATATAGTTATGTCAACAGTTCTAGTTTTTTGTATATATGCATGCAATCAATATGACCAGCCACATGTATCACATGTAAGATGTACCCACAATTAGGAGGCAAAATGAAAAGGTGAGAAATCAACAAAGAGGCCTCTCATATTTAACATTTCTCAAAGACAAAATAGATATAATGACATGCATAAGAAACAGCATCATATAGACAAACTAGAATTTACACAAATAGAAAGTTAGGAGATGGAAAAGATCAAGTAAGCATCCATACGTAGAATGTCATATTGCAGTCAGTACAAAAGAAAAGTTCTGCAAGATTCTCTATAACAAAACAAACAAAAAATAAAACAGAAGTTATTCACACAATTTATTATTTAGATAAGTGATCTAATAATCAACGAAATGGCTGTTATAATGGAGGATACTGTATGACATCAAAAACCAGCTTTGCAGTTCCACCCAAGGTGCGCAACTTCTCTATGACTGGCTTCACACGCACTGACTGAAGAGGTATAAATGTTTGTGGCGGTAGCCTTTGCTCTTTCAGATACTGCATGCATGAAAGTCCATACTTACTCTGTATAAACCTTAAATACCAAAAGTGAAAGTAGACCAATAGAAAATCCTCAAATTGTAGAGAATGAAACCGTCTTAAAACTACATATTTCGGGTCAAAAGTCTTTCATATAAGAAAAACATAGCATACTAAGTGCAACAATACTGGAAAGAAAAATGAAGAAATCATGAACTTCATGACCTTCACAGTTGTAATTGGAAGAAATCCAAGCACAGAGGATTCGACAGATATTTTATAATAATTTGTCAACAGAACAGTAAAAATGTAACAGCTTTCAAGTTACCCATAAATATGTACCTTGATACATTCCTTTCCAGTTTGTTCATCTTCAACTACCACTGCATCCATGAATCTACCCATAGCAACAGTGACAGCAAGATTATACTTCTTTTGTGAAGGTCTACAGAGATCAGTCATGCGACCATGAACCCCAGGAAAGAGGCGTTTCAAAGTTTCAACTGTCTGAGAAAACCTAACATCCCTCTCATTTTCATGTCTATCAGCCTTCAATTCCCGAAGCTGATTGTCCACATCAGTAATCTTTGCCTTCAACATATCATATTTGCGCCTGGAACAAAGTACATCCCGAGTGTATTTTAAAATGTCATAAACAAATTGAAAGGTACACAGATCAATATGTCCCCAACCTGGAGTCCACAAGTTTATCTTTCATCTCACGCTGTTCCTTACCCACTCTAAGAAGATCTTCCTTGTACTTCCTAACAGTTTCAAGGATTTTCTTGGATTTAGTTTCCATATTTTTCTCCTGCAACTCTAATTCCTGCTTTCGATTTTCCAACTGCTGTATATTTTCTTCCAAATTCTTCTGGGCTTCAATATCAGCATTTTGTTGTCGGTCCAAAACTTCCTTCTCATCCTTTAGTTTTGCAGTTTTCATCCCAGCTTCCTCTTTACTGTAAAAAAAAAAAAGTAATTAGTATTTAAGAATGGCTTAAATATGTCAGAATTGAAAAGAAAATAGGCACAACAATATAAAGAGAGAAGAACCACAGGAACACACATCTGGTGATATGTTTCTAATTCACTGTCAACTAACTGAAGTTTCCCACCAGCATCCTGGCTTTTTTCCCGTAACTCTTCGAGTTGTTGTGTTACAGCCCTCAAGTCATCCTCAAGTCTCTGAACCTCTTCCACATGCCTCCTCCTTTCTTCTTTTTTCTTAGACAGCTCTTTACTTGTAGTTTTTATTTTAGAGGTTAGACGTGCTATCTCCTCCTTCAACTTGACAAGATCAGTTTGCTACAACAACAGAAAAGGTGCCTATTAATTTGGAGAATCTTAATTTGACAGCTTTTAAGTGATGGTAACTATTCATTGGGAAACATCAAATGCTTGCATATTCCATTTGCAGTTTTACTTTCCTAATGAATCAAAGTTTTCAAAGCAAATTAAGAACCACTGATGAGTTGATTCCGTCAGCATCTTGTCCTTAATAATTGGTCCTATCACAAAACTAAATCCAGAATTAGAGCTTCTAATTCAATCTGTACAAAGAAGTAAACCAACAGGATGACCTAGGTTATACTTACCACAGAAGAGGACTATTAAAGAAAATCATGGAAACAGGAAAACATTCAAATGTACAGTATTATCAACAGAAACCGTACGTTGTCAAGTCTATTATGCTTCTCTGCAATCCTCCTCCGGCAATATTCAATCTCTTTCAAATATCCAGCCTGTTCTTTATTCTTTTTCCCACGTTCAGCTTCGTAAGTATCCAGTTCAACCATGATATTGTTCAGGCTGTTTTGTTCTTCATCCATATCCTCATTAGCTTTTTCAATATCCCTTTTTATGTTCAGAAGCTGCCAAAGATAGTGTTCCAGCTTCAAAGATTTCTGCATGGGTGTTACCAGCATGAGACTAGTGTCAGTCAAATGTAGCAGATAACTGTTTTCTCATTATCATTATTCTGTTTAGTGAAATATGTATAGCTCAACAGAGAATAAGAGAATGTGTATTTTTCAATGATAGTTAGGCCTGGCAATGGAATGATATTATAAATAGAGGTGTTTGTGAATAGCAATGAGCATATACGTCAGAAAATTGGAAACTTCTAATAGCAAGATAAAAGTATCAATTTTGTAGCAACGGTTGCAACATGAAAGATGTTAAAGAATGATTTTAACCAGTTGCTCCTGCAATCTGAGATGCTTTTCTGCCTCTTCTTTTTGCAGCTTCTTTTGCTTTTTCTCAGCAGATATGGTCTTCTTTTTCTGATGAGCAAGAACAGCCTTTTCATCAGCTTCAGCCTTTTCTACTTCCAGCTCTTCATACCGTCGCTTGTATTCTTCAGAGCCAGATATTTGTTCAATTAGTGAAGTCAGTTCCTTCGGGTTTTTGGAGGCAATAGACTCCACATCTCCCTAGGAAAAAGAAACGAGTTAGAAGAGCATAACCAACTGCACAACACAGATGAATTTCTACAAGGGTCTGCCACACTATCCCTTTCACTGCAAGGAGAAAGGCTAAAGCAATTTGCAATTTAAAAACCCCCCTCAACGTTACAATGTTAAAGTTTGCGACTGAACACATTTTGCGTGATCTTTTGCCAATCAAATATTCAATTACCAATTAAATCATGAGCATAACAAGATATTCGGGCAATATGCCAGTCCTTTTATCAAAGATAGCCACCACGCAGGAGGACTACACATGTTTTATAGACAACTGAAATATTAATGCAACGGAATTTGGATATTTAAGATCAAACAGCAAATGCATGCACAAAACTGATTTCAAGGGTCAGAATTAAAACAAGAAAACATATCTTCTTTCCACAGTTCCCTTTCACCATTGAGTTCTTGACAATAGGTTATGCGCGAGATCAAATTTCCAAACTTATACCATAAAAGTATACCAGCTTCCACAGAGCTTTTACCTCTTTTCTTTCCCATTTTGGTAGCCACGGTAAAACCACGGGTTCCATATTAAAGTTGAGCAGAAATTTAGGCTTTTATGTTATGTTTTCAATGGAAAATAAATATTAATACTATGAAGATTCTTATATAATATGTTAAATAAAAATGAAATGGATGATGAAGTGATGCCTTTTAGTAAAATGAGTTATGCTCCTTCCTTGTCCCACCTCGTCCACCTTTTAATTTTCGTCTATCCAACCTGTCTATCCAACCTATTTTGTCACTTTCCTTTTTTTTTAAAAGGAATTATATACTTTAATTTTATTTTGAATTTCTTAGTTTATAATTTTTTTAATTTTAATTAAATTAATAACACTCCTAAATTTGGGTGTCTACACTAAATAAAAATGAACACCTTACATGGGATGGAGGGAGTATTTTTTAATGAAAGAAATTGGCTTGTATTCCAACCCTTAACCAAAACCCGAGCAACCTAGACTCTTACACGTACATCTGGAATTCGCACACTAGTCATCGGTGAATACGCTCCACAAGCTGAATTTGAATATACAAGAACAAATAATACCTGAAAAACAAGGAAATTCCGCGCTTTGACGAGGATGCCAAGAGACCTCAACTTCGAGTTGTAATCATCCCAGTTCACAACGTAACTCCCAATCCTGTACTCACTACCACCAGCGGGGGTAATTGACCGGGTGAACTCAGTTTCCGAGCCATCAGGCATCTGGTACACGAGCTTGACGTGCGCCCTGCGTCCCCTCTGTTCCTTTTCACGATCGTCGAATGCGTAAATTAGGTCCCGCAACTGAGCCCCACGCAACTGACCCGTCCGGACGCCAAGAACGAAGCTTATAGCGTCCATTAGATTGGACTTCCCAGCCCCGTTGGGTCCTATTATAGCGGTGAAATCGTAGAAAGGACCAATAATTTGGTGGCCTTTGTACGACTTGAAATTCTCCAGCTCTAGCCGGAGGATTTTGCCGCAGACTGGCCGGGAAGGCATTTTTACGGGTTTATTGGGAAATCAAACGCCGGCGGTTTGAAGAAATTGGGGGGTTTTTCACAGATTTGCACTCCTGAGGGTACCCACGCCCCAATTCAAAATGGGGAGATGAATAATTAGGGTTTTGGCGGAGATTGGGGGTTTTGAGAGGGAAAACTACGCTGCAGCAGAATTTTCAGGAATTTGGAATTTCCATGAGTGAAGTGCGCGATGCGCTTTAGCTCGTCACCCGCACGATTCAAAATAGTCCGCGACAAATATTTGGGCTTCAAAATAGTCCTTTCCTCCCTTCAGCTAATTATCAATAGTTGGAACACTAATACTTTTCAACAGGACAATTAAATATTATTTAAAAAATACAAATATATATACATATTAATATAATATATATATATATATATCTCATCTATTACCACAAAATATTATATTAATTTTTATAGTACACATGAAAAATAAATTCATCAATTCATTTAAAAAAAAAAATAAAATCAAACTGATGTTTAAGCATCTAATGATAATAATAAAATATCTAGGTACGTAGGTAGAGTATATTTTTTTATTAAAAATTTAATATAATAAATATTCTTTTAAATTATTTCATTAAATAAACAAATGGTAGAAAAAATAATAATAATTTACTTATTGATTGAATATGAATAATAAGAACATAGATTCGAATATTGTATTATTTATTAATAAAAAATATATAATATTAAATATTTAATTTTTATTTATTACAGTGTTATTTTTTTCGTAATAAATAACATATTTTCATTTTAATCGATTTTATTTTATTAAATATTGTTGTATATTTCATAAAATTTTTAATTCAAAACATATTTTCATAAATAAATAAATAAAACACTCACACACGTATAATCCATTTCCATTTTATTACGAGGAGAAATCGAGGGTTTAAGCGAAGCTGGGTGCCGCCGGCTAAGCCTCAGCCTGGACTGCAAGCAATCTGAATGCCAAATCCATTGCCGCCATGCCTTCAACCTTCTCCCGCTACTTTGCCACCAAGTTCAAGTACTCCGTCTCTCTCTATCGGAAGGCAACTTTCATATCCTCCTGTCAACCATTTGATTACCATCTTACTTTATTTTTTTGTTGGGTTGCTATTAGTTTTATATATGTTCAACGACTATTGATTTCTAGGTCTAGCACTTGTATGCAAGAGAACCGGTTATTTTCATTTGAATTATTAATGTACTGAATTCTAATTAAGTCTTCATTCTAAATATGAGAACTTTTTGAGTTTTGATACGAGCTTTCTAGATGCTTAATTTTTTGGGAGAATAACAGTGGAAAGCATTTTCGCATTTGTGTGTTTCGGTTATTTGTTTTGAATTCACTTGATTACTCCTTGTTCGTTGTTCCTGATTTGACTGAGATGAGTTTTATGTGGGTTATGAATGCTCTTGGAAAAATTATAAGGGTGAGGTTTCTTGGTTTAGTCAATGAAGTTAAAGATAGATATTGTTGTGATCAACTTTGACATTTAACACCAGTGCTATTGAGCTCCTAGCATTGGAATCCCGTTTCATCATTGTCTGAGTGAATCTCTTTTGTATGATGCAGACATATGGACAAGGCCCAATTTTGACTGCTAAGGGACTGGATACCATATTTAGAAATGTTTTTATAGAAAAATTGACTTTCTTGCACTACAACAAAGGAAAAGAAATGGCCCCTACATTAGGGATGAGCGGCGGAACTCTTCTTGTTCGGAAAATTCCAGCTGCAGATCCAACGTATGGTTCAGTAAGACTATTTTGTGGCAGCAAAACAAATACCTTTTCTATTTGATAGCTCATGCAATTACCAGATTTATTTGTCTCTTTAGTTTATCACTTCTCAATGTTAGCTGATATGAGCTCTTTTTATATTCATGCCCATTCATTAATTTCAACTTGGCCTAAGGACTTATTGGCAGGGTGTGCAGTGGCAGGGGGGTGTTGGGGTTCATTCAACAGTTCTCTTATCCTTTTGTAGTGTCAAACAGTAGCTATATGCAAGTGTAGAAAAATGCTTCTAAAGTGTCTTCAACCAAAGGGTAGGGTATAGGAGTCCTTAGATGCCTGTTCGTTTCTCCAGGGCTGTTCCTCGTTAAACTCTACAAAACCATCTTGTTGCATAAAATAGACTAGCTTGATAATTGAAGATGGATGAGTATCTTTATGTTTGGAAGTTGCACTGCCTGCAACTATTGCTTATTTGCTTACTGTAGAGTTCAAATAATTGTTTTCTAGCTCCTATCTTAATGATATATATATATATGGAGATAGTCACCGTGTTTTTTTTTGGGAGGAAATCTTACTCCATCAGCTTATATAATTTTGTTATGGATGCCAGGAAAGTTTATGTTGGAGATGTGGTAGTCCTGAAGGACCCTAAGAGCTCAGATGATTATATTGTCCGAAGGCTGGCTGCCACCGAAGGATATGAAATGGTTTCTAGTGATGACAAGGATGAACCTTTTGTCCTTGAGAAGGATGAATGTTGGGTAGTATGTGACAATGAAGAACTAAAACCTAAGGTATGGTATGTTTTTCCCCATATCATACCTCCCAATGCAACATGTTCCGTACTTGTTTTGGATAGTCTGTTACAGTGAATTTCAGACACAACTAGACTCATCTTTCAACTCTTATCACTAGTTATACTTCTTTCTTTGATAATCATTGGGCCCTTTATTAATCCATGTCAAATTGCCACATATAGTGAGTCTAATTTCTAACAATGCCACATGATCTGATTGAAATCTTTTTCTTAAAACTGCTAATTCATGTTCGATCGATTTGTGATTTTTTCTGGCCCTGTGCAGCAGGAAGCCTATGATAGCCGAACATTTGGCCCTGTTAATATTACGGACATAATTGGTAGAGCCATATATTGCCTAAGAAGTGCAGTGGACCATGGTCCTGTATATAATAGGTTTGTGATTTTTATCAGATTCTTCATTGTTTGTTACATATTTCTAGCACACTTAAGATTGATGATACCGATGCTTAATTGTTTTTCAGTGATTTTAGTGCTGAAGAGGATGCCTCTGTTTTAGCCATGGAACTTGATGTTGATGAGATGGCAAGAACTCATAGAGAATAACTAAAAATTGAGGTGCCACCCCATCAGTTTCTCTGTCCACACCCATGCCGTCATCTCCTTTCCCTAGCCCTAAATTCTCATAAAAGCAAGGTAAGTTTCTAAAAATCAACCTTTAACTGATATTAGCTTGCAGAACACTCTGCTTGTTGAGGCTAGTTGATCTCCGAGCAGTACTGAAACATTGCCTGTTTTTCTTGGAATAAACTGTGCACGTTTTTTGCGATTGGTTGAGATTGAACTATCTACAAGAGAAATCTGTTTACAGTTTGAATTGCAATTTAATTTGTCATTGCTTTGATGAAGCTGCAGCGATATGTCGTGCACCTAGTTATAGCATTGAGGCCCGGATATCTAGGCTGATAGATCGAAGGTAGTGTTCATATATGTTGTTTGAGCATTTCCTACTAAAATTTGAGTAACTGTTCCTTAATATTTTTAATTTGTGTGAGGGGATAGAACTTATGTATCAAATTATGCAAGGCAACTAAGTTGAGATGATAGTCGAAATCCTTGTTCGAGCAACTTACCATCTGTGGATGTGGATACTAAATAAATGTAAGCAAGATGATTGAATTCCATTACATGGGAAGCTATATATATTATATACAAACAAAGCCACTGCATGCAAGCATATATAATATTACAGCATTTTAATGATCAATATTTATCAACCCTCATGGAATAAATATCACAAATATTTCCATCGTTAATAATTACTGGAAAACAAATTAACATGCAGGCATCATTTTCTTTCGTTTTCATACAATTTCTCAAAAATTAATATGATTAATAGTAGGGGCTTATATATTGCCAAACATAGCACAATTATTTTCAATAAATGTATACAATAATTAAAAAAAATATAACATATGGCAATAATGCCTATCCAGTGCTACAATCAAAGAAGCAAAGCTAAGCACAATAATTGCTTGCATTAAAACACTTATCAACAAATTACTCATCCCTGCCCATCTTTCTCATCATTTGCAAATGTGATCATCTAAAGAATGTCCCCATCTACCACTGCCCACCCCCGGCAGATGACCCGACTCATCCATGTCATCGACATGAAGCAAAAATCTCAAAATTCCAAACTTATCCTTGGCCTCGGGACACAGTCCATGCTAATTGGGCTGAGCGTGGAACAGCTCAATCCTGAGGACTTTTGTGGTCCTTTGATACTGGAAAGCCCCAGGCAATGGCTGGCTATGTCATATGTGTAGATCTACAACTATTCATTATCAACTATTATCCAAATCCAATAAGGAATATATATGCAGATACATGCGCGCACTCCTTTGATACTGGAAAGCCCCAGGCAATGGCTGGCTATGTCATATGTGTAGATCTACAACTATTCATTATCAACTATTATCCAAATCCAATAAGGAATATATATGCAGATATATGCGCGCACATATTTAAACACAAATCTTATATATTTTTTGATCTTTATAGTTCTCCACCAAGAATATGCCAGTGAACACTAACCTCATAATACTCAACATTAAGACATCAATAGCTCAATCCTCGGGAGAAACTTCTAAGGTTGTTGATTACGACTTGGTGTTGTGCACTGAAATAAGTTGTGTGTACATTAAAATAAGGTTAATTGGAAAAGTAATGTAGTTCAAATATTTCTTTAAATAGGGTCTAGATTGGTCTGTAAGGTGTAGCCATGGACAAAAAATAACATTATCTTAAATCTTGTAATTATTTAATTAAGAAGGATGGCAAGTATATACCTGGTTTTTCCACCATAAAATCACAAGGCAAAATGAGAATATGAAGAAGCAACAGCTCCACACTGCATTATTGATCATGATATTCTGGCTTCAGAACCCAATGGGATCCATCTTGATTTTTCTCTAGGGTTGCTATCTCCTTCAGTAGATTCTTGAACAAAGGCAGATCTTTTGATGGTATCCTGTCTCTGAAGTGATCCACTATTCTGGTTGAACTTGTTCTTCCACCTTGCCGTTGAATAAACGTACAAATTTGACGAATGAGAAGTTCTGGCAGTACTTCGCTCTTGCTTGATGACTGAGAAGCTCCATTAGCCATGGGCCGTTCTCTCCTGTTGGTGGACGTACCAATGACAAATTGATGCTCAAGTCCATCACTGACAGCATTTTCTTGGTTCCCTCTGATCCGTGCTAGTAACTCTGCTGAAGATAATGCTTTACCAGAAGATGTCCCGGCAGCAATTCCACTTAGCCTGGTGGCATCGTTATTTGGGACTTCGTCAGTTCTTGAAGTGTTTACCAATTGAGAATTAATGGTAGAACCAAACTTCCTTTTCACGGATGATGGCCCACCAGCTGCTCCTGATCTTCCGGTCCAGGTTGGAACAGAAATGCTTTCCCTTCTGCGAAGTATCCGTGACTGTCGCAATGCTTCTGCAGCTCTTTGTGCAACTTTTGAGGCATGCTCCTCAACTTTCATCTTGTCTTCATCATGAGCACTCATGATTGCATCATGGTTCATGGCACTCTAGATAATAATGAGAATTGAATGTTAAGAATTTGAAAAGAGAAATAGCCGAACAATTGGACAAGAGGAAAGAGAAATAACAGAATCAAAAGTTACCATAACCAATAGGAAAGGGTAAAATAGCATATAAAAGATCATTCAACTTATAATCATGAAACCAAAATGATGGAAAATAAAATGTTGATGGTTCTGTGATGTAAAACCTGAAAACATGACTTTAAGAAAAGGAAAAGGGAAAGAGACATCAGTAGGTTTTGACAGAACATCACTAGAATTTGTGTTTAACCATCTCTATTTTCCATGAATGGTCTTTATGCATGTACACCACTCTCTTCTGGGAATATTTATCTTTCAAGTCAATTTCTCAAACAAGTACTTAAGCAGCAAAAGTTCAGTAATATGGCAAAATCAAAGATGGCCAATTTTCAACAATGATATTTGAAATTGCATTTTAACATATGACGGAGCAAGAAAGAAAGAACTCACATGGATCCCATGTGCTTCAAACAGACTCTGCAGGAAATTTGTTTCTTCATCTACTTTTGTATGGACACCAGTGGCTTTGTCTTCAATCGCATTTTCACCCACCAAATTACCTCCTGATTCAGCTGCCAAAGCATCAGTATCTGAGGTGCCAGGGTTCATGTGTTTTGGTTCTTCCTGCTTATCTTGGTGAGAGCCAACAACAGTAACTACATTGGATAGCTGGCTGAATATGCTAAATGTTTCAGTAGAGCCATCTTCACCGTCATCATTTAATGTGAAAAGATCCTTCATATCACGGGCTTTGAAGAATCTTCTCTGCTGTGGATTTTTCAGTATTTTATTGGTGAGAAAATGTTTATATATCTGTCTTTGATAAACTTTTTCTTCAATAGTCCCACGGGTAATCAATCGATAAACTATGACATCCTTCTTCTGACCAATACGCCAAGCCCGCTCTCGAGCCTACCTTAATCCATGACAAAGCAAAAGCTGGTTACAAGTATTACAACATTTAAGGGAGATGGATCAGAGCATAGAAATGTAAACTTCAGAATTACAATAAAAAAATGCTGAATGAATTAGTACTATATTGACCTGCATATCGGTTGAGGGATTCCAGTCAGGATCAAAAATGATCACTCTGTTAGCACCTGTTAAATTTGTTCCAAGTCCACCAACTTTGGTTGTCAAAATAAATATGAACACATCATCTGTACAGTTGAATTCATCTATCAGAGCCATCCTTTGTTTGACAGGTGTCAGACCGTCCATTCTTCTGTAACTATAGCCATCAGCAATCAAAAAATTCTCAATAATATCAAGCATCTGCTGTGTTTGTGCAAAAAATAGAACTCGGTGTCCTTGCTCCTTCCAAACTTTAAGCACTTCTGCAACAACTTTCATTTTGCCACTGCGTTTGGGGTTCCCATAATCTGGATTCCCATGACAGTGTTCTCTCTCAAGAAGATCAGGATGGTTGCAGATTTTACGCATCACATCAATTCCAGAAAGTGAATTCTTGCTACCATCAAAGATCTGTTCAACCTCAGAGCTAGCTAGAAATGCACGGTACACAGATCGCTGCTCTGAGGTAAGACGGCAGAAGAGGACATGTTCAGTCTTCTTTGGAAGTTGTGCTTCAACATCTACCTTCATTCGCCGAAGAAGATAGGGCATGATCATGTCACGCAGGACAACAGCACATCTGCATGAATTAGAATTAGTAAAAAGGAGAACAGGGTGAGGGATGAATTGATTGGATGGCCAAAAACTTAAGACAGTTGGAATAGCTTAATATGAATCATATTTCTATTAATGGTGATATGCAAATTATGAACTCTACGAAAACCAGACACAGGACAGACACCCAGATTTAGAGAAAAAAAAAATACTAATTAAGGGAAAAAAAAATAAAAAAACTCATTGTTTTCATTTCAACATTGTCAACAACCTCCCACTTGGCCATGGCCATCACACTTCACCACCATAACTAGAGAACTGACTAATGTTTTTAAAATGCACAAGTGGTGTAGATTGATCTAAGAAACAAAACCATATGCATCTAATGAAGAGAAGTCCATACATAATCAGGTGATAACGAACAACCAAGTTGAATGCACCTGTAAGCAGTAGATACTTGCAGAGGGGTTGCATTAGCATAACCACCAACAGATATTGGAACGGCAAACTCAGCCTCGAATACAGGAAGGACACCCAACTTTCCAGGGAACACAAAATCAAATAAAGACCACAATTCAGACAGTTTGTTTTGAATTGGTGCACCAGTCATTATTATGCGGTGGACAGTTTGCAACTGTTTGCAAACTAGAGTAATTTCAGCATTTGGATTTCGAATGCGATGTCCTTCATCTAGGACAGCATATCCCCATTCAATATCAAGCAATTTGTCACCATGTAGACGAAGTTGCTCGTATGTAGTTATTAGTAGGCCAGATTTTGATCTCAAAATACGGTTGATTAACGAATCCCACTTTTTGGTATTTTTAGTTGATGGTTTTTCTTCCTGATCACTGTCCATATAATCTTCACTTTCGTCGTCACTTTTGTTTTTTCTGGTACTCTTTTTCCTGCTGGATATTTCCTGAGCAGAATCATGTAACAACTCTACATGAAAGCCTGGATACCATTTTTTAGCTTCACGTTTCCACTGTCGCAGGAGTGTGACTGGACAAATTATGATGCTCGGTTTGTACATACCACTGAAATCCAATGATCCAAGGAAAGATAAAACCTGTATTGTCTTACCAAGACCCATCTCATCCCCAATAATTCCACCAGCTCTTTGACAGTGAAGTTCCCATAACCATTGTACACCAACCTTTTGATAGTCAAATAGTTTGTTAAAAATTGTTTCTGGGATTTTCAATCCCCCCTCAAGAGTAACAAAAGGTGTCCCTTCATCGTTCATGTCTTCTACATTTTCATGGCTGCCATCTTCATCATCACTGGAGGACTTCCAATCTTCATAAGATAGTAAAATAATTTTATCAGACAGCTATTATGAATTTGGAAAAGGCAGCAAAATTTTCTGATCAAATGAGAATGAAAACAAGAGAACAGTGTCCAGGTTAGCTAAAGAGAAATATCATTAATTTATCATATCTCCTCATCTTCTAGCTAAATCTTTTTAACACTAGGAAGCAGGTACCACATTAGAGGTTATAACAGCATAGACATACCGCCTTCCTCAGGGGATTTTTCCTCCTGATATTCCTCGAGTTTTTCCTCACGAGAGACCAACTTCCTCCACTTCTTACCAGGTAAAGGCCTTCTCCTCTTCCTCTTGGTGTCTATGTCCTTATCACATTCCAAGTCAAGGAACCGAGGAATCTTCATAGGTTTATTTAGTCTTTTAAAAGGGAGGCTGGGTGCATCAACTCTTGGAGCTAATTCAGGATCAAGAATTTTTGTTGTTGGTCGAGTTTGCAAAGCCTCAGACATCGACTTCACAGCTTTTGCTATGCTTGATGAAGCCAGATCACTATTTCCAATTACATCCTGTGACACCACTTGTCTGCTGGATGGCCCAGGCTCTTGAATACGGCGCTCATAGCCTTGCAGCTTGTGAAAAGGAGTCAAGATACCTTTTCTAATTAACTCGTCTCTTTCCTAGAAGTGAATAACCCGTTGTTAGCTCACTTATATGTCTATGATCAATGTATAAATTTGCACATTAATGTTTTAATAAAAATGAAAATAACCCACAGTTTCCACGAATCCAGCAGATGCTGCATTTAAAACAGCATCAAAGTCTTCGTCTTCAATCAATGAAGCTTTTTTAATTTGTTTCTTCTTATTCTGGGTTGGTTTCTCAACTTCCTTCAACAATCTTTTGGATTTAGGCTCTTCCTTTATGAGATTTCTAATCAGCCTGTCATCCTCAGCATTCACAGAATAATTAGAAATATCTTTCTTCAGTTCAGCCCTTGTTTTTTTCAGCGTTTTTAAACGATCAGAAGCAAGAGCATGCTGAATGGCTAAATCATTTGAAGATGTGTGAAAACTATTTCTTCCCACTTCTTCATTTCCCAATTCCGTTTTGTCATCGCCATCAGGAGGGCAATCCTCATCTCTCTTAATGTTTTTGAACTGTTTCACAGCAGCTTTGACAGCATCTATTTCAAGTTCAACTGCTCTCAATTTATTAACCAACTTCCCATGATCTGAAGTAGTTGATTCATTCTTCTTTGATTCATCAGCAGCATTTTCCTCTTCACTAGCTCCAGAAGCTTGAGTGCCATCTCCTGCATCTCTCCTTGCCTATCCAGATAATGAAAAAACCCCGCATAAATTTAGACACCACAAATAGCTCGCAGTCTAGCACACATAAATATCTTGAACTACAAACATCATATTCAGGTTGTTAAGGAAATCGCCAAGCTAAAATGGTTTTTTCTTGTCTGTAAAGCATAGTAGCAAACTAGAAACGAAATGTCCAGTATAATATAGTTTTGCAAAAAACACTGAATTTGTGTTTTCCAGCACAACTGGGCAAATGGGTTGTTAAGGAAATCGCCAAGCTAAAATGGTTTTTTCTTGTCTGTAAAGCATAGTAGCAAACTAGAAACGAAATGTCCAGTATAATATAGTTTTGCAAAAAACACTGAATTTGTGTTTTCCAGCACAACTGGGCAAATGGGTTGAAACTACTGAATTTCATTCACATTTAGGAACAGAAAATGTTTTGCTAATGGGATTTAGAGAAAAAGCAACACAAAATAATGCATGAGTATAACAATGTCTTTTTTATCTGCTAACTATTTTTAAATTAAGAAAAAGCTACTGTGGAGCAATTTCCAGGGGAATTAAAACAGGATCAACAGGCAGCAACAAGACATTTGACACATTATCAGCGCTAGATATAGTGAAATAGCAAGAGATGGGACTCAAATGTGCACAATCAAACCTTATCTAGGATATCACGTTCAATGTCTTCAGGGTTGGCAGACGTGACACCTAAAGTGTTCAATAAAGCCCTATCTTCTTCCTCTTCGTCCATTTAATCGAATAATTGTGTACAATCAGCGTTGCAGCCTGCCCTTGCACAATCAGCAGTAAGTTGAATCAGGAAAAATTTCACAGCAGCTCAATTGCAACTTAAACGAAGTTCATAATGACCATCCTCAAAACATAAGAACAAACTTAGTATGGCCAATGATCAGCTTCTGTAACTGAACAAACATAAAAACGCAAGTGTCACTCAATTTAAGAAAACCCGCATGATCAATTAGTTATGAATAATCAAATTCCAAGTGGTTGACCAACAATTGTCCGGGTATTTTGCGCAAAATTCAACCATCACTCCCACAAACTAAGAAATGCGAATTGCGAAGCAAAACTATTTCGCTTGAGAATTGAGGACAAGTATACATACATCTAAAAATTATAACAAAACTCAAAACCCCGATTAAATATATTTAGGCAACAATTGTACGCATCAAAGAAGCCGCGGGATTGATTATCCAAATTTCTTACGAGATAATGCTGCGGTCAAATCTAAAGGGTAAGATCTTCTTCTTGACCGCACTATAGTTCAAAGGGTTTAGGGCTAATGCTCTTAGAATCCACCAGCGGAGACAACGAACGGCCGAATGTGCATATTCGGGAATTTCTTCCCGGACTGTCCCTGGTTGGAATTCGGGCTTAATTAGGGTGCAACTTCCATTTATATACGAGGGCAGCGGCGGTGGCGCCGCACGATTATTTCCCTGTACCTTTTCAAGTGGATGATTACAAGTCTCGGCCTTGTCCAACAAGTACTTCGAGTTGGCTTCGAAGGTTTCGATCGGGTTATTCTTAAGCGGTCTATACTTGCTCTCTGTTTATTTGTAAAATTTTACTAATAATTTTATTATTTTAATTTATTTTTTTTAAACACATTTAATTAAATATTTAATTTTATTTATTTTATTTTATTAAAAATTAATTTTATATTTAAAATATCACATTAATACATATTTATATCATATTAATAACTATTTTAATTCAAAATTTTATTATTTAAAATAAAAACTTAAAACCAAAACTTCACACTTAAACACACCCTAAAAAATATCAATCTTTTAATAATTAGTACTAAAACAATAATAAAAATATAAACTTTTTAAAAAAAATAAAATAAAATATAGATATCTTTTACTTGGAAAAAAATAAGAAAATTTTGAATGATGATAACTAAAAAAAAAAAAAAAAAGAAATTTAAATATAAATGACAAGAGGAGCATATATTATTGCAAAAAATAAGAAAAATTTGAATGATGATAACTAAAATAAATAAATAAATAAATAAATATAAATAACAAGAGGAATATATATTATTGCAAAAAATATTATTATTAGTATAATATAAAAAATAAAAATAAATATATAATTTAATTGAAATATTTTTTTATAAACAATAAAGTTTTTACAAAATCCAACAAACAAAGACACTCTTAATTGGAATTAAAAATATTAAGAGCTTATACAAAGACTTTTCTTTAGAGGTCTTTCCATAGATTGCCGAAGACATTATGTTAGGAGATCGAAATATTTACTGCATAAAGGTAGTGTTTTCAACTACAAAATTTCGATCTATAATCGAGGTTGTTTGATGCAGAGTGTTTTCTCTTCTCTTTTCCACTATTCTCTATTTGCCCGTTCTCTTTCTCTTTTCATCTTATTTTTATTTTTCTTCATTTTCTCCTACTTTGTATTTGATATTCCAAGAACCAATCACTATATAGAGTGTGAACTTTGACCCAAAATTGAAAAGAGAATAACTTCATTGAAAAATTTTGAAGAGAAATTGAATAAAAATAAAATAAAATAAAATAAAAATAATTTTCTATTATCTATATATAAAAAAATTTATTTAAATCAAAACACTAAAGAAATTAATCCATCATTGTTTTATCAATAATATATGTTTAAACGGAAATGGTTATAGGACCGGATATACAAATAACAATATAAAAATATATATGATGTAGTATATTCATATTTTATATTAATATATATGTACTATTAAGACATGTTAAACTATATTTAATTTGTTCAAATTATATTTTTATTATCACAATTTTTTATAAATATTATTTTTAAAATAAAATATATTAATACAATATATATAATATATACTCTTTCTGTCCCACACATATATCAATAAAAATAAATATTATTCATTTACAAAACTCAACTGATCTATAAAAAAATGTTATTTTTTATGTTACTTGAAACAATTTTGTATACTCTAACATCAAATACAAATTCATTTAAAAACACAGGAACAAACTGATTATGTGCAAATGAGAAAATATTTACGTGGAAAGGAATCAAGGATGTATACATCAAATTAAAACTACTTAAAAAAAAATCTCACGTAAAAATATTTCGTATAATGGAGAGGGAGTGTTAAAAAATTAATTAAAAATGTTGCTTGCTTTGCATTCGTCTCTCGTGCATCGGCCTTTCCTCTCCGTCGCTTAAAATTTGGCGGTAATCCGAAATTTCTGCAGTTTTATTATCTACGAACCGAGAATCGTTCTTGGTCGGCTTGCGTTTGATGCTGATCGAGTGAATTCGAAACTCTGTGGTTATTTCGCAGTTTCACGGGGTTTTCAGCCGATTGTTGATATCTCTGGAGTTCTCAATTTCATGGTATTGCTACGATCAAAGCTGTCATTTTCTTGAAATTTTTTATTTCCGTCTGTTTTATTGCTGTAGTTATGCATTTTGATTTATTTACTTTTATTTGTTTTCTCGGAACGTGGAACGGTGGCCTTGTTTGCACGGTTAGATGATAGGAATATTTCGTCATCGTGATTCTGAAATTTTATTTGTGTTTATTTGGTGTAATTTTTTCATTTCCCCCCTCTGCTTCTATTGATTTCTTTTGAGGGGTGTTTGTGTGTGTGTGGATTATGAGATTTACTGTTGTTGTTTTTAATGTCGTTTTGGAGTTCACACGTTTTTTGTTGCTGGCAAAATGGTTTGCACTTTGTAATTAGCATATTTGAGGATTTTTCTTGCGTATAAATAAACTATCAAGCTTTGTTTATCATTAATTGCATGTGGATACCCATTTCCCATTTACATTCCGAGTTTTTAATGACACTTGTGTTCTAGGCCATTTACAAGTATATGAATGGTGCTAATTTTCAGAATGATGCTTGGTTGGCAAGCTGCTTGCAACTCATAATCAAAGGGAAATAAGTTAAGCAAACAAATTGTTCCAGAGATTTCAACCACGAGATCAGTTGAGTCCATCAATTGAAGAATAATATCAGTACTAATAATATTAATAAAAAAAGGGGACAATGGGAAACACACGAGAAGATACAAAACCACCTTTGGCTGACGAGGTCTCTAGCCTCACAAAGCAGAGAGTTGCTGCTGCAAAGCAATACATTGAAAGGCATTACAAGGAACAGATGAAAAGCCTTCAAGAAAGAAGAGAGCGGTATGGTAAACTCACAGCTCACATTGTTTGTTATTTATGTTGTGGAACTACTGCTTTAAGTATCTATCAAAAATACTTTTTTAAGAGATACTAATTACGTATCCATTTGCGAATCTAATAGTGGACAAAATAACTATTATAGCTGTACATTTTTTCAGAGTGTTCCTATGTGACTTAGACATAGAAAGCAATTTACATCTTCTTGCAACAGGATGTTTCTTGACACTTGCTTTTACTTTCGATATCTTTGTACCATCAGTATTTTGGATTTGCATCTTTTTGTAGAGTGAATATGCTGCATTTCCCCTTACTAATACAAATGCCCCTATCATCTTATGCTTGTTTTTGAACAGGCGCAATTTACTTGAACAGAAACTAGCTGATGCTGAAGCATCTGAGGAAGATCAAGCAAACCTGCTAAAGTTTCTAGAGAAGAAGGAGAGTGAATACATGCGTCTTCAGAGGCACAAAATGAGCGCTGATGATTTTGAGTTACTCACAATTATAGGAAAGGGTGCTTTTGGAGAGGTGAATAACTAAATATTACTCATAAGTCATAACAAACAAGTCTCTAGTTTACCAAATTCTCTATTGTTGATTTTGCACTGTGTAACTTCATCTAAAATTGATCTATTCATGTGATCTGTTGAGGGGTGTAGAAACAAGATATTACATTCTGTATTTATCACTGAGAGTTACGAGAAGACACAATATCTTGATTTCAAATGCTCAACTAACTACTTGGAAATTCGGAATATGGCACCTTTAAGAGGTTAAGCATATATGCTGCTGAGGAGTTGGGAGTGGATTAAAAATTCCATATATTTGGTCGGGAAAGTTAACACAAAAATATATTTCCTAGAAGTGAGATATATGAAGTGTGAAGTGTGGTTACGTGGAATTAGGAGCAATGCTTTCATTGGTTTACATTTCCTATGGTCTTGATCAGGCATCTAGGCGGATTTGGTGAATCAGATATTCTGAAGGTCTGAATAGTTAATATTCAAGAAAAAAGAAATTACTAATATTTGTTCTTTTGTATGCAGGTTAGAATATGTAGGGATAAGACAACAGGTCAAGTGTATGCAATGAAAAAGCTCAGGAAATCAGAAATGCTTCGAAGAGGCCAGGTAAGCTATTAGAAGAAGATGATTTTTGTACATCTTGTCTACTTTTTTCTTTCACTTATATTATGCATTTGTTAGGTTGAGCATGTGAAAGCTGAAAGAAATCTACTTGCGGAGGTGGACAGCAACTGCATAGTCAAGCTTTATTGTTCATTTCAGGATGAAGAATATCTGTATCTTATCATGGAATATCTTCCGGGTGGAGATGTGATGACATTATTAATGAGAAAAGATATCTTGACTGAAGATGAGGCCCGATTTTATATAGCGGAGACTGTTTTGGCTACAGAATCTATTCATAAACACAACTATATACATAGGTAGAACCATACTATAAATGAGAGAAAGATTCATTTATGATGCTGTATTAAATGTTTCGAGTTGAGCTACTTCACTTTTTTAACTATCACTTTGATTATGTGGTTGTCTACAGAGATATCAAGCCTGATAACTTACTACTCGACAGATATGGCCATTTAAGACTATCAGATTTTGGACTGTGCAAGCCTTTAGATTGTAGCACTATAACAGAAGATTTTTCAGTCAGGGACAACTTAAATGGGGGTCCAACAAGTGATGAAAATTCTGCAGCTTCAAAACGCACACAACAAGAGCAACTGCAACATTGGCAGAAAAATAGGAGAACGCTTGTAAGTTGACTTAAAATCTAATTAAGCTGCTGACATGTACGGTTTATGGAATAGCTGGACCTACATACATCACTTGTCAGAATGTTTTATCTAGTTTATTATTTACTAGGGCCACTTATTGAGCATGCATTGTTATCCACTTTGTAGTGCTTCAATGATTAAATTTTAATTTTTCAATATGTTTTGGGTATATTATGCACCTATAGGGGCCATTAGTTCTTGCTTCTATCACCATCCTTTTGATGGCTGCAGGCTTATTCCACTGTTGGTACCCCTGATTACATTGCTCCTGAAGTTCTGCTGAAGAAGGGATATGGAATGGAGTGTGATTGGTTGGTTTGCATTTATCTACAGAACGTTTAGTTTCACATGTCATGTTGGAGGGATATCTCAATCTCTATCCTTTCATATCTATTCGATAAAATTCATTCCACCTCCTAACTGTGAGAATCTGGTAGGAAATTAATTACACTCTTCTACTGAAATATGAGGTTCATCTTCCTTTTATAGGTGGTCAGTTGGTGCTATCATGTTTGAAATGCTTGTGGGGTATCCACCTTTTTATTCAGATGATCCAGTATCAACATGTAGAAAGGTGAAGTGATGATTTTTTTCTAATGTTGCGTGGCATATTTTGTGGACTTAGTACTTTAGGTTCATTTTGAAAGCTTGCTCTTTATACACAAGATTGGTCTGTTCTTCATTATGTGCAAAACGGGGTTGAACATGTGTGCATATTTCTAGCATAATCCAACTATTTTTGACTTTGAGCGAATGCTCTATATCTAGGATTGAATCAAGTTGAATTGGGGTTAGCTGGGGCATTCTAGATTCTCGGTCCAAAACCGGCTAACCAAGTACAAATCTAAAGCATGTATTGAACAAGAATTACAAAGTAAATTAACTATGTCTGGTTGAATGTGCAGATAGTGAATTGGAAGCAACATCTGAAATTTCCAGAGGAAGTTCAACTTTCTGCAGAAGCAAAAGACCTGATAAGCAAACTCCTTTGTGGTGTGGAACAGAGGCTCGGTGCCAATGGTGCAGAGGAAATAAAGGTACAGGCTGGCATTTCTGTTCTAAGTTTTTTGTGAAGTTGTCATGATGGAAACTCACGTCTAACTGTCTTTATGCTTAGGCTCATCCTTGGTTTAATGGAATTGACTGGAACAGCATATACCATTCAGAAGCTGCATATATTCCAGAAGTCAAAGACGAGCTTGACACCCAAAATTTTGAGAAGTTTGAAGAGGTACAGACATTCTCAATGGGATGCTGGTGTTTTGTGAAAGAGTAAATGCATGTAGAAATCTTATCAAAACTGTTTTACTGATGCAGTCCGAGCACCAGTCTCAGTCTTCATCAAAATCTGGGCCATGGAGAAAGGTACACCTTGGCAGCATATGCATATGAATATATATATATATGTGTGTATGTATATATACATATACATTTAATTCCTTGTTCAAACTTCCATTTTATGATTGAAATTTGAATCTCGCCCTCCGGCTTTTTGCCTCTCTGAACAGATGATCTCATCTGATGTCAACTTTGTTGGGTACACATACAAGAACTTTGAAATTGTGAATGACTACCAAGTGCCGGGGATGGGTAATCTCTCTTTCCTCTTGCATCTTTAGTTTTTCCTCACTTTAATCTTCTTTGTGTAGTGTGTACACCCATCTTGTTGTTTCATCCTTCACCCAGCCAGCAAATGCTTGTGATGTTATTACTGCATTTCACTGTATTTGTGAACCCGAAATTTAAAGTTTCGTGCTTTGTTTTGGTGTAACCAAAAAATGAAAATGTTCCGGTTTTGGTACATTTGGCAGCTGAACTTAAAAAGAAGAACACAAAAGCAAAGCGGCCAACAATCAAGTCACTTTTTGGTAAGTCGTTAAGTTTTTGTTTTCTAGGATTTATTAGACTTATTTCTCTTATTTTTTTGGTTGATGCTTTGAATAGATGATGAACCAGAAAACCCTGGGACGAGCAGTGCCTGAGCGTCGGCCTGTCGACCTGCTTTACTTGGATCACTCAGAAAACAACTCTGGTAAAAACAGATATGAACTTCGCCTCCATTTGTGCCTCTCAACAGAACACATACATGTGCTGCCTTACTTAGCCTCTTTAGTTTCTATGATCCAAGCATTGCATACTTCGATGTCATACTCGTCTTTCCTTACCAACTATTTTTCATTGTTTGTATTTACGAATGTGGTTTTGAACAAATGACATTTGACATAAAATACCTGCTCCACCTTTGTGCCAACCAGCTAGTTGATGCATTGTTCTAATATTTTCAACAATATTCAAGGGCCTTCATATTTAAAATATATAACCAATTGATGATGTCTTCAAATAAAAAGACCGCAGTTATAACAAACTCTAATCTTGACCAAAATTTCACATGAAAGAAAATTAGAATCTAACATCCAAAAAGCTTAAGTTCAGATTATAACAATAGCCAAAACTTGAAGTACTCAACCACCAAATACATCTTTTGAAAAGACAAACACAATCAAATTTCATGGAGATTATGCAGTACCCTCTTTCTTCAGTTTTGCAAGCTCTTGCCTGACAAGCCCAGCTCGCTGCAATGTCCAATAACGTCAATCATCATCAATTTTTCGGTGGAAAAATGATAAACAAAATTTGAAGAGAAAGATTGTTAAGTTTAAAATAGAATCATGTTTTATTGTAGCATTACCTTGATCTTTGCCAGCATAAGCTTAAACCTGTCAAAGTCATTGAGAGAGGCCCTACGCTTTTGAACAATAAGCTTTCTACCCCACGAGCTTTTTTCCCATTTTCCCTTGACATCTGGTCAAATGAGCAAGTATGTTTAATCATTTTTACCACAGCAATCAAACTCATTTAGAAAGCATGTTTCAGTTTTATGGCACTCACCGGCAGCCTCCATAGCAGCTATAAGGGCCTTCTTCTTCGGCACTCTTTTAATGTCAATCTTGATGTCAGTAAGAGAAAGCCGTTTGAAGTTCATCTGGCTTCGAACCATATCTGGAGCATCCACCAGTGCCTGATGTGGCAAAAATGAATAATGGGAAAAGAAAAAAGATCCATATTCAGCTTATTAACAACAGAGCCAGTTAATAAATATAATCACAAAACCATTATAATGATTACAATCACATCACAAGAAATCAAAGGCCAGAGACCTATGCCAATTAATTGATCAAACAAAACTCAAAATTTGACCAAATACAATATGATATTACAAATATGAAGATACACTCATTAAACAAAACAACCCCCTAGCTTTCATCTCAAGCAATATAACCCTAAACCCAATATGCACTTCTGAAAGATGATGTCAAACCAAAAATGCATAATCATACACAGGACAACAAAATATGTCATTGTAGGGCAATCTAATCTATAGTTCACATCAGAATTCAGGACCACAACTGAAGGTGTGATTTAAGCGTTTCCTAAGGTCAAGTGATACTCACGATTTTGATCTGTCATTTAGATAAATGCCTGCATACACGACTGTTAAACCCAACCTTAAAAAGACCGTAGTAAATCTTGGGAGACAAAAAAATATAAAAGTCGTTAAATTTCATAGAAAAAGCTCCATACCGAAGCCAGCATGAAGCATAAATAACATAAAGTTAAATTGCGCCAAATAGAATGGGGCACTGAACATCGCCAATCAAATTCACATTCATAGAACACAGAAAATTAAGCAAAATGCAAAATTGAATAGTAGAGTAGTAGAGCAAACTTCAGTATGATAAACAGGCGTAAGCAAATGAACTCAGTACATCAAATGCTAGAAAAATAAAAGCACAAACATACCCTGTTCTGATCAATGACGTCAACAATTACGACAAGCTTTCCATAGTCCTTGCCGTAGTTGACCAACGCCACTCTTCCGATCTCGACGTACCTCTTGAACGGCTACACATACAACGAATTAATATCAGCTCAAAAGAAAAAGAACACTGAGAACACTTATTCCGTAAAACACATCTCCATGGGAGAAAAAATCCTCCTCGGCCGCTCACCATTGTTGGGCGATCTGCGTGCGAGCGAACGACGGAAGCAGGAAGTGCTCGACGACTAGGGTTTGCGTGGCTCTCTCCGTATATATATATATATATATACATGTGTTGGCGCTTGGGTCACTATGTGGGCTTTGGGCCGGTTCCTTGTTATTTGGGCTTCTAATCCTCAATGGATCATATGGGCCCAAATTCTATGTGGGTTTATGGGTCGATTTCATTTATAATGGGCTTATATATTAAATTAAATGAAAATAAAAACAAAATTAAGGAGGGAATGAGCAAGGAGGCGCCACTGGCAGTCCATCCACACTTCTTACTTTTTGCCGTAGGAGGATGAGAATTTGGGTGCAGTTTCGCATCAACGTTGCGTTGCGATTCGATTATCGTGTCCAGTGGTTCTTCCACTCGAATTTTACATTCCGGCGTCATAAATTTGACGAACCCTAGTTCCTATATAGGGCAGGTTGTGATTATTGCGCGGATGGCGTTGGCGATGGCTGGTTTGTACAGGCGTGTTCTCCCTTCACCTCCTGCTATTGATTTTGCTTCGTGTGAAGGCAAGGTATTCCCGCGATTTTTTTTTTTTTTTATTTTTTTCCTGATAACTTGCTTTCCTTCTCTGTGATTGTTTTTGGTTCTGTATTTCTTGATCGTGCGGTGGTGTGGGTTATGATATTGTATTGTTTGTGCAAGATGGAAGTATATGTCCAACACGTGGCAGGCGTTAGAACTTAGAATTGGAAAAATGATGATACAAAGAATGATGATAATTGTTGGCTCTACAAATTAGAATTTGTTAATTCACAAAATTAAACTAGCTGGATTCCACGACAAAATTAAGATGAAGAATGAATGCCAAACTCTGAAAGATCCATGCATTGAAATATTTTCTTAATGGGTTCTCCAAGTATTTGAATAAGCATTGGTTCTTGGTAAGCATCTATTGTAGTTACTACTGTGATTGAATCGGAAAATTGGTGTAAGTTATTTTATAGCTATCTTTTACTCTAATTTTTTGGATGTGAAGGAGACCTCAGCCCTACTTTATAGAACAATATGATTACTGTTGTCTTATCTTAGAGGGTTGGTTTTGTTTTATGTGGGAAAAGAGGATGTGCGATTGCATCTTTAACAATCTTATTGCTTTTGGTAGCCTTATTTTAAATCTACATGTATTTGATTTCAGCACAGTTTGAGTCTGTGCGTGCTAATATAAGCAATATAAGTGACTAGTTCTTTTCTCTGAGTCTTTGGGTAATCTATCTGTATGTTGGTTTTTGTTAAAACTGCAGAAACTTTTCACAGAGGCCATGCATAGTGGAACTATGGAAGCCTTTTTCAAGTTAATTTCTTATTTCCAGACACAATCTGAGCCTGCATATTGTGGTTTAGCTAGTCTCTCAATGGTGTTGAATGCCCTTTCCATTGATCCTGGTAGAAAGTGGAAAGGTAGCTAAAATAGACCTGTACTTCATCAATTTTGGCAATGTTTTCACATCTCTTTCTAGTATTCAAAAGATTCTGCTTGCTGAATTCACTTTGAGTTTTCTTGCATGATTTTTCTATTTGACTGCTGTAGTGATGCTGTGGTCATATCTCACTGATATATTATTTTCATTCACTTGCTCTATTTTCTTCCTCAGTCTGCACATATTTGTTTCAAAAGGAAGCAATATATTATTGGAGTTTGTCAACACGGTTTAGAATTTAAGGATAGGGATTTATAGTGGAAGAAAATTCTTAGATTAGGCAAAACGACTAACAATTGTTTTTTTTTTGGGTATTCTCAACTAAATTCAATGTCTTGAAAAATATTTTGTTGCTTTCAGGAAAAGAAAATAGTATAAAAGCAAGAGGGTTTGGAGAGTGTGATGCATCTTGGTATTTGAAATTATTACATTGATGATCGGATTCTATCACTAAAATTTTCATTTATGCAAATCATCTCTCTTTTCAATGCTTTCTAATATGCAAATTCAATCAAGCGTATGAAAATCATTCATAGGGCCTTGGAGATGGTTCGATGAAAATATGTTGGATTGTTGTGAGCCACTGGAAAAGGTTAAAGATAAAGGCATCTCATTTGGGAAAGTCGTATGCTTGGCACATTGTGCTGGTGCTAATGTCAAAGCTTTCCGCGCAAATCAAAGCAGTTTAGATGATTTTCGGAAGTTTATATTGGCGTGCTCCTCTTCAGATGATTGCCATGTGATCTCATCTTACCACCGAGGGGCTTTTAATCAGGTCAATATATATCATCTCTCTTCTTCATGCATTCATTTCTTTACCCTTTTGTATGAGTATGTTTTGTTAAGGTGCTGTAGCTAGGGCTAGTTAGAAGTCATGTGGTTGTAAAATATACACATTTTGATTTGACTGTTGAAAAATTTTACTCTGTCCTACAAAAGATAGGTTGAACAGAATTAGGTGTCCATATTCCATCTCTATTTACTTTGTTTTTATGCATGCTTATCTATGTTCCATTGTGTGAGTTGCACCAGGTGCCTAAATGTTCAAACAATCATACTAAAAATAGAAGAATCTGTGTCGAAATCGTATCCAGTGGACCTTCCACTTTCCAAATGTCTTTTTAATTTTTCTTTCGTTCGTGGAGACACACGGCACCTCCTCCAGCATGCAGGAATTGTTAACACTTTGTAGCCATTTTCTTCCTTTGACCCTAAATGTGCTGTTGCTACCTGTCATCAAATATTTTGTTGAATTCTTTGTTTGTATTGAATTACTATTTACCTTATTTTTCAACTAGCACTATTGCATGTTGTTCTTTATATGAAAATTAGACTGGGATTTATTGCAGACAGGAACGGGTCATTTTTCACCCATTGGTGGATATCATGCTGAAAAGGATATGGCATTGATTCTTGATGTTGCAAGGTTTAAGTACCCTCCTCACTGGGTTCCAGTTGGCCTTCTTTGGGAGGCAATGAACACCATAGATGAATCAACAGGATTACATCGAGGGTATGAACTGCATTTTTATAAAGAGTCAAGTTATTCACTATATTTTTATTCTTTACTCAATTATCTAATTGTTGGGTAGTGGCTAAAGCCATCAATGAAATCACATATATGCTCTACATACACATAACATGGTTATATATACACACACAGATTTATACATACATAAGTAGATATATAATAGTAGTTAGCATTGGAAATAGTTCATACTTCTAATTGGTTATATAAAAGAAATCATTTGAATCTGTTTAATGGATATTTTTGGATGGATTCTATGCTGTTGCTATATCTCTGTAGTCTGTACTTTAATTTATATCGCTGGTTTAAATACTTGGCTAAACTCGTAATAAGTTGTGTGTCATGCTAACTCATGCCCTTGTATCTGTGCATATAGTGAAGTGTGAACATTGAAATGCAAACCCTACTTTATTCCCCATGCTGCTTACTCATACTCTGTATATTTACGTTCTTTCATCTGATATACCTATGCTGTATGCTAGCATTATTTTGTTGATATTGAGAGGTGAGATGTATGCTTGTGCTTCTGCATTAATACATAAGCCTTTATGGTTTGACAGATTCATGCTTGTGTCAAGGCGTGAAAGTTCACCAGGTTTGCTTTACACCCTGGTATGTTTCCAAACTGATGTTGCTCCCAACATATATTAATGAATCAATTTAAAGATATCTTCAATCTTCATTATTTAGTCTGAATAAGGCATTATAGGTTGGAAGTCAATAAAATGTTCATAACCTAATGAAAATGTCTGGATGCAATTGGTCATTTGGTAAAACACTTGAAATATGAGTGATTATAATATGTTTGAGTATTTGTTTGTGCAAGGTGGGTTTGTTGATTTTTTGTAAGGTGGGCTTAAATGATGGTGGGCCTTGCTATATTTTAAGGCTGTTTTTTTATGCTCCACATATATCTGCCCACACTCATACTTGCTCTCAACATTCCCCATCTAGCATAAGTGTTTTCTTTAAAGTCCCCCCCTTAAATGAGAGTCTCAATTTTCTTGTGTTACCTGAGCTTATGTGCCGTTTGAGTGTTAGAGGTCTCTCTTGGTCCAAAGTCTTGTGGACTTGTACATGCTTTTAGAACCTCGCCTTGTGTCTGGCTCAAATCTTGTCCATCATGATCTACTTGGTCCGTTAGGCATATAGGCTCTGATATCAATCACTCAGGATCTGTTTGTGAGAGGTGCGCTTGATTTGTTGTGAGCTGACTCATTTGTAATGCAAATAAGATACGCTCAAATATGAGGTGGGCATGAATGATGGTGGGTTCTAACATGTTTAGTCCCAAAAATTTTAAGATTCAAATGTATGTCCCTCTTTCCTTTTTCTTCTTGAATCTTCACTTATACTTGCTTTTTTCAACATAGTCTTCTTTGACTGCCTTTTCAAAAAAAGAGCTTTATGACCAATGAAATTATTCTGGTATAATTGGTCCTCTGGTTCAGACCTTGTTTGTTTTTACAAGAGAATATCGGTGTGAACTGTGAAATCAATTGGTTGTACTATTTTACTTTTTTTTTGATGAATTTATTTTTATAATTTCTGCTTGTAGAGCTATTTGACAACTTTCCTTGTTACCAAGTTTTCTCACTCAAACTGTTATATTGAGTTCCCAATCTGGTTACTGCCTGTAGAGCTGCAAACATGACAGTTGGATCACTACAGCCAAATATTTGATGGATGAGGTTCCTGTGTTGTTAAGTTCAAACAATTTGAAGGATGTCAACAGCGTGTTCTCAGCTGTTTTCACATCTCTACCCTCAGATTTTTCTGAGTTCATTAAGTGGGTAGCAGAGATTCGAAGGAAAGAGGACAATAGTCAAGGTTTAAGTGAAGAAGAACAAGGGAGGCTTGCGATGAAGGTAAAAAAACTAACAACTTAAACTATCTATCTTTCTCTGATCCTAACAGAACATTTGGTTTGTATATTGGAACCGGAATAATCCCACCATCCCAAATTTTCACAATTCTTCTAGTACTTGTGATGGCTGAAATTTTTATAGGATTGGTCCTGATACTACTTATCTTTATACATCAAGTTTCTTTCGAAGTGTTTGATTATTCCACTTAAGTCATGATCCTGCCATATGTGTGTATATATATATATATATATATTCAGGAGGAGGTATTGAAGCAAGTGCAAGAAACGGGTCTGTACAAGCACATAACCAGCATCTTGTCGTCTTCAGACAGCCTTGCCTTAAGAAGCGGTAAACAATCTTTGTCACAGAGTGATAGTTTTGCTAATATGGCGGCCAACATATGCTGCCAGGGTGCAGGCATTTTGACAAACAATTCTGGTGACAAGTATTGTTGCTTGGAGACATGCGTGAGATGTTACAGAGCTACTAGCGATGACAAACATGTTACAGTCGTATCGGGGATGGTGGTGAATGGTAATGGAAAGCAAGGGGTTGATGTACTAGTACCTTCATCTTCATCTTCATCGGAAAGCTGCTGTAATCATGATAAGCCATCAGGTGGCCTACTGCACCCGGCGAGCAATGACGTGTTGACGGCCCTTTTACTGGCATTGCCTCCACACACATGGTATGGGATAAAAGAGAAGAGGGTATTGGAGGAGATATCTTGCTTGGTATCTGCAGAGAACCTTCCTTCGTTGCTACAAGAAGAGGTATGAATGCACATTTTACATTTACAGTTGAAACAAGATTTAGATCCTTAGATGGTTTGAATTGGGTGGGTGGCAGATAATGCATTTGCGGGGGCAACTAGTAATGCTAAAACGGTGCAAAGAGGACAAAGTAGAAGAGGATCTCAGCGCACCCCAACTCTGATTCTGACTGGTTGCTGGTGTACTGTACATTATTATTAACATGATGCCTCACTGCCTTATTCAAATCATTCTTGAAATGTGCATATATTACTATGTTGTTCTGTCCTAATCTGAATATTACTAAACCAATTACTAGTATTAATTAGTTTTAAGATTATTTAATTTGATATATTTCTCAATCGTTTTTCTTTTGAACTCATTTTTTAATTAGAAATTTTAAACTACTTTTGTTTGTTTGGGGATTTGGATTTTGAGTTGGGATTTGAATAGTAAAATTTTTGAATTTGAATAGTTGTATGATATGATATAAATAGGTGTTGATGTGATGTTTTGAATATAAAATTAATTTTTAATATAATATAAAAAATAAAAAATAGGTGTTTGATTTGATATTTTTGGGGGAAAAAAATGGGATGAATAAAAATCCATCAAAATCCTTCAAACAAACACACCATAAATATATTATGTTATATTTTAACTTGCATATTATAAATCAAATTTTAATCAGTACAACAAAATCATTGCATTCTGAAAATTCATTGATATGCTATTTTATTTACGTCGTGGACAATAAATAACCTCCTAAATCGAGCATTGTTAGCTTGTGTTTGGATTTGAGTTTTTTATTATTATTATTTAAATTTTGATGTAAATAGTATTTTGAATTAATATTTTATAAAATAAATTATTATTTTCTTATTATAGCGGGTATAATAATTAAAAAGTAGTTTTGGAAATCAAACCAAACAATCATAAATCAAATCCAAAATCCATCCAAACACGTCCTATTCTATTAAATTACAATATTTTTCCTAATTTTGTTCTGTGTGTCAATGTAATAATTTAATAGTTATCAAAGATATTCTTTTATTAATTTTTTTTTTCCTAATGTTGTTCATGGCCCCTTAACGGTCGAATTGACGTGATGTGCAAAGTCATAACCGTCGTGGATTCAAATTTTGCTTTCCCAATCAGGCATACAACAAAAAGGGTTAGGGAGAAAAAAACCAATGGACAGATGTGTGCTGACCCTAATCTTTTTTAAAAATAAGGCTTTGTTTTATTTAAAATTTTAAAATTATTTATTATATAATAATTACTATATTTTTCTAACAAACTATTGCATTCAATTAAGTATTTAAATACAAAATACAAAGTGAAAAACTTAAAAGCATTAGATATTATTTTGTAAAACAAATATTATATTATATATATATATATATATGTTAAAATTGATAATTAGTAAAGGAACAAAAAAATACTATAGTAAGAAGAATGCTAAAAGTGATTTTTGTACACAAATAAGCATAGTATCTTGCTCTTCCAGAATGTTCTACTTTATTGTTACTTGTCCGATTCTGTACCGACAATACATGTAAATGCATTTTTAGTAAGATATTTAACTAAAGATTATGGAATTTTTTGCCACTATTATTTTATAAAAAATATCACATCAAATATATATATTATTTAAAAAAAACTATATCATACCAAGTAGTATTAATTTTTTATTATGTTCAATTTTTTTTCAAATCTCAAAAATTGTCTAGACAGAGCAATATAAAGTTTGTTTCGGTATGATTTGAAATTAATTTGAAATAAATTTTAATTTTAATTTTTGTTTAAAAGTATTTTGAAGTAATATTTTGGAAAAATAAACAGCATACTTTTATTTTATTGAAAAACGGTCACTCAAACAATAATATAACTCACATGAAAAAGATTTGTCTTTATTAAATAAATTTTAGGTTCTAAATTTAATAATCACAATTCAAATTTAGTTTGATTGATAGTCCAAATAATTAAATTTTTGATTCAAAATCTCCTCCTGGGATATATATATATATATTTTGTATAACCTTATCAATTCATAAAAAATTTACTATCACATTCTTGAATGAATAGTCACCAATCTTATCACCAAACAAAAAAAAAAAAAAAAAAACCCGACGCGTAGTGGTGTGGGGGTAGATTTATGACCGTAAAGCATGTGTTCAAACAATTTACGCCTCCAAATTACCTGTCATACATGGCTCGTCTAATGTGACTTACAACATAGTTTGCAGATATTAGGTTCAATCGGAGTATACCCAATGCGCACTGTAGCGGCTGCGGTTCTCATATCATAAAACATATATATATATATATATATACATTGAAACTTGAAAGATGGTATTCTTAGATATAAGAATCTCAGATCAAACAACCATGCATTTGGACATGACATATATATATATATATAATATCAGTACTTTCAACTACGGACACACAAAACCGTCTGTCTAATCAAGCTGTAAAATAGGAGTCATGCATGCATGCATACACAAACAATAACCACGAAATCAAAACACTTGTGTTCCCAACATCCTCAAATCATCATCGTCGTCATATAATTAAAAAAAAGGTGACCTCATATGATCAAATGCATATATGAATATGAGTTACCTAACGGGCCCTTTTGTTCCCCCTCCTCGTCCTCCTCCCCGGATCATAATCTTCGTCCCGCTTGTCATCCTCATCGTATTCATCTTCTTCCTCGCTTACGATCTCTTCTATAAATTTCCTCTCTCCAACAACTTCACTTGATTGTTTTTTCCCATCCTTAATTTTTTCTTTGCCCCCCGCGGCAGATGAGGACGAGGATGGAACAACCCGACGACTCTTAGACCCGCTAGCACAAGTATTGTGGGTATCATCAAGCTTCAGGCTCTCCTGATCCTTGAGTAACAATGCTATTTCTCGCATCCCTTTTCTCCTTCCATTCTTACTATTCATATGGCTCTCGGTAGACAATACTTCCTTTCCCTTTTTATTGTCTTCCATTTCCTCCCCTTTCTCTTGGTCGGCTTCTGTAATCTTCCCAGTCATGACTCTGTAGATATATCCATAAATTAAAGGTCAAAATCAATCAATGATTATGATACATATTTATGTAGACTATGAAGTATATCTATTATTACTTTATGTTGTTAACATTGAGGGATACAACGGGTCTAATATAGATTTTCAAGAATTCATGTAAGGAAAATTTAAAACCCTAACTGTAATTTACAGAAGAATGCATATATGTTTATGGCAAAGTAAGAGATAAATTGATGATTCTATATAAATTGACATAATTATCGAAATTAAAACTTACTCTTCAGGAGTTCTATTTAAATCCAATAAAATTCTCTTTTTTATTGGATGGATTGCTCCTTCCTTGTTCTGCAAAATAATAATAATTCAAAATACAATATAAACACAATTAATTATCAAATAAAAAAAAATTAATTCAAATTTAGGGGGGAGGGGGTTGTATTAGGATGCACCATACTATCATCACATTAAACATATATAGAAGAAGAATACATAATAAATGGACAAATAATATATAATATATATTAATATAAGATAAATATAGTGTATAAACTAGACACATGTGATAACAATCCACACAACATATAACACATTAATATATACACATATTAGTTTAATATACTATACAACGATGTAATGAACTAACAACATATGATAATAATTCATACAATACATATCAACATTGATCCACATATGACATGATAACACAATGCAATATATATATATATATTATCTTAATGATATACACAATATATATTGTTTCAACCATAACAATGTATTGTGTACTTATCATTATGATGTGCCAATTAGAGCATAGTGCTGATTACTCTACTCAATATCATAATTAACCAATATAACTAACATTTCCATCAAATCATAAACTCTCTTTACATATGCTTTTTTAAAAAGTTGACTTAGTCGTCTATATACACATTTTAGAAAGCTTTGCAACTATATATAAATAATAATTTTTTTAAAAAAAATATTACATCATATAAAAATATATCTTTCTATACAAAATGTTAAATTTATCACTAATTTATATCAGATCAAACATATGTTTTTTATTCTAATTTTTTTACTATTGTTATAACTTTTCCAAAACTTCCAAAAACTCTTATGAGTTTGTATTGTAACCAACAATACCCTAGTTGGATTGAATTTTTTTTAAAAAAGAAAAAACTCTTATCTAAAGAGTATTGGAACCAATAAAATCTTAGCTAGACTAATATTTCTTCTTACATAATTTTTCAGTATATTACCCATATAATTCCTCATATTTTACACACACATAAAAAAAAAAAAAAAAAAATTCAAACTAAAACACTAAACAAACAAATTTTAAATAAATAAGAATTTTATGAAACTCTCTAACATTTTATAAATTAATCAAATAACCTTTTTTAGTAATTTTAGAATCTTTTGTCGCTATTCCTCAAGTGTACACTAAGTAATCATTTGGGCGCATGTAAATTCTAATCTGATTTTTTTTAAAAAAAAAAAAAAATTCAAAACTTCAAAATTCTTATTTAAACAGAGTCTGAGTTTTTTTTTTTTTTTTCCTTTTATCCACACACACCCACTCACACATTCCGTGGAAATCAAACCCTTAACCTCAAGTATGTCAAAAGAGAGCTCACAATCGCTTGAGCTACACTTGTTAAATAGAGTTGAGTGTTAAAACTAATTAGATTGAAAAAAAAAAAAACACACACACAACTCGAACTCTTCAAAGCTTTCAAATTTCTTATTTAAATAGAATCGGGTACCAAAATCTACTAGATTAAGTTAAAAAATAAACTTTATAAATCTTCAATCCTTTCGAAACTCTTATCAAAACAAAATTTAAGTATTGGAACCAACAACATAGCTAAAAAAAACTTAGAAATCGTGAAAATTGAATAGAAATGAAAGTTGTCGCAATAGATCTAAGGATTTCTAAAATAGCAAATTTAGATAAAGTCATTAAAACAACCTTATATGAACACGGAGGCGGAGGTGGAGGCGGAGACGGAGATGAAGACGGAGACGGAGATGGCGTACGAGGTGCCGACAGTGGAGTGATTTCTTTCCCGTTCGACGGATCCATTTTACTTTACAAACAATGGGTCGCAGCGGCAATGCCAATGAGGTCGAGAAAGGTCTTTATATAGACGAAACCGTGGGTGCGTTTGGTTGTAGGTTTAAAAGTTGAGTTTACTGTTCAAAATAGTAAATATTTAAATGGAAATAATTATTTGTTATGATATATTCGAATGAAAATAATGATAATATATACTCCATCTGTCTAACATCTATATATCAATTTATTTTTTGCACAAAGTTTTAGAAATATTAGTATTATATTGGAATGTAATAGAAATAAATGTAAAAATACTAAATTAACCTTGTTAGTATTGCATTGTAATGACATTTGTTAATATATATTAAATTGAAATGATATTTGTAATGTCAGATAAATACTACAATTACTAAAAAAAAAATTGATATTTTGTTATGGGTTTGGATAAACACTCAGGTATACTCAAAAGTATTATTGTTTTATTACAATAATAGTAATAACATACTAATGCTAAAATATTTTAAATTTTTTTATATAAATTACAAATATATAATTACATATAATTAATTTATACGTAAATGAGTAAAAATATCAAAACTATTTTGCATATTTATATTAATCAATAAAATATTACTATAATTTTTTAATTTACTATAAAAATTTAACAAAATACTTTTGAGTGAAAAGAAAAAAACATTATATACATTTTTAAAATTATTATACTTAAACAAAGATACATGGACAGAGTTAAATATATTAAAAATTAAGAGGTAAACTGTTTTTTTTAAGTCCGTAACTGGACCTCCTTATTATTTTAGTCTCGTAAGTGGAGCTTGTCACAAACTAGTCTCATAAGTGAAAATTTTTCACTGTTTTAGTCCTCCGACGTTGGAGACGCCGGCGTGGCTCGCCGAATGCTACGTGTCCGCCAGGTACACGTGGATTTTATTATTATTTTTTATTTTTTAAATAAATTATTTTTAATTTATTTTTAATTTTATTTGCTTTTTTTTTTTTTAATTTTTTTTATTTGATCCAATTAAAAAAATTTAAAAAATAATAAAATAATAAAATCCACGGACACGTGGCTTCCGGCAAGTCACACAGGCGTCTCCGGCCCCGGAGGACTAAAACAACGAAATTTTTCCACTTACGAGACTAGTTTGATACAAGTTCCACTTACGGGACTAAAATGATAAAATGTGAATTACGGAACTAAAAAAATAGTTTATTCAAAATTAAAAAGTAGTATGCATTAAATATTCATTGCTGTCTCATTAATTACAAATAGCAAAATATGTTCACACAAACCGCTGGTATATGCAAAATTGTTATACTCTAAATAGAGTTAATATAAATAAATAATGAATAAAATTCGACAAGTATTTTTAAAATATAATTATTTATTTATTAAAATTTACAACATATTACAGATAAAATAAACTAATATATTTAGAATATGATTGAGCAAATATTTTTGTCTAGATATATATATATATATGTATGTAAAGAATAAATAGTATGTAATGAACATAAATTTTTGAATTTTACAAGAAAATTAATTGTAAAATAATGTTTTTGAAACAATAACGAAAATGGTGGCTGCATATGTTTTTTTTTTTTTTTCTCCAAATTCCAATTTCACAGCTCATTCAATATATATTATTTTTTACGAAAAAAAATATTATATTCGATAATCATTTTATTCAAAAATTCAAATATATATATATATATATCAATATAAATTTAAAAAAATTTACACAAAATGAATAAACCGAATTTTGTATATATAACATTATATTTATATCATGGATGCGTGTGTGTTAAGTCTTGATGTCATTGATAAAAAGTAAGAGTGATATTTTAAATAAAAAATAAAAAAAAAAAATTTTCGACTCAATTCAAAGTATTATTTTTTATTATTTTTGTTTGTTTAGTTTCAAAATATTTTTTTCTATTTTTTTTTTAAAAATAATCATACACTAATAGTAAAATACTTTTAACTTTTATCTGAATACAAATATAACATTACACATATAATTATTTAACATATAAAATCAAAGACAAAAACATCATAATCTCTTACAAATTATACTAACTTATAATATACTATTAATTCTTAATTTACTACAAAATATCAAATACCCCTATAATAAAGGACAAAGGAAATATATTTTTTTTAAAAAAATAATATATTAAATATTATTAATATATTGTTCGTTTTAGACCGAGCTCTTACATATTTGTTTTTAATTTTTTTTCAAAAATGTCTCATTATTAGTGGAGACTTATAAAGTCCAGTTTTTTCCTTAAATTTTTATATTTTGTCTATTTCATAACAATTAACGTCTTTTTATTTTGGTAAAATTTATGAAATTAAACTATACTTAACAGATATAAATCAATTTAATTACTTTATAATACTGTATATAACAATATAGTCATGTAAGATCCACTTAAACCTCTTTATTTTTAACTCTTTTCATAAAATAAGTATTTTTATCACTTTTAAAATTTCACTTCTTTTTATAAAATTAATTTATACCTTCTTCGTCCCGAAACTAAATATTCATTTGCTTTTTGCACGTAATTTTAAAAATATTAGTATTATATTGAGATATAATAGGAATAAAGTAAAAATGACTAAAATAACCTTATTAGTATAAGTGATATAAAAATAATGACATTTGTGTAATATATTGTAAGTTGTAAGAGTATTTGTAATGTTATATAGATAGTACAGTTACTAAAAAAAAAAAAGAAAATGAATACTTTGTTATGGAACGAATTAAAATAAAAAAATAGATACTTTGTTATGTGACGAATGGAGTATTAATTATAAATTAATAAATATATTTTTTTATTTACTTGTATTGTTAAAAAAAATATTAATTATATATCTTTTTATATGTTACTTTATTTATCTTAATTCAAAATATTTTTATTA